AGATCCTACGGCAAGCATCGGAGTCACCGCTCGCCAGCGCCGCGTCATTTGCTTCCGCCGCTCGCCCGCGTTCGCCCGCGCTCGCCCGCGCTCCCCACCACCGACGACCGACATACGAAGCTCCGCGCAAGATGGTGGTCGCATGAGCTCTGCGCGCCCACCCGCGTTGCAAGATGGATTTCATTGTACGCACGCCTCCTCCCCCCCCAGACCCATCTAAGACATGCGGCACGCGACGCCCGCGAGATCGCGCTAGCACCCTCACCCGCCCACCGAGCGCGTGCCTGTCTTCCCTTGTTCCCAACGCCCCTTTGCTCGAGCCCGCCTGGCTAACCGCACCGTGACAGATCTCTCTTGCTCACTTCTGTGAGGTCCACGGTCCCACCTCCGTGCTCTGCACCCAGATCACTCAGGGCAGTTGCGCCACCTGCCACCCCTGCGACACTCCTCCCGCAGACGACCAGTCCAAATCCTCCTATTTCAACGACTCGCCCGCCATTCCTCCGCTGTCCTCGCCCTTTGAAACCCCTCCCACTAGCCCCAAGTCGCCCAAAAACTCGCACAACCCCTACTTCCCGAGCCTCTCGGCCAAAAAGAGCTCCAGCTCCACCTCCCTGGGCAGCAACTTCGGCGATGGCGACAACGACAGCTGCGAGAACTGCTCATTCCTCGTCCCCAAGAATGTTACGGAGCAGCTGCCCGACGGCGCTCCAGGCAGCCCGAGCAAAGACGGCAGAGGCCAGAACGGCAGCCCGGTCCTGCGCACGACTCAGTCGGTGATGGCACGAGGCCTCCGGCCCTCAGACGACCGCGATACGAACTCAGAATCATCCGACGAGCAGTCGCACGCGTCTACGTCATTCTCCCGCTCTCCGCCCAGCGTTACCTCCTCTTCTCCCGCTTCGCCTCTTTTCGCATCACGCAACGCACATACGCATACCCTATCCTATCTCACCACCCGCCAGCCCATTTCTCCTTCGGCGTATTCTCGCCTCCGCCGGATTTGTATTCGCACGCTCTCATGTGAGCAGCTACCGCGCGGTGCCCCGTCTGGCCCGCTGTACTTCGGCGATCCCGTCCTGGGATACACTGTCGCCTATGTTTTCCGGATCCCGGATCCCCGTGCTCGCGGCCGGACACGCACCTACGCGCTCATCGCCCTCGGCGGGCGCGATAGTTGGCGTGTGGGCAAGGCGATGGTGAAGATTACCGAGATGTTCGAACAGATCGCGAACCAGATCATCGCCATGGCAAAACAGGTTCTTGAGCAAGAATCCACATTTGCATCTCCCACCGCTCATATGCGGCCCACTACGGCCGCTGGCCCCGGCACCATTACTCCGCCGCTTAGCTGCTCGGGTGGCAGCAGCGTTCCGCGCCGCGCCAGTGTCCAGGTTTCCGGCGGAAAGCCAAACACCATCATTCCTACGCCCACGGCCAGCCTTGTTGGGTCTCCGGCGTCCCCGACGACGCGCAACATCACTCCTGTATCTTCCTTCCTCGCGGCGAAGAAGGTCGACCCGGACGGATACCCGCGGGTCAGCCGGGACATCATGCGCGCCAAGGGCCTAGCCGAAATCGTTGGCAAGGAGAACTTCTTTGTGGAGCTGCATGCGAAATTCTGCATGCTGCTGGCCGGACTCGTGAAAGAGTTTGGGACCGGTTGACAGACCGGTCGTTCCTCAGCTCCGCCACTTTCTCGTTACGTTATACACCGCGGCTACGACCGACGGGGGACCGTGCAGTATTAGTCTGCATTGGCTCGGCAACGGTTCTTCCCGCCATTGCTTCGTTCTCCTATACTCCACTGTGGCTGGAATGATGCTTCAGTAATCTCCATCAGTAATCCGTCTCCACCTGCACGTGGGCCAGGTCTCAGGTACCGGTCCAGGTCCCGGTCCAGGTCCCGGTCCAGGTCCCGGTCCGGGGTTCGTTCGCACGAGCTTGCTTCGATGCTCCTTTCGGAAGTCGCTACGGCGCCCTCTCCTGCAACGCAACGCCCTTCGTCGCGCTTTGCTTCAGCCTCTTGTTTTATCCGTTCCACCTTTTCCTATTCTTCCCTCTCGTCTTTGTCTTTCGGCTTTTGTGCTGCGTTCTAGCGACGTGTTTTTGTGTTAACTTCCGGAATGTCCTTGTAATGGCGTTACTGCACGCGTCTTGTCTAATTGCTTCTTCTTGTTTTTTTTTCCTGTCGTTATTTCCCTGCCCTTTTTATAACGGCCTCGGTTCTTTGCTTCCAAACCTCGTCGTCCCCATCGATCGAATTCGCGGGAAAGGGGCTTTTTTTCGACTTTGTTCTTTTGCTCTGCTCGCAAAATCTTCCTTGCTTCGCAACCAGCAATTTTTATGATACCCCCAACCTTGGCCCCACAGTTGTTTTCTGTTTTTCTTGTTGTTGCAGAGAGCATAGGAGGAATTCAAAGAGAGTAGAGAGGGAGGATAGGGAAAGAGAATGAAAGAACACCCGGGTGGGAAGGGGAAAGGGAAGGGAAGGGAAGTTGCGTACACTGTGGTCGCTTAGAGTATGTGAGATTGAAAGAAAACGGGGGTTTTTCATAGCTGTAAATCAATGAACGAGTGCGTCGTCGTCTTTGCCGTCGTCGTCGTCACTTCGATCTCGTCTTTCGGATTCGTTGAGTCTTGGGTGTTTTTTTTTTTTTTTCGAAGGTGCTTGCTTGTTTTCTCTTCGGTTGTCACTGTCCTGTTTATACGTCGTGAGATCGTGAAGACGGGAGCTCGGATTGCAACGCGTAGGAGGCGTAGGTCGTCCAAGTAATGATAGAGCCAGCCGTAAGGAATAGAAACTTAATACAGGAACACAAACGGATCTAAAAGGGAATAAGTGTGTGAGTGTGAGTGTGGGGGGTGGATGTGTGGATGTGTGTGTACGTGGGCTCACGCTGCAGAGAAGTGGTGGTCTTCGCCTTGTGAGATGCGCGGTGGTGGTGGTGGTAATGGAGCTGTTGCGGGCGGCGCTCGTCCGGCGATTCCGGTTTGCCCATTTGTCCCAACTCGTTTGCTTGTCGTCCTTTTCCTTGCGTGTGTGTTTGTGCGTGTGTGTGTGTCCTTTCTTTTTGTCTTTCGTTTGTCCATGTTCCTGACCATGCTCTGATGGTATGTTCCCGCCGTCCTTCAAGTTTTCGCCGGCTAGCAGTACCGTCAATTGTGCCGAGGGCTGGAGAGCGCGGAAATATCGAGGGAGGGAGGGATGGAGCGAGATTGTCGGGCGGGTGGTTGTCTGTGCCAAAGTATGACGTGAGCATGGCTGGTCGCCAGTCATAGTCTGCACATACATGCATACATAGTACCTTGATGGCCGTTCGGTAAACGTTGTTTTGACTTACCCCCGTTGCAGTTCTAGTCGATGCAAAGCGAGAAGGAAAAAGGGATGAGAGAGGGAGAGAAAGATTTTCTTGGGTGGGGGGTTGTTTTTGGCAAGCGATAAGGGCGCGGGCGGGCGAGCTGTTGCCTGAAGGTGGGCGATGCGGGGTGATTTGGGGCTGGTGTTTGCCTGAGGCAGGATGGAGGCGGTGCTTCTCCAAGTGCTGGATAGGGAGAAGGGCTGAAGGGTCACGAGGCTGGCGTCTCAATCCTGGTGTCAGCGGTTCTATTAGAAATTTGAGCTGCTTGGCTATTCGAACTTGCTTTGGGTGCTTTGATGTTTCAAAATGTTGATAAGAACGGGTGGCGGAATTTGGTGGCGTTGTGATTGCTTGCCACTTTCACCGATAGTAAAGGTGCTGCGTTTGCTTATGATAGCATGTCAAGAGTGGCAAGGGCTGGATGCAAAGAAGAGGGCTGTTATGTGCGCGTCTGTAGGTACAATACATGGGTCCCATAAGAAGGAGCGTCTCAGCCATGATTCATAACTGTGGCCGAAATCGGACGAGCCATCATGGTCGTCTAGTCTCTGTCGAGACATTTGCTCTTATCGAGTTGCACATGCCACGGGCTGACCTGAGCACCTATTTCTTATCAGTGAGGAAAGCCGATGGAGCTGTTCATTTGGACTCATGGTAGTTTGTTGCCTTAGGCCACAGCCAAGTGAAGAATGGGGGATGCTAAAAACCTCAATGATTTCCTTCCACCATTACGCTTCAAGATAGAGATCAACAGTAGAGGGGCTTCCTGATTTGTGCCACCAAAATAAACATGGTATTCTCCTTTCTTCGCTCGACTGAATGCATTTGACCTGGCGCCAACTACCACTGATATCCACATGCTACCAGCCCCGCCAGGGGAACATTCCTGATAGCTCTGGAGAAAGATTAACACGTGTCTATCTTTGTACATACGCTTCAAAGCATGAATTCGCTTCCAAATCGCATGCATGCACTGTCTCGACGGACGCGCACACACCATCGCTACGCTATGCACGATAATTGACTAAGAGAGCAAGAAACAACGTACGAAAAACACACATTCGAATAGAAAGTGAACAAGCCAACAAGCGAAGAAATGCCTAAGTACCGTGATTATGCATTCCGTCATGTGGATGCAATGTTTTCGCAACTCGTGCCTATACCAATGCTTTTCCAACCATAGGTCCAGCCGGCATGACTCTATCAAGAAAAGCAGTTCCTGCCCCAGATCAAACGCAAAATATTGGACTGATTCTAGATTCGCTTCAAACAATGAATTTATGATAAAACGAAGGGGAGGCGATGGAGTCGGAAACGCGCTTACTTTTACTCTTGCGTTTGCCGAATCGGCTTTTGCGCCTACTCCTGTTGACCACGACTACCCAGTCGACGACGTCGTCATCATCATCGTCTAGGAGTGCTTCACTTGTACCAAGTGCAGAGCCGCGCCGACGCACGCGCATGAATTTGCTGAAATCAACAAAATTAAGGTGTGTGGAAGCCCCGTCACTGTTAGCCAGCTTGGATGGGGAAGAAAAGCTGAGGATGAACAAAGCAAGCCGCTGAAAGAAAAAAGAAAAACCGAGGGCTGGATGGAGAAGATTGAAGCAGCGCCACTGTTTACTGAATACACTTCCTTCACCATCGGCCCTCGCTAGGTCTCGTGTCTACCTGCGAAGTGTCATACCCATCCTGACTGTAGTCCGGCAGCTTCTGTGAATCATCTGTTGGGTCGATGCCCTCCGTAAGCTTCAATTCTCCCCAGTCATCGTTGCTGAAGCTCGTCATCTCGGTATCCTGTTGTTGAGCAGGAGGCTGCTCCTCAGGCTGGATGGGCTGGCGTTGAACTGCTTCAACGAGGTCTTGGTCCCCAAATTTGAGGTCGGCTTTGACGTAGACAACGCAGGTTGTGACCATCTTTGAGTACGTGTCGCCCTGACCGAAGATGTTCTTTTCAACGTCTGTGACCTCGGTGATTGTCTCATCGTTGTAGTTTCGCCACAACCCATTCTTGAAGTCCCTGATCGATACGAGATAGTGACCGCCGCCGGTACCACCGCGATGGATGAATAAAGAGTGTAGTTTGTACGGCACAGAATTCATGTCTGCAAATAGCGACGATATTTCAGTCTCGAGTGTGGCGATGCTGTCGTCCAAGCTGGTGATTTCTTTCCGTGTCTCCTCAGCCTTTGCTGTCATATCATCTCCGAAGGTACTGTCGACTTGCTGCTCATCCGCCTGATCAGACTCATCAGCTTCGACGTCCTTGACATATTCTGACGCAGCTCGGACCGCTTCTGATAGAGACATATCCATCCTGGTCGCGACAAGCTCGGCCCTGCGCTCGCGGAGGCACTTCAACCTGGCCTTCTTCTCCCACGACTGCTTTCTTCTCTGCAAGGTGGCTTCATCGTGAAGATACCGGTCGATGTATATGGTCTCTTCCAGCTGCAAGTGATTCTCAGTACGAATCGTCTGCTTCTTCACCTTGTCAAACCCTAATCGTCTCACGTCAACCTTCAAGATGGGAGGCGCTCGGAGAAGTGTAGTCCACTTCTCCGCATTGTCGGAATCTTCTATCGCGCCCTTATCGAGCGTATCGTCGATTGCTTCGTAGATGTTCTTGGGCTTATCGACGACCGTGACGTATTGAGTGTTGAAAAGGGCCTTTTGCTCCGTTGTCTTTCCGTTCCTCTCGAGCGAGGCGGCTTCTTCACCGTAGAATAGTCTAGAGAGATGTTAGCTTAAGATAGCACTTGAGAATGGACGACAGTCATACTCCTTGACAAAGTCGAGCTGCTCACCATCCTCCCTGAATGTATCTGGGCGAATGGCATAGCTCAACTGAAGCAGAATGTTGATAAGAATCTCAGAAGCGTCCTGCTGCATTGTGTAAGGAATGCTGGCGGGTTTGCTGGCTGGATTGCGAGGCGGGATCGGCGGTGGATGTTCGGGCTGGGCCGGCTTCTCCGAGATGTCCTCGACCGGAGTATCCTTCTCCACGTTGGCTTCCTCAGCGTCCGGGAGAGTCTCAGAATCCCTGTCTCCAATGAGTGTGGCATCACTATCCCCAGCTTCAGTTCGGGAGCTTGCGAGAGCCTCGCCGTTCGCGACGCCGTCGACCATCTCGACATCATTTCTGTCGTCTTTTCCGGGGCTCGTGCTTTCAGTGCCGACCGGCGCTGCCGCGTCGGTCCCAGATGAGCCTGGTTCTTCATTTGGAGCTGCATACTCCAGGGCCCGTTGCACCAACTCTACCTTGGGTCGAATGGTTGCTGTAGGGGCAGTAATCAACTGCACGAACAGTTCCTTCAGCTCCTTGACGACTGTTGTCGTTAGTCAAACTGGGGGTAGTATGAGGCCGCGTTGCTGCTTACAGTGTTGAGACCGCCTGACTTCCTCTGCAGTAACCATTCTGCTTCCCACTCGCTTTTTATGGATGTTGTCCTCATTGATTTCCATGAGGTGCTCATCAATACTAAGGACATAGTCTCTCAGCGGTTTAATCGTGAAGAGAAACTGTAAGATGGCGTTCAAGTAGCAGGTATTTCCGAGGTTCTCAATACCAACCGGCCATTGGTCCAGCGGATACCTGGGTGGCGGAGCTGGGACCGGCCCTTTTCCGCTTTCAGCTCTGACGATAGCCGCGTAGCGGTCATATTCATCACTCTTTGATGGATCCCGTTCTTTGAGGTCGCTCAGTGTTAGCTCGAGCATTTCGTCATCAACAGCACCTTGATGGTTACTGATTCCGAAAGCACTGAAAGCTTTGGTCTTCTCCAGTTCAGGATCGTTGCCCATCTTGATCTCGCCGGTCTGTAACCAAACCCGCAGGCCCTCGCTATCACGGTGGTCTGCGATGATTTTGATAGCTTCGGCAATCTTCGGCTCGCTGGACGGCTCCTCGGATTTCTGTGAAAAATTTAGCAACGGGCCTCTCCGATTGCAACGGTCTCGTCCTTCTCTGGTATGGAACTAAGACCAATTTTCAACTTTTCGGTATCACACACCTTCAATCCTGCCACGGCAATGATTTGATCGTCGCCATGGCTGGCTTCCGCCCCCAACCATGACAAAGCTTGCTCATATGTTTGGATGACTGCTCACCAGTTAGTGACTGTTGAAGCCCTCAGCAGATCGGACAGGTACATACTGTCACCGGCAGCATCTATGATTGCTTGACTTTGTCTGTAAGCGCCAATTTTCCGAAGGTGTTCGCGCAGTTCCGGCACTTCGTAGGTTCCGACGCTCGCGACGCGGACACGGAATTGATTGATGATATACTCATCTGTGTATGCGGCTAAACGTTCCGGGTCGAGGTTGAAGCGGCGGAGCGCATGCTTCGCATCCTTTCGGCTAACAATCCCCTTAGACTCTTCCATGACCTTCTTCATATCCAGCTCGTCGCTTCGCCGTCCATTTGCGAGGTCCGCAAGACACTCGTAGTAATACGCGTGGTTTTGCGGATCGGTCGTGACTTGTCGGTCGTATGCGAATGCTAATAGGCTGTCGGAAAAGGCTCCAACAGCGCCTAGCCCGGCGTAGTAACTGAAAGGGTTAGTGTCGACACAAAGAGTAGCAGACGAGAGTAGAGCGTACGGGTGATCCTCCACGCCTTGCGAACTGGCAGTATAATCAGGCCTTTTAGGATCTAGGGCATGTCAGCTCCCCGGAAATGAGGGCCGTGGACAAAGGGAAACTAACAGTTGAAGGAACCAAAAACCCTCTCAAGGGCTTCACGTGCGGTCTGTGGTTGGTAACTGTATCGCTTCAACTCTTGCTTTGCCGAGCGTGGCATGCGATCAATTGTGCACATGAGCTCCTGCAGTGAGTCATCCAGACGATCTCTTAGGGCGTCTCCCTGTAGGCGATTCCAATCCTGCGGCGGGGACGGGAGGAACCACGCGGTCTCGTCCTCACCCTGTCCAAGTTTCTTGGTGAAACCCAAGCGCATGAATAGCGCATCACAATCCTCCCCGTACGTTACCAAGAACTTCCTGTTCCGCAAAGGTATGCGCGACGACTTGCCATTCAAGGCGTCTCGAATGTACGCATGCAGAATGTAGAGACCATCGATGGGCTTGGCGGCTTGAAGCTCGGTTCGGTCAGGGTCTATTCTCTTGGCAGATTTGAGACGCTCTTCCAGCACCTTTTTGTCCGACAAAAGACTCATGTCCTGTTGCGAAAGACGTGGCGGGGCAACCTCTACCGTGAGCACCGCTCCGCACTGCTGCGACGAGCACTGAAAGCGGTAGCTTTCTTTCAGGTAGTCATCCTCCAAGCTGTCACGCCGTCCATCGGAAGGAACGTATACGAAGTGGTGTAGCTTGAAGTCCTCATTTGGACATGGCCACGTGCAGGCACCCTGGCCGAAGTCGAGCACGACCGTGATGTGGTGCCGGCACAAGCGACAGTATGAGGCAAGCTTGAATATTGTTTGTCCATCCGGGCGACAATCCCAACTCTCAGGCAGCACGCACTGATCCAGCTTCAGCGCAAGGTTGTGGCGACAGCTACCGCCGGGAACGGCGGCCATGGGCGGCTTGGAGTCATCGAAGTGCGGTGGGGCGTCGGTGAGGATGTTGCGCCCGCAACGTATGCGCTGCCGAGGATCATAGCTGTACAGGTCTTCGAGCAGGCGTGGGGCGGTCTTCCCTGTAGCTCCGGTCAGACGTCAACGGCAACCGTGAGAGGCGGTGCGGGTGGGTAGAAACCTGGCTTTGAAGGTAACATGTGGACAGAGAAAATCCGGCGGGGGGACAGAGCCCAGGGAGCGGACAGAGAGGCGGAGACGACGAAAATGTGCTGCAAATGGTCGTGAACGCGCGGCGCTGCTGGCTACGGAGGATGCGACCAGAAACGCGGCGGGATGACGAAGCGGATAAGGTATGAGCGGCGCGGCGATTGGCAAGCGCGAAAGCGGATGGCGGTAAACGAGAGAGGCGCACTGCAGCGGGCTCGCTGGGCATGCCACGTTGATTTGGCTGGGTGAGGCACAAGCAACAATCGTGGCTAGCTTGTCTTGTGCTGCGTTTAGGTGTGATGTCAAAGCTCCTGTCACGTAGGTGACGGCGGCGGGCAGAATCGGGCGGTGAGCGGTGGGCCGCCGCTTCGATGGCGGAGAGCCAATCCAATCTGGCTTACACTCCACACCCTCGACCCGTATCTCGCGAGCATTGCCCTCGACTGCCGCCCAACATGGCCCACGACCACCAATACCATGCCAAGGACACGATCGGCCGGACCATCAAGACCACGATGGTCACGGCCGGCGCCGGCACCTTCGTGTCCGCCATCCAGAACACCCTGCAGAAGCAGAACTACGGCCCCATGGGCATCTTCACCCGCTCCGGCACCACCATTGCTATCTTCAGTACGCCGGCGCATCCGTAACCGCAATTGATTTGGCAAAGTGCTGATCCGCCGCAGCGGCCATGGGCGGCAGCTACGAGTTCGCTCGCACCGCGTCGGCGAACCTGCGCCAGAAGGACGACAGCTGGAACGAGGCCGTTGGCGGCTTCTTCGGTGGTGCTATGGTCGGCTTGAGGTGTATGGAATGCAACGTCCCGATGACATGAAGCGCATTGGCTGATTTTGGGGGCACCAGTCCGATCCATGCCCGCCGTCCTCGGTTACGGCGTCGGCCTTGCTACGATTCTCAGCACCTTTGACTTCTGCGGCCATGCTTTGACCGGATACAGCCGGGATCCCGATACGGATGAGTTTGAGAGGAAGCGTTTTCTCAGGACGAACTACAGGACACCGTCAGAGCAGACGGTTGCTGAGATTGGCGAGGGCCGCGGTATGCGTTTTGATTGGAGATGGAATTTAAAACGACTTGCTGACATCTTGCAGGCATCTACCCTCCTGGTTACGAAGACAGGAGACGGCAGAGGCTCAAGGAAAAGTACGGCTATGAGATCGAGGCGCCGTCTTCCCACTGATTGGAATAGTCGCCACAGGCTCGTGCAGACAAGAAGAGCTAAAGATGAAGCGGATGTAGCGTATGAAGTGCTGATGGAATGGCGTATAATGGCAAAACCACGGCGTCCTTCAGTTGCTCCAAAAGATGAGCAAGATACCTCCAGTCGCAGCTGGCCTACGTGTACAAATCGATTTCCTTCCGTCAGAAGATGTCTCGGGTCCCGGAGATGGCCACGGCTTAGGTCCTCACACAAGAATCGACTAACACAATTATTCATCGTTGTGCGGCATCATCCTCAAGCTATGACATCGAAGCCTCCGGTTCAATAGATTTAGAGGAATTGCAAGTGGTACGTCGAGGCCTCGGATACGTTTGAGTACGGTACTGGTGGTATACTCAGGAGACGTCGTCTGCTAATCTCAAGGTTGCTTGAAAACTCAACAAATATTCCTTTGAGCTAAAGTAGCCGACAGTCCCCAAGCAGCAATCGAGGGGTCGCGAAAGGCCCCTGTGTCTTAGTCCGGTTAGGCAAATGAGGCGGACATGTCCAACCGAAAGCTTTTACAAGAGCTGCGTTGGCGAGAGCATTGTATCCAGCCCGGCCACGTTATTTCATGATCGGGGCACGCAGCATTGGCGGTACGCTCGCTGTTTCGACGTCCATAGTAGCAGCATTCCAGAAGAATGTGCGTAAGGATCAGCCGCAGATCTAGCATGGGGATCCTGAGCATAGGCGGACATCTATGCCCACGCCATCTGAGGATGACATAGGGGCTGGGACAGCGACGGTGGCTCAAAAACAACCAAGAGGTTGGCCGGGGGATATTCGATACACAGACGTTGGTTTATGGTTTTCATAGCGTCATAGCTTCTCTGCGGCAATGTGCAGGAATACCGCGTTGCCGCACTTGCATGGTCCCCGCACTGACTCGCATCATACCGCGCACATGACACGACGGGTACAAAGAGGAGCAATCCAGCAGACGCCCGAGGCATGCGCTTGTCGGCCGTGGTAGAGGGGCAGGGTCGGCGGCTAATGCGCGGCCTCGTGGCTGGAATGCCGGCGACCAGTTTGGCCACGGAATAGCTCGTCCCCAAAAGGAATGTCGTGGGCGTCATCCCTGACCCTCCCCGCCGCCACACATCTCGACGTGCCGAAGGCACAGGAGATGTGTGTGCACTGGAATCGGGATCGACCGCCTGACACCCCGATTTTTGTTGACTCCACGGCGGGGCGCTCGTCAGGACCTGGTCCCCGCAGCGAACCTATAACCAGTCTTCTGCCAGTCTCCATGCATGCAGCTGCTTAAAGTGAACCACCGCCGTCATCCGCCAATCTTACTGATCCCACCTGAACCACAGAACCCTCGTGCAGGCAGGCGCTTCAATTGCGCGAATTACACAGCTCACCAATGGCCCTTCCGCTCCAGCAACCCGCGGACAGCGGCTTGAAGGAGCGCTTCTTCCGCTACTTCCAGCATGAGGTGACGGGTGAGCACGCGAACACCCCCGCATCTTATCCCTGCGACACACACTAACACGCCACCCCCAGAGCTCCAGGAGGAAATCAACACGCTCGCCAACAAAGCAGTCACCGGCGGCGAGCGCGCAGACGGCGTCGAGCACTGCTTGGCCGGCATAGCACGGCTGTCGCGCGAAGTCAAGGACGCCTCGAGCTACATCCCGGCGTACGACCAGCGGACATACTCTGAGGTTTGCGCGCGCGGACCCCCCACCCCTCCGCAGCTAGCCCACGGAGCTCTGACTTTCTTCTCTCTCCTTGCTTCCTGCAGGCCATCAAAGCCCTCAACGACAAGCTCAACCAAACTCGCGCCTCCTTCGCGCCCCGCAGCAAGTTCTCCTTCAAGTCCACTCGGCAGTCTAGCGCCACAACCGCCGTCTCACACCACAAGAACTCGTCCGCCATTTCGCTCGCCGACGTCGCCGAGCTCGCCTCGCAGCAACGCCTGAAACTTCCGGGAGCACACCAGCACGCCGGCGCCAATGACCCCACCGCCAGCTCCGGAGACACCTCAACCGCGGAATCCAGCGCCTTCGCGTCCCCCGCCGCCCCCGGCACCCCGGCCAACGAGAGCGCGGAAGATGGCAGCAGCGGGCAGAACGGCGCGGGCGGCCTGGACGACCGTAGCGGCGGCGCCGCGGCGGGGCAGGACGGCTTCGTGAACCGGCACCTCAGCAGCGCGCAGCAGCAGGGCTCGCCGATGCGCAAGCCGTCGTTCAGCGGCACGAGCAGCGTGGCCATCGCGGGCCACACGGGCCTGCACATCATCCTGCCGCCGACGGCCTCGCACGCGACGTCGGCCGGCACCATCGCGAACGTGCGCCGCTGCATCGTCGACATGAGCCAGCCCACGGCCGAGGCCAGCGGCGGCGCCCCCTTCGCCGGCCTGACGGTCAAGAACGTGCGCGACTCGCTGCTCGTGTGCGGCCGCGTCGCCGGCGCCATCCACGTCACCGCCGTCGAGGGCAGCGTGCTGGTCGTCCGCGCGCGCCAGTTCCGCATGCATGAGTGCAAGAACGTGGACGTGTACCTGCGGTGCGACAGCAGGCCGATCATCGAGGACTGCGCTGGCATCAGGTTCGCGCCGTTGCCGGAGACCTATGTGAGTACCGCTAGCTGAACGCTCCTCCCTCAACCGGTCTTTTCCATGGGTTTTTGATCCGGGGTTCGTCGTGGCCAAATGAAGGCTGACTTCTTCCACATCAGACTCACGAAGACTCCTCCGCGCAGCCCAACTTGTGGGATCAGGTCGACGACTTCAAGTGGCTCAAGGCTGAGCACAGCCCTAACTGGAGTGTCCTTCCCCCCGATACGCGCATTTCGGAACACGTGTGGAAGGACCTGGTGCCCGGCAGCCCGGACATGGGCTTGGAAGAGATATTTCAAGCTGTCAAGATACAACCGAAGCATTGATTGGTGTTTGGGAGGAATAAGATGAAGCTGCGACAGAAAGAGTGATTCTACCAATCTCTTTCCAGGCGTTGGACGGTTGGTAATGACTAGGGTTTGTTCAGGGTAGCGGTAGTATGGTAACATATATCTCATTGGGCAGGTGGAGAAACAAAACAAAGTAAGTATGGTACTGGTTTCCTTGAGCATAAAGGAATCGAAAAACGGAAAAGAAAAAAAGGTACGATTGCGGGCAGAATCGACCAGGTATCATTTATTTTGCTCGCATACCCACTACGATAGCCGCCTTCGCATGGGAGCATTGCGTTCATTATGATCTTCAAGCTTCATTATACGCGCTTTTTAGGATAAGTCAAGTGTGTGGGATACTTTCGGTTTTACACAACGTTTTTGAGCAAGATTTTCTACACGGCCCTCTTCTTCCTGCCACCGCCTTTTCGCCAATTCCATAACGCCTCCTCCGCAAAGGTCTTGGCCGTCAAATGCCCACTCTGCTTGTTGACCTCCTCCGACAGCGTATCTATGACGCGATGCTCCTCGACGCATTCCCATAAGCCCCTCGCTAGCATCGACATGTCCTTCTCGTTCTGCCGCTCCAGCTCGTCCTCGTGCCCTTCTCGTAGAACCTCCGGACCTTCCACCGAGATTGTACCCTCGATGCCGAACTCGCCGCGCCCCAGCCGGAACAGAATCCGCCCCAGCGTCTGGAACGCCATGCACCGCTGAGCAGGTACTTTGCTACGCGCAAGCAGTGCGAGCTCCGGGATCGTGTAACCCGCCGCTTCAGGTGCCTCGCCGTGGTGGTGAAGACCGAGGTTGACAGCCATATCTCGCGCGAGTTTGGGCGGTATAATGGCGCCGTTAAATCCGAAGCGGACATCCTTCGCGTCAAGGCTCCGAAGCGATGGGTGGTATGGTGACTGTCTGTCCGCTTCAGACCCGGGTGTGGGCAGAGGCGCGGCCCACAGGAGCGATTGTGGATCGGCGGCGAGATCGGGAAAGTACTTGTCGTGGAGGTCCTGCAGGAAGTTTGGGTCGTTGGGATCGAGCTCGGGCGGTTTTAGAGGGCGAGGGAAGTGGATTGCTGGTGCTGCTGGGGGTGAGCCTTCGGGAGCTGCTTCAAGCTTTGACATGTCGACTGCTGCGTCGTTCGCTATGTCATCTGCCTTCGTAGAGTCTGTTGATGGCTTGGGCGCTTCGGGCTCTTCAAAGGTTACTTTTTTGGCTACTTTTGGTGATTTTGGTTCAGTAGATGTGCTCGGTGGTATTTCTGTTTGCGGCAGATTAGTCGTGGAGGGAAATGAGCGCTCGTTGCTGCCCTCGTCTATGTTTGCTCTCGCCAGAAGCCTCTGGATAAACGCAGGATTGAGACTCGAGAAAAGCTCTTGCCTCTCAGCCTCAATCTCTTCCGGCGTCATCGCCGCCAGCCTCTTCTTATTATCCTCGTCGATCTGACGACGCTCTATCTCCTCAGCACTAGCATCATCCTTGGGTGTTGCAGGAGCCGGGGGTGGGACATTCTCCTTGACCGATGCTGCTGGCGCAGGCGGTGCGGCAGCGGGGGCGGGGGCGGTGAATTCGCTGTTCTGGCCCGGCTGGCTGGAGGGGCCCTTTGCGGCGTTGCGCTGCTGCTTGAAGGCAGATATGCGCGTGCGCTTCTTATGCGCCGGGAAGCCGGTGGAGGTGCTCTTGGATGAGGGCGCAGCAGGCGGCTTCACTTCTGAGGTGTCGCGTTCTTTGACATCGGCGACGAAGCTGAGGCCAGAAAAAACCGGCCGTGCGTCATCGTGCGCCTGGGCAGCGTCCACGCGGTCGCCGACGATACCGCGCTCAGGGTCGTCGAAGTTGACGTAGAAACGTTCACCTTTGGCCGGTACACTCATGGTAGAGAGGAACGCGGGTGTGCGGAGGGAGACGGCGTGGCGGAGGTTTTGGCGGACGCGGTCGGTGGGAGAAGGTTGACGCACTTGCCGTAGTCGCACCCTGGTTTGATCGCCCGCCAAGCCCTACGGCTAAAGCTCCGCAACTGTGGCTTGACTGTGGCGCCTTCCGAGAACGAGAAAGATGCAGTTGCCGAAAAGCAATGAACCAGCAGCACGCGCACCTCATGGGGCCTGCGATGCCAGTTGGCCGCAAGATGCGGCAGAGATGATGCTGCTCGGACGGGAGCACCGGCTGCTCAGCACCAGGCTCACCACGCGCAGCAACGACACAACGGGCGATGCTGGGGTGCGGAAATGCCATATGTAGCCCGTCTTTGGGTCTGTAGTCGATGAGAGGGTCCTCGCTCTGGCTTTCTGGTCCCCGCGGCTTGTTTAACTAAGTCGTCTCTGAGGTGTCGCACGCTGCGAACGCCGCCCGCAATGAAATGGCCTCTATCGCCCGCGGCCTTCCTTTCCTCTTAACACCCGCCCCGTCCTCCTTCGTCTCTCGACGTCTTCCATCAGCTGCGGCCGCTTCGGATCTGCGTCCATCGCCCATCCCCTGAAACCGAGTTGCGGCGCCCCCGCTGCACCCGAATATCCGAGTTAGGTCGCCCGCCGGCGCCTGGACAGCTCTGTCCCGTCCGATCGTTACGTGCAGTGTTGTCGCGGTGGAGGTTTGCGACCGCGGTCCCTCGCTGTTAGGTGTTCGTGCCGGAAGCCTGTCCGCGGTTGTTGTCTTGCACTGCACAGAATGAGCTCGTCGTCTCCAGACGATCTCTCGACGCCCCCTGGGTCGCCCGACATCGATCCGCCCGGCGCCGCCAACTCCAACGGTCACGGCTCCACGATCCACGTTCTTGGTGGTGCAGCACCACCGCCCGGCAACGCGCCCACGTCCGCCGCTAAATTTAACAACACCACAACCACCTCTGCACCAGCCACCGCGGCACCCAAGAAGCCGCGCAAAAAGCGAGAGTCTGCCGCTGCCGCCAACGCAAATGCCAATGGCGATGAAAAACCCAAGCGGGCTCCGCGCACCCGCGCACCCAAGGATCCCAATGCGCCGCCGCAGCGAAAGAAACGCAAGACTGCAGCGGAGACGGCTGCAGCCGCTGCGGCTGCTGCGCCGCCTCCGGCTCATGTGCCTGAAGATAAACCCGCGCCGCCTCCGCACCAGCACCAGCCCTCAGCGTCGCGGCAGCCCAAGATCACTGATCTGGTTGGCACAATTCCTGCCGCACCATCTCCGCACATAGTCCCCAGCAACCCTGAGCCCATTCCCAACCCTGCCGTGGCTCATGTTGTTGCTGCAACTCCGCCCAACCCGCGCCCGGCGTCGAGCGGCCAGCTGTATGACCCAATTCGTTCGTCCACTGTTCCTGTGACCCAGAACCATCATTCAAGCAGTCTCCCTCCTGTCTCGCCGCCTGCACGCGTTGTCAATCGTGCCAGCGCTTCGCCCTCTATCAACAGTCTCATCGACCCGCCTTCTGTAACAAACCAGACACACCTCGCACAACAAAATCGATTCCAGCCACCCATGTCTGTTACTTCTGCACCTGCGTCGCCCGCGCTCATCCAAGCGAAGCCAAACCCGTTCGGTCCTTCGAGTGAAACGGCTCAAGTCCACAAGCCTCCTCCGATGCACACGACACCCATGGAGGGCATCGAACAGCCGCAGCCGCTACCGTCGCCTGCGCGCCACCACCAGCCGCAGCCACCGCAGCACCTTCAAGCTCAATTGCAACCGCAACAACAGCCGCAGCCGCAGCCACAAGCCCAGCAAACCCTGCAACCCGCGCCGACTTCCAAGAAGGCAGAATCCGCCGGGTCGTCAGGCGCACCGACCCCGCCCGCACCGCAGAAGTCCACCAAACCCAAAGAAGCCGCACCTCCTCCACTTCCGGGTGGCGGCGGTCTGCTTTCTAGCGTGCCGTTCGTTGGTTCTGCGTCTGGCAAAGACTCATCCGCCGAGGGCACCAACATCTGGCTTACCTTCCCACTCAAGGGCCAGACCAACGTTACCATCAACTTTGCACGCGAAGTCGAGAAGAAGTATGGCTTTGCCGCCCTTCACCCGCGTGTTGCCGCTGCGAGGGAGAGGAGACGCCAGATGGCCGCTGCCGCTGCCGCTCTGGAGAGAGGGTCCGGTGCTGCTTCTGCTGACGATATGTCTGTTGACTTGTCGGAACCTGAGAGTAATGTGGAGATGGGCGGCATGGAAGAGGAGCTCACTCAAGAAGGAAAGAAGAGACAACGGAAGAAGAAGGTCGAGGACTACGACAAAGATGACGACTTCATCGACGACACCGAGCTAGCGTGGGAGCAATCTGCTCTCATGGCCAAGGACGGTTTTTTCGTGTACAGTGGCCCTCTCATCACCGAGGGGGAGAAGCCCTCTATCGAGAAGTACGTTCTACAATCTTTCTTGGATAGTTGCATTCACTAATCTTGTCTAGGAACGATGGCAGTAATGCACGTGGCCGTGGCAGAGGCCGTGGTAGGGGCGGTGCTACTCGTGGTGATACTACGGCTTCTAGGGGTCGTGGAGGAGGCCGTGGATCTCGCGGAGGCGTAACGACGCGCAAACCTCGTGTCACCAAAGCCGATCGCGCTATGATGGAGGCAGAAAAGATGGAGCGCGAGAAGATGGCCGCTACTCTAGCCGCGAAGCCCGTTGCACCCTATCCTGGAACCGTTTCCTAACTCTCATTGTACTCTAGTGCATTGGTGATCTAGGTCTTACAAGCGGGCACTGGACACATTACTTTGCGGTCATGATTACCGAAAATCCCCAGTTATTCGCTGTGTCCTTTTTAAAAAGAGGAGGCATTTTCTGTTTGCTAGGTTGCAATGTCAAGGAGTTGCTGGCAGGGGATGGAGGTAATGGGGCGTTTGTTGATACTGGCTTGGGGTCATGAGATTCGGCTTAGTGGCTTTCTGTTAGTCTTGCTACAACTTTTTTTCTGAAGCATTTCGGGATTGCGCCAGGGGTTCTGTGGGACCAAAGATCTTTTTATCAAGGAGGCGCTGGAGTAACGTGTACCATAGATTAGTACCGGTATGCGATAGAAGATTCATGAATAATTAGCTGAACTAGTAGGTTCTGATGATGGGTCAATTGCCCTGCTTCCCGTAACATTCTTTCAACACGGAAGTAATAGAATTGCCCCCAATGTGCGAGACTTTTGTAGAGAAATACGCCAATCGAGCCAGGGGCAGCCCTTTTTCTTTTTTCTTTTCTTTTTTTTTTGGACAAATGTCCTCATGCAAGACGGGACTTGTTGAGACGATCTTAAATGATACAGTCTCTGTCCTCATGCGAAGTGTTCCATGCGTATCTCTCATTGGCACAGTAGTGTACAACATCGTAACGCGTTAAGTCCGCACTGGACCTGCTGTCAAACTCTTTATTTCAACCTCAGGAAACCCTTCCACCTAGTGGTAAAGCGCTCGAACCAGCTTCGGTCCGGAGCCCGAGAAAGTTCGACCATGAGATCATCGTAGTACGAAGGGTTGCTGCGCGGCTTCAACAGTGCCGGCGAGACCGGGTATTTGTTCGCATAGCGGTTTTCGAGCAGCGAGTAGAGCGCATTGACGTCCTTCAACTCTTGGGCAGCGGGCGCGGCGGAGGCTGCGGCAGCCCGCGTCTTCAGAGCCTCTTGAAACTGTACAGTGGGTCGCAGCACGTCTTTGGGCCAGGCGCCAGCGATGCGCGCGTAGTGTTTCGCGATTGTCTATGGCGAAAAGACGGTGGGTCAGCAGAAACTTCGGGGCCGGGAAGAAAAAGGAGCGCACGCACCGATGCCATGCTGGGGGCCCTGGGCGATTGACAGGCGGCGACAGGAGGGGTGGGGTGCGCAAAAGGGTGGAATGCGCGGGTGCGGGCGATCAAATATCGCGAGAATGGATGGCAGATGGATGACCGCATTACCCCATCCGCTTTGGGCCTAAGGCTGTGGCGGTGCCGCCGTGCGCAGCAACAGTCAAGCGCCCGGCCCGAGACGTGACAACCACATCGTCGTCTCATCGACCAGCCTTACTCCGCCGTACCTGAACCACCCCCAGCTGGTCGTTGCCGCCGCCACAAGGTCCCCTTTTCTTACTCCGCCGACCGTTTCCTGCTTCGACCTGCGCTGTCTCCGTCGCTCCCTCTGCCTCTGTTTGTGCATACAGCTCCTTAACGCGACCGTCGGCCGCCCGCAGCTGCCGCCATGCCTTCGCAGCGCTACGAGCGGGTAAGATCTCCGCCCACGCCACGGAGCCGCCCCTCTCCATGCGCACTACCTATCGCAACCTCCGCTCACACTGAACCCTCGCTCGCAGGTGTCCGCGAACGACGACGACGACCATGTGTCGTCGGCCAACAGCGGCGATGCCGCCCCCGGCCCGCAATACCCGATTCCCTCTTCGCCACCCCCGTCGTTCAGATCGCGTGCCTCGTCGCCCACGCAGCAGCGACTGCTCAGCGAACACGACCCGCTCGCATCTGACGCCGACCGCGAGCTCGAGGACACCTTCGCCAGCCCTTCCGACGATGAATCCGACGACGAGCACGGCGACGGCATGGATGACCGCCAGCGGTTAATGCGCGGCCAGCCCGAGTCAAGTAGGAGCGACGACGGTTATGAGGGATCGAGCCAGGAAGATAGTAGGCCACGTCCCATCGTGCGACGAGTCACGCAGCTGCCGGCTTTTGTGCCCGGCGGCCGCGTTGTCGGGGGTGGGTCAGGCAACGACGGTGTTTTTGCGAACCTGAGCGCGAAGCCTAGTCCAGCAGACGATGTGGAGGAGAAGCCTCCGGTACGTTCTGTCCCTATTGCGTGCAGCCGGCCAGTGCGGCATGGGCCGCTGCTGCCGTACGACGTTTTGTTTGCTGACGACGATCTGCAGTCCTATGAACAAGCAGCAGCAGATGCTACTCCACCCTACTGGGAAACAACAATTCTCGCACCTGGCCTTCACTCCGACGAGGTCTTCGTTGATGGCCTTCCTGTCGGCTCCGTATTTTCCTTTGTTTGGAACGCTATCATTTCCATGGCCTTTCAGCTGGTCGGTTTCTTGCTTACTTATCTTCTTCACACCACGCACGCGGCCAAGAACGGCGCACGCGCCGGCCTTGGCATCACTCTCGTTCAGTACGGTTTTACGATGAAGGGTGCCAGTAATAGCGAAATGGTTGGCACGCCAGACACGGGAGCTGGGTTCGGCAACGCACCAAAGGATCCCAACAACGTCGACTTTGACCCTAACGATGTGACGGGCGACGGCTCTGGAAGCGGGAGCGGGCAGATCACCACCAGCGAATGGCTGTCTTACATTCTTATGATTGTTGGCTGGTTCATCCTCATCCGGGCTGTTTCGGACTTCCTGCGCGCAAGACGGCATGAGCAGCTGGTGCTGCAGAGCTCCAACCGCGGACTGACGGTGCCAGTCATCGCGGAGGGCGAGCACCCATCTCAATCAGTCTAAACGAGAAAAAACCGAGAGGTAGGATGCATGGGCCTACTGGCACCCCGGCCGCCGACAGCGCGAGCAACTTTTGCAGGAGTTTTTACGGGCATAGGGAGTAATTGGGAATGCTGGCGCGAACCTCAGGGAGGAAGGGACACTTTGGACAGCATTCATTGACAGCGGCTACTTTACTTCTTGTTTTTCTTTGTGTGGGTAGTGAATGATATCCTCTCTGGTGCGCGGATTCGCAAGTGACTTTCCGCGTTGGACGCCTCCCCGCAAGGCCGCCGAGCTCGTGGAGCAACGCTCGGCTGCGGACCCTTGATTCGACCACGAGCAGCCCCGCGTCCTGCACGCCGCGCCTGACGGCGAAGGTCGTTCCACGAGGCTGTTTGATACCCTCTTTTACCCTGGCGACAATCCTGCCGCTCCGCCGTGGGCCAGAACGCGCACTTAAAACTCGAAGCCGCTACCGTCCCGTCGTTTGCGGCGACAGGAGGCGCCGTCGCGCTGATCAGACCGCAGCTCCGCCCACAGCCCAACTTTCCGCCTCGGAACGCGCGCCGCCCGTGGCCAGCCTTACAACACCAAAACACCTCTTCGCTTGCACCCCTCACAGCGAACCGGACGTTCCAGATCCAGTGCTTAAAGGACCAGCCGAGCCCCACTATACGCTCCCCAACCGTCCCGGACTCCCTTCCCACCTCTTCTCCCGCGCCCCGCCCGGACCTTCGTGATCCTCGCAAGCCAATCAATCTCACCATGTCGGCACCTCCGAACGGCGCGCAACCGCAGATACAGCCTTGCCGGTACAAGACTGGCAAGACCCTGGGTGCGGGCAGTTACTCAGTAGTCAAGGAGTGTGTCCATATCGACACCGGACGATACTATGCGGCCAAGGTGATCAACAAGCGCCTCATGGCGGGGAGGGAACACATGGTGCGTGGCCGCGCTCTTGTCTCCAGCCTCGCGGAGGGAGCTGACCGATGCGCCAGGTTCGCAACGAGATTGCCGTGCTCAAGAGGGTCTCAATGGGTCATCAGAACATCCTTACACTGGTAGACTACTTCGAGACTATGAACAACTGTACCGTCACCCCACACCTGTCACGGTCTGCATAGGCGCGCGCTAACAATGGATACAATAATGCGCCAGTGTACCTTGTCACCGACCTTGCGCTTGGCGGAGAGCTCTTCGACCGCATCTGCCGCAAGGGCAGCTACTACGAGTCGGATGCCGCAGACCTCATCCGCGCCACGCTTTCGGCCGTCGCATACCTGCACGACCATGGCATCGTCCACCGCGACCTGAAGCCCGAGAACCTGCTCTTCCGCACGCCCGAGGACAATGCGGATCTTCTGATTGCCGATTTCGGATTGAGTAGGATCATGGATGAGGAGCAGTTCCACGTGCTGACGACCACCTGCGGCACGCCTGGCTACATGGCGCCCGAGATTTTCAAGAAGACGGGCCACGGCAAGCCAGTGTAAGTCACGCGGCTCGTCAGATGTTAGAGAGAAAGAAAAAAAAAAAAGGCAGATCAGGCTGACAAAAAGTCCGCACGCAGCGACATCTGGGCCATCGGCGTCATCACCTACTTCCTCCTCTGCGGCTACACGCCGTTCGACCGCGACTCGAACCTCGAGGAGATGCAGGCGATCCTGGTGGCGGACTACTCGTTCACGCCGCTCGAGTACTGGCGCGGGGTGTCGCAGACGGCGCGCGAGTTCATCAAGCGCTGCCTGACCATCGACCCGACGAAGCGCATGACGTCGCACGAGGCGCTGTCGCACCCGTGGATCGCGGACCCGACGACCAACACGTCGCAGCCGGGCGGCGGCAAGGAGGACCTGCTGCCGACGGTCAAGAAGAACTTCAACGCCCGCCGCACGCTGCACGCCGCCATCGACACCATCCGCGCCATCAACCAGCTGCGCGCCGGCGGCGGCGCCGCGGCCGTCATGGACGGCGCCCGCAGCAACGAGCCCGCCCGCGACCGCGGTCCCGGCCCCGCCGCCAACATCCCGCGCCCGGTCGAGGGCGAGGAGGAGGCCATGGACATCGACGGCCGCGCCGACAGCCGCGGCCAGACGGAGGAGATGATCAGGATGCAGGAACAACACATCAGGATGACGCAGGAGGGCATGTGGGCGGCGCAGCGGTGAGTGGGGATTAATGCCTCCTTTCTTTCTTTTTCTTTTTTGGTCGCACTTGAAGAAAATGTGTGTTTGGATGTTTCGTGGCTGCAATTTTATTCCCTTGTCATATGTTTGTTGCCATCGAAAGTACCCCCCGGTCCTTCCTCAATCCACTGACCAAATTGTTCTCTTTCATCCTCTTATATGATGAATGCATCTCAATATTACATACCATCATCTTCCCTCTTTGCCGGGAGAAGAAAAGACCAGTTACTTTGTGTTTCGCAGTGACCGCCCCGAAGAGAGCAGCAGGCAGCAGAGCCGCCAGCAGCAGCAGCAGCAAGAAGATGACGACGACGATGACGACGACGATGACGATGACGACGATTACGAGTTCGTCGGTCCGCTGTATGCCGATGGCTTGCATGATTCACCCATCAACGCCGGCCCGAACATTCGGGGCGAGTTCATCGACGAGTATCTCATGGAGGATGAGGGACCTTGTCGCTGTGATCTTTGCCTTTCTTGCGTTTTGCCATGATGACGGCGGCGGTGGCATGGTAGCCGCGATGTTCACGACGGTTTGTTTCCGCAAACCTGGTATCATGATGCCGTTTTAGGAAATGCAGTTACGGCAGTTGTAGAGGTTCTAATGACGGGGGTAGCTGTTGGGATGAGGTGAAGGGGGATTGTTGATGTGGCGGGCTGGCTTATTGCGCTGTTGTAGATGCATGAGGTCTGCTATTGACAGCGTAGATGGCGAGGTTGTATGAGACTGTTTCAGCAGCACCATTCACTTTGGCGCTTCCTTTCGTCTATTCCACTGCATTGACTAATCCGACTCATCACCCGACTCGCTCCACTGGTATAGAAAAAAAAGCATCTGGCCCCGCCCCCTCTCATCCACGCAAACAATGCATGCGTTCGCTAGCTAGCCACACCATCAACCCTTCGACTCCTCTACTGGTCGCTCCTCAAACGAGTTTTGATTCCTCGCAAAAGCAAAAACAGCAGCGCTCGTCCTCACCTACTTTTTTTCCTCCTCCCTTCCCCTCTTTCCAACCGCACTTTGATACCAACTCCACTTTTCCCTCCCTCTTCGCCTTGCAGTGTTCCGGCTTTGTGTGTGTACGTTTATGTCTCTTCGTCTTTTACATCTTCGCCTTAATCTCCTCGAACAGCTTCTGCAGCTCCTCCTTCGGTGGGCTGGTGTTGGGCCAGCCGACGCCGAGGCCCTCGGTCTCGTTGGGCTTAGGGATCATGTGGAAGTGGACCTGTCCCGAAAAGAAAGAAAGAAAAAAAAAGTCAGCGAATTCGGAGGGGTCTTTTCTCTTTTTTCTTTTTGTTTAAAAAAAAAACGTACGTGATCGACGAGCTGGTGCGCGATGCGGCCGTTGTTCTGCAGGATGTTGTAGTCCTCGCAGCCGACGGCGCGGGCGATGCGGGCGGCGACGGGCAGGATCTCGTGCAGCTGGTCGTCGGGGATGTCGTGCAGCTTGGCGCCGTGGTGCTTGGGGATGATGAGCTAGGCGAGGGGGAGAAGCATTGTTAGCGTTCCGTGTTTCCGGGCCCGGTTGCTTCATGTCGGTCCTGAGAGGTGGGCAGGGGGTGGGGGTGGGAGACGTACAGAGTGGCCGCGCGACAGAGGTCCGATGTCCAGGAAGGCGAAGGTCTTGTCGCTCTCGAAAAGCTTCATCGAGGGGATTTCGCCTGTGGATAGAGCATAGGTGAGCATGGAGTCAGGTGTCGTGCATCTGGTCTTAATACTTGTGCTGGCGCTTCAATGCGGTAGGGGCACGGCGGGGAAGCAGAGGGGAAAGCTATAGCTATGTCGTTGCAGTAGCAGGTGAGATTGACGTACCCTTGATGATTTTGCAGAAGATGCAGGTGGCGGCCATTGTTGCGGTGTTGCTGGGGCGTTGCGGGAGCTTGAGGTGAGAGCTGCACAGGTTGTTGGAGGGGAGAGGATGTGATGTCGGATGTTGATGGAATGGAGGTGGGGTAGCAACGTGCAGGGATCACAACACTTCGGAGATGGGGAATCGTCTTGATTTCTCACGATAAGATCTCGCTCGGTCGCGCTTTTCTCGGCGCGAGATTTCCTCTTGCGGCCGACGCGGAAATGCATGTCTACAGCCCTTGCCCGCTCGCCGGTCGCACTCGCTTTCCTACTCGCAGCCCGCGTTCCACTGCCAGACGTTGCGGGCTTCGTAATTGGCGTAGCAGCGGAATTCGTTGCTGAGGCACTTTGCATGCTGGATCTCGAAGTCGGTGGTCCGAACGCCGGCGATGCCGTACAGCTTGCCGATCATGCTCTCCATGCGCTCGCCCGTGCAGATGATCAGGCGTTGTGCAGATGGATCCACGGCCGACTTGGCGAGCCAGCGGACGGTGAGGGCGGCTGCGCCGGTTCCTGTAAGCACATAGTTCGATGGTTGGAGGAAAGACAATTTTGCATTTACCCTTTGTCTGACAATCGACGCTGAGGAAGGGCGGGTCGCAGATGATGCGGTCGAATTGGCCCTTGAGATGCGCTGTTCCACAGCCGTAGGTCAGCGCTTGACCCACCTCCTGCTTGGTGGAGAGATGCATACGTGGAAGGCGGGTGGGGAAAGCGAAGTCGTAGGGCACCCATTCTTTAAATACGCCGAAGCGCTCGTCGAACTCGAGCAATATGACCTCAGGCCGGGTCTTGTCGTCGGCAGATCGCTTTATGTTGGGCGATTAGCGAACATGATTCCTTCATGGGCTGGGGGCTGTGCGGGCGTACGAGAAGGTTTTTGAGCTGAATGAAGACGCTGGGAGCCGAGACGACGGCTATCTTGGTGTCGGCGGTAGCCCCGTCGAGCAGTTGCTTGGCCAGGGTAGTAGCTGTCTCGTCGTTGTACTAGCAGCCCATATTAATACGGGCATTCGGTCCAGAGGTGGACATGGTCCGACATGCCCAGAACTGACTGGCATTCCAGTCTTCGGTGAATGCTTCCATGGACAGAGGCTGCTCGGTCTTGGAGAAGTCCTCCTCGGCGGCAACCTTCAGGTCCTCGAACTGCTTGGTGTGGGCGTCACGTTCGCCGAGGAATTCCTGCAGCGCACTGAGCGCGCCGGCGGAGAGCTGGCTGTCGGGCCCATGTCAGCGCACAATGTGTTTGACCGAGTAGATTCACGACGTACGGGACGTCATCGTAGTCGTGGAGGGAACCCATGGCGACTCGGTGGATTCGCGGACTTTTTTTCAAGTTCGGGTTCAACTTTGACACCTTGGTGGTGCGCGCAGAAAGATCCTTTCCCGGTAAGGCGGCGCTGACGCTTATCCGTCGATTAGGTACCTGCCTATCTAGCCGAGGCCCGCGCCCACCTCCTCCGCCTTCATCGCCGCAGCCTCCACCATGACTCCAAATGCGGGGGGCTGCGCCGAAACTATACTCCACCATCATGGCTGCCACCCTCACTGCACTCTCGGAGTTTGAGCGCCTCAGCCCGGCCGTCATCCGCATCCTCGGCGGGAACCCTGGCAAAGTACGCGATAACCCTTCTGTTTGCGTGCATCTTGTGAGCTGACTGCCGCCTAGTTCACGTTGCAAGGTAACCTGGAGCGAATGCAAGCCCAGCCTGAGCCGTGCAGCGGCTGATCAGTTGCAGGCACAAACACTTATCTTGTGGGCAAAGGCCCCAAGCGCCTTCTGATTGACACTGGCCAGGGTATGCCCGCCTGGCTAGCCTCGCTCAAGAAAGTCCTCAAGGAAGAAAACGCTTCCGTCGAGCATGCAATCCTCACCCATTGGCACCCGGACCACGTCAAAGGCGTTCCCGACCTGTTGTCCTTCTCGCCCGCCACCAAGGTTTACAAGAACCAGCCGGATGAGGGAACCCAGCTCGATATTGCTGACGGCCAGCGCTTCGAGACCGACGGCGCCACCTTGCGGGCATTTCACTGCCCCGGTCACACGACAGACCACATGGCCTTCATCTTGGAAGAAGAGGACGCCATGTTCACTGGCGACAACGTGCTCGGCTCCGGCACCGCCGTCTTCGAGGACCTGGCCACCTACATGAACAGCCTTGGCCGCATGGCGCAGCAATTCGCCGGCCGCGCTTACCCAGGCCACGGTCCTGTGATTGAAGACGGCAAGGCCAAGGTGCAGCAGTACATCAAGCACCGGCAGGAGAGGGAGGCGCAGGTCCTCGAGGTTTTAGCCAGGTCGAACGGGCATCTGTCGAGCTGGAAATCCATGCAGATTGTCAAGGACATCTACAAAGACGTCCCGGAGACGCTGCACGAGGCTGCACAGAGGGGAGTGTTGCAGGTGCTCGGTAAATTGACGACTGAGGGAAGAGTTGCTCATGACCCTTCGTTGGAGACGTGGAGCTTGGCTGGTAAGTCTGCTCTATAGGAACCCGTACGACTCTACCCAATCATAGTATATTGCATAGTATGCGCTGGCTATCAAGTCAGGTTCTCGGGAATTGACACTTTGTATACCAAGCGAACCTCGTCAAATATAACATAACCACATGACATGATAAAGCTACAGAAGTCCAGAAGCAGGTTTTAGATGAACTATTGAAACATAACAGTATCTGACGTGGACTCTGTGAAATCAGTCATGAGGAAACTGTCCTGATTTTCGATGAGAAACGCGAGGACAATATCATTGGCAAGACCATCTGAGTTTTTCGTCCCTATGATCATGCCGCTGAACACTTTTGCCAACCGGGCAGTCGTCATTTTGTTGAGTTCCGACTTCCCTGCAAAGACGGCAAATAAGTCTAACAGGTAAAGCAGTAGCTGCATGTTGAGAGGAGGCATGTCAAGAACAAGCTTTCTGTAGTAAGGAATCCAGTAACTCATGTTCTGATAGATGGTCTCACTATGTTCCAAGGGTAAGTCAAGAGATGCCTCTTTGAGAGGCAGCATGGCTGTGTCGTAGAACTCCGCGGGTATGAGGGATTCCGGTAGAGATTCGAGATAGCGAATCATGACGGTTGCTATGTCAAACGCAGTGTATCCATTCCAATCAAAGCCTTTGCCGAATCTAGGAGGGCAGTCGAAGGCAGTGCATAGTTCTGAAACCCGGGCTTCAGTTCCACTTCTGGCAAAGATTTCCTCCGCGTCGGTGCCTGGAGGAACGATTAGCAAAAGAGCTTTGGCTGCAGGACGTGGAGACAAGAATACATTTTTCCTTTAGGAAGGATCCACATTTGCCTATGACAATTGGTATATATCCAAATATGGACTTTTCACCTTTTTCATTGGCAAGAGATATTGCAATGTTCGCATATCTGATGCTGTCCTGTAGCTTGACACCGAAAATTGCTGTGATTCAAAGTCAGTGAGCCGCAATTTATTTGGACACGTCACACGTCTGACGTCAAGCTTGGTGGACACTATACCCTGGTTCTCTGTGGCCTCTGTACGTGGAAATGGCCCTTGCTCGTGCGGAGAACCTAAATCCTCTACGAATAGCTTCGGACGACGGAGCAGTTTCGCGAAACGCCTTGACAGCTTTGGCGTTGATCTCTCGTTGCGTTTTGATCTAAAGAGGCCTGAGATGGAGAAAGAAGGCTTGTAGGTTTCGGAAATTTCGTTTCGTGCCTCTTTAGGTGCTCTAAAGCCTGCATTCGGCGTTTCAATCTTGTTATTCGAGGATGAATCCGACATCTGATCAGGATCCACAGACTCCGGTGGCTCTGACGTTGAATTCGCCTTCGGTTCTTCCCGAGTTGGACTCATGGAGCTGCTGTCTTGGACTGGCCGGTTGCCTGCGAAAGCACTCCAGTCAAGTATACTGCTCAAACTCTCGTCCGGAAAATTCAACGTCGCTAATGTGGGGGGTTGTACAGCAAGCGTGGAGTTTTGCACTGGATGTCTCTCAAGAGGGTGCGGAATCGCAGCTATTGTCACTGACTTGTCCGGATCATCGTATGAGCCATCGTGCGAGTTGGAGACCCGGCCTTGGTACTTTAAATCTGGAGGTGCCGGTGAAGCTTCTTCCGCGGTTGGAATATTGTCCTTAGGAACTAGCACCGAGGTCCCTCCAGGAGGCTTCGGGATAGAAGACATGGTCACTGACGTATCTGGATCCTCACACAAGCTGTCGTGTGAGTCAGAAACCTCATCTTCAAGACAGCAGATCCCACAGAAGTGCACTGCGGAATCATTCCTCAGAGGTGTCGAGAGAGTCATGAATGCTTCGGAAGCTGTTGGCCGAGCAGAGCGGTCTTCCTTTAGCATGTTTCCCGTAAGCTCCAGCAGCATGTCGTCCGATGATGTTTCAGAGCCCTTCAAGCTTTTGAGGAGTTCCTCAGCGGCTTCAACGTTTTTGCATATGTAGGCCTCTTTGGACCCATGTTCCAGGAAGTGCTCCCTCAGAAAGGAAGTCTTCTTTCCTTTGATCACAACGATCATCTCGAGAAAGACACAGCCCAAGGACCAAATATCTGACGAGGTGTTCCGACGATCTCCAGTGAGAACTTCCGGTGCCGCGTAGCGTGGGGTCATGCTTGTAGCGCCTGAAGTTGTGCTCCCAAGATCCCCAGAGTAATCCTTTGAAAGCCCGAAATCGGTGAAAAGAACGTTGCTGCCGTCTACGAGTACATTTTGCGGCTTGATGTCTCTATGGCGGATCGAGCTGTCGTGTAGGTACTGCAGTGCTGAAGCCATGCACCCAAAGAAGCTGCGCAGCGTGATCAGACTGCTCCTGCGTGAGTGCTCTGGATATGTCGAGATTGTTTCGAGATACTCTGCGAGGTTCATGTCTGCGACAGGAGCCATTATAAGGCCGAGGTAGGATGGATCCGTGAAGCTTCCGACATATTCCGCCATATGTCTGTGTTTCAAGGACTTCAGCAGCTTCAGTTCCGTGGTGAATTGGCGAACGGCTTCTTTGGAGGCATTTCCGAAGGCGCGGCGGCGGCGAATCCGCTTTAATGCATACTCCTTGAAACTGATCGTGCTCCTGATCCGGTGCACTTGACTATAGCCTCCGGAGCCCAGCACACCGGCAATCTTGAATGGCTGCGGTTCTCCTTTGGCAAAATGCCAGTGCTTTCCATTTTCCCCCTTTTCAAGATCAACCGATTTGGTGAGAATGATCTGCTGAGCCTTTACGATGGCGTTGCGCACCGATGGCTGCAGACGAGGCGGTAGAGCTGAAGCCTCGACCGGAAACCAGTGATCGGTAAAGCCGAGCTGGAGTAGATCGTTCAGGAGGTCAAGGTGGCCTATTGTTCGGAGGACGATGTATGCTCGGGGGGCTCTGCTCCATGACTTATCGTGGTCCTCGAGGAGAGATGCTATCGTCTCGATGTCGGTATCGGTGAACCTCCGCGTCCGGGTGGAGGCTTCAGCTGCGGGGGTGGGGAAGTAAGCAGCGAGGAGCTCGCTCGACTTTTCTGCAACGCTCATGATATTTGGATGTGCGCAATGATAGCAGGACCAGAGCGATAGTTGCCTTTCCAGGCAGCGTATGGGTGTTGCAAAACGGTCACACTTGACAGTAGAGGTTTGTGTGTTCCCGTTCAGCCTTGCGGCAGCTTATTAATAGTACGGCACTCGTGCACTTTACCCGTTACGGGGACCCGAATAATCTTCTAGTGGGGGCCAGCCTATCTTCAGGTGAGGCCGGAATGTGATTCACAGATATGACATGGAGTCTTGTAGGGTCATTTAGGCATGGGTAAACACTATTCCCAAGCATTCTGTTCATTCCTGACCTCTCCGTTCACTACTCCAGCAACGTAGAACTCTCCTAAAAATACATACCCATCTGAGGATCTTCCCTTCCGCCATCATCTGCATCGCATAGTACCGAAAATCTCGGCAACAGGGAGGTCATAAATTATAATCCGGCGCGACTCCCGACTCCTTCCCCGGCAAGCTCGACAACGCATCCATATGAACACGGCCAACATCCTCAAGCTAGGAAATCTCCAGAACTTACCATTCGATTCGACTCTATCGGTCCACTTACTTACTTGACCTCGCCCCAGGCGAGGCGGGGAATGCACCCCTTATACAACCAAACCCATCTCCCTACCGCCTCAACCCCACCACACTCCGCTGCTCCCTCAACCTCTGCCCCAACCCATCCAACCTCCTCCGCAGCTCTTCCCTCCTCCCCTCCTCCTCCTTCTTCCTCCCCTCCACCTCATCCCCACCCCCATCCCCACCCTCAACCGCCGTCCCCAACACCGACGACGACAGACTCTTCACCCTCCGCACCCACCCGACATCCAGCCTCCTCCCCGCCACGGCCCTCTCGTCGCACTCATCCCACCACGCGACCAGCCGCGGCCACGCGCTCGCCGCCAGCCACGCCTTCATCCGCTCGCGCTCCACCTCCATCCCGCCCACGCCGGGCGTCGCCCGCGCCCAGGCCGCCGTCTTCTTCACGATCTCCTTGACGAGCCTGTCGTCGTGGCTGTCGTTACCGTCGTCACAATCGTCGCCAGTCATGCTACTACTACTACGCCCAGCCATTAACGCGGTGACCGCGTCGGCCAGCTCGGCCGCGCTCGGCGGCGGCGACGACGTTGTCGTCGCGTTGGCGGGGTCCAGCCGGGCCTCGATGCGGCGGCGCAGCGGGGTCGCGACGGCGGGGATGACGCGCAGGGCGCGGGCGGCGGCGTAGAGGTGGATGGCTTGGCGCCAGGTGGATGTGGGGGGCAGCGGTGGTGGTGGAGACGTGTCGGGGTGGTGGTGGTGGCGGCGGCAGCATTGTTTGAGGTGTTGGATCAGGAGTTCGAGGGCGGCGGGGGTGCAGGAGGAGGGGGGGAGGGTGATTGTGCGGGGAGGGGAGGGGAGGCGGGAGGAGGGCGTGGTGGGGGCGGCGTCGGCGACGGTCAGCTGGGTGGCGGCGAGGTGGGAGAAGGCGAAGAGCAGGCGGCGGGGGAGCGAGGGGATGGTGTAGGTTGTGTTGATGGAGGGCAGGGGGAGGGCGAGGGTGATGGTGGGGCCGGTGAGGAGGGATTGGCGGGCGGAGTGGGGGAGTTGGAGCGGGTTGGCGGTTACCATGGTTTGTACGTGTATATGGCGAGTCTATGTAAGACTGTGAGTTATCAATTTCACGAAGTGTTTGTTGGAAGATGAGATGGGTCGGCTTGGAGCTGGAGTCTTGTAACATATTTGACTGAGATGTGCCGTGCATTGTTATCACTGTTTAGAGAAAGGGCCTTTCAACTTGTTCTCGTTGCCTGGTGGCTTATTTTTGGACAAAGGGACATGATTGAAAGATGTTGCATTCCGGGGGGTCATTTGGGACAAAGAACGTTCGGTCTGGGCATCCATTGAGGTGTCTGAGAGAAAAGGGTTACTGATGGAGGTGTGTATGCATAGATAGCCTCGTCTACACCTTTGGGTTGCAAAGAGATGGGCGCATGGAGGATGCTTGTGCGCTGAGGCCTGAAACGGCCTTTGATTGCTGCCAAGCTGCATATATTACACTTGTAAGCTCAGTGACGGAGAGTGTTCATTAGGCATTACTATTTGCTTGACGTGTGCACACATCGACTTTTGTTCGAATGTTGATGAAGAGCAGTCTCCACCTTTCGATCTGTTGCAGTGTGGATTGACGTGCGAATGATGATGACAAGTGTGGCTGAAGGTGGGAAGACAGCATCGAAAGAGAAACGTACGTAGACGTACGAGCCTCGGCAAAAGGAGATTTTATTTTTATTTTATGAAATCGTAAGGAGAAGTTTTGCATGTGGCTTGGCGGTAGCGGCAGTGAAGAAGGTGTGGATCTGTGGCGTCAGCAATTCAGGTGCAATCTCCGGGCCTTGAGACTTTTCGAGACGACGGTCAAGATAACGTACCTACATACGACTTGGGCGGCGCTAGGGTTCAATGTTCATGCACACGGGTCTGAGTAAGCTGTGGCATGTGGGGCGAGGGATGGGCAGGGATGGGCAGGGATTAGCAGTGGGCGACAAGATGGCCAAGAGCGGGACGGCGCGCAGGCCTGGCGGGAGGGCATGCAGAGGTGCCGAAGCCGTGAATGCAGATGGGCATTGGTGGCGATGCATGGGCGGCAGATGCCGGCGGCCGAGTGTCTTCGGTTCGGGAGGCTCTGGCCATCCGGGGAATTAAGCGTACGTGGCCAGGCCCCAAGCTCGGGGAGCGGGCAGATATTATGGCGGAGGCATTTCTAATCGTCCATGCTGCAGTTTTCTGCTCCGAGTTTTCCTCTGGTCTCACGGTGGGCGGACGAGAGGGTTATCTCCGCGCGAGAGGACCACGATACGGGAAGGAAGGAAGGGCGCCAACGCGACTAGCGGGTGCGCCGTGAGCAATGCTTGTCTGTCTGTCCGACCCAGAAGACCCAGAAGCCGGCCCCATGACAGCTGGCCAGCATGGAGTCCAGCATGGTGTCCAGCATGGTGCATACCGACGCGTGAATGTGACCGGCTGCGTGCATCGGCGATCCCGACGCGGGGCGTCTTTCGTTGATGGGCCGGATGCGGCGTGCAACAGCTGGGCTTCTGCTTCATGTCGACTCACCGGAGTCACCGCTGGGCGCGACGGAAAGCGGCACTGACTCACCCCACTGGCTGCACAAGTGCGAGCTGCCCTATGCGCGCGGGACGGGCGGTGCTGGGCGCGGTGTTGTTGGGTGGCGGCAGAAAGGGAAAAAGTTGCGGTTACGTGCGTTTCAAAACGAAGCGGCGCCCAGAGCGGAGCCAGGCACCTCGGCCGAACTCGCCAAGCCTGTGCATAAGTCGGTTCTAGAAGCGCGGCGGAAGGTGGCTTGTCCGCATCTAGAGCCGCACAAAGCTTGTCTGCCCGTCCGCGCCTGCCATTGGGAGCTGGGGACCGGAGTGGGCCCCCCATGCCGGATGCCGGTCTGCGCAGCAGCCGAGGTCCCGGAATTGTGCACCATCAGTCAGCGACAATGACCAGCACACGGACGCCCTTGTGCCCGCTGCGTGATGTCATGCACGCGAGCCCCAGTCGTTAACGCCGCCCGGACACAAGCATCCAGCCCACCGGCTCTCTTATAGTACGCCCGCCGCTCCCCAATGATGGCCTCTCCCAGTTGCCGATCCACCACTCGCCCGTCGCTCGCAATAATAATCACCGCCCCGGTTGATTTCTCACCTCACCCGCACAGACGCCCGCTGCTCCAGGTAGCTGCCATTAACAATGACGGCCGAAAAGGACGTCGAGTCTGGCCGCATCGCCCGCATCCCGCACTTCAAGCGCGTCCTGGACCAGGCTGCCGTCAACGACGACATAATCAACGCCCACTATGAAGGCTCCGGCACCGACGAGGACCCCTACATCGTTGCCTGGCTCGACGACGACCCCGTCAACCCCATGAACTACCCCATCGCTGTCAAGTGGACCATCACCGGCCTCGTTGCCATTGCCACCTTGGCCGTCGCCTTCGTCTCGTCCGCCTACTCGGGCGGCATCAAGGAAATCATGATCGAGTTTGGCGTCGTTCAGATCATCGCAACCCTGGGCATCTCGCTGTTTGTCCTGGGCTTTGCCATTGGCCCGCTGATCTGGGCTCCCATGAGTGGTGCGTCCTCGCTTCCTGTTCCCCTCTCCCCTGCTCACCCGCTGACATGCTGCAGAGCTGTTTGGCCGCCAGTTCCTCTTCTTCGGCACTTACGCCCTTCTGACCGCCTTCAACGCCGGCGCCGCCGGTGCCAACAGCATCGCCAGCTTGATCGTCCTGAGGTTCCTTGCCGGCTCCTTTGGCTCTTCGCCTCTGACCAACGCTGGAGGCGTCATTGCCGACATGTTTCCCGCTGCCCAGCGCGGTCTCGCCACCAGTCTGTTCGCTGCTGCCCCCTTCCTGGGTCCCGTCATTGGCCCCATCGTTGGTGGCTTCGTCGGCCAGACCGTCGGCTGGCGCTGGGTCGAGGGCGTCATGGCCGTCTTCACCGGCGTTCTTTGGCTCGTTTGCGGCCTCATCGTCCCCGAAACCTACTCGCCCGTCCTCCTCCGCAAGCGCGCCGCCAAGCTGTCCAAAATCACCGGCAAGGTCTACCTGAGCAGGGCTGATGCCGAGCAGGGCAAGGTCACCATCGGCGAGGCTTTCAAGACTGCTCTTTCGCGCCCCTGGATCCTCCTGTTCCAGGAACCCATCGTGCTCCTGCTCTCCATCTACATGGCCATCATCTACGGTACTCTGTACATGCTTTTCGGTGCCTTCCCCATTGTTTACCAGCAGGGCCGTGGCTGGTCGTCTGGTGTCGGCGGTCTGGCCTTCCTGGGCGTCGCCGTCGGCATGATTGTCGCCGTCATCTACTCCATCTGGGACAACAAGCGCTATGTCAAGGTCATGCAGAACTCGCCCTCGGGCTTTGCGCCGCCCGAGGCCCGTCTGCCCCCCGCTCTCCTCGGCTCCGTCGCCATGCCCATTGGCCTGTTCTGGTTCGCGTGGACCAACTCGCCGAGCGTCCACTGGATCGTCAGCATTGCGGCCGGCGCGCCCTTCGGCTTCGGCATGGTGCTGGTCTTCCTGTCCATCATGAACTACCTCATCGACGCCTACCTCATCTTTGCCGCCTCGGTCCTGGCCGCCAACGCCGTCCTCCGTTCGCTGTTCGGTGCGGCCTTCCCGCTCTTCACCACCTACATGTACGCCGATCTCGGCATCCACTGGGCCTCGTCCATCCCGGCCTTCCTCGCCCTCGCCTGCGTGCCCTTCCCCTTCCTCTTCTACAAGTACGGCCCGGCGATCCGGTCTCGCTGCAAGTACGCCGCCCAGGCCGCGGCCTTCCTCGAGAAGCTCAAGGGCCAGGCGGTGGCGGAGGAGCAAGCCGACGAGGAGGAGGACGACAGCGCCTCGAACACGCAGGCCGACGACGCTGACACGCAGAAGGAGGAGACGGCGTCGGGCAGCGCCTCCCACCACCAGCGCGAGCCCGTCGACGAAAGCGTCGAAGACGACGACCAGAAGGAGGGCGAGGAGGGCCGGTTCGCCGCCATCAAGACGCATCCCAACCACCTCCACAAGACGCACACCAACGCCAGCACCCGGACCGCACGGAGTGTGACGTACGAGGCGAACCCCTTCGATATCGATCGCGTCAACACACACGAGAGTTTCGGCCCCCACCACAAGACCAAGAGCCATGGCAACTCGGCTGCTAAGAAATAAGCAGTCGTCGCTGTCCTCTGTGTATACGGGCTCGTTGGATAGAAGCGGGAATAGAGCAAAAGTGTGTTTCGGGTCCTTTTCGGTATTGCACATACCTGCATGGTTTTGAGCGCTGGAGTTGGTCTGGTTCTATTTTGGGTTTTTCTTTTTTCAAATGGTCAGCATGATGTCACATTGAGCGCTGATTTGGCGCTTCCATCGGAGCATGGATGGGTGAAAACATATGGTGGAGCGAGAAGATATGGCGCGGCTCATGTAGACATGAGCGCGCAAGGACATGTCAAAAGCCAGCCTCACGGCATGATTTACGAGCTTTTCCATGGTAGCGGTAATTTCTATAATGGTGGGGAAAGAAAGGGCGCGTTTGATACCAAGACATGGACACCATTTAAGCAATCTTCAGATCTGCAATACAACCAGTTTCTTATGGCATTCATCTAGATTTCGAGATCGACGGTGCCGAGTACCAGATTGGCGACAGGGCGGGTAGATCCGCGCAGAAGACAGGCTCATGCAGGACGTGGCGCGGAGCGGGTCGACGTGGAGTGAAATCACGTGGGGGAGGGTTTGTTTCTATATCGGCGTGGCCGTGTTGTGGCTGGCTCTAGATCAGGGGCCCGTCCGTTGCACCGGCTCGGCACTTTTCCACCTCGACGTCGGTCCGCCCAACCTTCAGCCAGCCCAGCTGCCTCACCATGGCCGACTTTGCCAGATAGGGGAACATGTCAGCCTCGAAGCCGACCTAGCGCTGCTGGAATCGCGGATAGAAGCCACCTAATCTCCTAAACGCCATGCTGTCCATCGATTGCCGCACGGGATCTAGCGCCCTTGGTCGTCGTAAAGGCAGCCATGTAGATCAGATGTATACTTAACCCACAGCGCCTCCCGCTCAGCCTTCTCCTCTTTGCAAATCCTTTGCCGTTGCATCCACACTCTCTAGTTTTGCCCAGTCACTCTTTTTCTCTCTTTGTGCGTCTTCTCCGCCTCACTGAAAGTCGCCCGCCCACGATGCGTGGCGCATCCAATCTTTTTAGGCTTTCGCTGGCATGCCTCGTCCTGCTGAGCAGCGCCGTCGGCGCGCAGGGCCCCCACTACAAGATCGCCGAGGTGCAGGACATGGTCGATGGCATGCTTGACCAGTTCAAGCAGTATGCGACCTTCCAAGGAGCCAACAAGGCCCCGCTGGCCATGGATCCGCACGCCGACACCCCAACGAGTCCGAACGCCTCCACCCTTGTCCACAAGCGGGCGACGACGCCCTACTGTGCGCCCTACTGGCTGGAGGGCATCACCCACCGAGGCAAGGCCGCCTTCAACACCAACTCGACGTATGCCGTGTTCCGAAACGTCAAGAGCTACGGGGCCAAAGGTACGGTTGCAGTGTGCTGCCCGAGACGGGAGACGGGATCAGACTGACGGACGCGTGAACAGGCGACGGCGTCACCGACGACACTGCTGCCATCAACCGCGCCATGAAAGATGGCGGCCGCTGCGCTCCCGGCGTCTGCTCATCGAGCACCACGACGCCTGCTGTCGTCTACTTCCCCCAGGGCACCTACCTTGTCTCCTCGTCCATCGTGGACTACTACAACACCATGATCATCGGCAACCCCAACTGCCTTCCCACGCTCAAGGCCACCCCCAACTTCTCGGGCTTCGGCGTCATCGACGGCAACCAGTACCAGTCGGGCGGCGCGCTCGGCTGGGGCGCCACCAATGTGTTCTTCGCCCAGGTCCGCAACCTGATCATCGACCTGACGGCCATCCCCGCCTCGTCGAGCGCAACCGGCATCCACTGGCCCGTTTCCCAAGCCACCAGTCTGCAGAACATCGTCTTCAAGATGTCCGATGCCGCTGGCACCCAGCACCAGGGCATCTTCATCGAATCAGGCACGCCCCCTTCGCCGGCCGCGCTTGCTTCGAGCCCAACGCTGACTTGAACAGGCTCCGGCGGCTTTGCCAACGACCTGGTCTTCTACGGCGGCCTCAACGGCGCCGTCTTCGGCAACCAGCAGTTCACCATGCGCAACCTGACCTTCTACAACGCCGTGACGGCCATCAACCAGATCTGGTCGTGGGGCTGGACCTACAAGAGCCTGTCCATCTCCAACTGCACCACCGGCATTGCCATGAACGGCGGCGGCCGCACTGCCCAGACCGTCGGCTCCGTCACCATCCTCGACAGCTCCATCACCAACACCCCCGTCGGCATCCTCACCGCCCACGACTCCTCGTCGTCGCCCGCCACCGCCGGCAGCCTGGTCCTGGAAAACGTGATCACTTCTCCCTCCCACCTCCCCCCCGTGTCATATCCGGCTGACTGACTCGAACTCCAGATCGCCATCAACAACGTCCGCACCATCGTCCAGGGCCCCAGCACCGCCTCCCCCGTCGTGCTCGCCGGCACCACCGGCCGCACCACCGTCGCCACCTGGGCCCAGGGCCACAGCTACACGCCCAGCGGGCCCACCAACAGCATCGCCGCCTTCGCCGGCACAGCCCGGCCCTCGACCCTCGTCGCCTCCTCGGGCACGGCGTACTACGAGCGCTCCAAGCCCACATACGGCAGCGTGACGCTCTCCAAGACGCTCTCTGCGCGCATCATGGGCGCCGCGGGCGACGGCCGCACCGACGACACGGCCGCGCTGCAGTCGGCCATCAACTACGCCGTCAAGTACGACGCGCTGCTCGTCGTCGACGCCGGCACCTACAAGATCAGCCGCACGCTCTACTTCCCGCCCGGCCTGCGCCTCGTCGGCGAGGCCTTCCCCGTGCTCATGGCCGCGGGCAGCTTCTGGGGCGACGTCGCCAAACCCCAGCCCGTGGTGCAGGTCGGCAACGTCAGCGGCCAAAAGGGCGCCGTCGAGTGGAGCGACATGATCGTGTCGACGCAGGGCGCGGCGCCCGGCGCGCTGCTGATCCAATGGAACCTCGCCGCGCCGGCAGGCACGCCCAGCGGCATGTGGGACGTGCACACGCGGGTGGGCGGCTTCGCGGGCAGCAACCTGTCGTACGCCGACTGCGCGGCGACGCCGGGCGTGGCGACGGTCAAGGCGGCGTGCGTCGCGGCGTACGCGAGCATGCACGTCACCAAGGCGGCCGCCGGGCTGTACGCCGAGAACGTGTGGCTGTGGGTCGCCGACCACGACGCCGACGACGCCGCGCTGCGGCAGATCACGGTGCACGCGGGCAGGGGGTTGCTGGTCGAGAGTACGGCTGGCCCCGTGTGGCTGGTCGGCACCGCCGTCGAGCACCACGCCAAGTACCAGTACCAGTTCCGCGGCGCCGCCAACGTCTTCGCCGGCCAGATCCAGACCGAGACGGCCTACTACCAGCCGACCCCCGACGCCGGCAATGCCGTGTTCCCCGTCAATACGACCATGGGGGACCCCGTCTTCACGACGGCGACGACGTATAACGGGGATAACAAGAGCGGGTGGGGGCTGAGGATCGTGGACAGCAGCGTGTTGGTGTATGGGGCGGGGTTGTATAGTTTCTTCAACGATTACAGCACTTGTGAGTTTTCATCTTACCCCTGATCTGATCCCCCTTCTTCTTCTCATATCGAATGGTCTGGAACGGGTGGGTACGGCTGCTGACGCGTGACTCGACCGACAGCTTGCTCCAATGCACCCGGCGGCCAGTGTCAGACGCGCATCATGAGCGTCGAGGGCAACAGTTACGTCTCGCTCTTCAACCTCAACACCGTCGGCGCCAAGAACATGATTTCCCGCGACGGTGTCCAGGTCGCTAACTATGCCGACAACCTCAACGTCTATCCCGACACTGTTGCTGTGTACCGGAGCCGTTGAGTGGTGGTTAAAAAAAGTTTTCGTGGAGGGGGATGATTTGAATAGACAACTTAATAGCAGGAACAATAATTTCATTGGCTAATTTGTTCAAACGCCGCTTATTGTTCGACCTGGATCGCTTGTCTGCGTATTGCTTTGATTTCGAGGAAGTGCTGGGTTGCAGGGGGCTTCGTGTGTCGAAGTGATCGCTTGGCCCAAAAGGGGCAGAAAGCAACCACGGTACATACCACACAGTTCGCTACCACCATCGATCACCACCCACACGCATAAAAGCAACGTAGCCTGAATGGAGAGGTATGCAAAAGCTTCTTGAAAAAGAAAAGAAATGAGAGAAGAGGAGTAAGATGGAAAGAAAAAAAAAAGAGCAAAACTACATACACCTCCCACCAGGGAGACGTATGCAGAAACCCAGTCATCAGGCTCTGTCCGTTGAGCCCTCGAGGGTTTTTTGCGAATTCCAGATTGGTGTCTATGGGAGTTGAACTCAGCCACTTGGGTTGTCGACTGTGCGATGCGGATGGGAATCACCGACGCCACACCCCGGCCAAGCCGGAATGTAGACGCCGGCGATACTATATTGACTGTTGAGAAGATTTATATAGCGATACGTGAGGTGGAAAGACATTTCACCTTCAACGCCATCGACTCTTTGATGGTGGGTATTCAAGTGAGATAGGACATGGAAAGACGCATTTTGAATAGTGTCAATTCTTTTGGTGTGTTTACAGACCTCTTTGACAGCCAAAGTATCCCAAGTCCTCCACGCTTTCTTCTCTATCAACACCTTGCTGGCTATCTAGAATGACAAAAAGGTGATGACAATCAGACGAAGCGAAGACGCCATACTTGAGTTATCGAAGCCTGCTTGTTTGTTCTGGCTCTCCGCTTTCTCAACTTACCCATGCCGCTTCCAAGGGAAGTAGATACAGCCCAGGAGATCAATGTGTCGCTTTACAGTCTCGCATAGCCGTGGAATCCCAACCGTCGCGTTCTCAAATTCTGTTCAGCTGGCACCTGTTGCAAACGTGCAGCATGCACTGCTGGCATTCATTAATGAACTGTGGCAGCCAGTCTTCGCACTCCTCGCACTGGTGCCTTCCGTTCCTTCTGCGCCAAGTAGTGTGGGTGCACTCATGGTTGTCGCGTAGGTGGCGCGTCACCCTTTCGATGGCTGCCCTATCGTTCCTCTGGCCTCTTCGCTGTGCGATTACTCCAGCGCGCTCCATGAGATAATGTTCATCCATGCTGCGGCATCGGCAAGTCTTCCAGCGTTCACCGCACAGGTAGCAGAACTGAGCCTTGCAGCGGCATCTGCATTGCGTCCAAGCAGTCAGTAAGGGAAAAGGCGTCTCAGAAACGGGCATGTGTGACTCACGTAATGTGATAGCAACCAGTGTTCAGCTCAACGAAGCGCTTGCACTTGTAGCAACGCTGCCACTTGTTCTCTTCCACCAACCCGAGCAACGACTGCGTCGCCTCGTCCTCGGGACAGTCCTCGCCTTCATGGGCCTTGGACTTGCAAACCGAACACGTCCGAGCCGCGCAGCTGGGACACGTGCCCACGTGCTCACCCTCCGAGATGGCCGCCGGCGGGATCCAGGTCGAGCACGAGGGCTGGAAGCAGTATGTGCGCTCCGGCGTCTCGAGCTCCGGCTTCTTGATCTCAAAGTCGCGCGCCGTATCGGCAGAGAGGAGGGCGCGCACGTCGTCGAACGGGATGGGCTGGCGGCAGCAGCGTGGCGGGAAGATCGACTCGTCGGTAAGCGACAGGCGGAAGAGCTGGTCGAGGCAGTCGCGGCAGTAGTCATGCTGGCAGCCAGGAAGCGTTGCCATGTCGAAGAAGGGGCACTGGGTGCAGCAGGAGATGCAGAGCCGGTGGGTGGGTTGTGAGTCGCCGTCAGAAGCCTGGCCCTTGCCCTTGCCTTTGATAGCTCCCTGGGCAGATGATTCGGCGATTGCTTTGCCATCATCTTTGTCGTTGTCGTTGGCTGAATGAGATGAAGCTGCAGCGAATGCATCCTCTGCTGGTGGCGCTGGCGCTTCTGGTATCGTCGCTGCTGGTGCCTTAGTTTTAGGCCGACGAGGAAGCCCTCCCATAGAGCGAGCGAGGTCGTGATCCCTGGTTGCAGCTTCCTCTTCCTCTGTTGCGGCGGTGATGGTGCGTTGGTCGGTCTGGACGGCTCGCGTTAGGCTTTTTCCCATCCTGCGGTCTGAGAGTATTATCTTTTGCGCCTCAAGCTCCTCTTGGTAAAGTTGATGCGCGTACGCCCGGTCGCCAGCGGCATCATTGTTGTCGTTACCGTCACACTCTGCAGGAGCGAGTAGCGAGGCAAGATCTGCAGATTGGAGCTGTAGAATGAGCGCGACGGTCTCGTCGTCGGCGTCCATTGCGCTCACGTAAGGGTCGTTGTGAGGAGGAAGTGGAGAGGAGCAGAAAGCGAGTGTGGAAACGATTTAAGCGTCCAGTGCGTGGGTGATTGAAGCTAGTCATGTGCGTAGGGCTGCAAGTGCTACTACGCCGTCTCCTAGGTGATGAGCCTTGCCTGTAAGTGAAAGTTACTGCGTGAGTGAAAGTTATTGCAGGTTCGTACTTGTCATCGTCCTGTCATCTTGAAGTGTATGGTGGTCGTCTCCTTGTCTCTGCCCTTCTGTCCTTGTGGATATCTAAACACAACCAAAAGAATGCAGCTGTATGACCTAAAGAATAGCAGAAATGCGTAACGCCATGGTGCAGAGCCGTTGAATACGTGTCGGGGAAGAAAATGCTGAGATACAGCATCATTCAAGAGTAGAGACTGCTGTGCTGAAGACACGTCAATTTGCTCCATGATTTTGCAAGCCCCGAGAACGCTGAAAGTGACTGCATCGCTGAAGTCTAGGGCACAGTGATTATAAAGGTCCCTTTATCACGAAGAGACTGCACTGGCAAGCCTTGCGGCGCCGAGAGGAATTCTACCGATGCCATCAGCAGAGGCATTATAGCAAGGCCCACTCTCAAGTAGCACATTCGTCACGAGCACCCGACCTCTCCAACCACTGACCACGTTGCACACACACAAACGTCACCATGGCACCGAAAAGCTCAATCACTTCCCACTCAATACCTGAACCTACCAACAATCCCCCGAACGCCCAGACTCCCTTTTTCCCACACACAAAAGAGCCAAAAAATAGAAAGAAAAAAACCACTCCTCTAATCCCTCGCCGCGGCACCACCCATGACCCTCGCCTTCTCCGCGGGCGAGAAGCACGCCTCGCCCTGCTGCAGCGCATGGACGAGCAGCGGCAGCGCCGCGTCGCCAAAGTCCGGCGCCCCGCGCACCTTGTCCAGGTCCTCGGCCAGCTCCTGCGTCACCGAGCGCAGGTACCAGGACGGGAAAGCCGACGCCGCCGCCGACGCCGGTGGGACGGACAGCTCCGACTCGTCCGCCGACGACGACAACGCCGATGACGACGAGGCCGAGTCGTCTGAGTCGGATGGGGCCTTGGGGTTGCGTGTTAGTTCAGGAACGGCTATTCTCGTTTGCTCTTTTTTTTCTCTCTCGGTCTTTCTTGCGTTGAATACTTCCCCCTTTCCTTTTGGGAGGGCAGGGTAGAGGAGGGGTTGGGGAGGGCTTACAGTATTGTCACGTGCGGCGGCGACGGTGGTCTTTTGCTTTTTGCTGGCCTTGGGCGTGGTGGCGCTGGCTGCTGAACTGCTGCTCTCGGAGTCGCTGCTGCTACTGCTGCTGCTGCTTGACTCGACGACTATGTCATGGGCAAGAATGGTTTGTTAGATACTAGATATGTAGGTTCGCGCAGGGAAACCACGGATAGGTGCGAAGCGGTTGAGAAAACATATCCACATGAAGCAGGGAATGAGGTTGGAGAGTGGGAACGAGGTTGCCAGCTTACTTTCGGTGCGAGATTTCCTGCTCCGCTTAGTGCTGAGTTTCGGTCTGGCGGCGGCGGCGGTAGGTTTGGGAGCCATATTTGGTGGTTGGAAGACTCGTGCGAGAATGGCGTCGGAGAGAGAATCAACGTGAGTCGGCGATGAGACAGAAGCTGGAGTGTAGTAACCTGATATGTCCGTTGTGTGTAGGCCAGGTGCAGTGCGATGGATGAAGGATGGAAAAGAAGTTGCCGCTCAGAAACTTCGACGCTGGAAACCCGGAGCGCGCTAGTCCTTTTCGGTTGGCCAACTCGACCCATGCATCTGAACGTCAAGGGAGAAGCAACAACACGCCCGCCTGCTAATTCCCCAAGATTCCTTTTGAAGAGATCCCACTGTCGTATAGCATGAACGCGCCCTTTTCTTTTGGAATGAGTCATGGATACAGTCTAATTACATGGTCACACCTATCCTACATCCTAAGAATTTGCACTTCTATGCACACGAGGAAGATGGTGCCAGTTCACATACTCCTCAAGCTCCTCATCGCTAGGCCAATGACCCCACAAGTCCGCCAAATCTTCCACCTTATCTCTCACAAGCATGATCAGCTCCTCTGGCGCAGATTCAGCCCTCGGTCTCACTCCTTGATCTGCGGGCTGATCCGGCGCAAACAGCGCATCCGGCGCATGCTGTTCCTCCTCCTCGGTCCTTGTGGCTGACCAAGACGACCGCTCGGCCTCGTCGTCCCAGCTACGCTCCAAGAAGCACCGCAGCGCGACAATGGTACGCCGTAGACGTACATGTCCGTTGAGCTCGTTGTCGCAATGGTGCAGTAACCCATCGACGTTGTCATGCATGAAAGACGCAGTGGAGAGTATGCCCTCGTAATCACCCAGGATCCCAAGGGCGCGGATGTATTGGTGCAGAGTGACTGCTGGCGGGACACTGAGGACCGTCCTGGTAGCCGCTGGCTCACGGCCGCTGACTGTTGCGAGCTGTTGCTTGAGAGGGGAAACATTGCTCAGGCCGACGACCTTGCTGAATAGAGTGCGAAGAAAACGGGAGTCGTTGTCATTATGATGGACGTGGTATGCCCACCCTTCTTCCAGAAACTCTTCCTTGTCTGGAGCGAAAACCTGACTCATGCGAATCAGAGCGCGGTAGGCGAACGAGAAGCAGACGGTCTGGAATCCATGCGTGTCAAGCTCGGCTCCTGCATTCTCCATGACCTTGAGTGTTTGGCGTGTGAGCTCAGTGGTACCGTTGTGTCTGGTGTCAAACCTGTGCACCGCGGCTAAAACCCTGTTCCACCCAGGAAGATATCTTGACTTTTTGCGGTCCATCAACGTGACCGCTCGATGAAGCATGGCACGCCCATCGCCTTTTGGCACATCGCCAACGAAATGGTAACAGTCAACAACCCAACAAAAACGACAGAGCAAGTCGATGTAGGCGTCGAACACCACTTCAGGGACAGCTTCTACCTGCTCGTCGGTCATGTAGAGCTCCAGAAGGGCGCGAACATGTTGATCGCGACTAAACCGGATGAAGTCAAGCCCTCGGTCGATTCTTCTACTCGTCCGAAGCAGCAACGACAAGCAGTCGTTGTCGGGATAGATGTCGTTGGAAATCATACTTTCAAAGAGTTCGTTGACTGAAGGTGGCTTCAACCGTGGATCCAAACGCTCATGCGGTGAGTCTGGAGTAGGGAGGGCCTCCCTTTGATCCCCAGGCACTTCCTCTTTTTTGTCAACGTAGCCAGGACGAAGTGCGGCACGCATTCGTCTGCCGCGAGATGATAGCTTTTGAGCACCAACAATCCGCTCAAACATTGCCGCGTACACCAGTATCCTTTTCTGCGGGACCTGAACCTCAAGAGCATCGTATGCGAGAAAAATTGCCCATGATTGCTCGACAGTTCTCGTCGTCCGTACCCTTGCAGCCCATACCTCGTGATCCACGTCCCGCGAGCAAGGGAAGTCTCTTGACATTTCCCCCTCGGTCAAAGCCGAAGCAAGTGCATCTTGAACGTGACCGAGGACCTTCCTATGTTGGATGACTGGGCTGCCATCCGAATCCCAACCACCGTATAGTTGGACAATGCGATCCCATCCGAAACTGGGGTATCCAGCCTCGTTCATGCGTAGAATCGTCTGACCAGCGCGTGAGAGACCTTGTTCCGGCCCAATGTCCGAGTCCATTGCCGTTCGGTCTTCTTTCCACGGTGGCCATGAGGTTGACTTTAGTTCAGCCCATTTCCGCTCATCCTTTGTCTTCAGCTGCGCGAGCTGAACTCTAGCGACAGCTCGATAACCCTTCTGGGTAATGGTCAAAGGTGGCTCGTACTCCGACATTGCCCGGAGGATTATGAACTGAGCACGCTGCTGGAGCGCGGCTGAGACAACCGGACGTAACGATGTAGGCAAAGAAAGCAAAGCGAGAATCTGGTTGTATAGGAGAGTATGACGGACCCGCCGCTCCCTCGATTTTTCCTGTTGTCGAATCTCCCATCTTGCCTGTTTCTTTTTGCCGCTATGCGGAGATTCTCTGCCGATGGTGCCAGCGTACAAAGAGTTGATGCGTGTCACCAAAAGGTTCGCGATGTCTTCTATGCTCGCCGGGTGGGTGAGCCGGGCTTTTCTCAAGAGGCGGATGCAAATGAGAGTGAAAGTCTTCTCTTCCGTAACGACAGCATCGTCACCGTTGTCAGATGTCTCGCCGGTTTGTTGAGATCCTACTACTCCTAGATTTCCAACGTACTTGAGAAGGCCCCGGACAGCGCGAGCCGAAACGTCGTGCCGCCGACAGAGAAGAGTCAGAACCCAGATAGGCGTTGGCCTTGAAATGGCCATGCCGTCAACTTCTCCACGCAGCAGCATGCTAGTCGCGATATGCGCCTTGTCCGCAGTGAGAATCTTGCCCCAGACCCGGAAGTCATTTTCGGTGTAACCTTGACGCGCAAGCCATTGCTGTAGATGCGGAGCAAGGGGACAGTTCCAGTCCGGGGCTTCAGCCCGGTAAACCCGCTGGAGGTAGCGGGCCAGATAGAATTGGAGAGAAGGCCGAAAAAGTTCGTAAGGATGATAATGGTTGGGGTGTTCCCAATCATGCGGGGAGTCATGATCAACGTAGCTCAAGTTTGCCTTGCCGGGACGGACTCGAGCAAGACCCCCCCAGCCCTTGCCATGCTCGCGGAGAACACTGGTCAGATGTTCGTTGGGGCTTCGATGTCTCCCCTTCGTTTCGCGGCGCTTGCCCAATGGTACAGTGTTCTTCCACGTCCTTGGGAGATTCTGCCATCTCTGCAGCACAGAAGACCAACCCTTGTGCCGGATGACAATGGTCTTCTTTTTTTTGCCGGGACCACCCTTGGCGGACGTTTCTTGATGCGTAGTGGAGCTATGCCATCGAGACTGGGAAGTCTGGTGGAGTTGCGTGTTGGCAGTGGATGGCGGCGTGAACGGCGGGCAATCGGAACAACGGAGATTGCTGTAGAGCCATCGTCTGGGCTTTGTGGCGCGAAAGCATGTAAGAGGTGCCTGGTGCAGGCAGGTCAGCAAGACGGGGACTTTTTTTTTTTTTCTGGAACGGCAACGGCCACACCACTACGCAGGATCCGAAGGGACGGACGGCCACACCGACTGGCGGCTCAGCAGACAAGACTCTGCGCGATGCAGGCAGCAGGGCATTGAGGGGCATTCATGGAGCGGGCGAGCAGAGTGTGTGGAGTGGCGGCGTCGGCGGCGGGCGGGCGAGTGAGCTTGCAAAGTCTTGGCGCGTGCCTGAGCGCCTGGTGCGCAGCCCTTCGTTCACCCGTCCAGCTTGACCTCACCAGGCCCATCGCGCACACCCCCATCCGCATCGCGTCTGCGGCCCCAGACAACCACCGCCCACGCGAGCCATGTCGACCGCCAACGGCGCCCTCACGCCGCCCCCGGCGCCGCAGGACGCTGAACCCACCAACGCCTCGCCGTCCGCCGCGAAACGCAAGCGCTCCACCAGCCAAGCAAACGCGCTCGCCGACCGCGACCAACCCGCGCAAAAGCCCGAGTCTGCGCGCAGTGGCGCCCGCACCCTCAAGGCCCTGCTCGACGACGTCCTTGACATCCTCAAAAGGTCCGCGCCAGCCCCGCCCTGCACCACGCGCTGCAGCGCTCTCGCCGCACCACCACTGACTTCCCATCTACCCCAGCTACGACACGACCCCGTCCATCCTCGACCAACCCATTCGTAGCAATGGAGACCGCGCAGTGTCCGGCGAGCCCACCACGAAGCGCACCAAGCTCGCACAGCCTCCGGCTGCAGCCTCGTCCATCGTCGCAAAAGTCGAGTCCGACGCATACGCGTCCCTAGACGAACTCGTCGCCGACGTCGATTCTGTCTGCTCTCAGCTTCTTGCCTCCGTCAACCCCCAGCATGCATCCTCCGAAGCCGACACTAAACTCCTCACTGGCACTCTGGCATTGAAGAAGGTTTTGAAAAACATCGTCATTCGGGAAACACAACGCAAGGCCGCTGTCGACGCCAAAGTCGCCGAGAAGGCCGACAGCGCTGAAGATGAGGAGAAAGAGGAGGCCAACGGTGTCGTCAAACAGGAACCCGTAGAAGACGAGGTCGACAGTTTCGCGGGCAGCAGAGCAGTCCTGACCCTCTTCGCGTCGGCGCAGGGCAACAAGCAACTATTCTCCAGTCTGCAGAAGCCGGTCAAGGTTGAGGGCAGGAAGACCGAGGGCGAGACGAGCGAACTCGAGAGTGCCGTCGATGTGACGCTTCCGCTGGATGAGAGTGGCCTTCCGAGCATGATATCGTCCACCAAGATTGTTCCCGTTCACACTGAAGATGCCATTGGCGGAAAGAGCAAGGCTTTGACATTTGGGGAAGTTTTTGGTCCTCCACCCAAGTTTAGAGATTTGAAGCCGCCGGTTCCTGCGAGTCAAACTGTGAGCAAAGGAAACACCATTACGTGGGGCCAACAAGATCTGACCCTGCGGACCGGCCGCCGCGGTTCTTCTTATTCCAGCCAAAGACTCACCGCAGGAGACTGGCTTGGTTACAGCGGCGTGGACGTTGAGAAAGAGCCTTCGTCGCCATCTGCGAAGAGGAAACAAAGAGATCGAGCACTCAGCACCGGCGAGGTCAACCCTCCCCTTCCGGATGAAGAGCAAGCGAGGTTGGATAAGGCAAAGACCGATGCTCTGTTCCGGAGCGTATACTCCAGTTTTGCACCCACACATGACGATGGCGTGGCGGTCATTCCGGAAGAGACCAAGAACCGGGTGTGGTGGCAGAAGGTTGGAGAGAAGAGGTTCAATGAGATTTTCGCCCTCGACCCGGCACTGGTAGATGCCCAGCCAGGCGAGGCCATGGAGGGTGTGTCTGCCGATGAGAACGGGAACGAGGAAGAAGCCTTCAAGGAAGCCGCCGAGCAGTTTACCCCCGAGGAACTCAATGTCCCCGAGAAGTCGGAGAAGGACAGGCAGAACCAAGAGATTGACGAGCTGCTGCAAGAGATTTCCGAGCTTTTGGAGACGCTCCACTCGCACCAGAGAATCAGGCAAAGCACTTTGGCGCCCGCGACAAGAACCCCTGCAGGCCAAGACTCCTCGGTTCAGCCGTCAACTCCTTCATCAGATGAGGTGGACGTTTACAACTTGTTGAAGACCCAACTTTCTTTGATGGTTTCTCAGTTACCTCCGTACGCTGTGGCCAAGCTGAACGGGGATCAGTTGGAGGACCTGAACATCAGCAAGAAGCTTGTTATCGAGACCAAGGACTACCGCGGTGTCATGGAAGAGGATCAAGTTTCCAAGCTGGCAAAATCGGCCGCTATCGGCGCTACCGTTGGAGCTTCGGCCGTTCGCCCACCAGGATATCCGCCAGCGAGCCAGTACGCCCGCACCCCGGCCGCACCTCCGTATGCCTCCAGAACTGTCGGCGGCCCGCCTTCCTATTACTCGCAACAGCAGGCACCCAATCGGACACCATCGGTGCCCCGCTACGCGCCTCAAGGCTACCAGACCCCGGGCGCGTACGCATCCACTGCGCAGCGTCCTTCATACGGTGGAGCTGCGTATGGGCAGCCTCCCAGACAACCGTCTTATGGTGCAGCAGCGTCAACGTACGGACAGACGCCTGCCTACTACGGACGGGGACCCCCGGCTGGATACGGTATGGCGCCTTCTTATTACCAAGCGACGCCGCAAGGTGCGGCGCAAAGTCGCTACATGCAGCCTGGCTCGGCCTACCCGCCACGTACGCAAGGAGCCGCGCCAATGTACAACTACACAGCGACCGGTAGCCCACAGGTTCGCACGGCATCACCACTGAAGCAGGGGCAACCTGGTGCCGCACAAACGCCGTACCCCCCACAACGTCCCCCTTCGGGCAATCCATACGGAACCCCTGGGCAGCAGCCGCAACGTGCTTCATACTATCCCCAAACTCCATATGGCACCAGTGCGCAGTCCGCACAAGCCCTCACCCCGTCAGCGAATGCCAGCTACCATGCGAGCATTCAAGCGCATGCTCGAGCAACTTTGGGTGTGTCTGCAATGCAAGCTAACATTGGCAGAGGGTCTAGCGGTACACCTCAGCCGCCCGGTAGCTCTGGTTCGGGTAGCCAGCCCCAGGGTCAGGGTCAGGGCAGCACTACGGCAGTAGCGTCGTGAGACACTATCTGCCCGTTGTCTCGCGGAAGACATGAAAAGAAGCATCGATGAAAAATCCACGGCGTGGCAAAGTGGAGAGTCGTTTGGCTACTGAATGGCTTGAGTAATGGACCGAATGACACATGGCGTTTGCAAACCTCTCGAAAGATGCCTTTGCGGGAATTCCAATTTATTTTTATTTTGAAGCATCGGCGACCGGATTTGGACCAGCCGCTGGTCTCTTGGGCAAAAATGGAAAGAGGGAGAAGGCTGTTATTTCTTGTGGCAGCAGGGTCGATTGAACTCCTGTAATCTTGCTGCTCGACCCTCTTCATTCTTCCTTGGGGGGTCTTTCTATTTGAACTTGATGCGCGGTGCATGATAGAAGCTTTACATCAATGGCAGCCGCGAAGGCTGATGGCTACCCAGCAAATCGATGAATTCCCTCAAACACTGATTTTATTTGCGTGTGCTTTCGTGTCGCATTCCTTCGTCAGCCCGTGTTGTGATGGGGCACAGGTGGACCCTGCTCGACCCGATATGACGGTCGTGCATGAGGCTCCATTCCACAGCTGCACGCTGCAAGGTCCGCCGATTGAGAAAGTTGGATCCATGCGTGATTGTTTGCACTTGCTGCCACGTCCGTCGGCGAGTTGCCGCCCCGAACCGTAACCGTCGTCAGCAAGACCACACCGCGTTCCGCTTGCCCGATTGGGCGATGACCGGATTCAAGGGCATTCCCGACAGCGTACCTTGCCGCATGCGTCGCACGTTGTCCAAGTCAAAACTCGATCAAGGATACAGATGGAAGCATCTACTTGATCCAGCCTGCTAGCTTGATTGCCATTACTATTGACGGCCAGCATGCTAGTTCATGAAAGATGCGAGCGAGCCGTGTGCTTGGTGACATCATGCAAGATGGTCGATGGAACTATCTGATGCCTTTCTCCGCACATTGCTTACGGCTTCCGAGATCTTGATCGTATTTTAACAACCTCCCTTCCCCGCTCCGTCTGCTTCCCAATTTCGTGCTCCGTCACACATACCTGTACTACTACCTCATTCTTATTCGTCACCTGTTCTTCACAATGGTCACCATCGGCCTCGGCGTCCCCATGCCCATCCTCACGCCCGTCACGGCGACGTGGACCGCGCCTTTCGCGCTCTACCTCTCTCTCCTCAACAACAGGATCGCCTACCATCGCATCAAAAACAGCACGTTCGTTTAGACCCATTCCTCCACAACGACGACGACGACGACCACCCACCACTGACACAAAAGAAACCCCTCCTCCCCGCAGCTTCATGGGCGACCGCACCAAAGCGTCCGTCTCGCTCAACGAGCCGCCGGAAGACGACCAGCTCTTCGTGGCGACGCGCTGCCACGCCAACTTCGTGGAGAACGTGCCGCTGGCGCTGGTGGTGGCGGCGGTGGCGGAGCTCAACGGCGCCAACCGGCGCACGCTGCACTACGCGCTCGCGACGCTGTTCGCGCTGCGCGTCGCGCACGCCGAGCTCGGCCTGACCAAGAGCTTCCGCGGCATCAAGAGCGCGGGCCTGGGCCGCATCACCGCCTTTTACGGCAGCCAGGCGTTCGTCGTGGGCGTCGCCGGGTGGGCGGCGTGGTTGTGTAAGGGGTATTGGGGTTTTTGATTGATTGCAGGTGAGAGGGACGGGGCGGCCGTGATGAAGGATGCTGGGTGAGGGTGGAGTGGGTGGGTGGGTGGGGTGGGGCAGGGGCGGAGATGGCAAGGGTCCGCGGGGTGCGTGCGCGGGGGAGGGGGAAAAGAGGGAGGGAAAAAAAAGGATTGAGGAATGGGATTTGGAAGACTCGGGAAGCATTGCGGCTGGGCGGACGAATATGCGTGCTCGGCTGACGATGCGGTTGTTTGCACGGTCAGGGAGCGCTGCCTGCTGTCGCAATTGCGCGCGGCGGGGGGATGGCTCGATACTCTTTTTCCCAGCTACCCTTGGCAATGATTGTTCCGTAGCGAGACCCGGTTCAGTGGATTGAATGCGCAATAATTCGCCCCCGGAGCTCGTCACCACCACCGACGTCACAGGTACTGGGCGGGTGGCTCGACGGGCAGGCGGACGCGCAGGCGGTGATGACTGCAATGAAGCCGAAGGGATGAAACGCTGGACGCCGTCGGACGCGCTGCAATTGGATCGCCGTGCTCATGACGTATCCTGGCCTGCTGCTCTAGCGCCGCCCGCCCTGTGGTGCCTTGCTGCCCTACCGCGACTACGCACCAAACGCCCAAGCCAACAACCACGGCCTGTCTGAAAGAAATAGAACAAACACCCCATCTCCCCGACAAGCAAACACATCTACCTAGCACCTCGCCCACACCTAAGACACAACCACCGCACTGCACTCGACCGCGTGCACTCACTCCACCCCGCATATTCAGCAGCTGCTCGCCAGACTCTTCCCATCCCCCTCTTTGCAGCCACGCCCACCTATCCGCCATGTCTAACGCGCCGACTCTGATCAACCTGCCGCCTCCTCCGTCTGATCCGGTCACGCCCTCAGATGTCCCGTAAGCACCCTCCACACCTCGCTGCTCAGCCCCAACCACAGAACCCCTCCCAGTCCCTTACACAGCGATACCACACGACACAAGGAGGACGGGGCGCATGTGGCAGTGAATGGACTGTTTAACCCGGAAGATATGGAAACGAAGCACCCATGCTGACGACAGTGGGTTTTCCTTGTTCACAGTGGCACCCCCAACTCGGCGACGACGTCCATGTCGGAGCTGAGCACCGTTGCCATCAAGGACGGCCACCGTGGCCACCTGCCGCACCACCACGCGCAGCAGAACCCGATGGACGCCGAGCGTGCCGACCGCATATCGCGCCTCGCGGGCCTGGAGCGCGTCACGGCGGGCGGGGGCCGCTCGTCGTCGAGCCTCAACCCGTCGTCGGCGGCGGCGTACGGGCACCACGCGACGGGCAGCAGCGGGAGCATCCCGCCCATGACGCAGGGCTACTTCGACGCCAACAACCAGCCGCAGATACTGCGCGAGCGCAGCACCGTCGGCTCCGCGTCGGCGACGGGCTCCGTGGGCGGCCGCACCACGACGTGGGCGTCGGGCAGCGACGTGACGGGCTACGACCCCAGCCTGGCGGACCGCATGAGCGAGGACCAGGAGATGGAGACGGCCAGCAGCGTCGGCGGCAACGACGGCTTCAGCGACGTCGAGGGCGCCAGCAGCCTCGTCGGCTTTGGCGAGGGCGCGCGCACCCCCGCCCGCGCCGGCGGCAGCGTCGGCAGCCCCATCGTCGGCAAGGCCACGACCCCGACCTCGGCCGTTCCCGGATACATGCGCGGCGACGCGCCCCCCAGCCCCATGACGGGCGTGAGCAGCAGCGCTGTGGGTGGCGGCGGCGGCGGCGGCGGCAGTGGCGCGAGCACGCCCAGCACCGAGGCGCAGGTCCGCGACGCGCAGCGCATCGATGGCATCACGTATGACGCCGGCGTCACCGACACCACCGCGCGCACCCCGCCCGAGGTCGCCAGCCAGCAGCAGGGCGCCGCGAACGCCGCGCAGTGGATCAACAGGCAGGCGGAGCACGAGCAGGGAAGGCAGTAAGACACCATCACCACCACCTCTGGGGACGAGGCTTTTTCCCTCCCACTCGACGGGTCTTGCCCCCTTTTTCCTGTGCTTTTTTATTCCCCTTGTTTTTGTACGATTTGCGATGGACTAAACGTATTTCTTTTTTTCTTCTCTTCTCTTTCCCTTCTTCTCTCCCCCCTTGCTATGATTATACCAAAGACTATAAACATCACTCGCCTTGGGGGAAGATGACCGGGTGGATGGATGGATGGGTGGATGGTGAAATTAGCGGGGAAAAGTATGACTTGCGTACGCGGAGGAAGGCAAGATGATACTGGAAAACGTGAGTTCCATGGAACGAGTTTGCTGAGGAGAGGGGAAGTCGACGGATGGACGGAAGAGATGTATACGACTCCCCGAGAATGCTCAGGCAACAACGATAACAACACCAATGACTGCTACTTGCTATTACAATTACTTGACGATGAATTATGGAAAAGCCCCTCCCCCTTTCTTTTTTTTCTTCCTACTATTGTTGACGGTTTTGCCGAAAAGGTGAGGACGATCGTAGGCTTTCTTGTTCTTCTTGACGGGAAAAACCGGCTCGAGTGGTGACGTTTGTTTCCCGCTTCATTTTACTTTTACATTGACGAGGACAGGACGGGGGAGAGTGACTGGAATCGTGGCTTTGTATCGTGTATGCGTCCATGAGAATGAGAGGTCAGTAGGCAAGAGGTGGCCAGCGGTAGAAATGATAAGTGTCGATATTCAGGATCGACTCCGTCATTCATCAGCACCGTGGTCCTTGCCTCTTGGAGATTTGATGTGGAGTCGATCGAGAGTGTCATCGATAGTGAAAAAGCCTACGGGGAAAAAGGTTGACGAAATGGTCGCTTGATGGATTGGCAGCATCATGTGAGAATGGCGATTGTCAGGGTTAGTTCAGGAGAGACACAGTCTTAGGCTTCTTCATTCAAGGTAGACTGAATTTATGGACCTCGGTATCCAGGCATGCTTCACTCTTCACCTTCTGTCGTACTTGTCGTACCAGTCATTGAATTGAGGTTGATAGTCCGTTCTCGGACCGCCAGCGGTCTGATAAACGGTGCCGGTGGGGCCACTGCGCGTGTAGGCGGCGCCATGATTTTCCATGGGAGAGTAGCCGGTTGTTGCAGGGCCACCACTGGTGCTGGTGGATGCGGAACCACCACCGGTAGAGGGGGTATATCCATCGGCCTGGGCACTTTGAGACATGTTGCTTTGTCTTTTCTTTCTAATAGTATTCTGTTCGTGTATTTGGTTGAGGTTGTGGAAGAGGTGTGTAGAATCGAGGTATTTTATATACATCTTGATCCGAAGCACAGTCTGATATGGGCTTTATTCTGTCATTTTGTGACCGTAGGATTGCGTTCATTGTGCAATACTCAGCTGGTTGAATGCTGAAAGTCAAATGTTGATGTGCCCTGTCTTTGGAAAACAGAAATTTCTTTGAGACAAAACACCAGTTCAAAGCATATGCTACGTTGATCACTGATCAGCTGTACTTTTGCGTTTGTGGTGGGTCGTGGTGCGAATGAGGACTCTTCGATGGGTCGGTCTTTGTACCGGGACATTTGACACGATTCCAGGACAGAGAATTTGTTAGAGTTGTTCGGAGACATGGGAAGTAATCATGTGCTGAAGCTGGAACCGGTGCGTGTACTAAGTGAGCCCTCGGCGACCATTCTGCCACACTAACCGAAAAAGGCAGGCAACAGCTCAGATTCAGTGGTCAGGCTTGCGAACAGTCGGGTTGGACCGCGCACGCGATGGCGCAACCAAGCTCCGAAGCACTCTGTAGAGCGAAATGGTAGACCGTTTGCATTCAATGGCGACACAGCAAGACTATTCCGAATGAGGGGATGCACGTGAAGGTGGGGGCCAAAAGTCCCCACCCGATAATGGAACTGTGGTCTCACTTTTAGGCCCTACACGTCCTCGGCACTTTCTGAACCGCTTCTGCACCACGTACATCTCCAGATCTACTGGTATCCACCAATTGCCGGCAAGCTTAGTGGCTGTCACGCTCTTTCTGCCGTACGATCCTACAGCCTCGAAGCCAAGTTTCCTCGAGCTCGAGCTATCATGGCTCCACTGCAGCACGTACGAGGCCTTGGTCGTCGGCGAAAGAGATCGCTCGGGATCCAAGACATACCAAACTTCACAAAGGACGACTCTGGCTCAACGGAAGACCTCCAAAGTATGGGTGAGAAGTACCCGGCGAATCCTTGCACCGGCAATATTAACTGGCATTTTAATAATCATAAGCCCTGGAACGTATCCAAAAAGCATCGCACAATGCAACGCTGTGCAAGCCCTGCAAACAATTGCTACAGTCGCACCGGCTGCCAGACCGCCAACATGCAGGATTTGGCATCGACTACAAGAGAAGGAGGATGGGGCCAAATTGCGAGCATGAGCACCACGCCACCCTTTCTGAGCTGCGGGCTTGCGGAACCTGCGAACTCTGCATACTCATCAACATCCTGATATGTGAGGACACGGGCACCACGGCCAAGAAAGACAGTGCGTACCGAATCCAGCTTGTCAATGATGGAAGCAAGCCGCATCGCTATCTGAAGTTCAGTTTCAGGCAAGAGTGCGGAAGATGGACGGACAAGAAGATGATCATTGCATGCTGGGAGAGTTTGACAGATGACGTCTACGAAGGCTTCCGCTCTCTGGGGCCCTCGACCGCTTCGAAGCAAACATTCGATCTTGTGGGGTCGTGGCTGGACGAATGCCTGGCCGAGCATACGGCATGCAACCACATCTCGGACCTATCGAGTAGACTCCCGACACGTCTCGTAGAGATCGAAGCCGCCGACGTGAACGGGGGCTGCATCAGGGCGCGACTCTGCTGCGGCGAGTCACTGCCACCGGGCACGCCCTACGTGACATTGAGTCACTGTTGGGGCAAGGACTTGTTCACCACGCTCACGACTAAGAATGAAGTTGACTGGATGCAATCGCTACCCACAGAAGACCTGCCGCAGACGTTCCGCGACGCAATGGCCATCGCTCGGAAACTGCGGTATCGCTATCTGTGGGTCGACAGCCTCTGCATCGTCCAAGACTCGGAAGAGGACTGGATGAGGGAAGCCAGCCGGATGAGTGAAGTGTACCAGCATTCAGACCTCACAATCTCGGCCACGGCTTCGAAGAGAGCGAGTGACGGCTGTTTCCACTCGCGGCCGCCCTACCTTTTCCGCCACCACGGCCGTCCAAGCAGCGGGATACCACCAAGCTTCTGGAGCCTTGCGCCGCGCGATCTGTGGGATCTGGGGGTGGAGAGCCGGCGCAAGCTTGGGCTGCCGCGTCGAGCCTGGGTGCTTCAGGAGCGGCTTCTTTCGCGCCGCATCCTGCACTACAGCTCGCTCGGCGTCTTCTGGGAGTGTGACAAGGTGCGCAGGTCTGAGCTTGTTCCGGACCACTCGACGCCGCGCCAGTTCGCGGGGCTTCTGCAGCAGCTTTCCGCGAGCTCGCACGAGACGCCGGCTTCCGAGTGGCATCGGCATTGGGCGGCGCTCGTGAAAGACTATTCCGAGCGCCAGCTGACGTATCCCGACCGTGACAAGCTCGCTGCGCTTTCCGGCGTGGCCAAGGCGTTCCAGTCTCAACTTGACGACGAGGCGTATGTTGCGGGCATGTGGAACGACAAGGACGATCTTTTGCGCATGCTGATGTGGACGGCCATCAAGAAAGCCCCAAGGCAAGCAAAGCCAGTGTACCGTGCACCATCCTGGTCGTGGGCGTCTCTGGACACTGCCGTGTCGCCTCCGCTGTCCAGCTACGGGCACGATCTCGTTTCCTTTGTCAACATCAAACACGCACAGACAAGACCATTCAACCCGGCCGACCCGACGGGCCGTGTCGTAGATGGGTCCGTCACTGTCGTGGGGTTCTGCGTGCCCACGCTGTTGACCCTGGACAAACAGAAGACGCGGCTCAAGCTAGTAGGGAGGCATACGGCGAGTGCCCAGAAGTTCTGGCAACAATATCGGCCCACGGTGAGGATGGATCATGTTGAGCCAATCTCGAGCTTTCCTCGATGGCTTTGGTGCATACCGTGGTTCTCTTACGACTTCATGACCCGCGACAACAAGCCCCGCCACCGAATCTCCTTCCTGCTCCTCGAGAGCGCGAGGCCAGGGGAGCAAAAGCCAAAGACGTTTAGAAGAGCGGGCATGGCCGAGAGCTGGAGCTTCCCGCTGGCGTACAAGTGGGATTTGATATACTACAGAGAGGTGACTGTTGTTTGACTGGCAGTACTAGCAGTACCCGATCGGGCAACCATTCGCTCGCTTACTGGGGCTAGCGTGCATGGCGCAATTTGATGTCATGATCACGCTGCCCAGCTCTCGCCTCCAAACGCAACCGTACCTGGCGTGAGCTTAATCCACACCAGGCGACAAGCTTGCCGTCCCGCAACTTTTCCGGTAGCCCCACCTTGGATGTTTATAAAAACCGCCTGCTGACCGGCGCTTTGAGCCCCAGCTACAATTGACTTGCCATGAAGCCGTCTACTCTGGCACTCGTCCTCGGCGGCGCTCTTGCGTCGGCCAAGCAGCCAAACATCCTCTTCGTCTTGACTGACGACCAGGATCTGCACATGAACTCGATCGAGTACATGCCACTTCTGCAGGTAACAACCACTTCAACCCCGGAGCAAGCCGTCATCCGGAGCCGCACTGACCTCGGCCGGCCATCAGAAACACATTATCGAGCAGGGCACCACATTCACAAAGCACTTTTGCACTGTGGCCATCTGCTGCCCGTCCCGCGCAAACCTGTGGACTGGACATGCTGCCCACAACACCAACGGTGAGCCGGTGGAGCCCCTGTACGACCGAAGCTTCAACTGACGTCATCTAGTCACCGATGTCTCTCCGCCATATGGTATGCTTCCCCAGCCGCCCCCGGCCAAAATTGACTTCTGACTTTGCCATTCCAGGCGGCTTCCAGAAGGTTATTTCCGAAGGATGGAACGACAACTACCTCCCCCTCTGGATGCAGGATGCCGGATACAACACCTACTATTCGGGCAAGCTCTGGAACGGCCACACCGTCTCCAACTACAACGAGACTTTCGCCCGGGGGTTCAACGGCTCCGATTTCCTGCTTGACCCGTACACGTACAAGTACTACGACGCCGTCATGACCAGGAACGGGCAAGAACCTGTCAGCTATGCCGGCAACTACTCGACAGACGTCATCAAGGACAAGATCCTTGGCTTCTTGGACGAAGCCTTGTCCCACCAACAACCCTGGTTCGTTGTCGCCGCCCCCATTGCTCCTCACGCCACAACCACCACGGACCCGGGAACGAACTCGACCTACTTTGACTTTGCCCAGTACGCGCCCAGGCACGCCGACCTCTTCAAGAACTACACCATCCCGAGAGACACCAGCTTCAACGCCAAGGTCCAAGGCGGTGTCAGCTGGATCAAGAACCTCGCCCCCCTCAATACCTCCGTCATTGACTACAATGACGAGTTCCAGCGGTCCAGGCTGAGGGCTCTCCAGGCCGTCGATGAGATGATCGAGGCCTTCGTCGAGAAGCTGGACGATGCCGGTGTTCTGGACGATACATACGTCATCTTCAGCACCGACAACGGCTTCCACATCTCCCAGCACAGGATGACGCCCGGCAAGGAGTGCGGATACGGTATCTTCCCGTGCCAACCCCACCTTAATCCATCTCCGAGGCTGACAAGCTGCAACCAGACACCGACATCCACATTCCCCTCGCCATCCGCGGCCCCGGCATTGCAAAGGGTCAGACCATTGACGCCGTCACCAGCCACACCGACATTGCCCCCACCATCCTCGAGCTCGCCGGCGCTCCCAAGCAGCTCGACGGTAAAGTCATCCCGCTGACGGTCGAGGCTGCCCAAGACGGCGTTTATGAGCACGCCGCCATTGAGTACTGGGGAAGGGTAAGCAGCAGCAACCGCAAGCCTAGCGTGGCATTGCAAGCGTCACAGTTCTCAGCTAACCCGCGTGATTGACAAAAGGCCTTGGCCGAGGGCATCTACCTCAACCCCGCCGGCTCGCGGAACATTTACAACAACACGTACAAGGGCCTCAGGCTCGTCGGCGACGACTACAGCATCTACTACAGCGTCTGGTGCACCAACGAAGCAGAGTTCTACGACGTCAAGGTTCGTCCTCCGCTCCCCGCTCCCCGCTCGCCACGCAGCAGCAACAGCCAGACTCGTCATATGTGACTGACACCTTTCTTTCTCCAGACCGACCCCGGCCAGATCCACAACCTAGCCTCGGACCCCACCGCCCAGTCCGGCTACCGGCTCGCCGGCCGGTCGCTGGCACAAGTCATCGCCCGCCTCGACGCGCTCATGATGGTGCTCAAGTCGTGCAAGGGCGTCGCCTGCACGCAGCCCTGGGCCGAGCTGCACCCCGCGGCCACGTCGTCGTCAGCCAGCAGGCACGTCGTCGCGCCGGTGCGGACCCTCACCGACGCCCTCGCCAGCGAGTACGACGACTTCTACGCCGCGCAGCCCAAGGTGGCCTTCACGTCGTGCGAGATGGGGTACCTCGTCGGCGCCGAGGGCCCGCAGCAGTTCAACAAGTACGCCGACGGCGGCGGCGCCCGCCGCGGTGCGAGGATGGAGGACTCGAAAATCGACGGCCGTGAGATTTTCCTGTACGGCGACGATTGGCACCTCTACACCTAAAAAAAAAAAGGACGGGATCGACGGACAGGACAGGACCAAACCCCCTCAAAAAAAACAAGACCATATAATATGTAGATGTACGAAAAAGCAAACCGCAATAATGGATGATGATGATACGAATTCTTCAAAAGCCCCCTCCCCCCACTCCTGCTGCTCCTCCTTCCCACCACCACCATACCAATGCCCTCCTCCCGTCAACCACGCCGCCACACCCCCATCCATCTCTCTCGCCACCCTTCTTCCTTCATTCCCCTCCCCAGCCGATCAGCAAAACGAGAGAGATTCACCATCCATAATTCCGAACGGCAAAACAAAAAAGAAACATGTATCAGAATCCTGCCCACACCCAGAATCGAACTAGGGATCTTCGCATTGGCAATTTCCTCGTACGAGTGCGACGCTGTACCACTAAGCCATGCGGGCGGCGATGGTGTTGCTTGTCACCCAAGTACCTTGGTATACCAATCTACGGCGAGCTAAAAGCAACCTAGGGCCGGGCGGGCCAGGCGCGATCCGAACCGTTGCTTCCCGAATGCGGCAGCGGCAGCGGTAGCGGCAGCGGGAGAGTGGTGGGAGTGGTGGGTGGGTTGGTGGATTAAGGTTTAGCGCTCCCGGGGGCGGCCGTTGCGTACCTTGGTGGAAATATGTAGGTAGGGAGGGAGGGAGGGAGCGTGGACGGGACTGTCCGACGGGCGTCTCGCGGCGGAAGAAGACCCGCAGGAAGTCTTGAGCACGTAGCTGGCAAGCGTAATATTCAAAATAACAGAGGGTGGGTGTTATAAATAGACAGAACCACTCTTCTAAACCCCGCCCTTGAAACTGTTTGGACTAATTTTACAGATGGTCGAAGCAAGCATCTGGCTATACACGTCGGCCCAAAGCTTCGCAATACTATGCTGACCTCAACCTTACCTACCCCATGCAGGTCAAGTGTCAGACACACTACGAAGATGCTTGTGAAGGGGTGGGAGTCCTCTGAAGCCAATCGTGGCCGTCTCCGTTCAACCGTGAGATGGCCGAGCATCTAGCGGTCAAACAATCTCAACAGCCGTGGAAACGTTGCCTGCCCATCCTTCCTGCATGGTTTGGCCGAGCCCGTAATGCTTCCCTGCTCTTGCATCTTACCGTATCGCCTACGTTATTCCAATGCCATCTCTCACGTGGCACTCTTACCCCCGCAGTAGGTCTGCATTCGTGAATTTCGGCGAACTCGTTCATTCGATCCTATAAGGCTTGGCATCGTGGCCGAAAAGGAGATGGGGTTTACGCTCTGCCAGGTCGAGCATCGTTTGCGCAAAGACCGAGTTTGCCCAAGCAAACCAAGGCCCTGGAATCAAGTCAGCCTTGACCGCGTCACTGCGTCTAAGAATATAGGGACTCACTCGTGTAACTCTTCAGGTAGTTGACGTCGACACTCTCGTGCACCAGCCCAAGCTTGCTGGCAGCCTTGACATAGGAAATGGCCTCCATAATCTCCTCATCGTCATCAGATGTCATCGCTTGAACCAACAAGCTCATAGGCCATGCGTTTTGCAACCCGATGTGCGGGCCGCCGATGCCCTCGAAAGCTTTGCCTTTGAGGTAGTAGGGATTTCCCTGCTTCTCCAAAATCATCTTCCGCGTGTTTTGGTAGATTTGGTCTTTGGCATCGACAAAGCCGAGCAGAGGAAGCGCCAAGAGCGACGGGAGGTTCGCATCGTCCATCAAAATCGAGGAGCCGAACCCGTCGACTTCAAATGCAAAAACATCGCCATACTTCTTGTGGTGCACAACGCCGTGGTCCCACACCCCGGCTTCGATGGCTTCACTGTACAGCCTCACCTTCTTCGAATAATCGATGGCCTTTGCGCCACCGACCTTTTCGAGCATCTTTGCACAGCGCTTCAACTCGACCGCCATCATGGCATTTGCAGGGATCAGGTAACCGAGAATGGTCGCGTCGTCACTGGGCCGGAATGCACTTCGGACCAGACCAGTTCCGGCGTTGAGAGGATTGCCAATGCCACCGAGGTTGAGAGTCTCGGTGCCGGCGTCGGTACGACGCTTGAACGTGTACTCGTTCTTCCTGAAGTCGCCGTGCTTATCGAAAGTCGGCCTGGATTGCTGCTCGAGTACGTCAAGCAGCGTGTTGAGCGCCGTATACCAGCGCACATTCACAAATTCCGTGGATCCAGTATGGCTGTAGAACTGATTGGCCAGCGAAAGGAAATGCGCCAACGAGTCTAGTTCGTACTTGCATTCGAAGACGAACGAAGGTTCGTACACGGGATGAACAACGTCGTCCATGCCGTTGCTTGAGGCCGGGAGCTTGCTGGGAGGCGGCGGCTGAAAGGCGTTGCAATACGGCGATCCGATGACAAATTCGGCCTGGGTGTTGATGGCGCCCAAAATCAGACTCTCAATGGCCTTGTCCTTCTTGGCTAATTTCTGGTATTGGGCAAGCTGGTTGGTCGAGTCGCGCAGCCACTCGGCATTGATGTCTCCAGTGACGATGAAGCTTTGAACGCCCTGCCATGGCGCACGCATGTTTGGCATTGTCGTCTTGTCGCCCTCCGTGTGCCAGCGCACTGTCGTGTCGAGTGTGTTCGGAAACGCATTCTCAAAGATTCGAGCCAGGTCCTTGTCCACCATCCTGTCCTTCATTGCATCTATAACTTCCTCGACAAGCTGAGACTCGAACGTGCGACACACGGCGGCAGGGCGCTGGAAGGGCAGTTCCATTGGACCTTCGCTGTAGGGAGGACTGCAGCACAGCAAGCGTCAGCAAAACCAAGCACATTTTGCAATGAGCGGCTACCTACTGGCCATGCCTTGCATAGGCCGTGTAATCGGGACAAGCCTCGCGGGCTTTGGGATTGCCTGCCAGCGGATGCTGGCCGCTCCTCTTCTCAGCCTTCAGCTGTTTTGCATCCGACGCCGCATGCGCGCCATGGCCAACAAAGCTGGGCAGCGCCACGGCCGCCAGCAGCACGAGGCGCAAACATCCGGTGAGCAGGTGCATGGTCCGGAGGCACAGGTGAATGGGTGGAGAAGGTCTGTTCAGGGCGTCATGGTTCGCGGTGGATGAGGTTGGAGCTGTTGTGGAGATGTGGAGCTTGTTCCTGCTGCGGCAGCGGGATGCGCGCCCGACCAGGGTTCGTGTCGCATGCCGAGTCATGCCGAGTCATGCCGCCTACCCGCCGATCGTGCATCTACTGCCTGCTTCATTCTTCAGTGATAGTCCATGGAATCTATAGATGCCGCCCACGCCTGGAACACCAGTCCCGTACGCCAATCTAAAATGCTTTATTCGCGCGCACAAGAATCCACCCTGGCTACATGTCATCATAACTTATGAGAACCGCGCATTCATGCTACCGCCTGGTAATGTCTCCCATGCAGTGCTCAGACTCATGTCCTCCGTCACTGGTACCGTTGCCCCCCCACCCGCGGTCCCGGAATTCAGCTGTCCAAGCTGATAGACCCTCCGATTCGACCCCTCGCTGGATTCCGGCCATCCCGGGCTTAGCTGTCGATAGTTGTTCCCGTCGGAATATCCATATGACTGCGAGCCCCCTGCCGTCGAGCCGTCGAAATATGTCGCTGGGGACGATCCCGACATTGACTCTGTTCCAGGGCTGCCAGTGGCACTCCACATAGCATACCCGTTGCTCACGTCTTGTTTTTGCTGCTGCGATCGAACGTACAGCTGCGTCAACAGAGCTGCCGAGTCCTGCTGAAACCGGTCCCGCCAATTGATGTATCCGAACCGGTTTCCTAGTCGCGCTAGGATTGCCGAGAAGTTGTTGATTGTGTTGATGGCCTTCACCGCCTGGTTCTCCATACCTCCTGACCTCGCCTCTGGGAATGGTGGTGGCAACGCTTCACTACCGCTTGACGCAGGATCCAGGTAATCGTCTGTCGTCGACGTGGAAGTTGCTCGTGACGCTATTGGACGCGGTCCTTCTAAGAGCGACTCCTGATTTCTGGAGACAACGTCCACAAATTGGCGGCCGGTCATGTACGCTCTCATAGCGTCGTAGAACGTGACGGGCATTTTCTCACTCGAATCCTCCGACAACGCCCCAAGCATCCTTGACGAGTACGTGGCGCAATGCTCGAATATGAGCCGCTGTGCGTACTCGTTGATCCTTGGGCAGCGTGGACTTGGCGAGAGCGCGTAGACATAACTATAGAGCAGCTCGAGCTCGAAATACGTTCGGGATGCCGGCGAAATCTTCTGCGACAGTTTCATGAACCACGACGTCATCGAGTTATAGATCCTCCACAGGCGAGGATAGGGGTCTGGCCATGCGTCACGTTCTGACTGGAAGAGATCAGTGTACCAGGCTGACTGGATTTGACGTAAACGGAAAAGATCAAGAGCTGACTCGAAGGACTGGCCCCACTGGGTCAGCGATGATGATGACGCCTTCGAAGCGGAAGATGCGCTGCCGGAGAACGGAAGCCCGACGTGCGCCGAATCATCGGAGAAGGAGAAAGACCTCGTTTGGACCAATGAAGTCTCCCTGATGACAGCGTCAGCCCACTGCCGACAAGGACATATTGGAAGACTCACCTGTCAATGGCATACAGACAGTGATACACACGCCTTCGAAGCTCAAGCTTGGGCTTGCTCATCGACGCGCTCTTGGAGGGATCCACGTGCATACCGAGATCAACCATTGCCCGCGACGCAGCACCGACGAGGGTCCAACTGTCAAAGTGATGCGGATCTAGCATCGAGTACTGTGCCAGGAGCAACATGGCCTGTATGCTTGCAACAGATCCGGGACGAAGCACGTCTTCTGCATGTTCGAGGGCTGCATTAACATGGCCTACAGCATCGCTGTAATGCACGTCTCCGCGCTGCTCCGAATAACTGATGGACGAAATGGCAAGGACCATCCGTAGCGTCCAGAAATCGAAAGCACCCGCCTTACGCTGGTCAGGCTGGTAGACGGCGTCGACGGAGCCGTAGAAACTGGTCTCGTCCAGGATAGGCAGGAGCACGAACATGGAGTCGAGGTAGTGTTGGATCAGGGAGGTGATGGCATACCGGGGGGGAAGGCTTTTGGCCATTCCCGAGGGCAAAGGCTCCTTTGAAGAGGCAGACAGGATGAGGCGGGCGTAAGACATGGCTGAAGTAAAGCCGTAGAAATCGCGGGCGGTGGCGTTGACTGACCTGGAGGGGCTCAGCGGGCGGTCACAAGCGGGCGGGCACAAGCGGGCGGGAAGAAGGCTTACAGCAGCCCAAAGTCGGAGACGAGGTCGTTGATGTCGTCCTCCTCTTTGCGGCGAGCGGCCTTGTCCGTGGCCTTGGAGACATTGGCGGCGGGCGCCGAACGGGGGGTACTCTGATGGGCATCGGGCTCGGTCATGGTCACAGACGAGCGGCGGCGCGAGCGGGCGTCGTGCAGTCGCTTCTCGAGCTTCTCCACGCGGGCCTCCAGCGTGGCCACATAGCTGCGCTCCTTGCCGCGGGCAAACTGGTCGTTAGTGCTGGAGCACTCGGCGGCGCGGTTGGCCTTTTCGCAGGCGGTGCAGGCCGGTAGCTTGCCGTCGCACTTGACCTTGGCGCTGCGGCATCTCGAGCAGGCGGCAACGGGCCGGCTGACGCGCAGCAGCGGCGTCTCCAGCACCATCAGAGGGCTGTCTCGGGCAGCGTCGTCTGGATACATGTCAGTCAATGCGCCTGGGGCCGGCCGTGCGTGGGCGAGGCGGCGCACTACGCACAGGCGCGGCGACTCACCTGGGGCCTTGGACGCGGGCGGGGTGTGCAGCGTGGGGTATCGCAACGTGGGCTACGTGGACGTGCGCATACGGCACCGCAGGCAGCAGTGATCGGGTAGGTCGTGGGAGGTAGTTTGGGGCAGTCGGCCCGCCGAGAGGTGATGATGCGGTTCCAGGCGATGCGGCGGGAGCCTATCACTGCAGCCCGTAGCGCGGCGGCGTCCCGGCCTGCGCCTTGACGATCTCGCCGTGCGCGGCGAGCCTCGTCCCAGACCCGTCCCCGTCGCAGCGCCGCCCTCGACTTGAGCCCTCCGCCATGGCCCCGTGCGGCCTGTCCTCTCTCCCAGTCTCCGTCTCGAGGCCCGCCCCAGCGTAGCGACCATGGACGCCGCCCACCCAGTCGCGCCCTCTGCCCCGCCAGGCAAGCGCGCCGCCAGCGACGCGCACTCGGGGCCCCGCATTGCCCACACGCTGACGGCCTGTGTGCGCTGCCGCACCGTACGCTCCCACTCCCGCCTCCAGACCCGCCCCGCTGACCCAGTGCTGCCAGAGGAAAACGAGATGCGACCCCGGCCTCCCTCGCTGCGGCCCCTGCGAGCGCAACAACGCCCACTGCGAGTATTTCGACCCGGCCAAGAACGCAAAGATCCCGCGCAACTACGTCGTCCACCTGCAGCATAAGGTCCGCGATCTGGAGCGCCAGCTGGAGGAGCTGGACAAGGATGACTTCGAGCCCGACACCGAGGACGTCGTGCGCGGCGCCGCCGCCGTGCGCATCCACGAGAGCACCGAGAACCGCTTCCTGGGCCCGTCGAGCGGCATTGCCATCGTCAAGCTGGTCATGCAGCTGGCCAAGCAGTTCACCGATTCCAAGAGCATTTCGGAAATCGTCCCCGACTCGCATGCGCGCCTCGTCAAGGAGGCCTTCCGTCAAGAAGATGCCAAGCCCACCTCCAAGATCTACCCTCTCGTGAGCGATGTCGCCGCCGAGGAGTTGCCCACGCGCGACCTGACCAATCTGCTCGTCCAGCTCTTCTACCTCAAAGGTGAGCCCTGCATCTTCTGTACACGCCCGTGTGCCACTTCTGATAGCGGGTGTTTGCAGTCCAACCCATGTACCCTATTTTGCACGAGCCGTCCTTCCTGCAAGACGTCGAAGCTGTTTACAACAATACTGCCAATGCATACCAGAATTTCATGGTGCGCATGGTCATTGCCATCAGCCTTCAGAAGATGGATACGCAGTATGCAGGACTGGCTGATGCGTACTACCTCGCAGCCCTGCGCTCCCTCGAGGCTGCGGTTAAACCAATGGACTTGGGTACAATTCAATGCTTCTGCCTCATTGCCGGCTATTCTCTGACAACGCCTACCCGTACCGCTGTTTACTACATAGTAGGCCTGGCCGTGAGGCTTGCCGAAGCGCTTGGGCTCAATGAGGAGAAGACTGTCGTGCTCGGGAAGGGAGGGAAGATGGCCGATCCTCTTGAGGTGGACATGAGACGGCGTGTATTCTGGTGCATCTTGACCATGGACCTCGGCTTGGCACACAGTCTGGGCCGTCCAGCAATTATGGCGACGCGCCAAGAGCATTTTGATCTGCAGTTCTTCTCCATGGTCGAAGACCAGTTTATCCAGCCTACGGGCATTTTGCCTGCGCAGCCTTGCCTCAAAAAGTGGATTGCTATCCACTTCTTCCGGATGAGGCTGTTACAATTGGAGATTCGGAGAAAATTGTACCAGAAGAAGAGACCCGAGCCGAAAGATGACCAGGATCCTTGGTTCCAACAGATGGAAGCGAAACTAATTGCTTGGAGAGACACGAGCCCCGAGGTTGACGGTGGATCGGGTCTCAACAAAGTATGGTATGTATCTCGCACTGTCTCTATATGACTGTCATCAGAAACGCTGACTATTTTGGTGTAATGCAGGTTCGTCGGTCGCTACAACACGATGATTGTCTTCCTGTTCCGCCCTTCGCCACAAGTCCCTCGTCCCTCTGTTCGGGCCGCGACCCAATGCTACGACGCTTGTGAATACAACATTTACATGCAGCGCAAGCAGATAGAGACGAGAAGCGTTGAACTCACCTGGATCTTTACTCAGTCCATTTTCATGGCTATCAACACAATGTTGTGGTCGCTTTCCTACGCCGAAGTTCGTCGTATGCATTCTCGAGAAGACGTAGAGCGCCATCTCCAGGTCGCCCTAGATGCCATCGACTTGGCTTCGGAGAGGTGGCCTGGTGTCGCTTCCGCCAGGGTCCTCTATCAAAACCTCATCGAGGCTTGCCTCAAGGTGTATGGGAAGAAGGGGGACATTCCGATATCTGCAACATCCCCGTCCGACAGTACTTCGGCTCCGTCTCCGAGCGTAAGGGACGACGGTAGCACCAGATCTCGAACTATGAGCCCAGCAACGGTATCCACCGGATCACTATCAACTCCCCCGGAGCGTCCCGATGCGCCTTTCGGTTACATCTCCCCCCAAACCAAGCTCGATTTCAACATGAACAACGACCAAAACCAAACCGGCTTCTCGATGTACCAGTCCCAACAGCATCTCCAGTCTACGCAGTCTACGCCGACAAATTCCGTGTCAATGACAGCTGACATGAACATGAGCTCGCCAAGTAGTATGACAAGTATTTCAAGCCCTGGATTTGAGCAACAAATGCAATATAATGCGATGCCAGTCTCTTTTCCCGATTTACCCGCATGGTCACCCTCTTATACGACCTCTCAGGCCTCAGACGCGTTCGGCCAGTCAATTGCCCACCAGCGGTATCAGAACTCCATGGAAGAATTCTCCGGTGCACCTCTTGCGACAGCCGTCGGAGCTTTGTACACCGATTACCTCGAGAACGAGCAGCCATCATGGAGCATGCAACGAGCTGGCGTTGGGCTGAATCAGGCGCAACAATTCGAGCTTCTGGAAAGCCTTCAAACTCACGGACCAGAACAGATTGAAATGATGATCGAGGAGAGCAACGCATTGTTTGCGCCATCATCGCGGCCATATTGATCACTCTGGCCCCACCTTTCGGATCCAGCATCGAGCGATGCTAGTTGTTCTAGCCAAATGCTCGCTCCAACCTGTTGGATCTTGTGCATTGCACTAGTGCATGCCGCTCGAGCTAAGGTGTTCGAGACCGAGCCACGCTCTACTAGAGCGCCCACGATGCCTACTTCTACCAAGCATTGAACAGATGTTCAGGTGATAAGAAGTCGTGGGTACTGTTGCCACCCTAGCCGCAAGTGAAACCATGCAGCCCGGGAGTACTCGACAAAACCCCCGGTGAGCTCATGTGATTCGCTCGGATGGGTTCAACACAAGTGGACAAGCACGCAGCAGTTCGTCATCACTTAAGTCCATCACGCTCGCTCTCCCGACCAAATCAGGCAGTCGAGAATGCCTGTTGCTGCTGCTGTCGCTACAAAGAACAGTGTTCTCACACGCACGGAAGCCCTTCCCATTTACAATTGCTGTCAGACTTTTCCAAATACCCGGTTCATGAAATTTACTCTCTAAATGCCAGAAAGGTGTGTTCTTTAACGGCTGATTTTGACGGAACAATGCATATACAAAAAAAAGCGCGGACTTTTGGATCGGGTTTGGCAGGCAGGGGCTTGGAGATCCGGTGTTACAAAGGGACGGACTTTGTTTTCATTTATTTTGTGCTAGGGCGTCACCAGCTATTTTTTGTTCTTTCCTGTCGATTCGAAATTTTCACATAGAATAAGCAGGTTGGCGAAAGAGTTCAGCAGTGCTTCCTTTGGGCATTTTGGACCCCCATCATCGAAGTCTGCTACATCCTCTGATATCTGAGGATAAAAGAGGGCCGAAAGAAAAAAGGCCTTTTCCCACCCTTTTTCCCCCTCCTCGCGAGATGATGCTGGGGTGACCGACTTGAATGATGATTTGTGCAACTCCAAAGGACATGCTCCCCATCTAGAAAGCCTACTACTTAGTTGCTCAAGGCCAAGCAAGCGTCGACAGCCAGGCCGACTCTGCGCCGCAAAGTTTGTGTTAGCCCTCTCGAATCCTCGTGCGATGGTGATGGAACACTTACCGGCCCTCCTTCATCCTGACAACGTCATCGATGACGTCTCGATCAAGGTCTGGGAACATGCCCGCCAGTGTCTCGACCACGACTCGGTGCTCCTGACGCTGTATCCTGCGTGCTTCTTCAGCTTCCGCACTGGCTTGCCTCGCAGCCGCGTCCTCGGCGCTGAATGCCTGGCGCTGCTCGATGCTGCGGTGGTCGGGCGTCAGGCGCGGGGTGTTGCCGGGCTGAGGAGTGGGGACGGGTTGCTGCTGCGAGGCGCTTGTTGTCGGCTTCTCCGACATGTTGTCATCCGAGAAGATGCGGCCGATTGTGGATAGCGGCCGCTGGATGGTGCGCAGAAGCCCCGCTACTGCCGCGTTCTCCTCCTCGCCTTCTGGCCCGTTGCCTGCGCTCGACCCACCTCGAGATGAAGATGCTCTCGCAGGGACACGTTCTGCATCAAGGGAGTTTCTTGGTGTTACCTCGGGTCTGCTGAGCGCTGATTTTTCCGATACGTGGACGCCTGGTGATGGATGCCGGTTGTGGGTTTGCGGTCGTTGCCGTTGCTCATCCAGGGAATTCCTCTCCGCGATGGCAGACACGGCAGCTTCTACGTTCCTCTCGAAATCCTCGTCGGTGATTGTGAGGCTGGTGCGGTCAAGGTTTTCAATGAACTGGATAGCACCCATCTGGAACATCATAGGTGAGCATGCAGCAGTTGATGATAGCCGGAGAGGATTTCTTACCAAAGACGAGATGTAATAGCCTGCCTCACCCCCAAGCTTGTCTTGGTTGCGGAAGCGGAGAATATATTGCACATTTGAGACAAGGTGATCCGGATTCGCTCGAAGAACGGTGAAGATGAGTAAGGGGACGAACGAGTCTGCTGATTGATCCGACTGTGCATTTCGCAGGAACCCTACTTCAATCAGCTGGTTGATGCTGCAAACGTTTGCCGCACTACTTACCAAAAATAACCTTGCAGCAGTTGAGGATGCAAATGACTTTGTCGCGCGGAGCGCGGTAGTTCCGAATCTTGAGGAGCTCTGGCAATTTGTTAGCTTACTGATCTGGCCGGAAGCAAATTTGAAGGGATACATACCTTGCTGCGCAAGCTTGAGGAACTTCATCCCCTTGTCATTCACAGGCTTGATATCCAGATGTTCCTCTGAAACCCAACTGTAGATCCGGATTTTTTGGGCCAACACTTCATCCCTTTCAACATCTTCCTGATGTTGGCCCCGCCTTCCTGGGCCCCCCGGTGTGACCCTCCTTCGACCCTTTCCGAATATGGGTTCTGGCGGCGGTATCGCAGGGGAGAAGGTCTGAGAGTACAGCCTATTCATGACCAGCTTCTCCATCCCCTCTCTGGCGTTGTCAAATTCGGGGTCTGATACTGTACGCCAGACTTCACATTGTGCCATCTTCTTGCTGATAAACTCGAGAAAATCGCTTATGATCTTGACTTGCTCGTGGACCATCCATTGCTTTTTACCAAACTCATACAGGAACGATCGGAGGAACTTAGCGACAGGATCAGCGGTGCGGTGGCGCAGTTGTTCGAGGAATCGATGGAAATCAAAGGGGAGATCGGGTTCGGGATCAGGCTCCGGGGGCGGGGGTTTGTATATGGAATGAGGATGCGACGGAGCGGGGCTTGGAGCAGGAGCCTGATCGGTGGCAGCAGGGCTGGGTAATGAGGTGTTGGATGACATTCCGGGAGGCAACGGAGACTGGATAACAGGAGATAAGGGTGGAGCCTCGGTGTGCTGCGGAACATGCAAGGTACTGGCTTCAGGCGGTAGCAGACTCGACCTCCGAGGTGGAAAAGCCTGGGGCGGCTGATTGGTGAATATCGGATTTGCCCTCTCCAATCTGGGAGACATGATCTCGTCCATGCCTGGCCCTTCGCCGCCATCGCCAAACTGGTCCATGATACTTTGTATTTCAGACCTCGAGTCTTCGGTTGCGCCCGTGGAGATTGTATTGTCTGCAGCGTCGTCCTTCTCCTCGAAAGCAGTGGCGTCCTCTTTCTCGTTGAAAGCAGACGCCTCGTAGTCCTGCGGCGGGAAGCCGGGGGATATAGGCGACTCAGGAGCCGAGGGGAAGTTGTTTTTGGGTACGAGGTACTTCTCGTCCTTTGCAGGAGGAGGAGGCGGGGGTGGGGAGCGCACCCTGTCGGTGGATTGAGAAGGGGGGGAGGCGGAATCCAAGGTAAAGGCATTCAGCTGAGCTGCTGGAGGCTCAGAGGACGCGCCCGAGGCCTTGGTCCCACCTCCAGCCGACTCGCCAGGCGACTCGCCATGCGGCTCGAGCTTGGGCGCATCGTCCTCGACATGGGCGTCGGTCTCCGCAGCAGTTGCTACGGCATCGGGGGCTTTGGGATCGGCATGGTCGGCGTTGGAGACAGGATCGTTGGGTTGAGGAGACGGCTGCGGGGGCGGGGCAGCTGGTTCAGTAGAAGCAAGCTGGTCGTCGGGTTTAGCGAGTAGCTCCGGGGGAGACATCAGCTGCGGTGCGGGCAGCTGGGCGGGGCGGGAGCTTGGGACGGGGAGCCTAAAGTCCCATGCGGCGGGGCAGGCGAGAGGCAGAGAGGTGGAGGCCTGGGAAGATCGGCGGTGGTGGTGCGGAGGGGCTTGCGGCTCGCGGAGCGTGAAGATGTTCGATAAGGTGCAGGTGGTCTGGCTTGAGGAGAGCGTAGGGCTGGCCTAGCGCCTTTTACCGCCTTCGTCATGCGCGCCAAGGGTCCCAACTATTTCCTCCCACACCACTCCCGGAACCCCAATGTGCGGCATCTTTGCCTCGCTGAGCCGCCATCACCATGTCCGTCCCGACCGAGGCACCGCGCTGTTCCTGGACAACAGGGGCCCCGACTGCTGCCACACCCTAGAGCGCTCCATCGACGCCGCCGCCCGCGTGCATGCTGTCTTCCGCTCCACCGTCTTGGCCCTGCGGGGATCGAGCGTCGTTCCGCAGCCGCTGCTGGACGCCGCCGACGGCTCCATCTTGTGCTGGAATGGAGAGGCTTGGGAGATCGACCAGGAGCCCGTAACCGGCAACGACTCCCAGGCCGTGTTGAAGCTTTTCCAAGACGCATGCGGTCAAAGCCGGCCCAACTCGGCGGCCGCGGTCGTCGACTGTATTTCGCGCATCCGCGGGCCTTACGCCTTTGTGTTCTACGATGCCGTTGGCCGCCGCCTGTTCTACGGTAGAGATTGTCTGGGCCGACGTTCGCTGCTGCAGAGCACCACTGAGGCCGGCGACTTGGTGCTGTCGAGCATCTGCGACGGCCATGTCAGCTCATCCTGGCGTGAGGTTGAAGCTGACGGTATCTACATGGTCGATTTGGACGCTGGCATCGCGCCCACTTTCCGCGTCACCCACATCCCGTATCTGTATCCAGGCGCTGACGCTGTTGAGAGCCCGGCGTTGGTGAGTTCCGTTTGACCTGAGCAGCCTCCACGTCGCCGCCGGCTTAACTGACGCCGCTGTCAGGTATTGCCATACTCGCCATTGAATCGGGCCGTGTCTACAAGTCCGCCTTTGCTGGCTGAAGACTCCTCGCCCGTGAGCTCGTTGAGGGACCACCTGGTGAGATCGCTCAAACTGCGCCTGAAGGACGAGACGCCCAGTGCCCATCACAGCGGCGACAAACAGGACCAGAAGCACGCAAAAATCGCCATTCTTTTCTCCGGTGGGCTCGACTGCACGGTCATCGCTCGCGTCGCGCATCAAATTTTGCCGTATTCCGAGCCTGTCGATCTTCTTAACGTGGCATTCGAAAACCCTCGTATCCATCGTCCCCACACCGATAAGAGCGGGTCCGACTTTTCGCCCTACGAGCTCTGCCCCGACAGGATTACGGGCAGGGCTTCCTATGCCGAGCTGTGCGACGTCTGCCCAGAGCGAGCTTGGAGGTTTGTTGAAATTAATGTTCCATATGTGGAGACATTAGCCCACCGCGACGTGGTCATCGCGTTGATGCACCCGCACAACACCGAAATGGATCTGTCCATCTCGTATGCTCTCTACTTCGCCTCCCGTGGCCGTGGCACGGTGAAGGAGCTCGCGGGCCAACGAGTCGAATACGCCACACCGGCGAGAATCCTCTTGTCCGGACTTGGTGCGGACGAGCTCTTTGCCGGATACCAGCGCCACGCCACAGCCTTCAGCCGCAACGGCCTGACTGGTCTCATCGACGAACTCGAGCTGGACATCACCCGGCTCGGCAAGCGGAACCTGGGCCGCGACGACCGAGTCATTTCGAACTGGGGTAAAGAAGTGCGCTTTCCCTATTTGGACGAGCAGCTGCTTGCCTGGGCGTTGCAGGTGCCGGTGTGGGAGAAGACTGGGTTCGGACAGGCGCCAGCCCCGGACTCGGGCAGGGGTGAGACGGTGGAGCCGGGAAAGAAGGTGTTACGACTGCTCGCATGGGGGCTGGGAATGAGGAGTGTGGCGTTTGAGAAGAAGCGCGCAGTAAGTCTACTCTGCCTAATCCTGCAAGCCACTTGAAGGTACTAAGGAAGATAGATCCAATTCGGAGCTCGCACGGCCAAAATGGAGGCCGGAAAGGTAAAGGGGACGCAGGCAATAAAATAAACAGGTGAGTGTATTTTTGGAGACGGATTTGTGTCGATTGAACCCCTTCATGATGGTGGTGATGATTGGTCAGGGGCACGTCCCCAGACCATCAGATACTTGTGAGATGGAGCGCCTCCAAGCATGGGCGCGGCAGCTACTCTGGGTTTTCCGCATCGAAAGCAGGATAACCGGGTATTGCTGTCGTCAGCCTGCGGGAGAGGCGCAAGTCGTTGATCAAGCAAAGGCAAGTCTGAGCCATCATGGGGACCGGCGGCGGATTGGCGAGTTATTTGCACGGCCACATCGAGAAAAGGTCCGAAATGCTGACGATAAATATATCTAGGGTGTGGTCGGGCCGGGGGTTCAAGCCTTGGGCGGTGCGGAGATGAACCCTTCTCGGTAAGGCGGAGCAAAATGGCATGTCGCGCTTGGCGGCGGGGCGTGCTCTGGCGGACCAAGGGCTTCCAAGACGTTGGGTGGAATGCGGTGCATTGGCGGACAAATCAGGTGGCGCACGCGACAGGCAGAGGCGCTCGGCCATCCTTAGTCGTCGACGGCACATCCTGGCACATCCGACGATCTAAATACTCACACGAGCGGCGAGGCACGGCGCTGGGCGGATGGCGGCCGGTCGGTAGCAGCGGCTTCTATTGGCTCTAAGGAGTGGGAATAGGAGGGACTCGAGGGGGGTCGCCGCGCAAGACAAGCATTTTTCGGGAGCCGGAGACGGTTAAGGGGCCTAAATCCAACGTCATTGCCGAAGCGCGAGTGGGCCGAAAAGGGAAAAGGGATCCACCAGCGATCGGACTGCGGCGAGTCAACAACAGCCAAGCACGCGGGCGGCTTCTGGTGCGTTATGCAGCGGCGTGCAGCGCCCCCCTGGCCGGCGTGGTGGCAGGCGGGCGGGCGACGACACCCACCGCCGATCACGCACCAGAGGTCCGCAGAGTGGGCTGCTCTGTTCGTATCCAGCACTCGCCGCGGCGGCAGGCCTTTCCACGGCGGGAGCTGCCGCGCGCAGCTGGTGCACCGGGGCCGCGGCTTGGACTCGCAGCTGGCGTTTTCCCCTTAATCTGAGCCGCCGAGAGCCCGCTCGTTTCAAGCCGGCCTATCCCTCGTCCGCGGGCGACTCGCTAAGTCCGTGCTTCTGCACCACCACCTCGCCCTCTTCTATCGCGCCTCCTCTCCTTCCTCTCCGTTGCGAGAGTGTCTGCTGTTTTTGGTGCGCGCCTGCACTGCCATTCCTTATATCTTGCGCCTTCGACATTCTTTACACAGGGCCTCCACCGCGCCTGGTTCCCGCGCCGATCGTTCATTCGCTCCCTCAGGCCGCCCCCGTTCACTAGCCACAGCTGCATTAATCATGCTCCTCCCACGCTCATTCGCCCTCGCTGGGCTCGCAGCCACTCTTCTGCCCCAGGCTTTGGCGCAGACATGGACTTCCTGCAACCCTCTCAACGCGACGTGCGGCAACCAGCCCGCCCTGGGCACAAACGCCACATTCCACTGGAACAAGACGCAAGCCGACTCGGACCTATGGAACTCGACGGCGGGCACCATTGACTTCTCCACCACAGGTAATGCTTCTGCGGCCGTGCTGGGTCCGCAACGTTGCTAACGCGCCGCGCAGGTGGTGAGTTCACCATCAACGGCCAGGGTGACTCCGTGTCCATCATGTCCAACTTCTTCATCTTCTTCGGCCGCGTCGAGATTGTCATGCGGGCGTCGCCCGGCCAGGGAATCGTCAGCAGCATCGTGCTGCAGTCGGAAGATCTGGACGAGATCGACATCGAGTGGATCGGCGGAAACAACACCCACTGGCAATCCAACTACTTTGGCAAGGGCAACACCACGACGTACGACCGTGCCGTGTGGCACCCGATCGACGACCCGCAGGGCCACTGGCACAACTACACGATCGACTGGACCCAGGAGAAGCTGGAGTGGTGGGTCAACGACGAGCTCATCCGCACGCTCAAGTACGAGGACGCCAACAACGGCGACAACTACCCGCAGACGCCGATGAACCTGCGCCTCGGCAACTGGCCCGGCGGTGATCCCGACAACAACAACATCGGAACCGTCGAGTGGGCTGGTGGCGAGGTGCTGTGGGACGATGCTCCTTTCACCATGACGATCCGCGACGTCTACATCCAGGACTACAGCGAAGGCAAAGAGTACAAGTGGGGCGACAACTCTGGCAGCTACGAGAGCATCGAGATCATCAAGTAAGTGGTGCCCTTTTTTTCTTTCCAACGGTCGCGGGCAGCGGCTGACTCGCGATTGCAGCGGCACTTCGGCGGCAAAGGACGTGCTGTACGGTGTGCACGGCGTGTCGGGCCGCTGGCAGGCGATGCCGGCGGCGACGCGCGGCGGCATCGTGGCAGGCGCGCTCGGCGGGCTCGCCGTGTGCGCGGGCGCCTTCGTCTTCTGGTGCATGAAGAAGCGCAACCAGGGCGCCAAGGCTCACAAGCTCGAGGACGACAACTGGGCAAAGGAACAGGAGGAGCTGCTCGAGTACAAGTCGCAGTACCAGCGCATGCGTCCGGACAGCTCGGACGTGCACCGGTAAGGGTGCGACGATGAGTGATTCGCGTCATGTTTGGGAGGAGTTTGTCTACGTTCGGTCGAGAGTGAAGTTCGTTCAGGTCATGTCATGCAGCCGGCCATCTAATCGGTGGCTTGAGAGGAGTCTTTTGCGGGTCCATATACCCTATTATTTTACGGCAATATTATATTACTAGTGTTCTTCTGCTTCGACTTCATCTGCGCAGGGCTGACGCTGCTGCTGTGGCTGTGGCTGGCCGGGGCTGGCGCCAAGCCTCGCCTGGGGTGGCAGGGATGGGCCAAGGGTGCAGGACCCTGGCACGCTGGCACCTGGGTGCCTGGCCGCCACTCGCTGTCAACTTGGCTTCCTACCGCACCGCTTTTGTGCTCTACCAGACTACCATATTCTTGCATCGCCGCTCCTCGGAACCCGCTCGGCTTGCACTTGCACCCCTTCACTAGCGGCACAGCCCGCACCGCATCGCTCGCTCGCCACGCCGCTCCCGGCCGCCACTGGTGCTGGTGCTGGTGCTGGTGCTGGTGCTGGTGCTGGGCTGGTGCTGGCGCCCTCCGCACGTGCTGCCATCACGACCGCCTCTCGACCTGCAGATCTGCGAGCTGACCGTCGCCATGGACCAGCCCGACGCTGACCCTGCCTCCGCGCATCCTAACCCTGAAAATCCCCCCAGCTACCCCATGGACCCGCGCGAGGATGCACTGCTGCCCCCCGCCATTTTGGACCCCGGTCTGGCTTCCGACAGGGCGCCGACCACCATCCCGCCCGTCAATGAATTCCTGCCCCCCGCCCAGGGCCCCGAGAAGGACCGCCCCACCAACGATGCCATGCCCGTGAGCCTGGACGACTGCGAAGAGGAGCCCGCTGAACCCAAGTCATTCGAGCGCACCAACAGCCCCGCCCAGATGCTGCGCACCCGCGCCGTGGCCTACGACAAAGTGGGCGAGGATGGCATCAATAAGATGCACAAGTTCACGCTATACGAGACAAGCCACCGCTTCTACCTCGTCGGCGCCGACGTCCTGGACATGCATTTCCGTATCCTCAAGATCGACCGCACTGCCCCGCCCGGCCACCTCAATATCTTCGAGGACGACAACGTCTACGACCGCAAAGACATGAACGAGCTCTTAAACACCATCGACGAAGGCAACAAGGGCTCCGGTGGCCTGAAGTTGAAATGCGTCGCCTGGGGTCTGCTGGGCTTCATCCGCTTTACCGAGGCCTACTACATGCTGGTCATCACCAAACGCACTGCCGTCGCCATGCTCGGAGGCCACTACATCTACCAGGTAGACGGCACCGAGATGATCCCCCTGACCACCGGTCCCACTTCTCGTTTTGCCAAAGACCGCAATCCCGAGGAAGCACGGTTCTTGAGCAGCCTCAACAACCTGGACCTGACGCGGTCCTTTTACTTCAGCTACGCCTACAATGTGACCAGATCCCTCCAGCAGAACATCATCCGCGAGCGCGAGGCTTTGTGCAAGGGTCACCAGTTCCCCAAAGCAGACTTTCAAGAGATGTTTGTCTGGAACCACTACCTCCTGGAGCCCGCGCGCGGTGCTTTGAAGAACACCTATGATTGGTGCTTGCCAATCATTCACGGCTTCATTGACCAGTCTACCCTGGACATCTTCGGGCGTCGCGTTTACATAACAATCATCGCCAGGCGATCGAGATACTTTGCTGGCGCTAGGTTTCTGAAGCGTGGTGCAAACGACATCGGCTACGTCGCGAACGATGTAGAAACAGAGCAGATCATTTCCGACCTGCTAACCACATCCTTCCATGCTCCTGGGCCGCGCTTGTATGCCAACCCTACCTATACCTCGTACATCCAACATAGAGGCAGTATCCCCTTGTACTGGACTCAGGACAACAGTGGTGTTACCCCCAAACCTGATATTGACCTGAACCTTGTGGATCCGTTCTATAGCGCTGCAGCATTCCATTTCGATAATCTATTCGAGCGGTATGGAGCGCCCTGCTATGTCCTCAATCTGATCAAAGCAAGAGAGCGCACTCCTCGCGAGTCCAAACTGCTACATGAGTTCAAGAAGGCTGTTGACTACCTAAACCAATCCTTGCCTGTAGACAAAAAGATCATTTACAAGGCATTCGATATGAGTAGAGCATCAAAGACGCGCGGCATGGACGTCATTGGAAGCCTGGAGATGATTGCTGAGGACGTACTTCAAAAGACGGGCTTCTTCCACAATGGAGATGCGGAACGAGACGAGCCACAGGTCCAGAACGGCGTCGCGAGAACCAACTGTATCGACTGCCTTGACCGAACGAATGCAGCACAATTTGTCATTGGTAAACGTGCCCTCGGTCGGCAGCTCAAAGCGCTAGGAGTGATATCTGGCAACACTGTCGAGTACGACTCCGATGCTGTCAACATATTCACCTACATGTTTCATGACCATGGCGACACCATCGCCATCCAGTACGGAGGCTCGCACCTCGTCAATACCATGGCGACATACCGGAAAATCAACCACTGGCAAAGCCATTCCAGAGACATGGTGGAGAGCTTCAAGCGGTACTATCACAATTCTTTTCTCGACTCGCAACGGCAGGAGGCATACAATTTGTTCCTTGGAAATTACAAGTTCGCGCAGGGCCAGCCAATGCTCTGGGACCTCGCCACGGACTACTATTTGCACCACACTGACCCGAGGCAATGGCCGATGAAGAGACGAAAGGACTACATTAACTGGTTCACACCCCAGTTCCTGGAACCTCGAGTTTTGCCTCCGTGCAGCAGACCAGCGCCAAACGGAGAAGCCGACAGGACTGAAGCTTTTGACGACTACTGGCAGGAATACTACCGTCCTCTGTCATTGTCGTCGATTGCGAAAATCTTCACATTCAAGATGAATATGACGCCGAGGCTGGTGTCAGGGAATTCAGGCGGCGGGAAATCATACGACCTCAGTCCTTTCACGCCTCGAAAGCACATACCGCATGAGATCGAGCAGCCGCCCCCTGAGAAGAAGGTCGCAACCAGGAAGGGAGTGACCATTCTCGATCCACACAGCGAAGAAGACTCCATGCGAGAGGCATCCGTCCCCATGTCCCGCGGCCCGTCCGCGCCGGGCGGCCCCATGGAAAACTCACCCGCAAAGCAAAGCATCCTCCGCGACCCCCACTTCGAACTCGGCGTCGTGCCGCCGCACTCATCCACCACCGCCGGCGGCGCGTCATTCACGAACCCCTCGTCGGCGTTCCGGCCGCCCGACAAGTCGCAGATGACGCAGTGGTCGCTCAACCAGTTCCACCACAGCTCGCTCAACCCGTCCGTCACGGGGGCGGAAGCGTCGGAATACGAGCGCTACATCAGCCACCCGCTCAACCTGCCCCTCGTCGTGTCCACCGAGCTTCCCGACGACTTCTCGAACATGGACTTCGTCGAGTACGTCAACAGCGTCAACGGCGCGACGGGTGACGGCGGCCGGAACTGGGAGGTCGGCGAGGATGAGTTGGCCGAGTATAGGGACTTTTTGAATGTGCCGGAGAATCCGCTGACGGTGATTGAGGAGGATGGCGAGAAGAAGCGGTATAAGCGGTACAGGCAGTGGCTTAGGGGGAAGAGTCTGTTCAAGCAGAGTAAGGTCGATCCGGAATATCGCGAGTTGGGGATGGGGAGGCGATGATGGTTATGTTTTGTCGTTGTTTTGTTTTATTCTCCGGCCTTTGTCTTTTGGGGAACTTCTGGAACGTACTCTCTGGCATGATTTACGAGCGTTTCCTTGCTTATGAAAACTTTTGATCTTACTTTTCCTTTCAACTTACCATACCGTTTACTACGTCGCCACATTCGAAACGAGCAGATGGAAATAATGAGTCCCACGGCCGTAGTCAGCGCACAGCGCTCCGTCACGTCGCATTCACACCTGGCGTTGGTAAAAGACGCTTTTCCATCATAGACAGCTTTATCTAGGCCATTGATCAGTGAGGTGGGCTCCCGAATATTATGAAACAAGAAACATGACCCGAAGGTCAATAAGTAGAAGAAGTTGTTGCGAGTGGTTAGTTGATCATGATTCGTATCATCTCATCTCCGCAAAGCATGAACTCAAGTGCCAAAAAAAAAAGAAAAAAAAGAAAAAAAGAGGAACCTCTCCTATACCAAATGAGGTGGATATCAGCGCACGCATTCATGCGCAAAATTCTGTGATGAGAGACTTCGTCTACCGTCCACATCCAAAGCACAAAATCCATTCCCTTTCTCTCATCGTCTTTTCATTTCCTCCTCCGCAAACCAGCCGGCCGCCGACCGGGGCGAATGTACCGTCGTTTCTTCATCACGCATACAATCGATCCCGCCCTAATGCAGCCTCCTCAGCGTCTCAACCAACCCCCTGACTTCCTCGACGTCGATTTCCGCGTAAATGCCCTTCACCAGATCCTCCTGCACGCGCGGTTCAAGGTCGAGGAAGCGTTCGATGAGGTCGCCGTCGACGAAGCGGTTGGGCTCCTCCTCATTGCGGACTTGGCTCTTGAACGCGCGGTAGCGCAGGAACGGGTAGTTGCCCGGGCTCTTGACGAACTCGGCGAGCTGAGATTGCAAGCGGATGAGGAGGTCGACCTTGGAGGGCGCAATGAGGGCGAAGAGGTAGATGGAGCCCTCGACCTGTAGATGGCTCGAGTTAGCGTGCGGAAAGGAAAGTGATGAGCGGGCCAGGCAGGCGACACTTACCGTAGCGAAGAATGCCCTCGGGACGACGGGAGCGTCGGAGACGGTGGCCATGTCTATGCGCCGGATGCGGTTCACCTGCTCGCCGAGCAGCATGTCGCCACGGAGCATCAGCCGCTTCCTGTCTTCCTCGGTGACGCCGCTCACGTCGCGCTCCAGGAGGATCAAGTTGCCTTCTGCGTCGGCTTGGAGGTACGTGTTCTCGTTGACCTCGGCAAGAGCCGTGCTCCAGCTGACTTGGACGTGGCGTGCGACTTCCTTGAGCTCGTCGTTCTTTTCGTCGCCGCCGGGACGGTACTCGAGCACTGACACCGACTTGATGAGGTCTGCGACCGCGATCTGACTACCGGTCACGGTGATGTCTATGGGTGCAGTTGAAGTGCGGAAGCTAGCCTTCTTGATGAGCAGAGGCGTACTCGCGGTGGGGTATTCGAAAGAGTATACAACGACCTTTGTCTGTTAATCATCTGATAGGCCTGCTACTCCCTTTTGAGAGAGGATTGGTACTTACGGTCTTGATCAGGCCGGCGACTATCTTGCCATCAATCATGGCAAGACATCTGCAGGCGCCCTTGGTTGACATCTCAGCGATCACCTTCAGTTGCCTGTCTTCGGTGACCTCAAACACCAAGATCCGTCCTCTTGTGCTACCTTGCTCCTCGTCCTCTACCAAGTAGGAAGTTCCCACAATGAAGCGTTCGGCCACGCCTCCGTCGCCATCGTCGAGCTCGGCCCGGATGGCGCACTCAACAATCTCATATTCGTTCATCTCAAAACTGTGTAGTTCCTTGAAAACCACCTCGTCAGCGAGTCTGAAATGACCTTGAACCACTTCCTCACGATCTCTCAGCACTCGCTTGATGGTACCGAGGCCAAAGGCTTTGAGATGTGGTGAGTAAGCAATCCTTCGTACGGTCTCATTGACATGCAGAGTCTGAACATGAGTCCTCCTCTCCTCGTCTACGACTGCAAGATGCAGCTCGCCTGAGGCAGCGATTGCGATAGATCGAGGATAAGCTTCGGCATTGAATGGACACACGCAGGTTGCTTTCTCCGCCGTAACTGCTGAAAATACAAGGCGTCCTTCGGATCCATAGATTAGACTGGGATGTTCGCAAGTGGCAAACACGTTGTACAGCCCATTCCCGCGGGGGAGTGCCTTGAAGTTAGCTTGCTGTGTGCCAAGAACAGTGCTTTTCCGCCCCGATAAAGCGAAAGTCGATGGATCCATGGCGAAGGTCACCACGTTTCCGTCGGTAGTGGCAATAAAGAGGGTGGAAGGTTGGTCCGCGAAGATCTGTGTAAGTAGGAGTGATCGCGGAACAGAAGATCCATCGTCACTCAGATGAATAGTCTCGATGGTCTCAAGTTTGTCCAGACTGAGAATACCCACTGCACAGTTCTGCCAGAATCCCACAAAGCAGATGTTGTCGGCCGACTGTGGAATAGCAACGCAAGACAACTGATTCTCGGCACCGTATTCCTTTTCCGCAGCCACTTGGATGGTGTCTGCGATCGAAAGGATGACGACACGGACGCCGCCAATGGAAAGAATGACGAAGCGATCATTTGAGTCAACGTCAGTGATGATCTGACCCGCTGGAGCGTTCCATTCCGAAACGACCATGCCATTTTCCAGATCCGTCAGTCTTGCGGCGGTTTCAGTGACTTGAAGGAGCCGGCCTCCCGGTAAGTTGCTGGTCAGCAAAGTGCTCTCTGCAAGCTGCAGCCCCTTGAAATCTTCAACCTCTTCTACCCCTCCGGCTTCATCAAAACGGAACACGCGCGATTCGTTGATGAGGGAAATAAGCAGTGTGTCGTCATAGTCCTCAGATGCTGTAGAAGATAAGGCAAATATGTTTGAGATGCTGCCGATCTCGCCAAGTGATCCTTGGTCTTCCAGCCCAACACCACTGCGGACACTTCGGAGACTCCCGTCCTTGAACGCGCCGCTGCCTGTGACGATCCGAGCTTGTCCAGACGAGTATTCGTTACTCTGGCCCTCACCAGATCTGTTGCCCATGTCCATAATGGTGAAATCCAGGATAGGCGCAATATTGTGGAAAGTTTGAACGACCTCGGTTGAGCCCTCGGTGATGCGAATGACCTGCGGATCACCCTCGTGGGAGCCCACAAAAACGTGTCCTGCGTCCAGGTAAACAAGAACGGAGGCCCTGGAAGTCTCCCCTATCCTGTCTAGTCTCCATCCTTGAACAGCACCGGTACCCTCGTCAAGCAGAAGCATGAACAGGTATAGCCCACCAAAGTCATCCGCGAGGAGGAAGCGCTGATTATCGATTTGCTCCCAGGAAACGAAGATGGTAGACTCCTCCAAAGGCTTCTTGACAAGGGACTTGGTATAATCATTGAAGTAGGTGATAGAAGTTTCACCAAGGATGAGCACACCGTAGCACGGGCCCGGGACGGGGATTAGATGACTTGCCCCGAGATCCAGGTCTTCCTTCAAGCCCTCGACTGGGTCAAGCGCTGCTATGGCTTGCTCGTCGGCGCCAGCGGATTGGAAGCCCAACTGGCGTAGTCGCAGCCGAATCTTGCTGTCTTCATCCTCTTCGTAAAGCAAGGCCAGGAGCGGCTTCTCGGTTTCGGGCGACTTGCGATGGAGGAAGACGGAGGAACGGACGAACATCTCCTCTACGCGGGAAGGCACGGGTTCGCCCAAGACGCTGATTTCGGGGTCGCCCTTCCTCTTGCCCTTCTCCGTCAAAGGCACGACGGTGATTATTCCCTCATACAGCTCCAACGTCATGAACTTGCCAGTAGGATCAAGCAAACTTCTGTCTCCAGTCTGCGAGTCGCGCGCGGCCCTGTCTGCCAGATCCTGGTATGTCTTGACTGTCTTCAGTTGCCTCTCGTCGGGGCTCCAGACCATGGTGAAGTAATAGTAACGATCGGTGCCAACGAATAGGTGCTCGGTGGGCTCGTTTGCGGGGCGCAGCCTGTTCAGCATGGTGACTCTGCCGTAGACGGCCTGCGAATGGTGCAAGACGAGGCCATCGTCGGATTGGAGGTAGACCTCAAGACGGTTCGATTTTCTGGCGGGAGGTCAGCGCCGAAGACGTCATGGCGGGAGCGGTTGGTCGCTCACGCACGCGACTACGAGGCTCTCTTCGTCGTTGGAGAGCAGGTTGAGCTTGATGGCGTGACGGACGCTGCTCGGGCGATGGATTGGCGCAATGTAGGCCATGCTGGGCGCCACGCGTCAAGCAATGCAGGGCACAGAGGGAAGATGGATGGTGTTCTGAGGGCTGCGGCGGCGGCGGGACGAAGCTCATCAGCTTCCCCGGACTTTGGCTAACGCCGGTGCTGCACTTCTGCCCGCCACTACTTTTTTCTCTGACGCGACGCGCCGCCCATCGCCGACTCCGCAAACCTCCATCACAGCCCACCATGTCTCGTAAGCACTCCCTCTCGCCGCACCACCTGTCTTCTGCATGTCTACACGCAAGCAAGCCGCTGTGAGATCCTCAGCGCTGCGCCCGGCTCGAGCTACATGGCACACCAAAGCCTCTCGCCGACCATTTGCGCCGCAACAGAGCTTCGAGTGATCAGCATGCGTTACCCTCTGGCGCATCTTTCTTCCATGTCGCACGAATCTGCCGCCACCGTATCCCTCAGAGCAGACGCTAACGTGCAATCCAGCCGCAGCCGTGGACCACGACGACGACCCCGTCCTTGCTGAGTATGACGTTTTCATCACACCGGAGCTCGAGGAACAAATCTACCTTCTGCAGTACCCCAACCGCGGGCGAGACCAGCCATATAATGAGCGCTCCAACTCCAAACCTCTCGAGGTGCGCATGAAGCCCAATACCGGCTTCATCGAAGTCGACGTCCCGGTGAACGTCCATGGCAACTACGACAAGCGCAAAGGCGTGAAATGGGGCGAGGCTATGCGCATGGCCCAGGACAACGGCGAGAGCGCTTTTGGTTTGGCCGCTGGCTTCAGCGGTCTTGCCAAGGGAGCTGTGCCCCCGAGAGCTGGTGCCTCCAGCCGCCAGGACATCCAGGACATGGAGCTGGAGGAGGATAGCGTGGAGCAACTTCTCCAGCGCTTCGACGATGCCAACGACAAGGGCCACGTGCTGAACAAGCAGACTCTTGGCGGGCAGATTATGAAGGATGAGACGGGCAAGCCCATCTACATGCTTGGTACCTACCGAGGCAGAGAGCTTCATCTCACACGGATTTCCGGCATCGTCCAGATGCGTCCTCAATTCCACCACCTGGATGCTGTTCGCGAGCTCTCCAACGCCAACCGCCGTAGAGAGCGCGAGGCCGTCGAGGGTGCAAGGGCGAACGAACCTCGCGCTGTGCAGATGACCATAAAGAATGAAGACAATGACACGGCGCAATCCAAGGAGTTCCTTTTCCGCGCCCAGGAAGAGAAGTGGACCAAGTTGAGATACTATGACGAAGAGGTAGGCAACTGTACCTGCATGCGTTATCGGGCCCTGGACTAATCATCATCAGACTGACGAGGCGTTCGAAACTTACCACGACAAGATGTTTGTCGATGATACCGAGAACGCCGCCAAGCTCAAGTCCTCGATGACGAACGAGCAATACCTTGACGCTATCAGCGCCGAGCGTCACGACCCCAGCGGGCGCTCGAAGAAGAAGCCGCTGACGAAGAAGCAAATGCAGCGGATTGAAGATTCCGAGGATTCAGACGTTCCCGAAGATGATGAGGATGGAGCTGCGGCACAGGCCGAAACAGTCATGGTGGAATGAGCAGGGGTTTCTAAGCTATTCAACCCGTCTCGGACACAAGGAAAGGTCTTATCGGTTCATTGTTTCAGGCATAGCGACGGCGTTGGTTTGAGGAAATGCATCGACCATAGGGTGGCATCTACAGGGTAGGAGTAGAGATGAACGACCAAATCTCATACATCAACGCGGATTAAGCATTGATCATTCAGGAAGTAGCAGGAAGGAGTAATTTCCCCAGTCATACAGGCATCGAGCAATGGTATGTTCATGGCCTGACAGCAACCATGCCCCAACACAACCAGGCCTGCATCCGCTAATGTATCACCTACAGGAACCGTGCAAAAGTCACTTTTCCCGGACCCCAACACTCTCCGATAGTTATTCTCTGCGCGCACCGTCTGTGCGTGCACCGCTCATCGTTCTCTCCACCATTTCTCCGCTCCGGGTGAGGATCAGGCGCCCACCCCCACCCCCCGCACGCCGCCGTCACATGAGGGCTGCCACGACACCGGCGCGTTTCGTTCCTCAATGACCCGAAAAGTACCAGGGGACGGCGGCTGCACCGCCCCGGGCAATCTCGCAGCCGCATCGACGGAAGGCCGGCGGGCGCTGCAGGGATGCATCGAATGATGCACCAACCATTGACGACCTCGGCTGAAGGGCGTTGGCGGGATCGGCAGGCGGAGGCGTTGCTCCATCAACATTACTACATCTGCCAGCTCCCTTGCTTCCACAGCGGCCCTGTCTCCTCGCCCAGCCTGCCCTCGATCGCGTGTGGCCGTTTACCATGACCACCATGGCTGCGTCCCTGAGGCGGATCACTTCCGCTGCGCGTCCCGCGCGCTTCGCAACGAGCCGATCTTTCTCTACCTCGCCCGCAAACCAGGCCGTATGGGGCTTCGTTGGACTCGGCCGCATGGGTATGTTTGCGATGCGCCAACTTGTCGCGTGGTCACAGGACTGACGGTGTTTCCGCCCAGGGTATCCCATGGCCAAGAACCTGCGAGCGAGGATTCCCAAGGAAGATTCTCTTGTTGTCCACGACCTCAACACCAAGGCGACCGCCCAATTCGCAAAAGAGCTTGGTCCGCAGGGCGTGCACGTGGCTGAAACGGTCCGCGAAGTCGCTGAGAAGTCGGTAAGCCGCCCTCACGGGAAACCCATCCGCCGTCCATCTTGTGATGAACGTCTCCAATGATGTTCTGCACGGGAGCTGCGGGCCTCGGCTCTCATCAGCGTTCCAATTCATCATCACAGCCCATTCTGCGAGGACTAGTGCTGACGTATCAACAGGAAACAATCATCACAGCTCTGCCAGAACCCCACCATGTTCGTGGTGTATATGCAAACATGCTAATACCGCCGACACTGCTGGAGCAAGCAGGAGCTCAGCCGCGTCTCTTTATTGATGTGTCCACCATTGATCCTCAGTCATCTCTAGAAGTCGCGAATGCGGTGCAGTCGACCGGACAGGGCAAATATGTCGATGCGCCCATGTCCGGAGGCGTTGTGGGTGCCGAGAAAGGCACTCTGACCTTTATGGTCGGGGCGCCAGACGACATCATCGATCGGGTGCGCGAAATCTTATCGATGATGGGCAAACGGACGGTGCACCTGGGACCGGCAAGCTCTGGGTTGAAGGGCAAGCTTGCCAACAACTACCTCTTGGCCATCAACAACATTGCGACTGCCGAGGCCATGAACCTGGGGATCCAGTGGGGCCTCGAGCCCAAGGCGCTTGCGGGGTTGATCAACACTGCTACGGGCAAATGCTGGCCTTCCGAGGTCAACAACCCGGTTCCGGGAGTGGTGGAGGGATCGCCGGCAAGCAGAGGCTATGAGGGAGGATTCGGACTGAGTCTGATGAACAAAGACCTGAAGCTTGCTTTGAAGGGAGCGGAAGAGTACAACATCAAGCTGGAATTGGGCGAGCCGGCTCGTGCCGTCTACGACGCAGCGTCGGAGCACCCCGAGTGCACGGGCAAGGACTTTTCCGTAGTATACAGGTACCTAGGCGGCAAGGAGGAATAATAGGAGATTGTGCGCAAAGACAAGCCGTGAGCAAACATAGAGTCGAGTCGTGCAACGTTGGATGGCCAGGGTCTCTTGGCTCGGGCGCGCGCGTTGCTGGGCGACCACGCGCCCGCCCACTTCTTTGCCTTGGCTTGGCAAAAGTGACATCAACTGCGACAACACCTGCGCGCACCATGCCCGAGTTGCTGGAATTCATCTTGGCCCACGAGGATGCCTTCAAGAGGTATCTCGCACCTGAACGAGCCTCTTCCGCTTGGGATAAGCACTGACTCGCGCACAGCAGAGGTCGCCTCGCGTCTTTGTACTCGGACTTTCGCATCCAGCAAGCAACAAACCCCGATGGATACAACGCCAACATCGTAGCATGGCGCCAGGCCCTCACCCACGCCACTCGAGCTGGTCTCGTCCCCTCGCAGACCGGAGCCAACAACTTGCTCAGCCTGGGCACCGGTGAAGCCCTCCTACGGGAGCTTACAAGCAAAGACTTCGGAAGACCGCTGGCGCTGGCGGCAGTAGTGGTTCGTACCCGCCATGGGCAGGGCATGTATGGCGAAGAGAGGTTCCACTAATGCTGGTCCAGCACGATGCCGCCACGAAGAAGGAGATGATCCCGCTGAAAGACTTCCTCGCCGCAAAGACCAGCATCTACTCGCGGAGCTGGAGCTTGAATCCGCTCTCGGTGCTATCTTGGGGATTACAGCAGCTGGGCGTCATCGGCGGGACAACATCGCAAGACCACCTGGCTGTGGGGGAGTTTGTCGTCATGGCGAACCTCGAGGTAAACATTCCACACACTCGACAGAAACGTGCATACATACAAGCCAGCGGCTGACCACCCACGAAACCACCCAGGCCGCCAGCAGCGCCGTCATCGCGCAAGCCTCGAACCACACATCCGTAGTCGACCGCATCTACTCCCTCGACTCCTTCCGCGCCGCCTTCGCCCACGCCCTCACCCCCTCCAACGAGCTCAGCCCCACCGACCTGTCCGTCCTCCTCACCCACCTCTCCCGCGACAAGTCCGCCCTCTCCTACGACCCGGCCTCGCAAACCATCAAGCTCGCGCCCGCCCACTCCGCCACCCCGGCCGAGCCCATCACCCAACAAGACATCACGATCGCGCACCTCCGCGGGCTCATCGCCTCCCTCACCGCCCAAATCCCCGCCCTGACCTCGCGCATCGCCTCCTGCGACGCCACCGCCCGCCAGGCCGTCGCCTCTTCCCCCTCCTCCTCGAAGAACAACAACAACCCGGCGGCCCGCACCACCGCCCTCGCCGCGCTCCGCTCCAAGAAGCTCGCGGAGCAGGGGCTCGCGCGCCGCGCCGACGCCCTCGCGCAGCTCGAGGCCGTCTACGCCCGCATCGAGGCCGCCGCCGACAACGTCGAGGTCGTGCGCGCCATGGAGGGCAGCGCGGGCGTGTTGCGCGCGCTGCACGCGCGCGTCGGCGGCGCCGAGGGCGTCGCGGACGTGGTCGAGGCGCTGCGGGAGGAGATGGGGAGGGCGGACGAGGTGAGTGAGATTGTCAACGAGGTCGGGCGCGAGGGTGCGGGCGCTGGTGGTGTCGTTGATGAGGATGAGGTGGATGAGGAGTTTGCGGTGTTGGAGCGGGCGGAGAGGGAGAGGGTGGAGGCGGTGGAGGCGGAGAGGACGAGGGCGCGGTTGGTGGAGGTGGAGAGGTTGGAGGAGGAGGGGAGGAGGAGGAGGGTGGAGAGGGAGAGGGAGGTGGAGGAGGGGAAGAGGAGGGCGGAAGAGGAGAAGGCGAGGGAGCACCGGAAGGAGGCAGAGGAAGAGCAGGTGCTGGAGACGTCTCAGGAGTTGGGCCGCATGTCGCTCGACGAAGACAGACCTGCAGAGGCTTCCAAGGAGCAGGATGGAGAGTCGGAGCAGAGAAGGCTTGTTCCAGCAGAGTAGCGGAACCCTTATCATGTGCTCGGGCACGATTGCAATTCCCGGGCTACGGAGATCTAGGAAAGACTTTTTGATTTGGGAGTAACAAGGATATCACGACACGGGACGGAAACGGCAGGCGTTCCATGGCGCACTGGTGCAAGGGAGAGATCATGGGGTATCATCGGTTTGAACAGTTTTATCTCGGGTTGTCGCTGAAACACCGCGCTGTCTATAGAAATTGGAGAACACCTTTCTGTATGTACCATCTCCGTGGCAACCAAAAAACCACCTGTTGTACAGATAAGAAAAACCGCCTATTTACTCGTCTCTGTATCCACGTCAATGACCGGCTCCGACGGGATCTCAAACATGGTCTTTGTCCGCACGTCCTTGGACGTAGCCAAGTGCGCCGGCAGCGACGAGGGCAACTTTTCTCGATCGGCCGGGGCTGCTGCTGGTTTCGAAGGGGATGCTTTGGCCTGACTTGATGACGGCGACGATACTGTCAGCGCCGGCGTATGATCCGCCGGTGTGGTGCTATGGTTCGCTTCGTCCATGGTGTTCGAGTCGCGGTGTGGAAGGGACGGTCGATCGCCATTGGAGTTGTTGACTTTGTCGCGTACCTTCTCGAGCGCCGCTTCGTTGTCTTCGTAGGGGCGGGCTCCTTTGCCGCCCTCTTCTCCTGGTTTGCCGCTGCTAACTGTAGGAGGAGACGGAGGAGGCATAGCAGTAGTACCGTTCGTAATACTCGAAGATCCCGCCTGTTCCTCTTTATCGCTCTTCTCTTCGGGTTTCCGCACAGCAGCACGCTTGCCCCGTGCCGCTGCGATCAGCTCGTCGAAATGTCCTTTGTTGCTCTTTGCCCAACCTTCGCCGTCGAAATTCTTCTTCATGACCTGTGCTCCGCTCGCGCCGCCGATAATGCCGCCGCCGCCGCTGCTCTCAAGCGATTGGCTCCGCTCCCACCTGTCCAATTCAGATAGTAATTGGTTCTTCGTCCGCGGCCGGAGCGAGTCAACGTTGGCGTTCCACAGATTGGCCCACTCGGTGTGGCGTCTGATCTGCTGGGCGCGGGTGCCGGAAGCAGGTATGCCGAGCTCTGAGAGCTTCTTGCGAAGGGCCGTGTCTTTGAGGAGAGAGTAGTTGAGCTGCGGAAGGCGTTGTAAGGGCTCCGGGTTTCTTGAGGAAGCGAGACCGTGACGGGTGCTGCGCTGTTGAAGAGGATGGGGCGAGGCCGGTGCCTTGCTTTGTCTTTCAAACCGACATTAGCAAAACAGGAGGTTTCTCAATCGTGACAGCGTAAGTGTGTCATACCGTGTCCGTGTTTGTCGGGAGGAGGTCCCTTCCTTGTCCGGACCCTCGCAGCGATCGAGATGTGTGAAGACTGCTTCTTCCTTCATGCGCTTGTTACACATGGGACACGCGACCAGACTGTCGTTCGGTTGGGCCTCCTCCTCATTGTCTTCTGGCACAAATTCTCCATCGTCGTCATTCTCTAATACGATGATCTCGGGTGTCTGCGAGCTTGTGGCAGACCTGCGAGGCTGCGTCCTTGTCTTGCGCGCCGGCCTGCGTGCAGCATCCTCTTCGCCCTCTGCCTCTTCATCCTCCGAGTCTTGTATCTTGGCTAGCTTCCTCTTATTATTGGCCCCGCGCGCTCGCGTCTTTCTCCCTTCTCTGCTGTTCTCAGAGTCGTCGGCCGCTGCGGCGCCGCCTGTCCTCGCCAGTTCCAACGCGCCGGGCCTGGCCCTCTGAAAGGCGTCGACGAGCTCCTGGGCGGTCCAATTGCGGCGGAGCTTCGAGTCCTGATCGGTGGCGCGGCAGGTGGGACATCGACCGTCGGCGGCGAAGCAGCGGCGAATGCATAGCGAGCAGAAAGTGTGTGAGCACGACGTCATCATCGGCGTATCGAAAAAGTCCTTGCACACCTGACACCGGAGCGCCGACTCGAAAGGCGCGAAATCTGCGAGGGCGGTGCCAAGCCAGTCGGTCGAGTCCGGTATGGTGAAGACTTTGGAATCCATCGTGGGCGGAGGAAAGCGGGACAGCGCCGCGGTACGGAGGCGGGGATGCGAGTGCTGGCGTCGGGAAGGATGTGCAGCAGAGAGCGGCTGCAGGACAATGGGCGCAAACGGTCAGACAAAGGAGATCACAGCTCGGCTTTGGCGGAGGGAGCAAAGAAGCATGTGCTGGGTATAACTGCCGGCTGGCAGAGGGTGGTTGAAGCGGGACGTGACTGCGCGACTTCGCGCGTCGCGCTACGCGTCTGCGAAAAACGGGCCAGTCGCCGCTCCGGCACAGTCATCAACCCCGCCCTGGAAGCCCGCCCTGGAAGCCAGCAATGTGCATTTCACGGCAAAGGCAGGCCCGATCAGAAGTACTGTACAGTTGCATTTCCAAGGCAGCAGTTCATGGTCCTGCAGAAGGTGGATTGGTCTAGTATATTCAGGGTGAAACGAGTAACAACTACCACGGCGTATCAGGCCAGTTGTATCAGATAGCCCTGCTTTCGTTCTTGGAGCTGGTCTAGAATGGGCGGTGCCATGGTTTGGCGCAACCCATGGTGCTCAGATGAGCTTTTATGTGACCGCTCCGTAGCAAAACCAATGGACTGTGAGGTCCACCTGTAAATGAGTCCCGGGAGCCCTAGCCGCATCTCAGGCCTTTGCCAAGATGCCGCATCCGTCTGACATGAAGACGGGGGCGCGGTGCTGGATGCTTTGCGAGAAGATGGTGGGGTGGAAGAAATGCTGTACTGGAACAGGACGACGCGGAGGTTTTGGACGATCTCCGCGACCTGCGGCAAAATCCCGGGCCAACGCCTGAACCTCTACTAGTTCCATGCGGATATTCGAACAAGTGCTTTGCGCGAGGATTCTAAATCTACCGGTCCTGCAGCTCCAATCCTTGATCCTCTCTATCTTCTTGCCCCGGCCGGTCCTGCTCCGAGCGGTCCTGCGGGATTCTGGGGCTGAGTCCTGCAGCTCCCATTGTGTGATGTTCACTCAATCTGACCTTCCCCTTGCCCAGTCCTATCTTCATGCCGATGAACTCGGCAACTCCTCTGATCACGGTCCAGAGCTTCTCGCCCCGCTCGTCCATCGCACTCTCGTCGCGGGGGTTCTCCTGGGCCTCGACCTTGAATTGGTACTTCAAACAGTCCTTGATGGTGATGAGTCCAGTAAGACGGCCACGGTACTCTACGAGAATGACTCGAGGGCCCATCTTCTTGAAGAGCTCCATGACCGTCTCCAGTGGCAGTCTGGGATGCACGGCAAGCGGGGTGGGGTCCACGAAACGACTCATGTCAATCGTCATCTGAGACGAGGTAGCTGCCATGGTGTCAAACGAAATCGCCGGCGCAAGATTGCTTGGCGTCTGAACCGCCATTGACCCTGGTGTGAAGTAGCATTTTGCCGATGGTGGCAATGACTGCAGCCGTCGAGCCCGGTCAATCGCATACCGAAGCTCGATGCGACCAATGTATCCGAGCAGCGTTTTGGACGTCCTGTCCTCGACTATTGGATATCCGGAGAAATCGTTGTTGGCGAGGATCTTTTCCACCTCGCGCAACTGCAAACCGGATGCTGGAAGCGTGATGGGATTGCTTGTCATGACCTGCGACACGGGCACTCCAAACGTGTGTTCTTCTTTGTTGTCAAGGAATGGGAACCCGTTGGCCCAGATGGCGCGGTCGGCAATACCTCCCTTGCCAAAGCGTTCGCTGACTGCTTTCGTGACGCCGACGACGATCTGCAGGGAGAGTCAGTGCACGCGATAGCATCGGAAGAGAAAATCCGCGCATACCATTGTTGGAAGGATGTAAGTCAGAGCTCCCGTAAGCTCGAACATGATGACAACAACCGAGACGGTGATGTGCATGATGCCACTAAGGGCTGCTGCCGCTCCCAGAAAAGCGTACGTACCGGGCGTGATACAAGGCCCGTCCGGGTCGCATGCGGAGAAGAAGCCTGCATCCGGGAATGCGTCGTACAACGCTTGCACGAGAACCCCGACCATCCTACCAAATGAGGCACCAATTGCCATAGATGGGACGAAGATACCCGCGGGAACTTTGCAGCCGTAAGAAATGATGACCAGCAGCGTCCGAATGACAGTCGCGGCACCCAGCGTAAAGATGAGATGCCATCGATGTTTGCGTCTAAACTCGTCAGCATACCTAGCATCTTTGTGCAAACAAACAAACTTACTCGCAGATCTCGTCATAGTCGTGCGATCCCTCGCACTCTCGGAAAAGAATCTCCATGCTCTCGGTCATGTCTATCCGCAGGAACATGTTCGGATAGCAAATGATGGCTGTCACTAAAGCCAGTGTCGTGGCCTCCAAGATTGGATACTGCGCGAGATATTTCTTGCGAAAAGCTTGGACTCGCAAGTTCCATTTGATGACAAAAGCGCCGTAGAGGCCGCCAAATACACCGAGAACGATGTAGAAGATGACCTCAAAAAAATGCCAGTCACGATCGTACTTGACCTGGAACATGACTAGCTGACCAGTTCTGAAGGGATTCATGGCCTGGTCATGTCAGCACAGAACATGGCACGTCGAGGCCAGAAACATACAGCTAGCACTGCGGTCGCGACCAACGCACAGAAATAGCTCCGCCACATTGTTTTCAAAGGGAAATGGTTCGCAATTTCCTGTTCCCACAGTCAGCCGGGTTCGAGCATAGGCGGAGGACCAGATAGCGCACCTCGAGGGAAAACAGTACGCCGCCAATCGGGCTACCAAACGCAACACCAACGCCTGCGGCGGCGCTGGCCGTCAGGATCTCCCGAGTCTTGGAGGCATTGCGCTTGTATTTGCTAAACATGCGCGAAACCACGTTGCCGGTACACACGGCATAGTGGACGCTGGGGCCCTCCTTTCCCACGGACAGGCCAGAGGCAATCGCAAGAGGCAGGGTGATTGACTTGATCGCCAGCGTCTTGAATCCCAGAAAGCCTTTCATGACAAACCCGGCCACTATACACTTGATCTCCGAGATTCCCGAGCCAGCGGCATATGGAGCGAACGACTTGACGAGTCTCCCGGCGACGAAGGCGAAGGCGGTGGAAAAGACGATGTACAGGAGGTAATTGACGGGCCAGAAGTTGCTCCACCGGCGCCATTCCTTGCAGCCTGCCAGCAATCAGCATGATTTCCAGGAGCGTTTCCCTCGGCAGCGCCATACCGTTCTCGGCGCCCCAGCAGCAGAACTGCTCGTTCAGGTAGAAGGCGGTGGTGCAGTAGCCCAGCTTGATGTCGGACAACCATTCGGTAATGATGTTCAGGAAGGCCGCGTTCAAGCCAATGGCGATGCCGACCAAGCTGACGACAATCCAGGCCTGGCCAGCGTCGTAGGCATCGTACAGCTTGCGGCGCCAGGTAGGGCCGCGGCCGCGCTCAAAGAAGCCCTGCTTTTCCTGCCGGCGGGCCTTGCGGCGCAGCTGCTCGCGCGCAGCATCCTGCACCCAGTCGATGGTGGTGAAGTCCTCATAGCGCTTTATCTCGGCGATTTCCTCGTGGATGGCGTGGTCAGCGGTAGTCCTCTCGTGGTCGACACCCTCCTCTGCGGAGAGGGCGGACACGCGGCGGGTCAGCGTGCCGCCGCGCGGCTGGGAAGAGGCGCGCAGGGCAGAAGCGGAACTCGAGCGGCTAGTCATCGCATCGTGTGGCTCTCCGGGGGGCAGCGGGGCAGCTCGTCATGGGTCGCGCCGGGGGGGAAGGTCAGGAAGGTCGGACGCGCGGTGGTGTCGGCTGGCTACGTAGGGCAGGGCAGGCTACCGGGGTGCCTTGCATGCATCCGGCCATCATCTCGCCCGCCGATCCCTGCCAATCTGGGCTTATCCGTCGCGACTCTCCGCCGCGCTCCACCCACGCGTTCCTCTCCGAACACTCTCCGCACACTTGCGATCCGTTTCCCTCTTGCGTCGCCAGCCCCGCTCTGCTCGACCTTGCGCAGCTCCAGAAGCGCCGTCCACGCTCCAGCGTCGCCTGCTGCTGCTTTTACCGCCCGCCGCCCCGCGTCTACGAGGAAAACCGCCGCCATGCCGTACAACAACAACCCCATTCCTCGCCCAGCGACCATCACGGGCTCAGTCTCCCTTCCTCGTGAGTTGGACTGCAAGCTCTAGCTAATCCAAAGGTACATTGAAACTGATCCGTCCCTGTAGTTGCGCGCGTCAAGAAGATCATCCAGGCCGATGAAGACATCAACGCCTGCTCCGCGAACGCCGCTTTCGCCATTGCCGTCGCAACCGAGGAGTTCGTCTACTACCTGACCGAGCAGGCTCACAAGATGGCCAAGGCGGAGAAGAAGCCCAAGCGCTCTCTGGGCTACACCCACGTCCGTACGTCGACACACCCGGAGCTCCGAGGAAAAAAAATATATGTATCACGAAGTGCTCACACAGAGAACATCCCATTTAGAACAAGCCGTCGCCCGCCTCGACAACCTCGAGTTCCTGACCGACGTCGTCCCCAAGACGCAAAGCTACAAGGACGCCAAGGCCGAGCGCGAGAAGAAGAAGGCCGCCCAGGCCGCCGCCCAAGAAGCCGCCCAAGAAGCCGCCCAGGCCAACGGCACCGCCGCGAACGGGCAGTCCGCTCTCATAGCCGCCACCGCGGCAGCAGCGCCTTCCGCGACGACGACGAACGGCCAGCTGCCGCTCAATGGCCAGCAGGCCACGGCTGTTGCGGAGGACAAGAAGACCACCGTGCCCGAGCTCGAACCCGAAACCGGAGGAGGGGACGCCATGGATCTGGATGAGAAGCCGGCGTCTGCTGCGTGAGTGAGCTATTGTTGGTTGGGAATGGGAATGGATGCGGATGATGAGCCAGAAACTTTGCACCTAAACCGGAGCTTCGGCGTTATATATTGGGGCTCTTTCTCTCTCGAGCTGTGAAACGGGAGTTTATGATTCGAATTGCATATTGGAGGGCGTCTTTCGCCTGAAGCTAGGCGGGGTGTGGATTTGAAACGATACCAAAATAATACCTTGAACTAACGATAGATGGGTTCAAATTGAGAATGCCGATGGAACTACCCAGCGTGACCTCCGGTTCTTGTGGAATTGTCTAACACATGAAGTGTGGAACTAGCAAATAATTAATATTTTTTAGGCCTCTTCTTTCTCGAATGTTGGCTACAATGGCCTAAAGGACGCTTCATCTTTCAAACATGTCTTGTTAAAAGTCTTGCGTCCCGCTCACAGTAGTTAGTCGAAGTTGACGCTGTGTTATTTTGGAAGTCATGTCTATGTAAAGATCCGTTTCGGCCACTCCCTAGACGCGGCCACTTGCTTCTAGAGTCAGGCTCAGACACTCCTACTCTCCTCAGGGGGATCTGTAAGGAACATTGCAATCTTTATAGACAAGCAGCTTATGTAAATATCCGGAAGGTGGTATGGAAATGGACTTCAACCATGAACATAAGCACAATGCAGCCTGTCCGGTGACACTGTGCCATCTTGCGTAATCTACTCTGCGGTACCATCATTCGTCGAAGCAGCCTGTCGCTGTGCGGACCAAACTTTCCTCGCCTCTTCAGGTCGGGGCTCATTGGAAACCCAACTAGATCAATGGAAGAGAGCAAATCGAACCAGCAAGTCGATGACCTCGGCTCTTCCGTTAACAAGTCCAGCGAATTTCGAGAGGAACTTGCCCTTCCAGCAAGCTTCGGCATGCTCTATGTTGACCGTGGGGTACAGCAAGCATGTCGTCTCTGGAGTCTCAATTCTCCCAAGCGTCCAGGATGGATCCGTACTTGCGCATAACGTCTGTGGTAGTCATTCCTTACCGGAAGTGCCGCTAAGTAATACAATAAGATACGGTAAAAATATCTCGAAAATGTAGCGGACCCCCTCATTTTGGCGTAGAGCTTGGACAAGCGAAAGCGAAAGCGATATCACTTCCGATGCGAAACTTTTTGTGTTCATGCGGTAGATGGATCCTCAGCAACGTTCGAACACACGGTAGAGACCTTTGAGATTGGCCACCTCAACCACGCCTCTGAGCAAGCCCTTCGTGGCAACTAGCCGGCTTCTGAATGCGGGGAAGAGGATATGCTCAATGGCACGCTCGACATGCCTGCGTCTGGCCTCTACTTCCGGATCATCATGGGGTGTTGACTCTTCTACTGCTTGTCCGCCTTCAGTGGTCGTTTGTGTTGGCGGCACTGGCAAAGCCTCGGGGACGTAGAAAGATGCTAGCTCCCTGAGGAACGTTCGGAAGCAACCCTTTTCCTCGAGCCAATTGACGTGCGGTCCCAGACGGAGGAGGAATTGGGGCAGTTTCGCCAAACTTGGAGTATAGCCTTTGATGAGCAACGGTATGGATACGAGGTCACCGTCCTCGGAGATCTCGAGCGAGAAGTATTCTGCAAGCATATCCTTACGGCTGAGCAATTGCTCCTTGACGGCTAGCACGGCATCCTCCCAGTCAAAGTCTTCTTCGACATCAGCGATGTTCTTTTCATGCGTCGCAGCAACTGTTAGAAGCTCATCCAAGCTGAGAGGGGGATCGAATCGGATGGCACCAAAATTGCCAAAGTCTGTGAGGCCGACCTGGTAGAAATACTCATTGCATACCATGCCGTAGTCGATGAGGAATAGCTTGACGCCACCTTGGACAGCTGCAATGCGTCTCCGCTCGTCGACCACACCAACAAAAGTATGACTTGCAAACACGTCAGTGAGCTCGTTGTGCATGTTCTCCCGCACCTCAGCTCGGAGTTCCTTGACGGTTGTTAGACGACAGATGGTTGGCTCTTTGTCCGATATCTCATATTCCATTTCTTCCCGGCCGCCCTTCTCAGAAGCCTTGGCTGATGCAGCGGGCAAGGGCCCGGGCAGGAACATGGTGGTAATCTTCTGTACGCGAGAATCCGTGCGAACAAGGCTGTTTTCGTACGGCTTCTGGGTGGATCCTTTCTGCTGAGGGGTCCGTCGTGAGGATGCCGGCTCCTCTGAACGGCTTGCGGTAGAAGATCTCGAGGGAGTGTCATTGGCCTGAATGGTTGGGACCTTTGCGCCGGGCAGTAAGCTCTGGGTCATGAAGGTGCGACTGGTGTCCACTTTGCCGAGGCTCGAACGAATCTCGTCGCAAATGATGTCGACGATTTCGTCCTCATTCAGGAAATTGACTTCACGCTTTGTCGGATGCACGTTGACATCGACACGCTGAGGATCAATCTCAAGACTGAGGTAAACAAAAGGGTGGCCGCCTTTGGGAAGGAAGGTGTTGTAAGTCTGCTCGACTGCCTTTTTGATTGCTGAGGACTCCACTGCTCGGTGGTTGATGAAGAGGAGCAAGGTAGTTCGCTTCACGCTGTAGTTGGCATTGCTCACCCAAGCGTCAGCTTTGAAACCCCAACGGTCATTACTGGGATGAAGCTCGATCAGCTCGTTGGCCACAGCGTTGCCCTGGACCTGGCGTATGCGATCGACAATGGTTGCGTTCGCCGGGACGGATATACCCATGGACGAGTCGCCGTGTTTCTTGCAAGAGAAGGAAACGCCGAAGCAATGCACGGCGTAGCGGCCGACCACGTCGAGAATTTTGGCGTATTCTTCGCTTGCAGAGCGAAAGGCACGCCGACGCGTGGGAACATTGTAGAACAAATCTTCTACCTTGAAGGCGTTAGCTACGAGAGAGCAGCACTGGCAAAGACGTACCGTGATCTGGGTGCCCTGACGACCGGCACAGGGCTTTGGGTCGGGGCCCTGGTTTGGTTTGGGGGGAACCAGCTTTCCGTCGGCATAATGCGCCTTCCACGCACAACTGGATTCCTTGACACGAGTGGTCACGGTCAAATGGGCTATGTGACTGATACTCGCCAGAGCTTCTCCGCGGAAGCCGTAGGTGCCGATGGAGGTCAGGTCCTCGAAGGCCTTGAGTTTTGAGGTTGTGAATCGTTCGCAGAGGATGGGCAGATCATCGCGCTATCAGGTCAGCCAAAGACCCGGGAGCATTTCTCAGACTTCAAGCTCACGTCAATACCATGGCCGTTGTCGGTGATCTGGAGAAGCTTGAGCCCGCCATCCTTGACGAGAATTTCCAAGCCAGTGGAGCCAGCATCGACGGCATTCTCAATGAGCTCTTTCAGCGCATGAACCGGGGCGACGATGATTTCCCCGGCGGCGATCTTGTTAACAACGTCTTGCGATAAGGCCTGGATGCGGCGAGGCGCGGCAGGTTTTGGGGCCGAGGGAGGCGAGGCGTCGACGTCCATTTCGTCCGCCATGGCGGATCGCTCTGAACACGTTGGCCAGGCTTGCCCAAGCCTCTGTCTGGGCTGCTTGAAGAATGGTTCCGGATGAAGGCTGATGCGGTGCGATAGAAAGCGGATGGCTTGGGCGCGGCGCGTCGGGTGTGAGACGCGTCGGGTAATTCACGCGTTGCGTCATTGGGGCACGTGTTTCAAGGTACTAAGTGCCCAGCATCCAAAACTAGTCTGCATTCCCAATCATTTCAACATTGTTAATCCTCCTCACAGGCCACCGTCCTCCTTGATCAGATCGCTCGCTCGCTCAGCAACAGCATAAAGCGTGCTCATCAAGTGGCCACAGACTTGAAAGGGAAGGACGCTGGCATCCACCACCCTGACATTCGCAGTCCCATACACCTTCAGTCTCTCGTCCACCACGCCGCCCTTCTCTCGCGGCATCATGACTGCCGTGCTTAGGACGTGATAGTTGCCGCGGTAAGTCTGCTTCAGCCACTTCGACCACGCCGCGTCACCAGCGTTCGCCGCCACTGCCTTGGTACCCGGCCACGTCTCTGCGCCCGCAACATCTGCAAGCGGCGCGGCGGCGAAGAGCTTCCGCATCCACCGCGCAATCGCCACCTGTGAATCAAGGTCGTACTCCAGCATGAAGTAGTTCGGGTTGATCTTGGCTGCCGTGCTGGGGTTCGAAGACGTAACATGGACGTTGCCACGTGAAAACGGCAGCGTGCTCCAGTACTGCGACCCGAACGACTTTTCTTCCGGCCAGCTTACGATCTCTGCAACAGGTACTTGGGCCTCGAATATCAGCGAGTGCTGCAGCTTGAGCAGAGAAAGCATGTCTTGGGCGCTTGTGCAGTTGTTGTTTTGTGCTGAAATCGCCGACGCATAGGCCGGCAAAGCTGCAAGCACCGACGATGCGAATGCGCTGGTGGAGTTTCCAAAAACGTCCGTGACGTTCGGGTAGGCTGCATATCCGGCCGCTCCGGTATATGTCTGGCTCGTGGCTTTGGAGAAGGTTATGCCGCTGTTGATCTGGTCTACCAGGTGCTCTCCGACTCCGGGGAGGGACACCTTGGTTTCGATGCCGGCCTTGGAGAGGATCCTGTCTCATGATAAGTCACTGCGGATTCATGCATCGCCTGGCGACTCACTGTGTGTTCCCGATTCCAGATAACTCCAATATAGAGGGGGTGCGCAAAGCTCCCGCGGAAACTATGATCTCGCGGGAAGCATTAAAGGTGATCTTGGTACCGTTCGCTGCGAGAACCTCAACAGCCGATGCCATCGCCTCCCCGCCCGGACCAGTCGAAGGTTTCCAGATGACTCTTGTCACGGTAGAGTTCAGACTGAGGTGAAGGTTCTGCCGAGAAGTGGAAAATGGCCAGTAATATGCCCGTGCCGCATCTTCGCGGACGTTGGCTTCTTCATCAACCGTTTTCGGATAGACGGTGAAACCGCGCATGGAGCCTCCGTTGACGTCCTGTGAAAATGGGATCCCGATGGCTTGGTAAGACTCGCGTAGTATGGCTGGGAACTCATCAATGGCTTGATTCTTGGGATAGCCCACGGCCAGCGGTCCCTCAAGCCCGTGGTAATCCAGGTTGAAGGTGGCACCGGCTGCAATCTGCTCCGAGGTGGGAATCTGGTATCTCTCTGACTTGAGATAGTATGGGTACAAGGCTTTCCAGTTCCACCCTGCATTGCCTACCTTTTCCCACGCATCAATCTGCGCGGCCTCGGCTCGCGTGTAGGCCATGCCTAGAGTAGTCAGCATCTTTCTCCCGGACATACATTTAGGGCATTACCATTGATAGTACTAGTCCCCCCGAGTGCCTTTGCCGCATGAAGCGTCTGGTTTTGTTTATTTGCGAACATTTGCGGCACCGTTTTGTACAGGTTGTCAATGGCTGTGTTGAATGCTTTCCCGTAGCCATTGGGGTCTGTGACATTTGGATTGTCGTGGACAGAATATCCGGCTTCTATGATGAGGACCGAGACGTTCGCGTTCTCTGATAGGCGATTGGCGACGACCAGTCCACAGGTACCGCCGCCGACGACGATGTAGTCGTAAGCAGAAGGGGCGTGGGCGGCCAGAGCGCCCAGCCGGAGGCTGCAGAAAGAAAAAGTGGCCAGAAGGGCGAGCAGCATCTTTGCACTGGAACCTCTGGGCGAACGGAGACGTAGCAATGGTGAGCGATGGCTTGTCTCAGCGGGCGGGCGCTGCAAATTTGTAGGCATGTCGATGGGCCAATTTGATCAATACGAGACTAGCTTCGATAAGCCCATGGCGATCGGCTTGTGTAACAGAACCAAGTGAAGGCGCTTAGGAGATAGACTATAGGAGTAGTCATGACCCGCAGGGCCGCAGTCATGGCCTGTGTGCAACCTGCCGGACATGGTAGCCTGACCACCACAGCATGCATAGCGAGCCGGTTGAGAAGTTGAAAAGAGGTGGAGGGGTAATATTATTCTGGTGAAAATAAGTATTTTGGGCCGCAGTGGCGTCGAGATCCCGACTTGCAGGCCGCCACTTCAGCTTATTCGGCACTTTGCCGCCATGGGCGATGCTTCCGGCCGCATTCATCTGAAATGGGTGGCCAACCTCCCGATTGGTTCAAGAGGAGGCTTCTTTTTTCCTTATCTATCTACGGCTGGACCTCAATTTATGTGATAGAAAATAAGGGATTGCAGCTCTATATCAATCAAAGTTGATCTTTTTCAACAAGCTGTGAGCTGGCTTCGATATTTAGGCAGCTCGTTCTCCGCCAATCAACGGTGCCTATGGCCAGCCACAAGGCTAAACCCAAGGACGAGGAGCAGCAGAATGCCCATTTAACCTTCTTCCAATCACCACCAAAACGGACAGAGTGCCCGTTTGACTCTGGTTCTAAAACGAGTTGCTGGCACCGGGGGGCTGGCCTGCCACGTTCCCTGCTGCGTTTCCTGTTGCGTTTCCTGCCGCGTTTCCTGCTGCGTTTCCTGCTGTGATTCCTGCTGTGATTCCTGCTGCGTTCCATTGCGCGTTTCGTGATGCGGTTCCCTATCCAGTGTTGTCGTGAGGTTGTAGTCTCCAAGCCCTCCTTCAGTGCTCCTTTCCGCCCTCGTTGCGCAGGGAGTCTCGATCTCGCTTGAGTCGATTTTTCCACGAGCACGTCTCGCCATTCGTCCTGCTTGTAGTACCATGAAGAGATCCTCACTGTGGTTCTCCGGAACTTCCAGCATTCCTTCATATGGCCTGGCTCTGTGCATCTCTATCGTCTCCTTTCCAGATGACTCGATTGGCCCAGTCTTCCCCGACGCTTCGAAGACCTCCTCCAAATACTTCTCAAACTCGGCGGAATCCATGGGCTTTCTTGTCAACTCCTCGAGCTGGGCCGCCGAGATGTCCGTGTCGGACAGGCCGTAGTCCCTCATCTTCCGCCTGAGCATGTCCCGTTGCCAACTTGCACGGAATTCGACACGGTCCAGCCGGCTACCTTCTTGTGGCAGCGAAACACCCCCATAACCGCTGGGTTCCGGTTGCGGATGCTCAATAGCCGAGGAGGCCTGGTACGCAGCAGCCGGAGGAGAAGACGCATAGAACGGAAATGTCAATGGGTGGTCGTGGATGAGGCTATCAGTCCATTGACGTCTCGTATTTCCATGTGAGCTGGTTTCTGCTGTTTCTGTTAGTGGCTGGACTAGGGAGGATGTCAGGACAGGACCAGCAAACCTTCAGCTGGGTTTTCCTCTCTCGCCGAGAGACCGGGCCTTGCTTTTCTCTTTGATGAGGAGGAACCCGTTGGTTCACTTTGTTGTCGGTGCTTCTCCAGCCGCTTCTCCAGGGGTTCGTCGTCGCGGCTCCAGTCGCTCTTCATGGACTTTCGGTCTTCGGGGTCATTTGCCGGCGGTTCGCAATGTCCCTCTGCTGCGTCAGAACCCACATGAGATGAGCTGTCGTCCATGGCATCGGCCCGTAACTTCAGTTCAAAGTCAGCCATGAGTCAGTTGAACAGGTTGCGCGGTCTCGCGAGGTAGCGTTCTGAGAAGCTACTGGTGATGGGTCAGTTGACTGGAAAGGAAAGTGCGACCAACCACGCACCTTTCGAGCGACCTTTATAGTTGAAGGGTCCATTTGAGAAAAACGTCGGTAGATGGCTTTCCCTTCGGTTCCGTAAACACCATATTGTTGAATCAAGGTTCTCACTATCCACTTTTTTCAATGTATAGAAGCCGCATAGTATTCCAATGACCTAGCGAATGTAGTGATTTTAGCGTCCTTCTAAGCACACAGACGATTTTATTCCCAACCGAAAGCTGTGTGCAATAGGGAGGTAAGCTCTTCATGTACTGGCCCCGTTTTTCCTGTCCTGGCTTACCCTGCTGTTGTTGGTTGGGTTGTGGAATCTTAATACCAACGCACCCAGAGTAGACCTGCTCTTGCGATAAGCAAAAATGTTTGCTCTTAATCCCATGGTTTAGCCCTCCACGGCGTTGCAATTTTCACTTCGCATCCCACAATTATGCACTTTTGCCGGAAATTTGTTGCAGTGTCGAAATCAAGAACCACGGCTTCCAAATTTTCCATTCCTAAACGCTTCCACAAAGGCTCTAGTGCTTCCCATGATCACTGCCCGTCATCAACCGATCATTTCTCGGAAACCAACATCTTGGCATCTTCCACCGCAGCTCGCGATACCTTTTTGAGGACCACCTTGTGGTCCGCCTCGCGGTACTTCTCCCAATGGTCCAGATCTTCCCTGGCCTGGATAGAAAGGGTCTCGTATCCTTGCTTGATGACTTTGCTAACCTCCCTCGGGCTAAGGTTCTTGCTCTTGACCTTACCTTTCTCATCGCCCTCCAGGAGTGCGTGGTAGTGTTTCGATACGCTGACCAGGGTTTCAATCGAGCTCGAGCTAGACTGCTTCGAAAGGTCGTACGCATCGCGAAACTTGGTGAGGATGTCGCCCGTTTCCACCAGCTTATAGAAGAGGTCATCGTAAGCTGCTGCGTCAGGGAGGAAAGACTCGCCGGCAGATAGCGAAAGGGCAACGAGGTTCACCGTGTCGTCAATCAGGCGACCGGATTCTCGTAGCGGCTTGATGTCATTGGCGTATGTGGCGAGAAACCGGATGAACGAGAGAAGTGACCGCCACAGTTCAGACCAGTGGTACGCTGTTTGGGGTGAGTAGAGAGACTTCCATGATTTACGAGAGCTGGTCTCTTACCGAACCGTATCCGAGATCTTGCCAGGAAAGAGATGATGCGTAATATGACCCCTAAGCAGAGACTGGGAAAATCAGCACGAGTTTCTATACCACCAGAGTGTGAGACATACGTGTAGTACTCGGTATCAAGGCGGCGTCGAAGGTTGTGGTTAATACCATCAATCACCATATCCAGAATGTACGCCGCTAGCACCCTGTCTGTCCGCACAACAGGGAGGTAGGGCTGTCTCTGCCTGCAGAGTCTGACCGGAGTCTTGCTCTCCTCGCTGCATATCCGCTTCGCAAGGGCCGGGTCTTCAATGACAATCTGTAGAATGTAGAGATTCACGTGGGAATAAAGAGCCGTTCTTGCCGAACGGTGCGCATGTTGGAAAAGATAGGACGTCAGAGAAAGAAAGGCGCTGAAAGGAGTAATGTCCATCTTGCTCGCTGCGGGCAGGTTGATCAAATTGAAGCAGAACAGTTTGTTTGCGTTTGCAAAATCATAGGCTGAAAGGAGAATGGCGGCTTCCGGACCAGGCCTGAAGTGATCGTCAGTTTGATCTTCATTAACTTAGATTGGGAGCTGACGCACAAAGTGGTGAACAGAGACTGTGCCTCCTCCGGGGAGGGAGCGGGTGAGGCAGGCCGAGAGCCCGTCAGGGCACCTAAGCCGACGTAGTTGAGAGCAGACCCAATGGACCAAGCCTCAGGGGTATCGTCCTGCACCGCAACGTATCTGTCCCTCAAATCGCGGCAAGTGTTTCCTACGCATTGAACCGTCTTCTTGATAGCTACGTCATTGACGAAGTCGTCCAGGCGAAGGCGGTAGGGGTTCTGGAATTCGAACTTGTTGTAGTTGGCCAGGAGTCCCAGGAGGATGAATGGCTCGGAGATCTCGCCCGACAATTCGGTGTCCTGGACAAACTATGGGCATGTTAGCGTGGCCGTTCCAGAACCGTGGCTTGCCGTCTGCATACCTTCATCAACGACGGGAATAGATCGCGATGTGTGAAGTACGAAATCAGGCCGGTTGAATACGCTCCCGAAGTAATGGAAAGAGCCACTCGAATGGCCTTCCTGCGGATTTGTACTGTCCTAGTGTCACCATTCCTACTCGCCCAGAGGTTGGGGCATCCAGCCGACTGGCGCGGCTTCTGCTAGGGAGACTCACTGTTCCGCCCACTCCGAATGATGTTGTCCAGGGCGGCCACCAGGTCGGTAAGCACAGCATCGGCGTCGTCGAGGCCGGCGAGCACGGAAAGGATGTCGGAGCTTGGATTGGTGTACTTTTTGCTCAGCACGGCGCCTAAGAAGACTGTCAAAGTCTAGTTCGTAAGTCGGCGGGTTTTCTGGAAACGGAAGAGACGCAAGCGGCGGGGTCGGCCGGTCTTACATCGAGCGCGATCTCGTCGGACGGAGCTCTAGCATCTTTCATGCGATCAATTGCACGCGAGAAGAGCTGCTGTGCAGGCACCTATCCAGCAGCATCCGGGTCAGCACACGCGCGATCCACGGGTAGAGGCTCGCTTTACCTGCAGGTGCAGCATTTGGTCGGGGCTCAGGCTCTGCAGCACGCGTCGCAGGTTCGAAAGGTCCGGCTTGAGCAGGAAGAACTCCTGCCAGAAGCCCTCGGACTGCTCATGGTCGTGCTCGTCGTCGGCATCGGAAAGCTGGAAAAGGGCCTCGTAGAGCTTGACGATTTTGGGCTGGAACGTGTCCGGGCGAGACACCTGGGTCAGCGGCGACGGCTCCATGCGGGCAAGGTAGCTCGCTCTCAACAAGCTAGCTGGCGATGTTTCGCTTGTTTGTCCCGGAGGCCGGAGACTAAGGACACGCAGGTGTGTTGCGCGCTCACCTGGGCAGCCCCAATTTCCGCGCCAGCTCTGCCCTGTGCCTGCCGCAAGGCCGCCGCACCAATCGTCATAGGCCGCCCCCCGGCGCGGGGTCCATCCGAGACGTACCTTGCGCTGCCCCTCCGCCCTGCAACCGCTTCAACCAGCCCAGAAAAAAAGGGAGAAACCCACTTCCTGGCCCCCTTACCTCTGCGGCGGACCCCCTCGCGATCACCGCCCCCGGACGAGAGCCCGGAGGAGGCCGGCCATTCCCGCATCATGGTCTCCCACAACCATCCCACCGGGCGGCCCTCCCAACCAACCCACCTCACCGCCGCCCAGGTGGCCGACGTTGCGCAGACCGATCCGCCAGGCCCGGGCACCTTCAACCTCTCTTCGAGCGACGACCGTAGCACCGCCGCCCCGCCGCCCGCCGTCCTGCTCGCCCTCTCGGGCCCTTCTAGCAGCGGCAAGACCACCCTCGCCCGCCTGCTGCGCGACATCCTGCCCAACACATACATCCTGCACCTCGACGACTTCTACAAGCACGACTCGCAGATACCAGTAAACCCCAAAGGCGTCCAGGACTGGGACTGCCTGGGCGCCATCGACGTGCCTGCGCTGCGCGCCGCGCTGGCCCACATCCGCGCCCATGGCGAGCCGCCGTCCGACTTCGTAAGCAAGGAGGACAAGAACGCCGTGGGTGAGTGCGGGATCGCGGCCGAGGCCGTCGAGCGGTGTAGGGAGCGGGTGCGGCGGTTTTTCGACCAGGCCGGCGTGGCGGAGCGGTTGTGCGGGCGCAGGATCGCCATTGTAGACGGCTTTCTGATGTTCTCGGACGAGATGGCGGAACTGGGGATCAGAGACCAGTTCGACATCAAGTTGTTCCTGCGAACGAGCTACCAGACGGCGAAGCGGAGGCGCGAGGCGCGCTCTGGCTACGTGACTCTGGAGGGGTTCTGGGAGGATCCGCCCGGGTATGTGGATGACATTGTATGGCCGAATTACGTCAAGGACCACAAGTTCTTGTTCAAGGGTGGGGATGTTGAGGGGGAGATAGATGAGGCGGTCGCCAAAAGAATAGGCATTGAGACTATGCCCCAAGATGCGGCCGAAGATATGGGAAAGGTCCTCGACTGGGCTACCAAGGTAATAGTAGACGAGCTGAATAAGATAGCTCAGTCATAAAAAAAAATGAGAGAACAAATGTTAAAAAAGCAATTCCATTCAGGACAGAATATGCATGATTTACATCTCTTCTAGTCAACGAGTAGAGCTGCACGGCAGCGGGTATCATAACAGTAAATAAACCGAAGAAATGGATAACTCCTAGCCCATGCATCGCCATGCCTTTCACCTCATCCCGACAATTTCAATAACCCAAAAACAATGTTCAACAAGAACCCCGTCAACACAGCGATCTGCCTCCTTCTGCTCCACACGCCCTCCTCTCTAAAGCCCCATCCCAACGCCCCCAGCGGCCAGAAGAAGCCCACGACGTTCCCGTACAGCATATCGTCCAACCCACCATTATCCGACCACGTCGCCGAGCCCCAGCCTCCACCACCCGCATCGCCGCCCTCGCCGGCACCGCCAGCAGCAGCATCCGTCACGGTGGTGCCGCCGGGCCTACCCCCACCGCCGTGATCGTTGTCCAACCATCGGTCCTCCATGACCCTAATCTCCTCGGCCGACGGCATCGTGTCGGGCGTGTGCGTGAACGACAGGTTCGCCCGGAACTGCGAGCGCAGCTGCTGCACCTCCGCGGGCGTGAAGCCGGCGTTGAGCAGGCGGTCGAAGCCGCGCGGGGCGGCGTCCGTCGTCGTCGTCGTCGATGTCGAGACGCCCGGTTCGCCGGGTCCGGGTTGGCCAGCGGCAGCACCGGCAGCGCCGCCGCCGCCGACGCCGCCGCCTGCGTTGCTACCCGAGCTGGACGCACCCACACCCGCACCCGTACCCTTGGATAGCAGTGATGCAGATGCGCGGGCGCCGCCGCTGCTGAACGCGGCTTCCAGCGCGGCTTCGGCGTTGGCGGCGGCGGTCGCCTCGGCGGCGAGGGCGGATGGCGTCAGCGTGTCGCCGATCGAGCAGTGTACGTAGACCTTGCGTGGTTCGGGAACGCTGTCGTCGTCTTGCGTCGTCGACGTCGTCGCGCGCTCTTTGCCTTTGCCTTTGGCATCGTTGCTCGAGGCGGCAGCCGACGGGGGTGGTCTGGCACGAGGAGGCGGGGGTGGAGGGAGGCTGAGGCTTGCTGTGAGCGGCGCGGTGTCTGCGAGGACCTTGCCGGCGTGGATGAGGCGGAGACGGGAAGTCGCGTGGGTGCCGGCGATGTGCTTCCGGATGAGCTGCTTGAGAGAGAGGGTTGTGGTCGTTTTGGGAGTGGTGATTGGGAGCGGTAGATCGGGGAGCGAAGCCGTGAAGCGGATGATGAGAAGGACCTGCGGGGGCGGTGAGTCTGCCATTGCTGGGGGAGCAAACGTCCTCAAAGTCCTCTACACGGTGGTGATGCAGAGTGGTCGGTCAAGCTCTACCTAGCGTGATGTCGGTCAAGGAAGCTCCGGCCCGCCAGCCGACCATGTATGCCGGGGAAGCTAACGTCATCAAGGTATTCATAAGCGGCTCAACCCCACCAGACCGCTGGCCTGTCTTGTCAAAGTCTCGATTTTCCAGAACAAGTCAGAAAAGTTGTGACCTGCAATCATGTCTATCGTCCACATCGTCCAATTTGGCTTCAAGCCGAATGTTCCCGAAGACAAGATCGCTGATGTAAATATGTTCAAGTACTATTCTCTATGCACACAAGTCTAATTGTTCTCCAGATCTGTCATCAACTCGTGTCCCTGAAGGACAAATGCATCCACCCCACATCTCAAAAGCCTTACATCAAATCGGCGATCGGGGGCCGGAACGATTCTCCTGAAGGCATGGCGGTAGGCGTCCCCTGTACCCCGCTAAGACCGCTTCCATCTAATTCCATGTCCCCAGGGAGGTGTCACCCATGCCTTTATGATGGAGTTTGAGAGCGATGAAGACCGGAAATATTATTTAGAGAATGATCCGGCGCATCTAGGATTTGTGGGTGGGGTTAAAGACCTTGTTGCGACCGCCCGTGTGGTCGACTTCAAGCCGGGTAAATTCTAATCACCGAGGGATATATCCGATGTTCCGTAGTCCAAATCAGACCGTGCAGTCGACTCTCTGTCAACCGGCAAAACGCCTTCCCAATGCAAACGCCGTTCGTGATAGGAAAAAAGGAGACTCAAATTGGCGTCTCCATAATTCAGCTGACGCTAAAGGACTCGCCGCATCCGCATTGCTCAGCTGGATGGTTGTTAGCGTGACATCATCGATAGGATCTGAGTGGCAAACATACTGATGTTGGGGTTCCTGAAAACAAATCTCCGGCTGAGCTTGTCCTCGACCCAGTCCATCTCGCTGCCGAGGATGTGGATGAGGGCCTTGGAGTCGATCAAAACCTTGACGCCATCCTGCTCAACGGCGTCATCGAACTTGCCAGGCTTGTCGACGTATTCGAGGTGGTAGGCCAGGCCGGAGCAGCCCTTGCTCCTGGTGCCAACGCGAATCAATTTGGGCTCAGGTGAGTCCAAAAGTTCGCGGAGGGCAGATACGGCGGTGGGAGTGAGGACCATGGCGGCCTTCTTGGGCTTGAACTTGAAACGGCTCGGTCTCTTGGTGGGTGCCGGAGCGGGCGCGGGCGCAGCATTGAATGCAGGCTTGGGCTTCTGGGCCTCGGCCTCGGTCACACTGATGCTGGTCTTGTTGTCGTCACTGGCGGCGACGCGACCACCGCGCTGCTCGGTCAGTCGCGGGGGCCGTGTCTCGTTGACCTCGGGCTTGCCGCCGGCAATGGATGTATCAGGGATGCCAGTGTTCCTCGGCGGGGCGGGTGGGGGCTGCAGGTAGTGCGGCTGGTATGCGCTAGCAGTCTGAAGATGGCGGGTCTGCCTGGCGGATGACATGGAGCGGAAGCATTGGGGACAGCTTCTGGAGGCGGCGAGGGATGTTGAGGTGGCGAAGCGGAAGAGCGACGGCGCCGCAGCGAGCGCGCTGGTGGCAGAGCGCGAGAACGGCATGGCGGGAGGTGCGATAGCGATGCAGGTGGCGGGTGGTGATGGAGACGAGTTGATTGAGGCGCGGGCGGACGGCGAGCTTTGATGGTGTTTGTAATCCTTAACCGCGGGCCAGCCGAGTATCGTCATAAGCAGTGCCGACGTGGGCCCGGCCAATCACAGCGAAGCCTAAATAATCATCAGCACCCTGCGGAGCCCCTTCTCCCAGGGTCCCGTGGCCCGCGTTTCACGCCGCCTGCCGCCTGCCGCCTCCCACAGGATGCCCTGCTTGTTCCAGCATCGCTGCCGATCCCTTCGTGTCTCTGCCCACCTCACGTTGCACATCAGTCAATCGTTTCCATGGCCTTGTCCCACCACAGCCGGCGTGATCACATGATGCTGTCGTCAGTGAGTTCATGTGGTGTACCATCACCAGCTGATGCTCTGAGCCGCAGCTGAGAAACAGTCGACTTCCGCCCGCTGAGCCAGAAGCCTGGCTGAAATAGACCGCCGATCGACAGGAGCATGTGGTCACGGCTGCTTCTGTCGTATCACCTGATTCTGTTCCACGGTGCATCTGCCCCTGCTGTCACTGCGATACCACTTCCACTGGTCCGTCACCACATCTTCGCCACTCGTCGGTCACGCTGCTTGCTCGGTAGATGCAGACCGAGCCTCACTGGTGTCACCATGATGGGTCAGGATGAATCCGACCCTTCCAAGTTTCGCGAAGGCTTCAGCAATCCTCTATGTCATTTGAAAGTTCTTCGCTACTCGTCTTTTTAGTCTTCGGAAAGGAAAGAGAAAGGGATAGGAAACAAGGCCTGTATGATGTGAAGGAACACGACGTTGTTCAGGTTGGAGCCTGGTAACGATCAGGCTTCAAGCATTGTCCCTTCCGTCCCACCTCTTCTCTCAACACACCCAGCCTCTGCTCGTCCTCGAAGTCGAAGTCGCCGCTCCAGAAGCCGCAGTCGATGTTGCTTGTTTCCTTCCGACTTCTACTCTGCGCCAGAGCCTCCGCATCAACGGGGGGAAGATGGACCTCCTCCTTTGCGTCTGCTACGGCTATGAGACTGTCGCCCATGACGTGGTGAAATACCTCTGGGTTGACCGTATAGCACCGCATGCCTCTCCTTCGACACCCGTGCATGACGGCCATGTCGTATGCCGGATCTGGGGGATGTTGTATCGACGCCAGGTCCTCGATTATCCACCGTGCCGACGAGCGCGTTATGGCATAGCCAAAAGTGCAAAGGGGGAGGCGGGATCTATGCACGACACGCGACTTTTCAGGTATTTCCAGGGCATCCAGGAAGCTTTTGGTGTACGGATGAAGATCTGGCCGATCCGGAAGGGTGCTGTCGCGGAAGATCTTGTGATCCAATGCCGTCAGGTTGGAAGGGAAATGGTGGCCTGGACCTATCCCCTTGTCGATCGTCTGGAACCAGTCTCCACAATGGCCTAGCCACAGAAGGTCCCAGGCAGAGCTGTTGCCATAGTACTCCGTGTTGGACCGGAAAAGGGTGCGAGTCGCTGCCGCAATTTGTGGGACCTGCACGGTACGAAGACGGATATCCCAGTCCACATCATCCTCCAAGATGAGCGCCGTCTCCAGTCCCGACTCGAGAAACCTAGTCCTGCGGTCAGACCATCTCCTTTGGCTCATTACTCAACATTCCAGTCTTACAAGTTGAGGATGTGAAGATGAGAGAACCAGGCCATTATTGATCCATGTCCTGCGCCACGGTCTTGCTCTTTCAAGCCATCACGGAACCTTGCTTCGTCGTCATCCGTCCATTGCGGCAGAGTTGGAATGGTCAGATCTATCTCGGTAACATTGGCAGCCTGTATCAACCTTGCTCTCCGAGGCGAATCTGTGGCTGATACCGCATACACGGCACCGAAGCCCAGCGTGGAGTTTGCCGGACCGGGGACGTCAGCATCGCCATGATTTGATAACCCTACCACGTGAGAGAACGGTGCCGCAAGACGATAGGGGTTGGAGGCGTTCCTGCAGTAGACATAGAGGCTTGAAAAGAAGAAGACAAAGGACAACAGCTGGACGTACTTCTTCGGCACGAGCATGGCGCGCGGTGCGAAGAAGAACGTGGAGATGTGCTGAGGAGAGTCTCGCTGCGCATGCCAGGTTTTGAAGTTACGCTTCCTTACGGGGGAGCAGAGATGCGGCTTGCCATTACACAGCAAGGTCCAATAACAGGCCTCTCCTGTAGTACTAAGATCCGTGCCAGCCGTACGAGAGTTGCGTACTCGCTTCTCCTTCCGGTTAGTCAGAGCCGGTACACCCATGGGGAACGTGCGGCAGCACCGTCATATCCAGTCCGCTCTCGGAATGATGACCGGCCTCCAACTCCCTTGGGGCGGCTATGGGGGCTGGCTCGACGGCGCTCTGCATCTCAATGTTGAGTTCCACCTGGGATGCGGACGTCCAAGATGCTTCGCCCACATCCGAAGGAGCAATGCGATGGAGACTGAATTTCAGTCGATGGCATTTGACGTGTTCGCAGCCTTGCCGATCATTTGCAGGGACCCACTGCGCTAGAACCAAGAGCTGACGCTCTCCACACGCGTCACAATCTTTCTCACACGCTCTCCGGCACGCTTGCTTATCAGAGACGTCGCAGGTTTCCCAGGATCCATCACACAAACGTAAGCTTTATACATGCTCGAGTTTTCATCATGGCTGAAGGGATGCCAAGGACACCACTCCAGTGTTGCCTGGAGCGCAAGCGCGTAGCCGCGGAAGCTCCACCAGGGCGGATAACTTCTCGTCGCCATTGGCCCATGGCGTCCATCACACCTCTATATTTTTAGGCATTCAACGAAGGATGCGGCACAGCAATAGAGATACGATAACAAGCAGTTGCCGCCATGTTCTTTCCACCAGCTGTCAGTCGTGCTTCTGCTTCTGTTCATACTGTCGCTTTTCTCTACCTGCTCGTCATGTTATTCCGTCTCTCATGAAAGCCACCCTCTAATTTCTATTATTCGGCTACCTCAATCCACCAAGCGCATTCGGTGAAATCGCCACATTCCTCGCTACGCAACCTATCATTCCTTACCAAGCTGGATTTCATATGCGAGCCCGTGGCTTGCGTACAGCCCTTCGGGCTTTGTCAGCGGTTGCTCAAATCCACCATGGATATGCCGCTTCCAACTTCCCCGTTCCGTGGAGCGTGAAGTATTACGGCCCGGATGGACCGTGGCAGGCCATCAGTGTCAGCGTTGGTGGAATTGACACCCAAGCTACAACTCAAGTCGACCTGTATCCCAGCGGGGCGTATGGATCACCCATAATAACTTCCGAGGCCTGCGAGCCCTACGACGACACTCCCTGCGGCGCAGGTGGTCTTTGGTCTCCGACAAACGTGGACGCGACGGCTACGAGCTACAGGCAGGGCTGGATTGGACATGCGGACCAGGTCGAAGCGTACGGCGCCTCGTACATCCAAGCCATGACCATCAACGGCCAAACAGTGCCGTACGTCCCGCTGGTAGCCATCGACAACGCCACCATCACAAGTCCAGCGGGAAAGAAATACGGCCCGCAATGCGGCAATCTCGCGCTGGGAATAGGCGGCGGAGTCCAGACCCAAAACTTCCCAGACGCGTCGTCCGACGTCGACACGGGCTTCATGTTCTTACCAGGCCTATACAACCAGAGCATCATCCCTTCCTACGCCTACGGTCTGCATTACGGCTCCGCAACACTCAAGTACGGGGGTTCTCTAGTGTTCGGTGGCTACGACAAAGGCCGGGTGTTGGGCCGATACACCAACTACACCGGCAGCGAGATCACCCTCCTCGACATCGGCATCGGCGTCGAAAAGGGCGGCTCGCCCTTCGCCTCGGGCGCCAAGAGCATCTCCGGCCTGCTGCTCAACAACACGGGCCAACCAACCTCGGTCACGGTGAACCCCAACCCGGGCATCCCGGGTCTCTACCTGCCCGGCAAGACGTGCCAGGAGATCGCCAAGCACCTGCCGCTCACCTTCGACACGACCCTCCAATACTACGTCTGGAACACGGACGACTCGCAGTACGAGAAAATCATCACCTCGCCCTCCTACCTCAGCTTCACCTTCCCCTGGTCCGCCGACGACGACCCGTCGTCCTCCTCCCCGTCCAACATCACCATCAAGGTCCCCTTCCTCCTCCTCAACCTCACCCTCGACGCCCCGCTCGCCTCGACCCCGACCCCCTACTTCCCCTGCATCCCCATCGACCCCACCGGCGGCGACGTCTACCGCCTCGGCCGCGCCTTCCTGCAGGCCGCCTTCACCGGCCACAACTTCATCGAGACGCACAGCTGGCTGGCGCAGGCCCCCGGCCCCGGCTCCGCGCGCGACGGCCTCGGCGTCGACCGCGTCGACCTGCAGGCGCACGCCACGGCCATCGAGACGAGCGACGAGGGGGACGACGGCGAGGTCTGGGCCCGGACTTGGGACGGGTATTGGGAGCCCTTGGCCGAGGACGGGGCGCAGACGGCGACGCCGACGGCGTTGAGCGGGGACGGCGGTGGAGGCGGCGGCGGCGGTGATGGCAGCAGCAGCAGCAGTGGTGGTGGTGGGGATGGTGATGACGGGATGAGTACCGGGGCGAAGGTCGGGATCGCCGTGGGTGCCGTTGCGGCGGCGGCGGCGGCGGTCGCGGCGTTGTTGGTGTGGTGGCGGCGGCGGCGGATGAGGGCCAAGGAGGAGGAGGGGGCTCGGACGATGCGGGATGACAAGTGTCCGTTTGGCTGTCCGTATGGCGCGCACGTCTTGCGGTGTCCGTTCTGGCTGCCGGATTATCCTCAGCCGGTGGAGCTCTGGACGCAGCCGCCGATGCTACAGGGGACTGCGGTCACGTACGAGCTACCAGGCAGTCGGCCGTTGTCGCCGAGGGAGTTGGATGCCGGGAGCAAGTCGATGAGATCATGTAGGCAGTCGGGGGCGTGAACAACGGGTATGTTTGTTTGTTTGTTTGTTTGTTTTTTAGGGTGTGTTGGTTAACTCGGGATGTGGGCACACTGTATGACTTGATGTTGGATATCACCTGCGATGACGTACGTGACAATTGAGCTTTTTGATCGATACACAAAACCCAGGCCTGAGAGTATCAAGCAATCGTGATCTTCAAATCGGCGTGATGGCTGCTTTGCCACAGATTCGATGCATGAAGAACGATGCGTGCGAGCAGCAACTGAAACATGGGACACAATGACGACGTCACCGATGCAGCTCCTTCCAGGAATAGCAGGCTCGCGAGGCGTAGATATGGTCCGGGAATTAGAGAATTTGCCTACTAGGGTAAGCGGAGTTGCGGGCGTAGCGGGGCAGGCAGAGTGCGCGGATGCACTAGCGCAGGCTGCTCCAGGATCGAGGCACGATGCAATCGTCATTGATCACGCTTGCATGGGAACTGACATGCATGCCGAAAACCTTGATCCGTCGGACCCCAATCCTCCGCCTCCGATCTCTGGAACCCCCTTGCGTGCTTGATGCATGCTAAATTAGGCTGTCCGTCTTGAGACTCTTTGCAATAGCGCCTCCACTAAGACGACCGCCAAGTCAATCATTTGCAATTATGGAGAAATGATGAAAGACGCGGGCGGGGATGGTGAAGCAAGAAGACGCAAGTGAGAAACGACAAACCCTGGCGCATGTCATGAAGACCGCAAGATTTCAACGAGCAATCCAACCTGCAGCATTCTACGGTATCTTTCCACAGGTCTAATAAAAGTCTCCGTGTCAGTCTTCTTTCGGCTACAACGCCAAGCAACATCTCCTTCCTACCTAACCCACCGCATCCTCATTCGCACCCTCACACAGCCCCTGTATCATCAACACAATGTCTCTTTCACAATAGCATCAAGCCTTTGCTAAATCGCTATGCCTATCTCAGGTTGTTGTACATATTGCTACCTGTGAAATGTCTTTTTCATTGTTCGACGGATCCAACCCTTAACGACAACCCCACGAAAGCCCCTTTAGCTCAGTGGTAGAGCGCGACACTAGTAATGTCGAGGCCATCGGTTCGACTCCGATAGGGGGCATATGCCTCGCCGAATGCCTTGATAATTCAGGTATTAATCATTCTTTTTTTTTTTGGCCATGTTGAGTGGGTTAGCACTGGCACCCCTTTCGACGCGAATGCAGAAATGGTAGGGGTATAATGGCACGCTAATGCGGCATGTGGGGCAAGGGGTAAAGTGAGAAAGGCCAGTGCGCCTAGCAGTCGATTTTTTTCTTGTGTGTAAACAGAAAGCGGAAGGGGATTGGGAAAGGAACGTCAGTTCGGTGGCATAAGGGGACGAGAGAAAGGGTAGTTAGTGTGTGAAGGAGCTGACCAGCTTTTTTCTTCCCCGAAGATGAGCAAGAGAACTGTTGAAAGGGAACATGAATCTACTCCGATATCCGAGAGCATTTTGATACACAGGGCAAGGCAAGGGGAGAAGGGGAAAAACAAAATGTCGCAGGGATCTAACTAGTAAAAAATCGGTAGCTCCCGGGACCGAGGCACGCACACGTTCCACACGACGACCCGAGACAGCTTCGCCAGTGGGGGAGGGGGAGAACAACGTAACAGAAAAAATTGAAACGAAGCGCAACAAGTGGCGGTGGAAGTACATAGCTGTTCGAAACCCGTTCCATGCGATGTGAACAAGATGACTGCTGGTTTGTGAATAAAAGTATCGTGGACAATGCCTATAACCCAGTGTCAATTAGGAAATAGTCCCACTGATGGTGCCCGGAAGAGGCAAGACCACAAGAATACCTCGTCGCTCTATTCTCGGATATCAAAAGTACAGCCATCTCACCCGGCCATGACAGTTTGCCGGACCGGCATCAAAAGAAGAAGCGAGGATCGTGGGTCAAACACTAGGAGTGGAGAAAGCGAGACCCACGGCAGCGCAAAAAAGCAAAAGGCAAAAAGCAAAGCCAATCTTAGCTGCGAATGGTTTCGATCCATTGTCCTCCGGGTTATGAGCCCGGCGCTATTAGGTTCGTTAGTTGATTGATTCAAACGAATTCATATAGAATGGTAATAGCTTACCGCTTCCGCTGCGCCACGCAGCTTTTTGTTGTCGACTTATAGATCATTGTCGCTATCATCCATTCTAATCGGTGTTCATTTGGGACGTTGTGCAGTCGGAAATTAATGCGGACTTCTCCAAATGCAACAACAACGCACACATGTCATGTACTCTTCGACAGACAACTGAGGACCCAAGAAAGTTTCCACGATACATGAGGAATTCGCGGAGCCAACCTGATGTTGCAGTAACGTAAATGGGAACAGATTACCTCACAATGTCGATTCTGGCATCTCACCACCAAAGATCTGGAGACCAAGAGTTAGGAAGCCGGTGCCGAGGGGTGTCCGTCTTCCAATTCTCCTTGTTTCGTCGCTTTGTCCATCTCTCCAAGTCGTCTTGGCCTTCCACCTCCTCTTCCGCGCCCTCGGTAGCCTCTACCACCTCTTCCACTCGCCCTTCTATTATCTCCACCAGATCCTCCAGCCTTGTTCCCGACCGCGAACGGAATGCGTATCAAAGGCTTTTCCACCCATTCTATACCCTTCAGATTCAGTCGTTCCTTCTCCTTCTCCGGTAGCCTCCATGCCTGGAATAAGCCCATCAGCATCTCTTCTCCCTTCCGACCTCCGCTTTGCGCGCCATCAACGTCCACATCACGCAGCTCCTCGACCCAAGTTTTGACGTAAGCCCCGCCCTTATCATAGTCGAGGGCCTGCTTGACCGGATTGAACTTGCGACCCTGTCGCGGATCGTTGCCAACGCCCGCCACGTACTGCCAGTTCCCCCAGTTGTTGCTCAAGTCATAGTCAGTGAGCGCGCACTCGTACCACTCGGCGCCAACGCGCCAATCGATGCCCAAATGCGACGCGAGGAACGAAGCGACATTCTGCCTGGCTCGGTTTGACGTGTAACCTGTCAGGAACAGTTCGCGCTGGGAGGCGTCGATGAGGCCGATGCCGGTGCGCCCGGAGCGAAAGCGCTCGATGGCTTGACGCGTCTTCGCAGGGTCATCGCCAGCGCCACCGCTGCAGTCAAGATAGCGCCATCTCTTCTTTCCGTCCGAGCTCGCCGAAGCCTCGTCCGAGCGGAAGCCATCGACGTGGAAGAGCCTTGGCCCGAATTTGCGCGTGCAGAGGCGCATGTAGTCGCGCCAGAGAAGTTCGAAGCGCACCGCAGCAGTACCGGGGTTCTCTCCACGACCATAACCAGATGCGGCTTTCCAAGTGCCTGGTACGTCCGGTTGCCCGTCTTCGTAGGCTACCAACGAGGCGTGGACTTGGCGAGCGGTAATGCAGCCTAGCGCGAGCCAAGATGACAACTTGGTACTGTAGTCTTCCCCAAGCAGCCCATTTCGCGTGTCCTTGTAATTAGCCATGGCTCCTGAGGATATGAGATGCGACAGTCTTTTCTGAGCAGCAGATTCCCCACCGGAGAAAGGATGCCCCGACTTCGCCCCTGAGGGCCATCGTGGTGGGGTTTCCGATTCCATGGCCGTGCCAAGGGGCTTCTCCAACGAAGCAATCATGGAGGAGAGAGACTCGGGTGGCGTGAATGGATCTGCCTGTCGCGGGATGTTCGAGGCAGAAGGAAGTGGCGGCAGGGACAAAGGCGCGGGCACGGTCTGTCGGGGTCGAGAACGGAGAGGTTCTAGCGATTTGCGGAAGGTGGTGTAGACGTCAGGAAGCTCCTTGATGCCTGAGAAAGGTAAGTCCCGGCTGAGGTGGGACATGGGGTTAGTGTGGAAGGTCGCTCGACACTCGGCCTGGACTTACTCGTCGATGAAGAACTTCTCGTCGGTCCATAACTTGAAATCCACCCCGTGGGCCTCAGCCGCCTTTCTAGCAGCGCGCTCCTCTCTTTTTTCCTCAACCCCTTCTTCTGCCGTCATCCAGACTGCTGATATTCTCCCGCTCTCGCCACTGCCAGAGTCTCCGTTTGGGACAGCGTCACTGTTTCCATGATTGGACAGCAAGTCTTGGAGCACATCCCCTATCATCCCGACTCTTATGAGAAGGTCACTGCCGATTGCACCCAAAGAGTCTTTCAAGTCCCATATGCTCTCGGCTAGGAACCTGGCACGGTGGGGGCCGCATCTCCAGAAACCAGCAACTTGGCTGCGAGCTTCGGGATATGGACTCTTCGCATCGGGCTTGAGGAAGCCGGATACTTCAACCTGGTTGGCCGGGAGCACGTACAGAGGCAAGACATGGGTGAATTGCGGAGAATTGGAGGCGGGCAGGTGGGCGAGATGGTGGAACACTGGGTTGTCGGCCAGGCGAAGGTCGCGGCGCAGGAGATATATCAGGATCCGGGGAGCCGGCGACGTCATTCCGGGGTGGGACTGCGGTCCCGGGCGGTGGTGGGGAGGAGAAACGGAAGATGATTGACGGCCAATGCAAGGACAGCCAGCGACGAGTTGGGACAGCAGTGCTAGGGGGGGAATTCTGCAGGCTCAACTGCTGTGCGCCGCGGAGGCCGGGCGATAATGTAGGCGGCGGTGGGCCGCTGGGGGGTGGTGGGCGGACGTTGCCCGGAGAGGAAAGAGCTGCAGGCGGGAGTGGATCAGCAGGGAGAGTGAGCGGTGGGAGTGTGGGACGCATGAAGAGTTGCTTTGGCGGCTGGATCCTCAGCGTCATCAGGGTTCAGTGATGGGCTAGCGGGCTAGAGGCCGGAGCAGGTGCATGGGCGGCCGGTTGGGCCCGATACGAGGCTGGCCATGCATCGTGGCCAGGAACGGGCGTGGGCGGGGGGGATGTGCAGCGGTGGCCGTCGATGACGGGGTCGATTAGGGCGCAGAGTGGAAGGGCGGGAAGATCGAAGGCGTGCGTGTGGATGGGCATGCGCAGTCGACTAGGCCCGCTAGCCCAGATCGCCGCAGGCCGGCAGGGAAGCAGCAGTCACGCAGTCCCGCAGTCACGCAGTCGTGGCCGTCCCTTTCGCTAATCTCCAGACCTAGCCAGCTCGAGAGAGCGCGGCCGTCGGCTCGCCATCCGCCGTCCGCCATCCGCCGCCCAAGCCGTCGGTTTCGTGCTGCCGGCCAGGTCAGTTCGCGCGCTGATGACGTCGCATGCAAGGCATTGCGTACGGTGTAGGCCCACGGCCCCGCTGCCACCTGCGCTGCACCGCGGCGGCTTCGAGGCACGGTGCGGCGGCGACTAGCTCATATCGCGCGCATTATTGCTTCGCGCTGGGCGGCGTCGTCGAGGTGGCGTCGGCAGCGTCATCACCCACCCAGCCCGCTTGCCGTTTTGATGGTGCGCAGTCGCCCAATCCGGAAATGCTGCAACGGCGCCCCCGCACGGCTCCTGAGGCCTCTTCCACGTGCCTGTCAAGCCGACAGGGCCTAAACCACAGTGCCGGGCGCCCCAGGCCCGTTGCATGCACCCTGTCCAGCCCGCTCACCACCCAGCCCGCCCAGTCCATTCGGTCGACCACCCAGTCCACCCATGCCACCGCGTCTGCCCGCTCTCTGCACCTCCTCTGCGCCTCCTCTGCGCCTGCACGCCCGCCGCCCGCCGCCCGCCGCCCGCCGCTGCAGCCCTCACCGGCCAGCCAGCTGCCCCGGAGCCCGCGTGCCCGCGTGCCCTCGCAGCTGGCGGGCTGCCAAAAAAGCACTGTTGTTTTGCGTAACGTCCCGCGCAGATGGACGCCACATGCAATCTCCCGAGTTCCGCGTGAGTCGCGCCTCAACCTCCACCCAAACTCTATCTGCCTTTGCATACCCACCTCACCGGCACCTGCTTGCTTTTCGTGCTGCCGACATGCTGCTCTGCCGTCGAGACCCGGCCTTCATTTATCTCACGCAAGACCCTCATCGTATTAACCCACTCCAGCCATCTCCACCCGCTCTAGCGACCACCGTTTCTCACTCTCCGCTTCCCCTTGTGGCGTGCTAAAACAGTCTCTACACCTCGCCGGCTCCCTGTCCCTCGCCAATTCTTACTGCACACGGCAACCCGACCCATCTGACCGGCTGCACCCTTCATCTATTCAGAAACCCACCAGATCTTGCAGGCAACTCCTCCGCTGCGCCCCATACCATTCATCTCGGCCACATGCGCGGATCGGCACCTCTTCCGTGCGACCCACAACTGCAATCGATCTCACACCGAGGAGCACACTGTGTTTCGTTGAACCACCATCTTGCTCACTTGACGCTGGTGCTTGTCTCACTTGCCTTTCATCCGATGACCCCCCGGTTGACGCCATGATTCGAACCACACGCCTCGCTCTCGGTCCGGCCCGACCCGATAGTGGACGCCTTCGAAATCTCATTGTGATCTCGGCATACCTAGGCCGAGCGCTGCGAGTGTGGAACCGGATCGAAACCAAGCTTTCGCCGCCGAGGAAAGGAGACGGTCAGCATGAGCTTTTCTCACTGCACCTCCCGGGCCAAAGAAGCAGGGGAAACGTCATCAAAGTCACACCGTACCGAAATCTGGACCAGTACCTCATGCAGCATCGATCCCCGGTCAATGTATCACCACAACCTGCACGACATCCAAAGGGCGAAGCTTTCACCGCCAATGGACCCAGTTCTCGCGCTCTTCCGTAATCGCCCGCGCTGCCTGACGTGCATGTTGGCTCCCAGCTCACACCCTTCAGATGTGGAACGACATACGCCACTCTGAAAGGAGTGTCGATGATGCTTACCAAGTATTGCAGGGTGTCCATCCAGGTCCTTGGGTGTAGATCGTTGGTATCGGAAGATTGGAAACAGGCCCTTGGTCCTTTGTATCAGGTCCCTGGTCTCCAGGCTATCCTTGCCCTTGGACCCGCTCTTCACAACCCTGGGAGCAAAAAGAAAAAACAAAGCACAAGGGTGAATAATGAAGCGAGCACGGCACCAAACAGTCTCTTTGAAATAAGCGAAACGGAAGACAATGGCAAACACCAGTCATCACGCGTAGATAGAGGAAGGAACGAAAAAAAAATAAGAACAAAAAGTCGACTAGTGAAGTGACGTTCCAAGTTATTATGATTGATTTGCAATCAATCCGAGGGTACGATTGATTACAAAACACCGCCCAAAGAAGATGACTGAACTTCACGCAGTCCTTTTGGTCGCTACCTAATTGCTCCCTTCCCCATTGCTCGCCTCCTTGAATCGCTATACGGGTCTTGCCATTGCTCATTGCTTGCAGTTCCACCCCGCTAGCCGTCTCCCCGCCCCACATGCGCCAAGCGTCCTCATGGAACTTCTCACCATTTTCGCCAGCCTATGGCGGCGTTTTGCACAGTGGTCATATGCATAGAAATGCAGAAAGGGTAAGCCGATGTCCCCGCTAGTCGGTCCTAGTGCCGAGGCCGGGTGATTGTGGGTGGATATGAACGAGGACGACATGTGATTGGAAACTAAAGCGTGCAAGATGGGGAGCCTTGAGGAGGGCGTGCGTTTCTCTTGTTGACCGAACCTCGGCCACGTTGCCATAGACGAGGCCCTTACCGCCCTGAAGCACCCTTGCTCTTTTCCCCCACTGCCGCATCAGGAGTCCGAGGATTGTTGCTAACAGCCGCTGGGAGGGGGCTAGTGACGCATACGCAAGCCTCATCCGGCGTTATATCATTCGCAGTAATTGTATACGTAGTACGACGAACCGGCGCTAGTTCCGACACAACGGCTCTTCCTCCGACCGAAACGCACTTCTGTGGGGCAAGGAAGTGCTAGGAAGCGAAAAATCAGGAATCGGCTGTGGAACCATAAGCGATATCCCTGGGCGAAAATGCAAGAAGGATTGGACGCAGGAAGGGGAACTCGCGTGGACGGAGCGGCTGAGAAAGTTGAGCAGCGAGTCATAATCCTGATGGCATCACATCGGATCGACGGAAAACTGTGGGCATTATCGAAAGTCTCCTGACGTGCGATTCGCCGAAACAGATGCCAACGGAGATAATGAGACTCTCGCCCGGAGGACTTCGAGCTTCTGAAATATGAGAACCAGCCAACGACCCCGGACGACCCTGGATCGAAGCTGGTGATCATTGTCATGTCCTTGCCAGGAATCTGGAGCAGGGACGTGACCATAAACGTTCCAGGCGTTTGACATGTGCGAACCGATTGAGTCTATGGAAGCGTGGGGCGGCCCTAGACACTGCGGCAAGCCGAGCGTCTAGACGGCCCTTGAGTATTTGATATAGGCTTCGCCATGCGCTTGTTTGATTAGAAGAGCAGCGAGTCCCACGTGCTTGCATTGTTGGTATCTTGATCTGGCGCGAGATCTGGAATCTGGTTTATGTGATCGAGCCAATAAGATGCGTCAAATGTGGTGGTGTTGTTGTCCAAAAACGCCAGAGACTCGGTTTGTTCATCTAGACAGCCTAGAGTTTCGTCCAGACCCGGTGCAAACTCTGGCACAGCTCCATCCAGATAATTTCTCGTGAGCGCGGGGAGTGCAGACTCGGCGAGTTTATCGCTGGACCACAACGATTCTCCTGAATCGCCCGACCCGGTAGATCCTGTCCCGCCAATCTTCAGGATATCCTTGACTTTCCCGTAACAAGCGCGAGCCATCTGTGCTCCCGAGTTCGTAGTAGGATTGCTTTTGCTCATGAGTCCGAGTCTGTTGATGACGCTTTGCAATGCATCGTTTATCCGCCTCTTCACCACGTCATCTACAGGAGGATAGAGAAGCGTAATTTCCGATAGCATGATGGAAGCATCCACGGAGTAGTAGGTAAGCCCGAATAAGTTGTAGTGATAAGTCTTGTGCATGGAAAAGTAGCGCTGCTGGGCATCTAGAACATTGAGCGCTGCTTGGACCGTAGCTTGCCGGCTTTCGACATGCATGGCCATATGGGGGCGATGGAGAACCATGATCATGTTGTGGGCCACACTGCTGATCTGCTCTCGTTTTTTTAGGTAGGACGGAGTATTTCTCGTCGAAAGAGGTGTCGGGGTTTTCCGGCCTGACGAGAGGCGGAGCACTAGCCAGGATTGACATGATTTGTTTGTGAAAGATCCAAACGACGTTGTAGTCTCTTGTGTAGGGCTTGTCTGCCAGCATCTCCCGCATCTCGTGGACTTTCTTTGAAAGTTCGTACTGAACAAGAGTGCTTGCAAAGAAGAAAGGCATCCCCTCGTCGTCGGTTGCCGGTGTCGCTAGTGGAACCCTTTTGGATGGGACATTGGGGATGTTGCAGTCCATTGGGGTTCTAATGTCACAATCGCTGGGATTGATCTGCCGCGTGCGACCCAACATCCAGGCCATGAAGCTGCATGTGTCAGATGGTACTAAGGTCCCCCTTTTTGTTTTTTTTTTTAGACAGACTCACCTGTCCCAAGTGAATAAGATGACCCAGATCCGTCTCTTGTGCTCGTCATACCACAGTTGCTCAAGCGTTTCCTCTAGACATGTGGATTGCTGAATTTGGGCCTGGCGATGCAGCCCAATTTCTTGGGCTTGACTGATGTCGTGTCAGTGATTTAGCTAGTTACAACAGGGCAGCATACTTACATGATTGAGTCATTCAGAGCATGCCAGGCTTCGGTTCCACGCGAAGCATTTTTCAGCCACACGGCTCTAAGGAAGTCAGTCTGCACGGCACTTAGAGTGGGATCATGACGTCCTAGGAGACTCATGATCTCCATGGAGACATCGCTGAGCTTCCCGGAAAGTCGATCACATTCCGTGGCGTTTGCTAAAGAGAGCTCTTCGAGGCAGGCGGCATGTGGTGGGATAAGTTGCAGGGCCAATGAACAGACCTGGAGCAAAAGAGGGCCGAAATACTGGATATCTCGAGATACCCCCTTGGAGCCGGTGTATCGGGTGGTATCAGTGTTCAGGGCGGACCAATCTGCGAAGATGTCATTGAAGAATGGGCGTTCCAAAATTGGATACGACCAGTTGCTTTCAACGAAATACACTTCGACAAGCTCGACAACAACGGCATTGGCTGGCAGGTTTCTGATGAATGCAAGATACTTGGTTTCGGCCTCATGGGCATATTGTGATTGATTGATGTTCGATGTCGCGACTCGGAAGAAATTGTCTCCTTACGCAGAGTCTCGGTAAAAGCGCTTTTCTGGGACTTCGCGGGCCAAACAGACATTGCACGGCTTCTTGCGGTCGCACTGAAGGCGAGTCAGAAGGGAGCTTCACGTCAGGCGGCGGTGCAGGACCTTTTGTTTTCGGCGGTGGCATTCGACACAGGCTGTGATGACGCGTCGCTTCTTGGGTTGCTGCTGTCGAGCGTCCATTTCCAGTGGCTGGGAAGGTGAAGACGAGGCGTGCGGGCACCTCGAGGCCTAAAGTCCGCCTAACGCCCGGAATGGGCAAGGCCGGCCGGGTAGGTAGTTTGCGGAAACAGCTCATCAGAACTGGGGCATCAACGGCGCGCGTGTGCGCAGCAAGAGCGCCACACAGCCCGTCCCGTCTCGGCTGGCGCAAGGCCCGACGTCATGGCCCGTAGGGGTGGCCGTAGGGGTGGCCGTAGGGGTGGCCGTAGGGGTGCTCTCTGTTCTCTCGGTCAGTGATGAGTTGTGTGCACGACACGGTGGCAGCAGCGATCAACCGGCGCGGTGGATCCCCGGCCGGGTCGCAGGCCGAGAACCTGAAAACCCTCCCGACTGCCGCGTGCCGAGATGCACGTCGCACCTTCCGTGGCTGACTGTGACGCCTGGCCTGGCCGCCGCCGGTCTGCTCTCCGGCACCTCGACGGTCAGTCTGGGGCTGATGAGGGCCCTGCGCCCACGTGTCGGCTGATCGTCCTGATCTTCGCCTTGTCTTGCTCCCCGTCACCACTTCTTAATTCGAGAAGCCCGGGTCCCTGCATCGCCGCTCGTTGCACCCTATGACTTCATAGCGCCTTGACGCCCAACCGCCGCTATTCCTTCGCGACACTGACAGGCAGAAAATTCTTCGACATTCTTAATTCACATCCGGCGCCTGAAAATGGCCGGTTCACCACTCACTCTGTTTTTCTCTGCCATTGCTGCGTTGGCTGTTGCGCTTTGGGTGGCAGCACAGACTGGCCCACATTCGCCTTTCCAGCTGCCCTTCGTTTCTCGGCAGTGCCACGACGGCTCCTATGCGACATCGCCGTACTCTTCCAGCTGGATCAGTTGGTGGAACAAGGACAGACATGCAGCTTCAATGAACGGTGCGCCGCTGGGCACCAACGCCAGAGGCCAGGGCGGCGGTGCCATTGGCCAAGACTGGAATGTCCTTTACCACCTCGGAGGCAACGGCCCATGGGTTGAGAAAGTCGATGGTGTTCTGGACGAAGGCATCGCTGTGCCAGAGGGGTGCAACGTCGAGCAGGTGCACATGGTACGTCTTCATACTTGGATTCCTTACTTCAGCACTGACAAGCTTGACTGCAAGATGTCGCGACACCATGAGCGATACCCAACCCGTAAGGCTGGTAGCAGTATGTACAGCTCCTCATGCTTGGACTCTCGATGAAAAGCTGACACTGTGCCAGAGCAACTCGACCTACTGAATCGGATTAAACATATGAACATCACCTTGAAGGGTGATCTTGAGTTCGTCAATCGTTGGCAGTATTTTACCCCCGGTAAGTGAGCTTGGCGTTTCCTCAATTCTTGTGGCTGAGTTCGTCGCTTCTAGACCCTCGGCGGGACTTTGAACAGCTTACAAGCACCGGCCCTTTCTCTGGAGTTCTCGGGGCGTTTACCACCGGCGTCCGCCTCCGCACTCGCTACCGTCACCTGCTGCCCTCGAGCGGCAAAACAAATTTCTGGGCAGGAGACTCGTCCCGAGTCATTGACACGGCCCGCTACTTCGCTGCTGGTTTCTTTGGGCTCGACTGGAAGGACCACTCCACTTTGCATGTCATCCCGGAAACGGCTGAGCTTGGCGCCGACACTCTTACCCCTGGCGACACATGCCTCGCATACATCCATGACCTGGGATATGGTCACGATTATGGCGCACGTATGCTTGCAGAGTACCGTGCGACGTACCTAAGCAAGGTTCAAAAGCGGTTGCTGAAGCAGAACCCGGATATCAGCTTCACCGACACCGAGCTCTATTCCATGCAGGAAATGTGCGGCTTTGAGACGACGGTGCATGGAAGCAGCGCTTGGTGCGATGTCTTCTCCAAGGACGAGTGGCTGAGCTTCGAATATGCTCGTGATGTGATCCACTTCTACCGTGCCGGGCCAGGAAACAGGTTTGGTGCTCTGATGGGATGGTTATGGTTGAACGCCACGACGAATCTCCTGCTCGAAGGGCCGTCTGCAGGGCCATTCTTCTTCAGTTTGTGCGTTCCACGCCCTTCCGACCTCGGACTTCGCTGACTTCTACCCCAGTGTCCACGATGGTGACATTGTGCCGATGCTGGCCGCGTTGGACATCTTCCATGACAACGAGGACTTGCCAATCACGCGTCGAGCAGACGATCGTGCCTGGAAAACTTCTCAAGTCACGCCAATGGGCGGTCGCGTTACATTCGAACGGCTGTCCTGTCCCTCGGGCAAGTCGGAAAGTGAAGCTTTGGCCCAGGCATATGTGCGCGTCAATATCAACGACGGCATTGTACCGGTTCCCGGCTGCGACAGTGGTCCAGGTGGAAGCTGTCCTCTCCGGCTGTTTGCGGAGAAGATCAAAAATAGGGGCGTCGAATTGGGAGACTACAGGGAGAAATGTGGTCTTGGCGAGGACATGCCGGACAGGATCACGTTTCTGCACCAGTAGAAAGGCATGCGTATGGGACGCGCTCCCAAAGCCTTGCTCCATTATTGAAAGAAGAAAAAATAATAGATAGGTGTCATGCCAACTAGCCTGTGCCAGTGTATCCTCGCCTGTGTCTTCCGGCGTGCTCGCTTACGAGTCGAACAGCGGTTTCACGGAGGATTAGGGAGGTTACCAGTGTCGCAACCCGTAGAGGCGCTCAGACGATTGAGTCAGGAAAACAGAACGGCAGCTCCCAGAGTCATGTGCATGCGCCGCTCCAAGCTGGCAGATCAGGTCAGCTCGTAGGCGACGAGCCAAGTGAAACAAACAATCCCTGATGGGCATCTGCCCAATTGCTGTAGGGCATCGGCAGGGTAAGAGATAAATTGCCGGCGGTGTCCGGACCGTACTGCTTATTAGCCGCCGCACAACAACCCCCGGCATCCCCACGCGAAAGTTTATTTGGGTTCACGTTCGATCAGATTGGTGGAGCCCGACAAACAAGATCGCAGATCATGCCTTCTTGGTAATAAGGGTAGATGTGCGACCCTAGCTCACCACCGTCCCGTTACGATTTCTGTCCAAGTTTGGTCGGACAGAAGCCTTCCGCTCTCCTTCATATCATAATGCACAAGAGTCAGTCTGAGTCGTCCGCGGTCCCCACCATATGCCCATAGCGTTCGGACGCCCCTTCTGGCCAACTCTCGCAGTATAAACGTGCTTCCCATGTCCACCTAGCTACGTGCCACTTCCGTCCTTTCGTTCTGCAGACTGCCAAGCAGCTAAACTTCCATTCTTTTCCTCTGAAAATAAGCTTGAAGCTTATTCAGTCTTTACCCCTACCGCATACCCGCGCAACACCAACACAAAGATGTCTTCGCTCCTCGTCCTCCTCTCTACGCTGGCCGCCACCTCTCTCGCGGCGCCCTACAGCTCTGCCGGCCATCGGCCAGCCTACAGCGCCACCCGCCACCGCCAGATCAACACCACGGCGGTGAAGCCGCAGTGCCCGATCCTGCTGGACGGCCGGGTGCCGACCAACGCGACGCTGGCCTCGTTCGACACCGCCAACGGCATCTTCAACCCGGACTACGTCAAGGGCAACAATGTCACCTGGTCGCAGATCCTCGAGGAGCCCGCCGGCACGCTGTCGTCCAAGTTCGACGCCGGCTCCGAGTACCGGGCCATCGAGGTCACCATCGACGATGATTCCATCTTCCAGAAGCAGTACGGCTTCCGCCGCGCGGGCCTGCAGTTTGCGGCCGACAGTTCCAACGACACGTCCGACAGCGGCATCGCCACGCTGCACTGGAGCGTCAAGCAGGACTGGGAGAAGCCGTTGAACCTGAGCCACGAGTACCTGGTAAGCCTTTTAACTTCCTCAACCACAATGAAAAAAAAAGGGGGAGAGAAGCGATTTGAAAACGAGGGGTTTCCCTCGAAAACATGGAACCTGGCTGACCACGGCTTCTTTTCTCTCTTCTAGAACGTCTGGCACGAGGCCGCCGACTACAGCTCCAACCAGTTCAACTTCAACGCTGGCCACCGCATCGGCACCAACGGCACCGACAAGCTGTCCTGGCAACTCCTCGGCCGCGACTCCAACCTCCTTTGGTCCACCCCCATCGACTTCGTCAACTGGCAAAACTTCGCCTTGACCCTGGACTACGTCGCTAAGTAAGGACCCCCTCCAATTGCCCGTATCACTTTCAAGAAACGCTTTGCCTAACATCGAAATCAGCACTCTCACCATCTACACCTCCACGAACGAGGAGCCGCTCGAGGTGGCTGGTGGTCCCTTTACCAACGACAACTCCGGTGCTGGCCAGTTCCAGATTGGCATTCTCAAGAAGCCGACGGGCACCGATGACGTCGTCAACAGCGGCTTCCAGGAGAGCAACTTCAAGGAGGGCCAGATCTACGGTGGTATCTTCGTCGAGAACAGCGCCGACGGTTGCGTCTCCCTGTAAGATGCTGACCCGGTAAGATGTTATTGGTAGGAAGCATTGGCTTTATGCCTGCTTTGATATCGAGGCCAATTAAATCTTTGAAGAAATGTTGTGGTATGCGTTGAGTGCCTATTTGTGAGACTGGAGTTTGAAGTTGCGGTGGCATTGAGACGTTTGTGCGCAGGAAGGCCTGGAACTGATTGTACCAATTGTGTGTTTTCATGTGCTCGCTCAATTCTATGGCCAATAATCTTCTTTTCTTCATGCAACATCACATCAACGGGCTTGCTGCATTGGATCCGCTGAAATTGTCGATAGGCTCGACGGCTGAGCCCGCTTTCTGCCCACAACGCCCTGCGCCCTCTGTGGGCTGTTAAAGTGATCCACGTTTTCACTGTAGGTACACCTCTTCGCATTATTATCAGACGCCTCAGTCGAACTGTAAACCTGATCAGTGCGGCTCCTTGGCGAGTAAACAACCGAATACATACAGGAGTCAAGAATGACTCGGCAACGAAACGCGCTCTAGCGTTCAACTGTTCCGGGAATTAGCTCATGCTCCTCGAAGATTGGCGGACAGCTGCAAGAGAGTGGGCATCAGCTGCACTCTTCGGAGCTACTTACGAAGAGCTTCATTTCCGAAATCTCCTTGTCAACCTCCTCCATGAATTGAATGATGAAGTCGACCAGCTTGTGTTTCAGCATCTCCTCGGTGTGGAAGTTCGTGATCAAAAACGAGATGTCGTATCCCTAGGAAACGTCAGCTCCACCGCCTTGAGCCCAACCAGGGGCAACGGGCGCACCTTAATGGCCTTCCTCCGCAGGATGAAGAACGACTCGGCTCTCTGGGTCAAGAACCGCGTGAACTTGTGGACCAGAATATGCTCAATCTCATCCGCCTGCTTAATCTTGAGGCTGATTCTCACCGAGTTGATACTCGGCTCGATGAAGACGCGCTCGTTCTCATTGCGGGAAACGGTCAAAGGGTTCAGGAGGACTTCGGGTGACGACTGGGCCTCGATCTCGGGGACGTTGTGGCGCTCCGAGGCTTGCGAGGCGAAGTTAGAGAGCGAGAGCGCCGCGGTGAGCGAGGAGCGGACGCATTGGAGGTACGGCCGGAGAGATTGCGACTACCGCAAGGCATCAGCGAGCTGCGGCGACGGGTCCGGAGGATGCGGAAGGTAGGGTTACCATCTTGACGGGGCGCAACCGGAGGGCGGAACCAAGGCGATTGCGGAGGGTTGGGGGGGAGCTTGGGCTGGCAGTACGGAGGAGCTCCCTAGACCTGGGGGTATGATGTGGTGAGGCGGGGGCCCTTGGGCGGTGATGCGCGGCAGGTGCGGGCCTGGCTGCTGGTTCCGAAGAAACCCCGGGCCAGTGCTGCCCCAGGCAGGCAATTACATACGCAGCCCGCAGCTTGGCTTGGCGCGGTGAGCTAATCGCCGGGCAACTCTATCCAGGACATTCCATCCACTGCTTTCGCCGCTCGCTCTGCCCTTCGCTGCCAACCTCCTCCCGGGGCGAACCTCCGTGACCCTATCGACTACCTTTCTACCCAGCATCCACCAGCCAACATGGAGCCCATTCCAGGTACGATGCCCCGCCCCATCCGTCATGGCCTGGAGAGCATCGTGGCGCATCACCCCCGTCGGACCTCATGCCATTCATCCATACCAGCTGCGCGGATCACAAGGGCACCTTTGCACGTCGGGCTTGCTTCTTCGACGCTCTAGCTCAGCAAAATTGGCGCACTGGCTCTCACAACCATGCACGTAATATGGACTTCGCTGACTTACTTGCGCCACAGTGGTTGTCAAGCACCAAGGAAAGAAGTACGATGTCGAGCTCGACCCCTCAAGTACCGGCGAGACCTTCAAGTTCCAGCTGTTCTCCCTCACCGGCGTCGAGCCCGAGCGCCAGAAGATTCTGGTCAAGGGCGGCCAGCTCAAGGATGACACCGACCTCTCGAAGCTCAAGGTCAAGGCCGGCCACACCTTCATGATGATGGGCACGCCTTCCGGAGATGCTAAGGGTCAGATCGAGCGTCCCAAGGAGAAGATCCGCTTCCTTGAAGACATGACCGAGGCTGAAGCGGCGCAGTCCGCTGGCGCGATACCCGCTGGCCTCCAGAACCTTGGGAACACTTGCTATATGAACTCTACCCTACAAACTCTGAAGGCCATCCCGGAGCTGAGGGATGAGTTGGTCAAGTACAAGCCAAGGTAAGTCACCCATGGGAATTACACATCACACACGCATGTGGCTGACGTGACAAATAGTGCTTCCAGCGACTCCGGCCCCAGCGATTTCAGAGCCTTCGGCCTTGGAGGTCTTGGAGCATCCACCGATCTTACCGAGTCCTTGCGCGATCTGTTCAAGCAAATGTCCGAGACGCAAGAGGGCTTTCCTCCCATGATGTTCCTCAACGCACTACGGACGGCCTTCCCCCAGTTTGCACAGAAGGCCAAAGATGGCCACGGATACGCCCAACAGGATGCCGAGGAGGCCTGGTCTCAGATTGTCACGCAGCTCCGCCAGAAGCTGAAGGTCAGCGGGGCATCTCAGCAGGCCACCGACTCTTTCATTGACAAGTATCTGTCCGGCAAATTCGAGTCGGTTATGGAGTGTGACGAACCAGCTGCCAAAGACGGAGGCGAGCAGCCGGTCAAGGGTGAGGATACTTTCCTTAAGCTGAACTGTCACATCACGGCCGACGTGAACCACCTCCGCGAGGGCCTCGCCGCGGGCATGCAAGAGAAGATCGAGAAGAATTCGGAAGTACTCGGCCGCAACTCCATGTACACGAAGACTTCCCGCATCGCGAGGCTTCCTAAGTATCTTCCCATCCACTTCATGCGCTTCGACTGGCGAAAGGACACAAGCAAGAAGGCCAAGATCATGCGGAAGGTCACCTTCCCGCAAGAGCTTGATGCCGTCGAGTTCTGCTCTGACGATCTGAAGAAGCTTCTGATTCCCGTCCGCGACAAGATCAGGGAAATCAGAAAAGAGGAGGAGGATGTTGAGCGCGCCAGGAAGCGGAGAAAGCGCATTCAGCAAGGCGAGGATGTTGAAGAATCGGCGGACCTGAAAGGCAAAGGCAAAGGACCTGCTGGCGAGAAGGAGCCTAGCAAGGAGAAGGAGTCACAGAAGAAGGCATCTGGCAGCGCCGATGTTGAGATGCAGGACGTGGAATACAAGACAGATGCCCAGATCGAGGCTGAGCGTGCCGCCTCGATTCTGAAGGCGAAGAAGGAACTGCTTGAGCTGGTGGATGGAGAGCTTCTCGCTGACGACTCTTGCAACAAGACTGGGCTGTACGAGCTCCGTGGCGTCATCACCCATCAGGGTGCTACGGCTGATAGTGGCCACTACACGTCTTTCGTCAAGAAGGAAGGTCAGAAGGACCCTGTAACCGGCAAGCGTAAGGAGGAAGATGGCAAGTGGTGGTGGTTCAACGACGACAAGGTCTCCGAGGTGGATTATGACAGGATTGAGACCTTGTCTGGTGGAGGTAAGAACATCGAGACGTGACCGTTTGAGAAGACGTGCGCTGACTTTTCATTAGGTCAAAGCCACTCTGCCTTGATTCTGCTCTACCGCGCCGTGGGAATCCCCAGCAAGGAAGACATTGCGGAAGCTGAGGAGAAGGCGAAACCTGCTGCTTGAACCACTTCGTTCTCTGCGATATCTCGACCTTAAGCCTATCTTCTCTGAGATTTGGATGAGGGTCTTAGACGGTGGATTGATGAGTTACCAGGCATAGCGCGACGGGTCCATAGATTCCGTTTACTCTCAGCGTAGCATAAACATGGGGGAACTTTACGAGCTTGGAAGAAAGCTGTGACTAGTAAAAGTGAATGGCAAAGAGCAAACCGTGTCCGCGCGGCCAAAACCAAGGAGCAGGTAGAATTGACGCAAGTTAGTTTCAACTCTTTTTAATGCAAGTACTCACTTTTGTTCCCACTCAAGAGTTGGCTCTCTACACTCATTCGGAAATTAGCAAGCTCACTAGATGAGAAAGGGGGAACAGCAATCGATCACACAGGCCATCCTCTACCCCGGTAGATGGCGAAAAGTAGGGAAAGAAGGCCGAAGGTCACTAGAGGGAAATAACCTGTCATTCAGAGGCTCAGGTCCTTTCATTCTGAACCGAATGATTCGGGTTGCTGGCTCAGCAGCGCGCGTGCCTCAGGCACGTTCATGTCGCAACCCTCTTTCCTTCCTTCCTTCGGAGCTTCCAGCCTACCTCATCAACGCCATTCTTTCAACAGCGCGCCCACAGCTTTTCTCTCACTCGGCTCGACCCGCAGGCCCATTGCCTTCCTTTTCTTCTCATTACCCCAGCTAGGAACTTCCTTCTGCCAGCGGCATGCTGTAAATTTTATTCGTAATGTTCTACAGTCACGAAGGTGAGCTCTGTTGGCGCCCTTGTCAAGGCTCCGCTGACAGACGCGACAGTGCTCACGAGCCGCAAGTACGGTATCGCGACCGTCTGGTCTGTAATGTCTGCGCCCGCCTCATCTGTGTTTATCTGCTCACAAGCGCAGGCTGGTCGCGACTCTGGGTGCCAAATCTACCACTACGAAAAAAGTTACTCGAAAGGCTATTCTCAATGTCGACGTTCCGAAGGCGTGCGAAGCCATCCTTGAGCCCGACGTCCCTCTCGCTCTTCGTCTCCAGAGCAGTCTTCTGTGAGCTGAATGCTCCTTCAATACAGCCATCCGCAAGTGAAGCCCACTGACTCATTACCTCAGCTATGGCGTCACGAGAGTCTACGCTCAGCAGTGCAGCTACGTTCTAGCTGACGCACAGAGCACACAGAACAGCATTCGCACGGCATTTACGACAACAGCCAGAGATATTGAGCTGGATCCCGAGGTTGGGCGTGCAAGGTATGAGCGCTGTGCAGGTGAAGACGCGTGCTTTACACAGTCTCACTGACTGCTCACTCAGGCCTGACCAACTCGTCCTTGAAGATGATCCCTCATATCTGCCTGACTTCGCGCTCGCACCTCTCGACTATGACGACTTAGACTTGGAGCTTCCGTCCCTCACTCGCTCTAGCAGCCTGTCTTCGCTTCGCCATTCACATGGCCCACGCCGTAGCATCTCACTGGAGGATCAGCAGGGTGGTCCAGTCTTCGGCATCCAAGTGCCGAGCTCTGATACCAGTGGCTTCAACGGTATAGGCGGATTCGTTGTGCCGGGCGATGAAGGTCCGGGTACAAGGGTTCCCGGTGGAAGTGTCCTGAACGTGGAGGACGAAGGCTTCGAGCCCGGAGTAGATTTTGGTTTCGATGAAGAGGGAAACCTCGTTGAGCATGCATCTGCAGAGAAACTTCACAGGACGCCTCTAAGCGGTACAAGGCCGGCTTTGATGGGCAGGGGTGTAAGTTTGCCGAGTAGCTCTGCTGCAAGGGCCAGGGTTCGGCAAGAGCATGAGGAAGCCCAGCGACTAGGAGTTCATGTGAGCTCTGTCTAAAGATACAGCAAAACACTATCTGCTGACATTATACCTAGCATGATCAGGAAATGGACATCAATATAACAGTCGGAGAAGATGACGAAATGAGCCTCCTTCCCGAGGCCGAGCCCTTTCCTTCCACTCGTGGTCACCTTAGATCCACCTCCGAACACCAGGGGAGTGAGGAAGTTATCGATTCATCGTCCGTTATCCAGGCTCCTATACGACGTCGACCTAGACGCCGCATCATTCCGATGGATGAAACTCTCGAGCTTCGCAATGCGGACCTTGCCGACTGGATGAACGGCTACATCGACAATATGATTGAAGCGAGAAGGCAGAAATTCACCCCTACTGCGACCATGCAAGCCAAAAGGAACGCTGAGTACTGGGTTCTCGGCTTGGGTCTCGGAGGCATAGGTGCTATTGTGGGTAACACTGGCCTTGCTGGACCACTTGACAAATTCCGCGGCGAGGCACTGCTGCTCTCCCTTGGGATCATCCGGAACGCGGACAAGAAACGAGGGCATCAAAGTATTGATGATCAAGACAAATCAGACGGAGATGGCAGGCGTGTTCGGCCGCGCTCGGAGGAAGAAGAGATCGGCCGCGGTGACATCGATATGGAAGATGGCGGTCTCGTCAATATTGACGAAAAGGAGCACGATGTTGAGGCCGCTCGCGAGGCAGAACCGGAACAGGAAGAGCGTGATCTCTCTCAGATGTTCCCGTGGAACGTGACAGCGTCTGTTCGTAACTCTTCTCTGGCGCCCAGCGCACGTCGTGCTCTGGGTTTCGGTGGATCCGGTGTCTCGACTTCTGCTGGCGGATCTGTCGGCGGCCTGCCAGGTTCTATCAAGCGCAGAGGTCGCTTGATCAGCGAAAGCCCTCTGCATGGACGTGGCCTTCACCGCAATCTGGAGCCCCTTCCCAGCTCCGAGGCTGACGAATTGGGAGACGACACGCTAGGTGGCATTGGCGAAGACGTCGTCATCGGTGAGGACGATGAGTTCGAGATGTACGGTGCTGCTGCGGCCGGAGATACCCAAACCGCAACTGAATCACAGGTCGTTCATGCTGCCCTCACTCAGGAAATGGAGAATTTCGGCATGTTCATCTTCGACAGTCTCAAGCAGAAGGAAGAGGACGTCGCTGCTGCCCAAGGCTTTCAACCCGTTGAGAGTGTCAACGAGATCCTATTCGAAGACATCCTTCCTCCGAATTCGACCAACAAAATTGTCGCTGCTCAGGGATTCATACACTTGCTCACCCTAGCTAGCCTGGGACGCGTTTCCACCAGGCAGGACGAACCGTTCGGAGAAATTGGCATGAGCTTGCCTTATGCTGATGAGGATGAGAGTGTCCACTGACGCCTGAGTGCGCAGTGATATGACAGCAGGCACGACATGTGGATTGATTATCGTTGCTACCTCGCTGATATTTGTCCACCGTTTTTACTAGATATGCTACGAGACACGAAGTCATGTGGTACACGGCCTGTTCAAGGGGGATAGATGATATTTGCTACTTCTCACGCTTCATAATTATTTAAGACACATAGGTACGCTTAGTTAGTTGCACCATAGCTATATGGGGTGACCCATAATCGACAGACAAATGATATCACGTCAATGGAGAACAAGTTGAATTTCGACCCCAATGTTTGGTCAATATTTTCGGGCCACTTGCTGATGCTGTTCGAATTTCTCACCTTACAAAGGCGCTCCTAATGCGGTTCCTTTTCGCTTTCGCAAACTCGGTTTTGGCTGCTTCTCGACACTCACAAATGGAGTGAATATATCGTGCCTTGCCTAGTCCGCAAATGCTTCATCCTCTACCTCCTCCATCTCCACTTGTTTTAATTCCCGCTCAAACCTCGCCGCTTCCTCGTCAATATCCACATCCTCTCCAGCTGTTGCCTCTGCGTTCATCATTCTGTACTCTGCCTCTTCCACAGCTGCTTCAGCCGCTTGTTCCGCATCCCGCATTCCCGCCTGAGCCGTCTCAGCCTTCTTCTGCCCGTAGCCCTGCTTCTCGAGCCTATCCAGCTCCTCCGGCTCGAGCAACTTCCCCGGAGTCTGTCCCTTCGCCGCCGCCAGCTTTTGGGCCACAGCCGCGGGTACGAAGCGCGAGGTGGCCTCCTTCCGCAGGTCGCGGTGTATGGGGGCAGCGCTGTACACCGTCTTCGCTTCAGCCGCAGCCGCAGCCGCCGCCGCCGCCGTGCCAGCCCCAGGCCTCGCAGGCAGCGGGTGCGGTCCATCTCTCGCCGGCGTTTCGTCCTGCAACGACGGTGCGCCGCCCCTCCGCGGCTTGCGCGGAATCGGAGGCGGCGTGTCGCGCGGCATGGGTATATCCCTCACATCCTCGTCCGTCTCGCTGCTCTCGCTCCCGTCATCGTCATGTCCCCCCCTGCCATCCCTCCTCCTCTTCCCCAGCACACCACCACCACCTCTCCCTCTCCCTCTGCCGCCGCCACCGCCGCCACCGCCGCCCTCTCTGCCTCCTCGTCCACCCCCGCCACCAAACGTCGGGGCGCGGTCGCCCAGCGCCTCGCGCGCCTTGCGGATCGCGCGCACCTCCTTCTCGAGGTTGTTCAGCGTCTCGCGGTCGCGGGGCCGCAGCGGCTCGCCGCGCTCCTCGGCGCCCTTGAGGTCGTCGATCTGCCGCTGCAGCCGCTCCGGGTTGCGCTTGGCCAGCCGGTCGTTGCGCTGCGCCGCCACGTTGGCCTTGTTCTTCTTGAGCGCGCGCTGCTTGTCCGCCTTGTGCTGCGCGGCGACCGGGTTGACCGATTTGTCCTTCGCCATGGTGTGTCTTCTTGTCTATTGCGGGGCTGTGATGATGTTTTTCTGGTGGGGGCGTTTTGGAGGACGGGGCGAGGGAGAGCCCGCTGGTGGGGGGAGAGGGCCGAGTTGAGGTGGTGGTTGTTGTTTACGAGGGAGGATGCGCTGGTGGCTCGGTTTTTTCCTTGCTGGTCTTGGGATGAGATTCGGAGGTGTATGTTGCGTTCGTTGGGCCGTTGGAGATGCAGTGGGTGCTCGAACGAGCGATTGGCCGACCGCGGGCTGATGAGCTTGAAGGAGAGAGAAAGTATGATGTGTTTCTGCTGAAAGTCGGTCGGGAGATACCTAGCCGTCCAAGCTTTGGACGGCGTTGCGATGACTTCACATTTTCACGTGCACGCGCGAATCCCTGTCTGCCGTCTACTTTTACTCAGGAAATTTCCCGCCAGCTTTGGCACCGATAGCTCCGCGCAACACTCAACCCCCGCACCCATCGATTCCCCCCGCACTGCGGCTGCCGGCAACCTACCATGGCGGATAAACGGAAGCAACCGCCATCGTCTTCAAAGCAACAAGGAGGCCAGAATGGCCGCGATCGCAAACGCGCAAAGACGCGTGATGCCCGCGCCATCGCCGCGCAGAGCACCGGCACGGCGTTCCGAAACGGCGAGGTCGATGTCGACAAGTTCGTCAAGGCACACGAGTATGCGATCAAGGCGCTGGAGAGCGGCATGCAGAAGGCGCGTCAGGGTCTGACGACCAGGGCGTTCCAGGGCGTGCCCAAGGAGCTCCGCCGCCGCACGGCGAGTCACAACGTGAAGCGCGTGCCGAAGCGGCTCCGCGCACGCGGGGCGCGAGAGATGGTTGAGGACAACACGCCGACGGTGACGGCTAGGAGGAGGAAGCCCAGTGGGCACATGCGGCTAAGGCTGGACAATGCGAAGAAGTTTCAGCGGTTCGTGAGCAAAGTTCGGGCGAAGAAAGGAAAGAAGAATAAGGAACGGAGTGAGACGGCGGGTGATGCTGGAGAAGGGGATGTTATGGAGGTCTCCGTCACGCAGGCGGAGGGTGCCATCAAGACCAGGAAAGCGCGCGTCAAGTCCTCCAAGCCGAAGAATCCGCCCGTCCCCCCGGCCAAGTTCCGCAAGCGCCAGCTGAACAAGCAGTGGCTTCCGACCCATATGTTTCACACGAAGCGTGCACACATGACGCCTGCTTTGGAGCCGTTATGGCGGTTTGCCATACCACTGGCGCCAACGATGAAGTGCTACAGATCGACACATAGAGCGAGCGTGGCGAGGGGTGCTGTGGCTTGGGATACTAGCTACATGTCGACTATTGGCCTGACTGGATCGGAGACGCACATTCAGAAGCTTCTGACAGACTTCGGGGTTGACAACTGGGACAAACGAGGCCAGAAGTGGAGAGCCGGGAGTAGGACATGGGAAGGGTGGCTTTACGAGAAGGGCGGGTGGCCTGAGAAGGCTATCGCACCAGTGACCATTGTATGGTGTGCAAAGCCGAAGCCCGAGGACGTGGAAATGCAAGACGGAACTACTGGCGGTGCTTCGTCTAAGCAGAAAGACAGGAGGGATGTTTTGATACGGATACATCCCTCGGCTTTCCTTGAGCTATGGGATGCGATTCGTAAACTTAATCCACCCGTCACTATGGAGGATCTTCGGTGGGAGATCGGAAGCATCGAGATCACCGGACCTGGGGCTACTGAGGCGTTGTGTGGCGTTCTATGGCCAGTTCCTGCGGACGACGCGGAGGACAGCCCCAGTTCCGTGTGGAAGAAGCTCGCTCCGGTCACCAACCTAGGCACCCTCCCGCTAAACGCCGTTCTAGGATTCGAAATATCGGATCCTAGGCTGCATCATCCACCTCGTACGGTGCAGATTCCCACTGACAACAACTCACATTCCCAGCTGGTGAACACATGCGCTAGCTGGCCTCCAGACCGGACGCAAGGTCCATCGGCTTTGTTCACGCGGAAGAAGCGCCTAGATTCCTCACGTGCTCTTCCTAGCCAGAAGTCGATCAATCGCCGAAAGACGGCGGCAATGCCAAAGGCATACCCTGAACCTCTTTCAACAGACCCCGCAATTCCGATTCTTCTGTCCTCCTCACGCACTGGCGGCCTAGGCAACGGAACATGGACCATTTTACTGCCGTGGAAATGTGTTTCTCCGGTCTGGAACTCGCTCATGTACTATCCGCTCTCCACGGGTGCAAACGTACGCTTTGGCGGGTTGAATCAGAAGAGGCAACTGGCGTTTGAAGCCGGACTTCCTTTCTTCCCAGCTGATCACCCTGGCACGAACGCAGGACAGGAGTGGGATGTGCGGGAAACGGAAAAGAGGAAAGCGGAGTGGGAGAAGCGGCCAAAGGGAAAGAGGGTTCAGTGGGAGAGTCTCAAATTGGCAGAGGGCCGGATAGGTGAAGTGGGCAAAGGCTGGGCTTGCGACTGGGATATGCTACGTGGGGACACGGACGCAACATCGGAAACAAGACCTTCGCTCTACCAAGTCCCGTCCTTCCTCGCCGATGAAGCTACATCTTCCCGCAAGACCGACAAGGTCCCCAACCCCGACCTTGCACTTACGAACGTCTGCGTTACTATCATCGGGCGTGGCGCTCCCACTGACTGCGCGCGCATCTACCGCCTCCCTACGGCTGATGCTGACCTGCGTCGGAAGTGGCTGGCCCTCACCCCGGGGCCACAGACAAAATCAAGTGCAAAGAGGAAGACGGCGCAGTTGCTTCGCATGCCAGCACCGGACGCTCCGGAACGCGTACACCAAGCTTTCCTGGCAGCCAGCTTATTGGATGGCGACAAGAAGGACGTCCAGGCCGGCGGAAAGGATTATCCGGTCGTACCAGACAAGGGAGACTTGATTGGATTTGTAACGGCTGGTAACTACAATCTGGGAGAGGGCAGGGTGACTGGGGTGGGGAACGTGTTGTTGAAGAAGTTGGTGGAGGGTATGGGTGTGGAGCAAAATGCGGAGAGTCTTTGTATCGTGCGAAATGCGGGAGAGTCGGTGGGGAGGTTGGCGAAGTGGAAGATTGTCTGAGCAATATGCAAACAGGGTTATCTTGAAGGGACTACGGGGCAAACCCACGCTTCGCTGAACGAGGGCTGACAATGCTCGAGAAGCACTAACTGCTCAAGAGCGTTCTCCATGAATGCGTTGCAAGACGACTCCATGGGGTATGACGGGTTGCTCTATCCGCGTAGTGTAGCTTCTCAGGGACCGGAAAGTGGGCAATTGAACGGTGGGCCCACGAAAGTATCACTCCGATTCGACAGTCCGAACGGGAATAAAGGGCGCAACCGTTATTTCCACAAAGTCGAGATCCCTCGGTTGCTGCGTCCCCTGTCAACTTTTTCCTACGGAGAAGCTCTTTCATGCGGGGAGCTCATGCATGCGGGGGGCTCTTGGATGCGGGGAATTCGCAATACCCTAGCATTAGATCTCCTCCCTATCATAAAAGGTTGCCTCTTGCGCCCTGAAATCCCCATTATGGCTTCGACACTCGGCCCCTTTCCTCCTCGGTGCAGTTGAATGACTCTAGGTACCAGGATAATCATGCGGCTTTCTGTCCTTCACTCGGCGCGATGGAGCTTCCGCTATGGTCACCACATACCGAGCAAGCGTGCTATTGTTCGAAGCCGGACGATGGCTACTGCCAGTAAGCAAACCGTGATTGATCACCACTATGAGTTCGTTTCCCCTTCTGGCTTCACGTCCCTGGCAAACGCAAAATTCGCTGACGATGACTGATAACATCTAGCGCCATTGTCGTCGGCGCTGGAGGAGCAGGCCTTCGCGCAGCCGTCGGCCTCACAGAAGCTGGGCTAAACACGGCATGTGTGACCAAATTGGTAAATCAAGGGAAAAAAAGACAGCAGCCACCCATCACTGATCAACCGCCGCCCCGCCCACAGTTCCCCACGCGCTCGCACACGGTGGCGGCCCAAGGCGGCATCAACGCGGCGCTCGGCAACGTGACGGCGGACGACTGGCGGTGGCACTTTTACGACACGGTCAAGGGGTCGGACTGGCTGGGCGACCAGGACGCGGTCGCGTACATGACGCGCGAGGCGGTGGCGGCCGTCGTCGAGCTCGAGCGGTACGGCGTGCCCTTTTCGCGCACCGCCGCGGGCACCATCTACCAGCGCGCGCTGGGCGGGCAGTCGCTGCGGCGCGGCGCCGGCGGCCAGGCCTACCGCACCGCGTGCGTGGGCGACCGCACGGGGCATGCCGTGCTGCATGCGCTGTACGGGCAGAGCTTGCGGCACGGGTGCCGGTTCTTGGTCGAGTATTTCGCGCTGGATTTGATGATGGTCGGGGGCAGGTGTGTGGGGGTGACGGCGCTGGGCATGGAGGATGGGACGTGTCATCGTCTGTTTGCGAGGGACACGGTGCTGGCGACGGGAGGTGGGTTGGTTGGTTCCTTTTGTGAGACGGGAGGGGAGTGGTTAGCCTGCTGCCATTCTCTTTTTCCTTCTTCTTCTTCTTCTTCTACCCGATTAAACAGCCCTGGTCATTCCCTGTTCTGCTTCTTTTTCTTTTTCCTTTTCCCCCACCTTCTAACGGACCCTCCAGGCTACGGAAGAGCGTACTTCTCCGCGACGAGCGCGCACACCAGCACCGGGGACGGCAACGCCATGGTGGCGCGGGCAGGCCTGCCGCTGCAAGACATGGAGTTCGTGCAGTTCCACCCCAGCGGCATCTACGGCGCGGGGGTGCTGATCACCGAGGGCGCGCGGGGCGAGGGCGGCTACCTGCTGAACGGCCAAGGGGAGCGCTTCATGGAGCGGTACGCGCCGACGGCCAAGGACCTCGCGTCGCGCGACGTCGTGTCGCGGGCCATGAACATGGAGATGCTCCAGGGCAGGGGCTGCGGCCCGGGCCGCGACCACATCCACCTGCAGCTCTCGCACCTCCCCCGCGACGTCATCCTCGAGCGGCTGCCCGGCATCGCCGAGACCGCGTCCATCTTCGCCGGCATCGACATCACGAAGCAACCGATCCCCGTGCTGCCCACCGTCCACTACTGCATGGGCGGCATCCCGACGAACTACAGGGGACAGGTGCTCGACGTCGGGCCCGACGGCGACGAGACCACGGTGCCGGGCCTGTACGCTGCGGGTGAGGCGGCCTGCGTGAGCGTGCACGGTGCGAACAGGCTCGGCGCGAACTCGCTGTTGGACATTGTCGTGTTCGGTCGCGCGTGCGCCATTGACATTGCCGGCAGGCACGAAAGTGGGATGCCGCACGAGAAGGTCCCTGAGAACATCGGGATGGATTCGCTGTCCGAGCTGCATGCGCTCTTGGCGGCGGATGGGGACAAGCTGACGGCCGAAATCCGTGGCGATATGCAGAAGGTCATGCAGGCGGATGCTGCTGTCTTCAGGACTGGCGATACTCTGGGAACCGGGTATGAGAAGGTCAAGGCTGTAGAGGAGGACTTTAAGGGAAGGCTTGCGGTGAAGGACAAGTCGATGATCTGGAACTCGGATCTCATCGAAACGCTTGAGACCCGTAACTTGCTTACGTGCGCCGTGCAAACGGTGGCGAGCGCCGTCGAGCGGAAGGAGAGCCGGGGCAGCCATGCGAGAGAAGACTTTCCGGAGAGGCTGGATGAAGAGTGGCTGAAGCACAGCCTGACCTGGCAGAAGGAAATCGGTGGAGATGTAAAGGTCGGATACAGAGACGTTGTCCTCGACACGTTGGATCCGGCAGACTGCCCGGTGAGCCTACTTGGATTTCAGGTGAAGTCGTTTCTTGACTGCTGACCCCGCGCCTTCACACAGCCCGTACCGCCAAAGAAAAGATCATACTAGATTCGACAGCTAGTCAGAACATACAGCGACTGAAACACGGCTGCCCGGAGTACTTACAGCGTAGCAATAGACTAGACCACTATACAAATACTTAGCCCTCCATCTATGGCGGCGAATCCGAGGAAGAAACGGCGTGGCAGCCTTCGATGATCGACATGAAATGATAGCTAGCGCGCCACAACCGTAGCGCAGAATCCCGATGGCCAAGGCGAGTAGTCTAGATAGATCTGCCTGCTGTTTGACTAGCATGTCTGGTCGACTGCGCACTTCGGCGACCTGCGGACGTTATATGAAGTTGACAATGGCGGCGCACATGTTCAAAGTATGGGTCACGAAGCAGAGAAGGTGGTGGTGAGGCAGGTATCTTAGAGTGGCATTTTTTCATACCATGTTGATTGCTAGCTGCAAAAACGCATGCAGCCTGCGTACATGCCCATTGACCGAATTTTGACCCCGCATAAACCGTAAAGAACCCGCAGCCTAGCAGCCAATCCTCTACTTCCTGATGGCACGCTGGTAGAAGGCGAGCTCCTCACCCTCAAGGATGTAGCCGTCAACGCGGCCGCTCTGGCCGGGCCTGGAGGCAACAACGGCGTACAGACGACCGGCCTCGAACTGCCTCTCGAGGGCGTTGTCGACCTTGCCGGAAGCCTTGATGCGGGCCTCCTGCTTCTTCTCGACGCTCTTGGACTTCTTCTCCTCAGCCTGCTCGGTCTTGGCCTGCCTCCTGCGGCCGAGACCGGTGCCGTAGTGGGCCTCGTACCACTGCCTGAAAGGAGCGGCATCGATCTGGACAACGGCGGACCTGGTCAGGGTGTTGGTGCGGACGAGTTCGTTGTTCGACGGGTGGTAGGCGACGACGATGACACGGGTCTTGCGGGCAATGCCCTCGGAAGCCCAGGAGAAGTTGCCCGAGTCGAGACGGAGGGCACGGAACTTGCGGTTGCCACCACGGGTGCGGACAAGGTGGATACGCTTGGCACCGATACGGGTGTTGGCGGGCTGGCGGCCCTTCTCGAAAGCCCTGTTTGCCATGTCAGACATGGTTACTAGGGGCGATCGGGTTATGCATACCTCTTCTTGCGGTAGTATGCTCTCTTAGCACCGGTAGCGGCGCGCTTGTGACGAGAATCGCGAGAGATACTGCGCACAAGTTAGCGAGAGCCATTGTGAGGGATGCAGGTGCGAGCTTGATTTACCCCATGATTGCGAAGGATGAAGATCACTGCAATCTTGATTGTCAGCGAATTGTCCAGCTATGTCCAGAGTCGACGGCGCGTGCAGGGCACTGGAGTCTTGAAATCCGAATTTTGAAAAGGTACTGTGCACCTCCGCAGGTGACCCAGGCGACGCTTTCCAGAAGCACTGCCAACCAGCATTGCAAGCGACCACTGCTCCCCCGATCCATAGTAGAGTACGACGGGGCGTGAGAGCAGATGGGTCGCTGGAGCCCCAATGCTGTGCGCGTGGCCTTCGGGGTGCGGAGGTCGGTCGCTCTTCCGGAATGGACTCAAAACTCCAGTGCTTGATACGCGGCGTAGCAGAAACGAGAGCGATGCGGTCGTAACTAACCTTCCTGTCGAATCTTCGTCCTTGGAGGGGGTGGGGGTCGGCTGGGCGAGGTCGTGGTTGTCGTCCTTGGAGTGCGCTTCGAACTTTTCTGAAGCGGTTGTGTGTTGCTCGCCTACGAGCGCGCCATCCCGTTTTGGAACTAGCGCATCACCCCCCCGGTCGCATGCACATGGTTCCCGTCACATTACAAGCATCCTCCACCTAATTCCAAGTTCAGTCGACGTCGGTTCACGCTTTCTGAAGCTGTCGAGAATCGCATTTAGGACAAGTGTCTGATTTTTCAGCTGACTGCTGCTACGTGCATGCCGCCACTTCGCCCGGGGCTATATCTTCCTGATAGACGTCTTGGTGCAATACCATGGCGAAAATACACCTACATGTACGGCCCTGGAGTGCACGCTCAAAGGTTGCCTTACTCTCTTTGCGCAAGTTCAATGTTCTGAATCCACCATCATTGAGGTGCCACGCCTGGTCTTCGTATCCTCCATAATCTTTTACCGTCGTACTCGCCAATCACCCCCAAGTCAAAGTACGGGTTATTCCCGTCTAAATTCGCATTCAACGACATAGGTAGTACAGCGCAGCTGCGGCTGAAGTCGTGTCGAGGATCGTAATCGAACGATATAAGGGGCGTTTGATCATCAGGCGAGCGAAGCGATAATTGGGATTCGCTTCTGGCGTTTCGAGGCGCCGGCAGGAGAGCGTGCGAATCGGGTAAGAAAGGGGTTGGAAAACGAAGCGAAGGAGATACAGAAACGGAAACCTACACGTTTGACGACGGTTTGGTGGGCTCAGCCATAGCTATCAGTAACAAAGGCGCGATGCAACTGGCGCCTTGGACTTCTCGAGACATTGGTCACATCACACAATACCCGAACGGGCAGTGGGTCATCGCTTGGACTGGACATTCAAGCAGGTATGGCCTTCGGTGAAGGCTGAAGCATCGTTGCGAGTTGGAGGTTGTGGAGAGCCGAGTGACCAGATCATTGCTCCAACGACACGCCAACCTAAACAGGTGGCTCTTTTCTAGCATCTGCAGCCGTGTCATGAAACGCCGAACTGAACGAGAAAAGCAAATCTATGCCACCTGTACCCCAAATTTTGGTGTCGAGCCATGAACCGAAAGCCGAATGCTTCAACAAAGGAGATGCAATATGAGGATATGATTACTGTGTGCACGAAGGGGCCACCCGACTGCACAAAGGCAATACGCCTGTTGGCAAGCGATGCGGGAGGCCTCTTCGCTCAAGGCTACCGATGCATGGTGCACTTGTTGAGGGCGGCGAGTAACTCGGGGCGGTCCTTGAGAGCCTGGGCAGCTTCGGCGTAGGTACACCACTTGCGATTTCTTTTGTGCGCCTCAGGCCACTGGTTCTCCATGCGCTCGACGGTGGCCTCGAAGAACTGATAGCTGGCGCGCGGCGCCTCTTTTGTGAACTGGGAAGGACTGCGTCTCTCGTCGATGGCTCCAAGGTCGTAGGTGATTTTGCACACGATGCCAGCTTCTTCCCAAGCCTCGCGGCAGGCTGCATCTTGCGCGGTGGCTTCATCGGTCTCCCAGCCGCCCTTGGGGAGAACCCACTTGTTGTGACTGGTGGATTGGATCAGGAGGACGTAGTACTTGTCGGCGGAGAGGGGCACGACGCCCGCAACAAGGCGTTCTCCGTTGCTGCCGTAGCCTGCAAGGCGAAAAAGCGCAAAAAAATCAGCACCTGGACGCGCAAGAGGGCGCGAGGCGGCGGGCTCACGCGCGCAGCCGGCGGGGGGTGGCGGGTGTCTCGTGAGGGCACTCACGCTGGTTGCTCCGGCCTGTCCGGGCCTCCATGGAAAGAGTCTGCTGCGCCATGGCGTGTGAAGAGAGGGACCGGTGGGAGCACGGCAATGACGTCGAACCGGGCCGGTCTCGTGAGAGGGTGCTGAGGCGGGTAGAACGAGTGGACTGGGCTCGCGTGGCTCGAGGTTGGGCCGGGTGGTCGAATGAGGAAGAGGCTGAGGCCGAGCAGACACGGACGCCGGCGGCGCTGGCGAGGGGAGGCGCGGGTGCAGGAGGGAGAAGCGAGTCGGGGATGGATTGGAGCTCAGTCCCGCGGAGGACGGGGCTGAGGGAAGGTGGGTGTCCTGGGGAGGTGAAAGGAGAGAGGCATCGTGGGTAGTGTTAGTCCCTTTCGCATCGTGCCGTGGTCTTTGACAGGGCAGGGTCCAAAAAAGTGAGATAGGCGCCAAGAAGCCATGATCTGCGAGATGCATCTCCAGCAGAATCGCCGCCTCTCCTGTGCCCGCGCGCCGCCCGCCCGCAGCAACGCGGGCGCCGTTGCAATGCAGGCCGTTGGAGCAGCTGCAGCGGCGCCCGCGTGCATGCGCAGGCAGCAGGAGGAGCGCGGCGCCCAGCAGCGCAGCAGGCCGGCCGCGGGTGGGCTGCGCAGCGTGCGAGGGCGCCTGTGACTGGCTCCGGCGGCGGCGGCCAGGGTCTGCGGGCAGCTCAATGTATTCTTCGTGAGCGCCTGCCGCAGAACATACGTGCCGTGACGTGGGCGCGCTTCGATTCGCGCGACGCAGCGTCCAGCGTGTCGACAGCCACCCAGCGCCCGCCCAGCGCCCGCCGTGCCACGCCGCCAGGTCGCAGCCTTCGCCCGCTAGCCTCACCGCGCAGTCATATCCAGGTCGCTGTTCCGCAGACCCTCCGCCGGCAAGCGTGCCCCTCTGCCAACCACGCCTGCTCCCCAGGCTCGCGCGCCTCCAATCCAGCGCCTTCCCCGCCGCGCACCGCCCTCTGCCGGCCGACTGCCTCCGGCTGCCTCCCACGCTTGTGCTGCCGCCATGCAGGCCCCGGCCGCGGGCGCTGGACCCGCCTCGCTCCTAACGCCGCTCGGTGCGTCGCAATCCAGTCATCCGGCAGCGTTGCAGCCCGTGCAGCTCTGTTTGGATGTGATTCCACCCCGGTCCCCCATGGGCCTGCTGCGCTCCACGCCGGAATCCGCTGCGTCGCCTGCTGACTACGAGCAATCCAGGCTATCAGACAAGCTCGTGCGGGTATTGCAAGAGCGACGAAACGAGTCAGAGAACCCCCGACTCTCGTGCGTTGTCACCGCACGACAGATGCGCCCCTCACCTCTGCCCACTTTCTTCCCAATTTCTCTCCCGCCTCGTCTGATCCGCCTTGCATCTATTCGAGACCCGGTCACGTGCTTTGTTTCTGCCCCAGTCCTCCACGCGCTCGGCGACTGGCCACTGTCTGGCCTCTGTCTGTTTCGTGTGCCCCTGCATCATGTTTCCAGCCCATCTCTCGTCTCTCTTTCTCTCTCTCTCTCTCTCTCTCTCTCTCACACACAACACTCGCGCATTGACCTGTTCCCTTCGCATTCTGCGGTGCGATTCACCATCATGCTAACACCTGATCCCCTTCAGGCGCTGCCTACTACGTGAAGAGCAAAACCCTGGACGTTGCGCACTATCAAGCGCTTATTGACCGAGGCTGGCGACGGTAGGCACACCGGTTCCACTTATGCCACGTGGGATGCCACCTAAATCTCCGCGGATTCGCTGGCTGCTATGGATGCGTGACACTTAATCTGACTTCGCTGTAGATCAGGCACCCTCCTCTACAAACCTGACGTTCGGAGAGCTTGCTGCCCGCATTACACAATCCGGTTAGTGCGCTGCGGCTATGTTGCGAGGCAAGCCCTAAGCTGACTGGCCCTCAGCCTCCCGGCCGCCTCTTTCAAACCAACCAGAGATCAGCGACAGGCTGTCAACCGTTGGAACAGGTTCGTTCTGGGCGATTCCTACTTGAACGAGGCCAAGAAGCTGCATCCCAAGACCAAAGAGTTAGAAGGTTCCGAAAAGCCCAAACCGCCGTCCAGGGCTGACAGAGCGTCGTAGAGAAAAGGCAAAGCAGCGAAATGGCTTCAACCTCTATGATGTCATACATGAGGCCGAAGATTTGAATGTGAAGAGGCCACCCGAGCCTGCTCACCGCTTTGAGGTGACGCTGGAGCCTGACAGCTTCACCGATGAGAAGTTCCAGCTCTTTTCAAACTATCAGCAAGCCGTGCACCATGAAGAAGCTCATAAGGTCACGCAAGGAGGCTTCCGCCGCTTCCTGTGCGACTCGCCACTCCAACGTCGTGCAGCTGACGGGTCCTCGACCCGTCTAGGTTCGTTCCATCAATGCTACAGGCTCGATGGGCGCCTCATTGCCATTGCTGTGCTGGATCTTCTCCCGCATGCCGTGAGCGGTGTATACTTCATCTACCACTCGGACTTCGAAAAGTATTCTTTGGGGAAGATAAGCGCTCTTCGTGAAGCCGTCTTGGCTGAAGAACTGGGCCTCCACTTCTACTACATGGGCTACTACATCCACAATTGTAAGAAGATGCGGTACAAAGGCGAATATCAGCCTCAGTATGTACTCGATCCGGAGTCATATGAGTGGAACGAGCTCAACGGTGAGCTTCGTGCGCTATTGGATGAGAAGAAGTACGTGTCGTTATCGCGTCAGAGACAGAGCAAGGGGGCAAAGGTGCTCGACAACGGAGGAGATACCCCTATGCCGGAGGCAAGTTCAGACGATGACTTCGACGGCAAGCACCTGGATTCTCCGGTGCTCGCCGCGGCAGCTGCTGATGACGGCCTCTCCCTCATGGAACTTGGCGTTCCGGGTGTGCTGAAAGTAGATGAACTATTGGAAAAGATCAGTCTGGATAAGATCAAGATTGGTATTCCCAGTGCCGGCATAGTTGCGGATATGGAGGTAAGCCGAATGCCCTACTCTTTGCCAAGCTCTTCGTTGACTCGCCGCAGGATCTCGTTACATGGGACAAGGGAACGATCACAGACAAGACTTCACTCAAAGGCCACATCGCGGAGATGGCTGCATGTCTTGGCCCTGAGGTCGCAAAAGAGATGATAGTCCAGCTGGGTGGATGATCTGCTAAGCGGTTCGTCCCATCTGCAAGGAGAAGGCGATCGTACCGTGAGAGTAGAATAGAAATCAAATAGAGGTGCATGATCATACCCGTGAGCCCACAATGCAAACCACCATTTGATTATTTCCAACACCCCAACTCCACATGACCTGCCTCAGGAAATGGTCAAGGTATCGAAAGTTGGTGGCGCACTGTCTAAAGGACGCCGGCTTTTGCAGTTGAGTAATTGAAGAAAGCGCAATCCAAGTGCCTGTCAAAAATAGACAGCCAACATGACAAAAAAACCAAATCAAGTAGCTGCTACCACCAAGTTACTCTTAATGGAAGGAAGAACTTGAATGACTATCGAAGAGGCACCCTTTCCCATCATGCGAGACAGCAGGGTCCATCCAACTTGTGCAGCAATTGCTCCTCAAACACAAATGCAACTCGGAACGCAATAGCTCACTGATCACGTCGCCATTGTTGACTCACATGTGAGCACAGATGAGAATCCAGAGGTTGAAGAGGTATCCACCGCACGCGTACCTCGTTTAAACGAGCATGACTCACAGCTATCTCGAGACCTATTTTGCTCACAATGGCATGTTTAGGAAAAGGCGAACAGCACTACGTCGTCATCACTCTGCACCCTCATTAAGTGGACGCTTCAATGCCGGCGACGATGTGAATACCAAACCAACCGAGAAGGTCAAGCCCCTTGACAAAGCAACCGACGAGAAAGATTCGCAGCTCGACGGCAACTACGAAGACGACCTTGCAGAGGCGGTTCGACAGAGCAAACTAGGAGCACAAAGCGAAGAAACGAAGGCTGCCATCCTTGCAGAAGCCGACGAAGCAAATCTCCAGAAAGCGTTAAGACTGAGCAAGGAGAAGGTTACACTCGGAAGTGGATCCGACGTGGAGCTTCAGTTGGCTTTGGAGCTGAGCAGGGTCGAGGCAGGACACAACGAGCACCCTTACGATCCGGATACGTTTGGCGAGACGTCGAGAATGGGGGCAATGAGGAACAATAGAGACGGCGGCGTCATGGCACGTGCCTCTGTGCCTGACTTGGATGATCGGTGGGATGATGAGCCACCCCCGCCTTACGAGCCGTAGCTCCCTGTTTAGTGCTCCGGCGACGAGAAAAATACACGTGAGAGCGGCTCCAGTCGCGGGGAAGAAATCACATGCGCGGCGGACGAAGTGGTGATGGATCAATTGAAAGCAACAAGTTGATTGGTCGGCGGCATGCAGCTATGCGGTTTAGCTTGAACAGTGTCAGGGTCTTTGGAGGGAAATTTTTGATGGCGCAATGGAGCAGGTCGGGATTGATCTGACGGTCCACCCCGGGCTTCTCCACAGATTGACCATTCGCTCGGCTGTATCGCTTATTAGCATTGAGGCATTGGGGGTAACTACATACGAGTAGTCGTAGAACCATGCACATTGAGGCCGATGCAGAGACGATGGCGTGGGTAGATGATCGGGCAGGAGCTGACCTCGGTGCCTCCCCAATGCAATGGCAGACTTCGGACGGAATTGCGAGCCGGCATGACGTGGGGCTCATCAGCGTCAAGACACGGATATACGGCGGTACGGCCATGGGGAGTCATGCTCCAAACGCAGACGGAAAACGGTTCCGGCCCGGGTTGCAGCTGCCAGAAATGTCGGTGACACAAAGGAGTCATGCCAGGGCGGACGGGGCAGGACGACTAATTGAGGGTGCGTGGTGCTGTGAGTCAACATGGCCGGCTCGTGAGTTCGCCTGAGCGGCGAGGAGAGCGACCAGGGGGGCGAATATTTTTTTCCCACTTTCTGGGGTTATGACGTTGGTCGGCGCGGCGCACACGTGCATGGCGCAAATTCTTCCAGGCCGCGATCAAGGCAGCTTTCCGCAGCATTGAGCAGCATTGAGCAGCATTGCCCGGCCCCTGCATGACACAATTGCCGCCCCGAAGCAGCCGTAGCACTGACAAACGCGGAAGACGGCTTCAACCTGCACCGGCAAATTGTGGGCTGCTTATTTGTGTCCCCGCATCGCCTCAGTTTGGCCGAGATCGGCCCAGCTCAACTTTCGTGCGCTCCTAGCGCTTGCCGAGACAAATACAGTCACCCAGCAAAAACTTCATAAGCTCCGCGCAACCTCCCTCTCCCACCTGCAACCACTTCCCCTAACGCTTCACATCCACCATGTGCCCGACTCCCGACGCTCCCGCCGCCAACGGCCACTCCAACGGCGTGAACGGCCAGGCCAACGGCGAAAACGGCGCCTGTACGTGCAATGCCGTCATTGACGCCCCGGTCTTCAGCTAACATTCACCAGCCCACCCAGGCTACACTGGCATCACCGTAAGCCCTCTCGTTGCGCCGCGCGTCATTAGCACCGCCACATGGAATTCTGACCCTCATACCAGACCGCCCAGAACCCTCACCCCGCCCGCCCCTCGAATCCTTACCAGCCTGTCGGCGACTTCCTCAGCAATGTCTCGCGCTTCAAGATCATCGAGAGCACCCTGAGAGAAGGCGAGCAGTTCGCCAACGCCTTCTTCGACACCGAGACCAAGATCAAGATCGCCAAGGCTCTCGATGACTTCGGCGTCGACTACATCGAGCTGACCTCGCCCGCTGCCTCGGAGCAGTCTCGCCTCGACTGCGAGGCGATCTGCAAGCTCGGCCTCAAGGTTAGACCGCCAATTTGCGCCGCAAATCGCCATCATCGGCCTCGAGACTAACGCGCGGAAATAGGCCAAGATCCTCACCCACGTCCGCTGCCACATGGATGACGCAAGAATCGCCGTCGAGACCGGTGTTGACGGTGTCGATGTGGTTATCGGCACCTCGTCGTACCTGAGGGAGCACTCTCACGGCAAGGACATGACCTACATCAAGAACGTGAGTGCGCAAAATCCCGCCGAGCCGAATGCAATCTGACAGGTTTAGACCGCCATTGAGGTCATCAACTTCGTCAAGTCCAAGGGCCTTGAGATCCGTTTCTCCTCGGAGGATTCGTTCCGCTCCGACCTCGTCGATCTCCTCTCCATCTACAGCGCCGTCGACAAGGTTGGCGTCCACCGTGTCGGTATTGCCGACACCGTCGGTTGCGCTACTCCTCGCCAGGTCTACGACCTCGTCCGTACCCTCCGTGGTGTCGTCAGCTGTGACATCGAGACCCACTTCCACAACGACACTGGATGCGCTATTGGTTAGTCTGGTTTTTTCTTCAATCCACGGGCAATTTGACTGACATTTTCTCAAGCCAATGCCTACTGCGCTCTCGAGGCTGGTGCTACCCACATTGACACCTCTGTCATTGGTATCGGTGAGCGCAACGGTATCACCCCTCTCGGCGGTCTCATGGCCCGCATGATTGTTGCCGACCACGACTACGTCACCTCCAAGTACAAGCTGGCCAAGCTCAAGGAGATTGAGGATATGGTTGCCGAGGCCGTTGAGATCAACGTTCCCTTCAACAACTACATCACCGGTTTCTGCGCTTTCACTCACAAGGCGGGTATTCACGCCAAGGCCATCCTGAACAACCCCAGCACCTACGAGATCATCAACCCTGCGGACTTCGGCATGAGCCGCTATGTCCACTTCGCTTCCAGACTGACTGGCTGGAATGCGATCAAGAGCCGTGTTGAGCAGCTTGGCCTGGAGATGAGCGATGCTCAAGTCAAGATCGTCACCCAGAAGATCAAGGCTATGGCTGATGTCAGGCCTATTGCTATCGACGACGCGGACTCGATTATCCGTACTTTCCATCTGAACCTGCACTCCAAGGAGGAGCAACCTCTGCTGCCCAACATGACTGCCGAGGAGAAGGCCAAGTTCGAGCAGGCTGAGAAGGAACTCGCTGGCGAGAAGGAGAAGAGGGCACTGGAGGCCACGGCTGATGCGGAGGCTGAGATCCCCACCGCCAAGAAGACCAAGACTGAGGTTGTTGCTTGAGTGCAATTCCACTGACAGACAACAACTCCGTCTCACCAAAATCAAGTAACGCAATTACGGGAAACGGAAAAAAGGGAGCTCAAAGGGAACAAAGAAAAGCATGCGATGGCTTAATGGCTTGCCGATAGACCGCTTGAAGAGAAAAGCACAAAACCCAACCGCGGAAGCAGAGACGCGAAAGTTGGAATGAGGCTCTTGGGGTATATTCAGTATTTTTACGTGGGCGACTATCGGAGTTTACTATTTTTTTCTTTTTTTTTGGTTGTATACCTGTACATATCTCCCAGGCGCTTTCCACCACATTGCTGGATGGTTTTTAGCACGTGCCCTCGCAGAAAGGGTACGAAAAAAAGCGAATGCATTCCATGAGAACACTCACCTAGTACGCCAATACTTCTCGATTGTGAACGTAGCCGTGCAGCTAGGTTGGCGGCGAGTCCGTATCTAGGAAATGTCTTTTCCTTTAGTCCTCACCAAATCTCAGCTTTGAGTGCTATGCGTGACACATGGTCATGCGGTATCGTCTTATGTCTACAGTGACTATTCTGAGGGTGATGGTAGGTTTCGGCTATGGGCAAGGCGGTAAAAGCAATAGACCAGCAAGTGGGTGAGGAATAAAGAGAACTGATTCCACTTTCGTGTTATGGACGCACGTATTGCAGGCTGAAGGACAAGTGAATTCACCGCCGATGGCACCTATTGCCCCCACCACACCATCACTTAAGTATATGCCTAAAGTTCTCAAGCACCACTACCACCGGCTGTAACAGCCGAGAGGTTGCATGATCGCAGTATACTGACCTCCAACCATTCGTAACGAAATTTGGCTGGGGGAGCCCTTCAATTGATCCAATGAAACGGTTATCTCAAGAATTTTCTCTTCTTTTTTTTGGTGATTAGCAGAAGTATCCATCCGGGTTGACGAGTCGGTTTTTTGCAAGTTCTGACAAAAAGGAGATGAGGAAGGTTGGCAAGGGTCGTTGAACTTGACATCGATACTGCTGATCGCCTCTCTGGCATCAGTCTCCGTCGCTGTCGCTATCATCGTCGCAATCCGCGTAGTAATCACCATCTGTGCTATGATCTGCCTCGCTGTCGTAAGCAGTTTTCTACGTTGCTGAACCGTTCCGGGATTTTGATCAAGTCAAGACACTCGAGCCGGTTGTGCTTCTTCTGGCGGATCGTCGTCTTCCGCTCTAGCCACTCGTCCACATGATACAAGCAACAGTGGTGGATTTCGTCGTAGTTCATTGTTTGTGGAGTGTCGGCATGACGAGAAGTCTTCCGTGTCCTTCTAGCAGTGTTGATATGCATCCTCGAAGAAGATGTCGCAGTCATTTTCCTCGATGAATTGGAGCCGCTCGTTGTAGACGGCATCGGCAATGAAAACGAGGTCGGTGAAGACTGAGTCCAATTACCTTTATTCGGAGCGATCCGAATTTCGTCCATGTTGACAGGTGTCAACTTGAAAACATTGCCGCCTTCGAGAAGGCTTTCCTCCTGCTCTTGGCCGAAGTCGGCACAATACCGAGAAGCCTCCAAGAGAAACGTTTCAGTACCGGGACATCTGTCAGACATGATAAAGTTGCAGTGACTGTTTGACATGCGGGATAGCCTGCCGACGATCCGGCGATCTCCCGCGCGCGGATCCGGCCTGCCGAATCCAGTAATTCCCGCGAAAACTGCTCTGATCCGGACCTGATCTAACGCGACTGTGATTCCACCAACCTCCCCTCTGCTCCGACACAGTGGCCCGGGAACATGCCACACGGCCACCGCCGGAGAGATTGGGCAAGACTGTACCCAGAGCATCTCGCTTCCCGCCCATCGCGCATGTCCGCAGATCCGCCATGCAGAGTCAAATGCTCGCATGCGCTATCAGCTAGCCTGCTACCAGGATCCCTGCCAAGACGATGGGGGACCACAGCCCTTCGGAACACAATCGCAGCATTGCGAAGCCCCGGCGCAGTAGTGGCAAAGGTTGATGATCATCCGAGTATGTATATCTGCAACATCAGCCACGAAAGATGCAATGATGCGCACTATCCCGACCGGCTCCATGCCGCCATCAGCCGTGCGTTATCTTCGGCCCTTCCCAAACGCCCAACGGGAAAGCTGAAACAGCTTGTTACCTCCCCAACACTAACCTAGTTGTCTTCGCGCCTTCTGTCATCCAAGTGGGTCTTTCTAGCTGCGCCCTCTCCCCATCTTCCCCTCTCCCCCCTCCTCTCCCGCTCCTTCCGATGGTCCCGTCAGTCATCGAGTAGTGCCTCCAACAAGCAGACAAAACGCCGCTCCCATCATCGGCGGGGCACCGCATCGTTCGTAGGGAAGCCTAGTTCCTTCCAGCAAGCCTATCCGTATCTATCTACACCTACCCGCTCTTCACCCGTGCGGCGCCGCCTGTGGCGTTCTTGGCTCGTCCCCGCTGCGCCCAATCGCCTCGCCGTCTAATTTTGGTCTTACGCTGTTTCCTTTGGTTTTGGTTGGGGCGATGCGCGCGAGTTCCGCATCTCGTCTCTTGACGTTTGCAGACGCGAGACATAAACTAGAGCCCAAGCCACGCGTTCGGGCGGCTTGGACACGAGAATTCCTTGCCTGTTTTCTTTTTTTTTTTATCGCACCCAGCAGCTCTTGCAGTGTGCAGCCATCTCAAAGGATCTGGTTGATTACTGCTCGCCGGGCATCCAGTCCTACCCCATGATGTCACACCACCGCACGACCAAGTCTTCGGGTTATTTGGAGGGCGTCTTTGACCGTCAGCCACCCATGGATTCATCTCTTTGAATGATGTGAAAGTTTGTCTATTGTTCGGGATCGATGGGAATATCGTTATGCTGATGGCCTCTGAGTGGCCAAAACGACCCTTGTTTGAGTTGATTACTATCCTATAATGGTCCGATCCAGCGGTCGCTCGATTTTGACTCCTTCCTATCAAGGAGCGGATGGAATTATTGACAAAGTGAATCGAATGCAGGACGCCTTACCCGCCCTGCTATTACTACTTTTTCCAGTTATCAGGAGAGGGGATGCTCGACCGGACCTCCTTGCAACCTTCCTACCAACGAACGTGAATGAATATATCCAAGAGCATGACTCCACCCAAGGCGTCCATGAAGAGACCGGCGCTCGATCCGTGCTACGCACATCTCAGGCGATCCGATTGTCTCTTGAATCACAGCTGTGCGAGTCGAATCCAGCCCACGAGCGGCCAGGGAGTCGCCATCGTCATTTTCCAGAAGCTTTTTTTTTTTACTGAAGTGCAGCGCACTTGTCATTATTTTTCGTTTGATGAATAGCTTATCGAATAGAGTGGGGTCTGCATGATATAGCCTGCCGATAGTAGTTTCCGTGTCGTCGTCCCAGAGGTAGCGGAGCTCGTTGGTCATTGGCAGGGCGACTCGCTTCTTCTAGGAGATTGCCCATGCTGATCCACTCCGGCCGATGGCTTGATTGATGTCCATTACAGCGTTGTGGGTTTCCATGGATGGGTGTTGAATACCTTCATTGTGGCAGGCTCGGATACAGGCCCCGTACCGGGCCACCGAGCTTACATCAACCTTCAACTCAAACCTCTCCAAGCGCCCGTCGCAGGATTTGATTACCAACGATGAGGTCTTCGAGGAACTTTGCGCCTTCCAGGAGAGTGCTGCTCTTGCTGAAGCCGCCAGCCCTCAGGGCAGGAACAAGCTCGTTCATTTCATCAAAACCCTGCTTGATGAGGTTACGCCGTTTTTGTTCGCTCTGGATGTGATTGCTGCGCTTCTGTTCCTCGGTCAGATTCTCTCGAGGCTGCTTGGAAGCAGCTCGCTTCTTCGCTGGGGTGTCGACAGTGGAATCCCTCTGCTTTCGCGGGCGTGCAGCCCCGCTGAACGAGGACGACCGCTGCGACGAAGCTGAAGGAAGTGAAACTTCGCTCAACTTTGGGCGGGCTGGGAGCCCCCTCTCGTTGATGGTGCGGCGTCGTTTGACGGGTCTACCGCCAGGACTGATGTCGCCGTCTGATGCGGACTCGTCATCAGACGCGGCGGGTGTTGGTTCAATTGGAATGATTCCAAGGGAGTAGATGGTATGCTTTGGGCTACTCGGCTGCTGTTTCACTTGGTGAGCGCCCTGGCCGTATGTTGCGAAGTCAAACGAAGGCCGCGTTGATAGTGTTGGGCTGCTCGGTTGTGTAGGCGGGCGAGTATTCGGACCACTCTCCGACAGACGCAGTCCCCCCCGCATGTCTTGTAACATGCGGCCCCAAGCGGTCCCCTCGGTGTCGGTCTTTGATGGAGCCGTGTACACGCCCCCGCTGAAGGACGTGTCGGTTCCAAAGTTGGCATCGGGCTGTGGCCGCGAAGCGCCCGAGGAAGACGCCCCCAGGCTCGCAAAGGTGTGCGGATCAAAGAAGCTCGGGGCTGCGGCCTTGGTGTCATGATTGGCGGTCGCCAGTGCGGTCAAGTTGCGTTGGTCTGATGCAGAGGTAAAAGCCGCGGATGCCGGAGGGCTCGGCAGGCCCATGTAGTTGCCCCATTCCTTCTCAGCATACGTGGGATCACCCTGCGGCTGCGCGCCGGAGAGGAGAGCATTCGCAGCGCCAATGACTTCATCGGAAGCTCCTCCTCTCGCATCGTTGTGGGATGGCACGGCGTAGGCTGCGGCCATGGGCCGGTCCAGGCCGCCAAATATGCTGCTGGGCTGGGTGGCGTCGTTGATGGTGCCGTGGAAGTTGGGGGGCGGCTCGGCAAAGATGTCATAGTTGAAGGCGTGCGCGAGGTCATTGGAAGCGTGCAGGTCGGCGTCGCTGAAGGTGAAGTTGTTTGTGAAGGTGTTGAAGGGCCCATGGTCGAAGAAGCTCTGCAGGTGAGAGCATTGGTCCTCGCTCAGCAAGGGCGGGCCGGCGGCGGTGACGTTCTCCTCGGCGGCGGCATGGTCGATGTCATCGGTGTTGAAGGTGTCTGCTCAGGTCGGGGTCAGCTCAGGCAGCAGGCACAGATCAGACGACACGCACATCCGAATGGGTTTTCGTCCTTCGCCGGCGGGTGGTGCGAGCTCATTCCGAAAAGACTGGCTGGCGCCGGACGCTCTACGGCCAACATGGGTCCGGGAGAAGCGCGCTTCTTGGACGTCGGTCGATGCGGGGCGGGCAGCAGGCTAGCAGCGCGCCGTGGTAGAGGTGGGCAGGCGGAGACCCTGGACCATGGTCTGGACAGGCAGCGGGGGAGAGGGTGACGTCTGCGAGGGCAGTGACGGGACCGCAGGGGCAGCAGGCGCGCGGCTGAGGGCTTCGCGAGGGGCGCGTCCGTGGGCGTGTCCGTGGGCGTGTCCGTGGGCGTGTATCTGGCGGTCGGTGGAAGCTAGGGTGTTGGTGAAGGCGGAGGGCAAGGGCGCATGGGCCGGCAGGTCGTGCGAAGCTCTGGGCTCTGGGCACTAGGCGTGACAGCGGCGGCAGGGCCTGGGGCGACGGGCAGGCTCCAGGCAAGGCGGGGACGGCGCGGTCGACGAGGAGCGAGAGGAGGCGCGCATGGTCTTCATCAATAATGCAGCTTGTCATCCCCAACGGAGAGGCGCGCCTGCAAGCGTAGCTCGCGGCCGATCACATGCAAATGGGCTGCAGTCGACTAGAGCCCGGCCCGTCCGTGCCCACGGCCATCCAGCCAGCACTCCAGCACCCAGCGCTCCAGCACCCAGCGTGCAGAAGAGCGGCTCCCTGCGCATGCAGCCTGCACGCACCGGGCCCAGTCGTGGCCACCACTTCAGCCCGCGCCGTCACCACCCGCGACGCCGCGACGACACACAGCTCCTGCCCCGCCGCCAGGCACCGCCGCCCGCCCAACGCTGCGCAACAAGCCGCCATTGCGCCGCATGCAGCCCTCAGGAGCAGACCCGCCGTTTCGCCCTCCACGCTCTGGTGCTGCCGATCGTGCACCGGTCAATCTCGCTTCCTCGAGCTGCTCCAGCCAGCTGCCCGTCGTCGTGGCTGCCCGCCGCCGCCGAGGCTCGACACGGCCCGGGCTCGCCCGCCCTCCGCATGCCCTCCGCAGGCCCTCCGCACCTCCCCCAGCTGACCTCATGTCGTCCGCGGTCGTGCATCCCCATCGAGCACAAGTCAGCCCTGTCGGCTCGTGAAACGGAAATCACCACGAGGGGCCGCCCGCTGCCCGAGCCTCGGCTGCTTGCGACGCTCGCCCTGCCAGGGCAGCCCGCGTACCTGCACGCCCCGCCCCAGAGCCTGACAAGCATCCTTTTCGCTCTGACCACCGCTCCCCATCCCCCGCATCGCAGCCTGCCGCTTCCGGAATGGTGGGGGAGAGCTTGATCGCCCGCCCGAGGCGCTCTGGCCATCAGATTGCCGCTCCGTGAGCACCCCCCCCCCATCTTCTCTCCCGCCGTGGAAGCCGGGCTAAGCCCCTTGTCTAGCATCGCAAAGGCCTACCTTCTGGCATACGCATCCATTGCTGGCCCGCGTCTGGTTGCCGTTGGAATCGCCCTGTTCCGCCGCAGAGCGACTGCAAGCGCCTCTTTGGCCAAGGTGATTGAGCCCACTCGTTGCCCTTTCCGGACTGCATTAGACTTTATCTATCTCGATTAGCGCCGTGTGTTGAACCACAAGTCACCTCACTTGTGGTTCCAGCTACTACGGCTGCAATATCAGTCCTTCCTGCAATCTCGACAATATTAATGCCCTTTGGTCACACTTCGACAAGCTGACGCGTACCATCACTTTTAGGCGTGGCGGGCCCTGAAACAAACAGCAGCATGGAATCACTTCCCAGCATTCTGCGCTGTCCTGATCGGTGGCTCTATCAACTTCCAGGTTCCGCTGCGGGTTGTCGCTCAAACCCTTTCCAAGTGGCTCCGCCGCCACCATGTCAACGTCAATTTAGCCTTCGTGGAGCTACTGGTCAAGTTCACCGCGGCTCTTATTGCCGCCAGCATCAGCTTCGAGATCTTGAATTCTAAACCTAGCCAACCCTTGGACTATCGTCTCCCAACCGGAACAGCCTCCGCTCCTACCACGACGGCGGTATCAAATCAATCGGAAAACTACACTACTCCCACGACTGAAGATGCTCTCTCACGCGCCGCCGTGGCGAAAGTTGGCTCTCCAGTCCCTCCCCTGTCCCCGAAGGCGATGGGCGCATCGTCTGTGTGCATTTCCTCCGAGCCCCTAGCTGGCCGAACTATGGATCTGACCCTTTTTGCGGCGACCCGCTCTCTTGACATTATCATAGCCCCACTCCTTCTGAAGAGCAAGTCACGCACCGGCCGTCATATCGCCAAGTCTTCAACACCATTGCTCTTTGCACTGTCGTCGGCCGTGATAATGCACGCGTGGTTCTACACTCCGTATAGGTTGCCGCAGGCGTATAACGATTGGATCTCTTCTGCCGCACAAGTGGATCCTCGCCTCGTCACTGCCTTGCGCCATGCACGTTATGGCAAATTCGTTTACGGAAGGGAAACCGGGATAGAGCCTCTACTTGGTAGCATGTGCCGCGATTACGGATGGCCAGAGGAGTGGGGCAATCCGGCAAAGACAATCCCCGTGCCGTGCGAGATGGTGCACATGGGCTGCGGACCGAGCTGTGAGAGGCACGCGTGGAGTCGCTTTGTCCGAGCTTGGTCTTTCGCTGCTCGCATGTATATGCCTCTGCAACTGCTTGTCCTGATCAGACGAGTGCGGAAAGGTGGCGGATCCACAAGGTCCCTGGCCGATGGCTTTGTGCGTGCCTTGCTGGATGGAAGCAGATCGTCCGCCTTCCTCGGCGCTTTCGTCTCCCTGTTCTATTACGGGGTATGTCTTGCTCGCACACGCTTGGGCCCTCGCATTTTTTCGTCCAAGACAATTACGCCTCAGATGTGGGATGGCGGCTTATGCGTCCTGGCTGGCTGTCTGCTCTGCGGCTGGAGCGTGCTTTTCGAGAAGGTACAGAGGCGGACGGAGATTTTGTTCTTCGTGCTTCCGAGGGCGGCAGCGGTATGGTTCCCGAGAAGATACTTGAAGACGGTGAGTGCATTCAAAGCCATTGCCATTGCCTTTGCCGAACCCTTTCCTCGCAACAGTTTGCTGTACAGTGCTGACATCTTCATGGCGCAGAATCAATGGCGAGAACATGTGGCGTTTGCTCTCAGTGCTGCCGTCATACTCACAGCTGCTCAGGAGCGCCCTGAACGGGTGAGGGGTGTGTTCGGAAAGCTTCTGGGCAGTGTGGTCAATACCAAGGCATAGTCAACTGTTACTTTCCAATGGTCATGTGTATAGTCGAAGTGCGAGGGAAGGAGGCGTTTTGAGGAATCCGTAAGCCCTTTGATGAGAGCATGCACATGGGGTTTATATAGATGGTTGTACATACCAACCGCATTGGAAATGGACTCTCCACGAGCAGTGAACGGTCTATAGAATACAAGAAAACTCGATTGGTGTGACTGAACATTAACCGCGCAGTCTCCCTACGCGGACGCATGAATGCTTCGCAACACTCGTCGGGTCCGCGGTGTGCGCAACAACGGAAATGGGATATTTGATGTTGATATATTCGTTGGTGGGGTGGATATCGTTTCGGCTTCTGGCATCATCCGCTGTCGACCGAGACGTGATGATATACCGACATGTGTGACGGGACGAGATTGTATAAATAGATATTCGTGGGCCCAAGTAGGGCAGCGGGTAAAGCTAAAGAAGCGGCGACAAATGAAGGGCCTGGGGTTTTACCTAGTCGGTTTAGGCACCCAAAAATGTCTTATAAAATTACCACATTTGGATTGGCGTATCATGACCGATGAGATCAGACGACGAGACAGGAGGACGTGGAGCGAGACGCGGCGTGATCATCACACCACCTGGGGACGGATCGTTACCCAGCTGTCAAGCGGAAGTGTCTACTTTGTCCACTGCTCCAGGTCGGTGACGACTGGTTGAAACAATGTGATGAAGCAGCAGAATGGCGGGTCGGGAAGCACGTGGACACGACTTTCCCGATTGCAGGGCGCATCAAGTAGTCGGGGCAAGATCCAGGATGGAGTGGCAACGATAGTGACCGAAGCATACTACTTGTCTTTCCTCCCTTCACTCAGGGGGAACTTCTGGCCCTTCGGTGCAGTGACGAGCAGGGTGGCCAGGACCAGGTGGGACGACGCTAAAGTAGTGCCTGATCGGCAGAACGACAACGATAGAGAACAAGGGTATACGCGGCCGAAGAGGAGTTTCTGATACTAACCGCCGTTGATAAAGCCGATGCGGCCCGCCGACCTCTCGTCTTGACGCGTTACTGGATTCCGTGGCTGTGCAAGAAACCCATCTGTTAGCGAGGTTAAATACGAAATGCGCTACCGATGGTGTAACAACGGCAGACATGGTAAAAAGGCAATGACAAAATCTGCGGGGAAATCAAGCTAGCTGCAGCACGGCGATCTTCTCGAAACGCGGGGAAAGCGAGCGACGGTAAATTGACTCGACACTTGTGAATTTTAGAAGGACTGTCGGTTGATCGATGAAGTCATTTTGGCTGACTGGAAACGATCGGATTGGCTGCATGCTCTTCCAACGTGCATGCTTCTCTCAAGGGAAATTGGGACAAGGTACATGGATAGCCGAGGTTTGGTCTTCGGGCGTTTACTATGGTACAGTATTCTGCAGCCTACCGTGGTTGCCGCTGAGGTACTAACTAGCTACGATGCACGTAATCCAATCGTATCCACTACTGTTCTGACCATACCTTCCCATGTCTTCCAGTTGCTTAAATCCACGAACACAACCCAGTTCGCCAAGCACTTCGCGTCGACATTGATGGCTTTATTTAGAAGGTCGTTCAGCCGATATATGCAGAATGTTATCAGGCACGAGGTCTCTGGCGTTGGCGGCACTTGGATCGAGTACTTCCTCATCATCAATGTCGTCGGAGACGGGATACGGAGGTCCGTACCAAAAAGCCTCATCCGCGCTCTATGTTTGGATGCCTTGCACTTGCGAAACACGAACTCAATACCTTAGTATCCAAACTTTCTCTATAAGGCTTGTCGGAGATGTTTCGCAACTTTCTTCAGGAAGGACAGAACCACCACATGCCAGTTTAGAGTTCCACTGGCCTTCCGGGTCTTACGTACGATAATAAATCCTCCAGAGCAGAAAAGACCCAGTTCTGCCAACGACCGTAAAACAGGCAGGTGAATGGAGTCCTTTGAGGTGGCTTCAGAAAAAAGCCGGGTGGTGTTGCCGCGGGAGTCAGCAACCCGACTCGGTGAGATCATACAACGTCGTGCATGAGACCCAAGAACCTTGAATATGAGGATCTGTGCAAAGCTTGGCATAACCCCCTAGCAAGAGCTCCTTTAGACCGGGTTATCATCACACCATCGATAGAATCCATCCTTGACAGGGGAATTCTTGTAGACGTCCAAGATGACTTGGTTCAATATGCCTGCTGGACCAACAAGCCTCACCCGAGCTTCGTGTCTCGTGAGAGTACCAAGATCGGCTCGCATTCGGGTCGCTGGTGTTCTTTTGGCTCACAATCATGCGGCTCTGCGACGAGACCCTAATGTCCCACAAAGGGTCTAAGCCCTTGGTCAGTCGAGACAATGCGCTCGGGGATTACCCCACTGGCGCTCGGGTACAGAGGGAGGTCTGTGTGGAACGGCGCCAAGGTTCCGCTCAGTCGCCTCTAGACCCATCGGTAAGTTGCTCCGAATGAAGGACTGCGACTGCGGCATACTTCGGTATCGAGACAGAATGGGCTTGACTCAGAAACGTGCGGCATTTTCTCTGGTTTCCAGGGGATGCAAAGCGGATCGAAGGCCAAAGATTCCGGCGTTCCAATATTTCTTCAAGTGTCATCGAGAAAACTGGCATGACGAATGCCTTTCACCTCCTCAGCAAGTCTTTGAGGTAGATGTCAGGAGCCGCTTCCAGGCGTACATAGAAGCCAGGTTCGATCGCAATATCGTGCGACATGGAAGTCTTGAGAGAATCATTGAGCAAGCTTCAGATACGCTGAGCGGCGTTCATGACCGCTCGGAGGGTCGAATGGTGGAATGTGCAATCTTCACTGGCCCTGCGCGGCGCTGCAGGTCATGTCTGTTTTGAAGAGACATGAAGTCACCAGTGGATGATCAGTAACTCTTCCACCGCAAGCAGAGGACGGCTTATCAAATCGTACACATTTGTGGAACCCAGTTCAATCTAGAGTTCGAGTGCACCGTCAGACGTTTGACTGCGGTTTACCGGCGACTGGAACGCATAGAGCAGCAACCATCGCACGCCCTCTTGATAGGCCTCCAGGAAACTGTCAGCCGCCTCAAGTGGCAACACTCACGGCTTACGACCACCTGCACTCCGGCTCCGCTGTGGCTTTTCTCTCTCTCTCTCTCTCTCTCGGCCCATGCTCTTCAGCAGCTCTATCCGGCCATGATAGCCTCCGACGCTCTTTCTTGGGTTCGTGTCATGGGCGATGATGACCAAGACGGCAGAAGTGATCAAAGGAGCACAAGACAGCAGGATCACATACTATAGAGCATTCGAGAGGAAACGGCAAGGGCTGACAAGCTGGAGAAGAGAAACGAGGGTGATGGAGATGGTGAAGCGACCCGCAATGAATCCTCTGGCCGGATAAGGTTTTCCCACGCTCTTCGGAGAGGCGCACGCCTCGGCGAGAGCCATCAAGGCTCAGATGGTGAGTGTTTGCCGGGTGGATGAGAGAGGGGGAAAGGGGAGAATAGGTAAGATGATCCGGAGGTCGCGGGAGTGCAAGCGCCGAGGCCGAGGCGACGGCGGAAGCGACGAGGGGTGAGGGCTCGGTTGACGTCAAGCAGAGCGATGAGGTTGAGCGATTCTTTCGAGTCGTGTGCGACGTTGGAAGTTGGGCGGAAATAAACGCGGGTCAGGGGAGTGCATGTTCTCGTGAGGCCTGGCGACAGAGCAAGAGAGCGCATCAATGCCGCATCGGGCAGTTGCTCGTTTCGGCGGGCGCACGGCGGGCGCACGGCGGGCGCACGGCGGGGCGGGGCCAGCTCCGACGGGGTCCAAATGTGCAGGAACGTTGCGAGGAGCATGGGGATTTGCAAATGGCCATGGCGGTCGCGAGCGCCTGCCACTGCCGCGCCCATCGCACCCAACGCGTCCCGGGCCCATGGCCGCACCACCCTCGCGCCTCGCGCCTCGCGCTTCGCTCCTCGCTGCTCGCCGAGCTCCACTTCACGAACGCCTTATTTCCGGCCCGCGTGCCAGCTTCCGCCTGACGTCACCAGAGAGACCAGACACCACACCGGCCTTTGGCGATTCAGACATCGCAACCGCTCTGTGCCCCCGGCCCGTGACGTGTCATGCCCAGGGCCAACCTTCGGATGCTGCACCCGCCGCTGCTGCTGCTGCTCATGGCGCAGGTGGTCGGCCTGCAACCGCGCCGCCGCGCCGCCGCGACGCCGTCCAGCACCATCGCGAAGCCAGCCGCCAAAGCGGTGAATGAAGGAAGCGCCCAAGGACGAGTGTCGTCGGATTTGGCTCATGTCCGATGCGGACATAAAGAGGGAGGCCGGCGACTCAGGCGCAATGCCTCTAGCTCCCCTTACCCGCGCTTCGAATCATGTCCAGACGTTGAACCTCGCAGCTGCTGCCCAAGGAGAGCCCACGCCGGTTGGCACTGACGTCGCCTGCCGCCAGCGTGCCCCGGCCAAGCAGAAAAAAAAGAAACGCAGAGGAAGAGCAAGGACGACGTTGAGTCATGGGCCCGCTGTCGTCCATTACCACCGCACAACGACTCAATCACCGACGTCTGGAGCACGCTCCCTGAATCATTTCACGCCCTGCGCTACCACGTACCACGCATCCACTCCCGCCCCGGGCGCCCCCCGACATGCTCGTTTCGATCCTTCGCCGAGCTGGCCGGCCCAGCGCCACTCGAGCCCGGAAAACGACAGGCAGATGTCGGCTATTACTGTAAGAAGCTCTTGACACCATGCAGCGACAGAAAGCTGCGTTCCCAACAAGCGAGCGACTGCACAGCCAGAAGGGGGCGCTTTTGGGCAGATCGCTCGGCGGGATGGCGTCATCTGCCGAGACAACCTCGAGCGTGTTCCCTCTCGCCGACTCGGGAGATCCACGACTCGGACTGTGACGGGGTGGCCCAAGGAGGCGTGGGCGGAGCAGGAGAGGTGACGCCCGCCACGCCACGACGAATACGAATCGTGCTCAGACGTCAGAAGTTGTGCGGCTGGCGACGAAAGCCCAGACGAAATAGTAAGCCAGAGGCATGCACCCACCTGGCTACGGGCCCATCAGCCGTGCTTTGCAGCTGCTAGTGACGCGGCGCCACCTAGAGCCGCTCCAATTCGACTCAGTGCGACGTTGGAAGTTGTCGCTTCGCGTTGCCATGCTCCTCCAGACATGCCGCACGGTGGCGCCGCCTCGCTGCTTTGCAGCTCCACCCACTGCCGTCTGCAGATGCCTCAACGCACGAGCTGCTGCTGCCGATTCAACCGTAAATTGGTCATCGAATTGGGAATGACGACTCGCTGCGAAGTTCGACTCATGTCCCCTACGCTGGGCCTGTCCGAAACGAGAGAGTGACCCGCGCTTTCACAAACCGCTGTCAATCATGTCTACACAGTACGTGCCACTGATTCGAGAAGGCTGCGGGTGAGGCAAGAGTCGAGCGCCGGTAGTCCGGCCAGAGCAAGGGTTCCGGGCCTCGAGCCATTCCTGGCCTTACGCGTTGGTCGCGAGCAGGGCGTACTGCAATCTTTCCAAAACGGGAAACGATTTCGAGGGCGGAAATGGGCCGCGCTCCGCTGTTTCTTAGCTGCGCGGAGAAACGCAGACACTACTGTGCCGCCGTACCGAGGCATGCCGTCGTGCTTCGCCACGATCGATTCAGTTCAGACGTTCGAAGGACCACTGCTGCTACTTCTCCGAACAATCGGTGCGGTTGGGGTACGTGCCAACCATTGGCGGGTGCAAAGCTGCGAGTGCCTCTGCCATCCCGGCGACTCAGATCCGACGTCTGAACTTGCACTCGGCAGCAGCCCCATCGGCTCCCTTCACATGCAGACGACCCGTCGGGAACCCTGTATTGCGGGCCCCGGTCGTTGCCCCAGCGCAGCATCAAAAGCTATGATTTGCGCCGGGCCTTTCGGCATGCAGCCAGCCGCAGGTGCCACCTGCTCACCTGCTGTCGGGCCTCCTGCCGGAGCACTGCCGCAACGAGGCTGAAATGCACCTGCAATGTTGACAAAACGTCGACAATGCGACTCATTCCGACGTTCGAACTTCGTTGCTTGATCCACCTTGCCGCACAGCTAAACCATTCCTTCGGGGCCTCCATCTACCGCGTTCCGTTGCCGTCGCTCCACATGGTTTAGCTACAGGTCCTATGGTGCCCATGACTTGCATCACCGACTCGTTCAGACGTTCGAACTTCATCCCTTGAATCCTACCGCACACATCATTAGGGCTGGCAATGCTTGTTTTCCCTACTTCCGAAATCATCGTCTGTTCACCCATGGCACGGTGATGCTGTGGAGTTTAGTGCTGTCTGATCGACTGCCAGTTCGAGTCGTCCAGACGTTCGAACTTCGCGCCCTCTACCCTACTCCTCGCCAATCACAACATCTTGTCACCAATGGCAACACACTAGAGACATCCTGTGGATCATTCTTTGCACAATGTTCCCCACCCCCTACTGAAGGCGAGTCGTCCAGACGTACGAAGGTCGACATTGCAGCTGTTCACGGTCCATTCGTGCCAGCAAGTGTGCCAATCGCCAACCCGCTAATACATGTTCCCAGGTACAGCGTGATGTTACTACTCCTGCCCCCAAGGATAGTTGAGAACCGTCTGTCCGCGCTGCCAAACAGCCCACTCCGCATCCTCTTATTCAATACCCGAATATCACCGCAATTGCTCCTCACTGTCGCCATCAACCGCTACAGCCAACAGCCGTGTGATGAAGCTCACTGCTGGTGGGCGATTAGTATTCACATCCCTCAGCACTAGTCATTGCGACGTCCGATCTTTGTGCGACGCTTGGTGATCCTCCAGGAAATAAAAACTAAAGGCCTGGACTCTCGCCCCCGGCAAACACCAACATCAGCAAAAGATCCGCTAACCGGCCCTTGCACGCTCTCATCTCGGCGATGATGAAACGGCGCTCCCGCCTCCCAGACCGCTAATAGGCATGGAAGCTGGGCGGCAACCAGACGCAAGAGCTCTCGCAGACTGCAGTTGGCATATCTTGTTCGCCGGAAGGGGATGCTGTATTATCACAATGCAGCTCAGATTGTCTTGTTCAATTATTCATTGAAGGAAAACAGGAAGCCCGGTGAAGTTGTTAGAAGGTCGGAGCCGAACATCGGAGCTTCCGTGCAGCTCACACGCCCTTTACTATTTGCAGATAGTGTTGGGTGGAATAGCACCCTTCCTTACCCCCCGCCTCACCCGCCCCCGGGCGGCGGTCACGTTCTGATTCATTCAGACGTCCGAAGTTGAAGAAGCACCTACCTTCCCGGGTGCAGTTGTCTGACAGGCACCAGCCCACTGCGCAAAAGGCACACCAGGATGGCCAACAGTATGAGGACCCACTACTCGTCGGTGATGACACATGCCCTTTTATTATTGCGGCGAGAAGCAATGCGAAGCCTACGCCACAAAAGCATAAAAAAAGAGGGCCGATTCCCCCCACCACCACCGCGGCTACCTTCGGCATGCAAAAATGGGCTGTTGTCTAATCTAGGCCTTCGGTCTTTGTGCGTTTCTTCTCTCGCGATGGCAGCAAAAAAAAAAAAAATAGAGATCAAGCACAGCAGGTGGTGGCGCAGTTCAATGAAATTTTGCTTGACACGCCACAAAATCGGAGAACAGGGGGAAGGAGGCAGGATGGCCCTTACCTTCAATTATTGAAACGCCACCGCACCGAGCTCCGTAACAAGGTGCGAGCCACCGCAAGTGAGAGAAAAAAAAAACACGAATACGCCCTCTTCGATACGGATACGTCGCAAAAGCTCGTAGGGATGGAGAACCTCGCACCTTGCAAGTATGGCAAGACAAGGGGTCCCCACATTACCCTTTCTGTACTGCATGGCATTCTTTTGTAGGATCATGCAGATTCTTATGCTACTAGATTACTACCATTTTTGGTGGCAAACGTGAAGTACGCGTTGTGGAGATGGGGGGGTATGACGTATATTGATTGCATGAAGCTTGGCGTGATCGTCGTCGCGCCTCAGGGTTGTCTCTTCTCTCGCTTGTTGGTTGAAGACTGCCACCACCGCATTGTGGCATCCCAGGGAAAAAAAATTGGAAACGTGATGATGATGATGATGATGAGCTTGGAACGTGCATAGAAGGAAAAAAAATAATAAAATAGGGCGGAGGGAACACCGGGTCGATGTCGGTTCATCGGTTGCTGTTTCCGTGCCCCTTCATCAGATGGGCTTTGCCCAAAACTTTAACGCCAGAACAAAAAGAACGCCGACGCTTTCGTTTCCAACGGCCACTATACGATTTTTTTCGCCCAGACTTTTCGCTGAACAGATCCAAGAGAAAAACGATGAGCCCGTAGAAATGCTTTGGGCTCTGACAGTTTGGGTATCGTTGCCATGTCTCTTTCCCCCCTTCCAAAAGAGTACTGCGGCCGTCGCGAGATGAGGAATGCTGAACCACACAGCATGAGAACAAGAAAAAGAAACAGGTCCGAAAGTCGCGTCGCGTCGCGTCACGTCCGGCTTCGCTCAATCAGTACCCTCTCGGTCGAGGATAGTGCGGGATTCGTCGTCGCCGCTCATCATAGCTGGGACCCTCGGTCGTGTGGGAGGGGCCGGCCATGAGCCCAGAGCGCGGCGGGGACAAGCTGCCGCGGCCGTTCAGCTCCTTGTACTCGGCGTCGTCGATGATGCGCTTCTGCCACAGGTAGCGGAACAGCTTGAAGTCCGGCCGCGACGTGGCGAGGGTGGCGCCCATGCGGACGTGGGCGGCGAGGTGGCTCATCCGCGCGTCCCACGCCGCGGCGCCGTCGGCGCCGTCGAAGCCCCACTGGTCGCAGAGCGGGCACGTCACGGAGCGCGGCGGGGGGTTGCCGTGGAAGTGGCAGAGGTTGTGCAGCCGCCAGTCGGCCTCGTCGCGGGTCCAGAAGCGGCAGGCGAGGAAGTGGAAGGTGCACTCGTACACGGGCGTCGTCGCGGGCGGCGGCTGCACCAGCACGCCGTCGGCGTCGGGCTCCAGCAGGCGCACGCCCTGCACGATCTTGCCGTACTCGGTGTCGACCGACGACGACTCGGCGCACGAGGTGCGGTCGTCGTGGATGAGCGAGGGCGGGCCGCCGGCGCGCGACGACGAGTAGGCCGAGGCCGAGGCGACGGTCGACGGGGCGCGGTTGTGGACCTGCGGCGGGGGCGGTGCCTGCGACGGCGCCATGGAGCTCTTGCTGAGCGTGATGGAGGTGGCGTACGGGTATTGGTGGTCGACTTCGCCGGCTGAGGCGGCGAAGCCCAGGAGCGGTTCGTTGTGGGAAGGCTGCGGCAAGGAGTAATTGGTAGCGATGCGCTCCGTGAATCCGGCGCTGCCCTCCTGCCAGGCGTCGATTGGGGGCCGGTACGACCGCGCATCGTCCTGCAGATAGGCATCCAGCGACGGTCCGCGGTGCTGCGCGTCGGATCGGCGGCGGCTTTGCGACGAGGCTGATGCGGCGCTGGATCCCACCGTGCCGCTGGAAGCGGGGCTGCTGAACATGTAGCTCACTGTTTGTGTCCTCTCAGCCTTATGTCGCCGGGCGAATCGGGGCGGGAGTGCTTACTTGTTTCGGCGACCGCCTGAATCCTTCCCCAGGGCGGCGCGGGAGTTTGCTGGTGGAGGACTGCGACGATCTGCGGCGGTGCCGTCTGCCACAAAGTCGGCTGGCTGCGTCGCGGACGGCGGTGCTGGCGGCGCGCTGGAGCGACGGGGGGGGATTTATGGCCGGGAACGGACACTCCGCGAGTCTGCTTTTATACCGCCTTCACATGGTGCGGCCGCCAGCGAGTGGGAGTCGGCCGTGACGCGGGACTGGGAGGCAATGCGGCTCTGCGACCGGCCTGCTGGGGAGAGCGGTGCCGTTGGTTTGACAGCCCGCTTGGGGACGCGCTGCTTTTCCCCGCTTCTGACGATCGCGCGCATGGGTCTTGATGAATCACAGCCCGCCCAGACCTGCGCCATCGAGCAGCGTCGCCCGTCCCCAAGGTGCAGCTATCGCAGCCCCTCTCCATGCCGTGGCTCCCGCTCTGCATCCGCCTCTCCTTATCAGGGGCGAGAGTCGCGCGCCGCCGGATGCGAAATGTCGGTGACAGCTTCGGCTCCGCGAGGCCCGGCGTGTGGGGTTTCTCTCGCACCCCAACACCTGATTGCCCGAGTCCCTACTTCTTTCGCGAGCCGTGAGCCCGCGCTGTGGAGACGACCGTCGTTCCCGCCGACCCTGACCGGTCCCAATTGGACATGTTTGGCGGCGGCCGTCAGGAACGCACATCCGTTCTTTGGACTGCCCCTCGGCCATTGCAGGTGACACCACGCTGACAGCCACACGGCGTGGTCATGGCGATGCAGTGCCACCAGCACCTTCACTCGTCGTCGAAGCAAGAACAGGGATCGACTCGGAAACTTGTCATCATAACTTTGTACCAACGGCCAAGCCAGTGCCGCTGCTCACTATGCAACTCAATAGAGACCGTCAGGTAATGTACAGAGAACCTCCCCACCACGTGCGTGTCCCCGCTCCCGCGTGCGATTATGTATGAAAAACATCCGAATGACCTTTGTAGGGCGTGCGTAAAAGAACCAAGGGCGGCAACAGCCACAAGCTTGAACGATGATATGCAGTAGCGAAGCATTAGAAAGAGCATTTGCGCGACAGAGCAGACCATGAAACTGTCAAAACCTCCGCCAGTGAAACAAGACGCAGTGGTTTGCAGGACTAAGCGGGAATATGCGACCCTTTGCTCCAACAGGCAACCAACCGGCAGAGCAAAAAGAGAGCCGCGGAAAGAGACTCGAGAGTATGATGATCGGACTAACGCCGCGCTGACGGAAGAACTTGGAGAGCTTTATCGAAATCAGAACAGACCCATGTGCACAACAAAACGCCCGCGGACAACCGGTTATGCGCAACAAACAGCGCCATCCCTCCCCCACCGTCTCGCCGAAAAGCATGAGATAATCCTTTCCTACTGTACCCAAGATGAACAAGGAACATGAGCCTAGCAGGCAACAACTCCAGACCGCCCAGAGCAGCCGCTTCACCGCGTGTCGATGCCTCGGGCTGCAGGCTTGGGGGTATAAGGTATCAAGGCCGGCCTGGAAAAACAGCATCGCCTCCGCTGTTCACGTCGAAGCCGCCCCTCTTTGCACTCTAACTCCGTTCTTCCGAATCCATAATCGTCACATCGTCTCGGTCGAGCCCATTAAGACGCTGGCATCGTCATCATCCCTGCTGTATTCCTCAACCAGGGTTGCCTTTGATTCGCTTGTTGTTGTTCGGCATTCTGGGGCTTGGCTTAACCTTTGCCGTTGGTGCTCCGTCAGGACCATCGTCGGCATCAACACCACCCTTGACTGTGCTGCGTCGTCGCTTGTTACTCACATTAGGACTAGTGTTGGCACTCGCTCCTGCGCTGTTGTTGCCTTGCTGGCTGTGCTGAGCCACAAGGCTGGGCGTTTGCATGTGTGCTTGCGCCGGCGAGGGCGTATGAGTCTGACCGACGAGGTGCGGGGACCCGTTGACCGCAGGATTCAGGCCGCCAGGGAACTGCTGAAGGTTGGCTATGTGCGGAGACATGAACTGTGGGTTGGGAGGGTGCGGTTGGACGTTGGGATTTCCGACGGCCATGTTCTGTGGTGTCCTGGCTCCTGGTGCACTGTTCGGTGTAGGCACCCCGGGCGGGAGGTTGATCTGGGGCTGACCCGGTACGCCTTGCTGCTGTGGTGGTGGCCCCTGTTGGTGCTGATTTGGCTGCATTGGATTACCCGGGGCCATGCCTCCCTGGTTCTGCTGCTGGATGTTGAGGTTGGCAACCAGGCTATTCATAGCCTGAGAAGGAGTATGGCCCGGGTTCGCGTGGTAGTGAGCGAACAGTTCCTGCATGTTCGAAAGTGTCTCGCCAACCTGCCGACGGATCAGCTCCAAGGTCCATGGCTGCACCAGCACTAGCCCTACCTACCTCGAGGAACTGGAGCACCGGGTTTGTGACACCCCAGGTTGACACCGGTGCTTCCGGAAGCTCCGAGAAAAGCATTGTAGGCTCGGCATTTTGCATGCGTGGATTCCTCTGGTTGGGAGGATTCTTCTTGCTCATCTTGGGCGACATGTTTTGCTGGGGCGATCTCAGCTGGAAAAGGCCTTCCAAAGAATTCCGCGGCAGATACTGCTGGTGATCGTGCGTCTCAAAGATGAGAAGGTTGATCTTGTCCTCGCGATCAAACATCGCGCTGAGCTTTCCATTTTGCACCAGCTGTACGTTGATTAGCCGTTGTTCAAGACGGGTATACGCAACACCAACTGACCTGAGTCCCGTTCTTGAACCAGTAGATGAACTTCGCCCGGTTACTTTCCACGTAATGACAGTTGTTTCCAAACTCTTTCTCAGTAATGCCGTCCATGGTGAGCTGTATGTTCTGAACACCGCTTTGGAATTGCGTGAAGTAATAACGAGGCAATGCAGGGTTGCAGATTTCAAAGTTCTTGGACTTCTGGGCTTGAGGTGCGTAATCTAGCAACGTCTGCTTGAAGATACCATCTTCAGAGAAGAAACGCGCGACAAACGATTTCCAATGAGTAATGTCGTTTTGCTGCCGATCCGCCTTGGCATTGTCAGTTGAGAAGCAAGAGCACACACGGTGGTACTTACGGAGAAACGGCTGAGATTGTCTGCCAGACTGAGCAGCTTGAGGATAGTAATGCCATACATCCTGTTCTGCGCTTGAGCATGAACCTGAGCCGCCTGAGCTTGAGCCTGGGCCCGCTGTTGCATCATCTGCTGCTGAGCAGCCATTTGCTGGCGTTGCTGTTGCTGCTGCTGCATTGCCTGTTGCGAATTTTGAGGCGGTTGCTGTTGCTGTTGCGGTTGCTGCTGCTGCTGCTGCTGCTGCTGCTGCTGTTGCTGTTGTTGTTGTTGCTGCTGCTGCTGCGGCTGTGGTGGCTGGGGTGGTTGTTGTTGCGGCGGCTGCGGTTGCGGCTGTTGCGGAGGAGGCGGACCTGGTGGCGGCGGGCCCTGCTGTACAGGAGTCGGTGCCTGCGCCGGTGGCGGATGGGGCTGTGATTGGGTCTGCTGCGGTGTATGATGTTGGCTAGGCGGTGCAGGAGAGGAATGCGCTTCATGTCCAGGCGGCATCCCCGGAGGTTGAGGCCTCATCTGCCCCGGCTGCCCTGGCGGCGGCTGCTGATTCTGCGGCCCGCCTTGACCAGGGTTGCTCTGTTGCGAAGCGGCATGCTGCATGGCCGTGTGGTGCTGAGCCATGAGCTGCTGCTGCTGAGCCTGTTGCTGAGCCTGCTGTTGCGCAGCATGCTGCTGTTGCTGCATTTGGTTTTGACTAAGTTGTGCGCGTATATGCGGCGGCAGGTTGACTTGGAGCCCCTGCGGGTTGCCCTGCATTGCAGCCATTTGCTGAGGGGTCATTCCCTGGTTTCCACCATGCGGGAACCCCATCATTCCATTCTGTTGTTGTTGCTGCTGCTGTTGCATCATCTGCTGGTGCTGCTGCTGCTGACGCAGCATTGCCTGGCGCTGTTGGGCCTGCATGGCAAGGGCGGGGTTTTGCGCGACTGAGTCCTTCAGGATCAGTACACGAAGCAAGTTGGAAGCGATTGAGGACGGGACTTACACATTTGTTGCTGCTGCTGTTGGAACATATGGGCTTGGGGAGTAAGGTGCGAGAGCGCGTGTGCACTCGGACCCGGACCGCCCATGCCTGGCTGCATGCCCATCATCGGCCCAGCTTGAGAGACATGAGGTCCATTCGGACCAGAGACTCCCGGATGCATTTGCATTGGCTGTCCTCCCATAGGCTGACCAGGATTCGGTCCTGGCCCAGGACCCATGGGGTGACCATGTGGGATGCCAGGCTGCTGGATACCACCAGGATGATGAGGATATGCGCTAGCCATCATCTTGAATTACAGATCGACTGGCAGCGATCTGTCTCCCGTGGCCCCAGGAGAGCGAGCTCCCAACCGGAACGGGGCCTTTCCACAGGAAGCCTTGTCTCGGAACCTGCGCGAGAGAAGCGCGCGCTTTGCAGAAGAGTTGGCGATAGAGGCACGATGGGCCTGTTCTCACGCTGACCAAGACGGTATCCACGTATGTGATAGCGGTCGCGTGAAGTAGAGTGGGTCCGGGGTGTGGGGTATGGCGGCGCGACGCACGACTGACAACAACGCACGCAGAGTGAGGCAACTAGGGGCGCGTGTCGGTGGGCGAGGGCGTGTCTTTACCGCCGAAAGTGGTGTCGTGGGTAGTGTCAGGGTATCACGGCGCAGCGGCAAGTGCCGGGGCTGACTTGCGATCGGAGTCACCAGGTGACTGCTGAAATGGACCCCAATGCGCAACAGCTAGCGACGCGCGGGCGGACGTCGCTGATGCTATTCTCGGGGTTTGTGAGGACGTTGCAGGCGGACAACACGTCGGGAGGCGCGCATGCGCAGACGGGAGGTTGGGCGCGCGCAGGGCACGAACGAGCGTGATTGCAGAGCGCAATGGATGCGAGGTGCCGGATCACAGAGTGATAAGGGACAGCGACGCCATATCAAGGCGGTCCGGGGGGGTCGCAGGAGCCGGTTTGGGGACGATGCGGTCGGGGAGATGATGGGCTGGTCGACGTTGTGGTGTCGAACGTTGGCAGCAGTCCTGGGGCGGTCGCGGTCGCCCCCAAGGCGGCTTAGCGGATTAGCGCCGAGAAGGTTTCTCCGAGCCCTGCTTAAGCTTCGCGCCAGCCATGTGCTTCCCGCTCCTCGCCCGCCAGACGCGCAGCGTACTCCGCGGCACTTCTACAGGGAGTGTGGCTGCATCCGCGCTTGGGGTCGGTGTGCCGCGTGTCTTGGTGTCCTCTTTGTTGCGTCGTACGGAGGTGATTGCCCCAACGCCAACACGCCAAGAATCCCCCGGCGCACGATACTGGTCCAACCCAACGGGTGCCAACCTGAGCACAACTCTCGACCTCTCGGCTCTTCCTGCTCCTTGCATGGCACCGGACACCATGTCGGAAACCCCCAAAATCCGCCGTGGGCAGCACCGCATTCTTAGGCGGACGATGAGGGGGGCATTGATTCCTGCTCCTTTGTCATCCTGCTCTGCCTACAATGACGGGACCCTGCACACACTAGGCTTGTGCCGACTTTGGGACCGGACGCCCGAAGACAGAAGTACACGGGATTTGCTACTATCACCTCACAGCAACCTGTCACGTCTGCTTTGACACCTCGTTGAACCATGGCTCTTCCACGCCTCAACGCTCTAGGGAATGGATTGCTGTAGAGGTACTGCTGTCCGTCCCACTGCCCGTTATGTCTTCTTTCCGCTCGCGCAACTCCACGAGGAGCGGCTAGCCGTGTGAAATTGACATGTTCCCGCCGAGCAGGGTGTCATAGGGGTCGTGTGTAGTGAGCTCAATTTGGTCCTGCCCTATGTGTGTACGTGTGTGTATGTGGAAGTAGAGGATTGGTATTTGCCATTCATCAAACTAACTCTGCGACAAAGCAAAGAAGATCACTGGTTAGACGGAACGCTGTATGGAGCTTGGCTACAGTTGTGACAGCATTACCGCCCTCGCGAGGTCTGCTCGTTTAACATCACGAGACGACATATACAAATAGAACGGCAGCTGGGGCTTTTGCTTAGGACGGGAGTGCACGAATCAAATGAGTGGTCGCAAGCACGTCCGGACGAGAAGATTTGACACTGCTGACTACGTCGCTATAGCAAGCAAGCAAACTGGCTCGTAAAGGCTGGTGCTAGACGGCTATCTGTGCAGCCGCCAGAGATGCAGAAGGGCACTTCCGCACATGTGGCCGCGCGGACTGTCTCCTGCACCCCCAGCGGTTGCGGCCTGACGGTTCGGGCGCCTATCGCGGGGCTTCGTTAATCCCAGACCGCTGCCCTGTGCGCGTCACCTGGACCTCCAACCCAACCTCGAGCTGCCAAGCTGCATAGCACGTCCGCCTCCACACCCCAGCTCCGATCGCAGGCCGTCTGCGTCCCCGACCGACCTCTCCAGACCTCCGCAGCTCCAGATACCCTGCAACTTCTCCCTCTCCTCCACCAGCAGCCATGGCGCCCGCTCCGGTCGATCCCCGCATGATGTCGGTCAAGCCTAGGATTCGTTACAACACCATCGGCGGTGTCAACGGTCCATTGGTCATCCTCGAGAATGTCTGTTCCCACCGTCTTATATTCTGCTTGGGCCTGCAGCTCATACGCGGGGAACACAGGTCAAGTTCCCGAAGTACAACGAGATCGTCGCTCTGACGCTGCCGGATGGCACTGAGCGGTCTGGCCAGGTTCTGGAAGCTAGAGGTAGGACTCAAGACTCAACCCCACGCAGATGGAAGAGCACTCGCTGATTGTTTGTTCCCACAGGCAACCGCGCCGTCGTCCAGGTATGCAGTTAGAGCCTGCTCGTCAACCGCATTGCTAACAAAGTGAAGGTCTTCGAGGGCACGTCTGGCATCGATGTCAAGAAGGTAGGCGCACCTCCCAGCCATCCAGCACGATACCGCGACTGATTAGCGTAGACCAAAGTCGAGTTCTCCGGACACAGTTTGAAGCTCGGCGTTTCTGAGGACATGCTGGGTCGTATTTTCGATGGTTCGGGTCGCGCCATCGACAAGGGCCCTAAGGTGCTGGCCGAGGACTACCTTGACATCAACGGTAGTCCCATCAACCCCTACTCCCGTGTATGTGCCCCATGACTGTACTCCCCAGAGGCCGGTGCTGACCGGACAAAACAGGTCTACCCCGAAGAGATGATTTCGACCGGTATCTCCGCCATCGACACCATGAACTCCATTGCTCGTGGACAGAAGATTCCCATTTTCTCCGCCGCCGGTCTTCCCCACAACGAAATCGCCGCACAGATTTGCAGACAGGCTAGTTTGGTCAAGCCGACAAAGGGCATCCACGATGATCACGAGGACAACTTCTCTATCGTTTTCGGCGCTATGGGTGTGAACTTGGAGACCAGCCGCTTTTTCACTCGCGACTTCGAGGAGAACGGCAGCATGGAGCGTGTCACGCTCTTCCTGAACTTGGCTAACGACCCCACGTAAGTCTGGAGTGGATGAACCGCTGTGTGAGCGATGCTGACCGATGACAGTATCGAGCGTATCATCACGCCTCGTCTGGCTCTTACCACTGCCGAATACTACGCCTACCAGCTCGAGAAGCACGTCCTGGTTATCTTGACCGATCTTTCCTCATACTGTGACGCGCTGCGTGAGGTTTCAGCCGCCCGTGAAGAAGTTCCTGGTCGTCGCGGTTACCCCGGTTACATGTACACGGATTTGTCCACCATCTATGAGCGTGCTGGACGTGTCGAGGGCAGGAACGGCTCCATCACCCAGATCCCCATTCTTACCATGCCCAACGATGGTTAGTGCATCACAACACTGAAGTTGAACGAAAGGCTGACCATGCGCGTCCCAGATATCACCCACCCCATCCCCGATCTGACTGGCTACATTACGGAGGGCCAGATCTTCGTTGACCGTCAACTAGACAACAAGGGTATCTACCCGCCGATCAACGTTCTGCCCTCCCTGTCGCGTCTCATGAAGTCTGCTATCGGCGAGAAGCACACTCGCAAGGATCATGGTGATGTTTCCAACCAAATGTACGCCAAGTACGCCATTGGTCGTGATGCTGCGGCCATGAAGGCAGTTGTCGGTGAGGAAGCTCTGTCGTCTGAGGATAAGCTGTCCCTTGAGTTCCTCGACAAGTTTGAGAGGACTTTCATCTCTCAGTCGCCCTATGAGTCGCGCACCATCTTCGAGTCCCTCGATCTGGCTTGGTCGCTGCTCCGTATTTTCCCTAAGGATCTGCTCAACCGTATCCCGGCCAAGGTTCTCGACGAGTTTTACCAGCGTCGCGCCGAGGAGAGGAAGCAGCGCCGCGGCAACAAGGACACTAGGGATAACGAGGCTGGGGCTGAAGAGCAGCAGCAGCAGCAGCAGCAGGGAGGTGAGGGCAACCTGGTTGATGTGTAGATCCTGAGGGTTGGAACTGTCGGGAGTGACGGAGAGTAAACAATTTGATGTGTAGAGTACGGCTGGTTTATGCATTTCTTTTTCTTGTTTGAACAGAGCGGTAGCTCCCGCTTGAAACGACTGTTGATATTTGATAGAAGTTAACAAAACATGCATCATTGCATTTCATCTCAGGTGCAAAATCGTGCTCCTAACACGGTGGATGGCGCAATGGTGTAGAATGACATTTCTCGACTACACATTGACGTCATTCACCTGCCGCTTTACAGATTTCGACGGCACCCAGACATATCTCGTAGTATAATGACAGTGCGTAACAGAAGATCGTGCCCTTCTGCGTCCGTGAGAGACACTATGGCCTCTACATGTGTAGTTGAGGCCCACCATCTGGACGCTTTAAAAGTATACAAAGGCATCCAGACGTAGGCTCTGGCTGCCCACTGATCTAGTGGAAAGCGAACCTCTAATGAAGAGGTTCGAGAGGAAGCCAAACTCTCTCACAGCACGTGATGGGACTGGGTAGCATTTATCGTCACACATCCGGCATCGGTGAAAGACACTGGAAAGCTCCGATTCTACGCTTCTGAACGGCAGAAAAGGGACGCATTGTGGCAAACGAGATCTCTCAGCTACGTTCACAACCTAGCTAAATAGGTATACAAGATGGGGGGTCCGTCTTTTCTTATGTCTCTTTTCGAAAATCGCGTTCCATCCTGCGACATCGGAGAGGAGGGCGGAGGGGTGTATTGCAGAGTGCGGGAGACAGAGAGAGATATTATTTACAGCTGGTCGCTGAGGAGCTTGTTCATGCGGGCCAGCTTGGCGGACACGCTAAGGTCGATGGTCCTGTCGCCAATCTCGACGACGAGACCGCCGCGAATGTCCGGGTTGACCTACACGTTGGGGATTAGTTTTCAGAGGGCAAGGAAGAGTGGTTTTCGTTGCGGGAGGCCGACGCACCTTGGGGACGACCTTGAGCTTCTTGCCCTGGGCGTAGGGGGACTTGGAGACGGCGGCCTCGAGGCGGTTGAGGACCTTGTTGTCAAGAGGCTGCAAGCCCGAGTCAGCCATTATTTCTACGTTGACCACGTCCTAGCCGTTCATCCGGATGTGTACCTGAGCGCTGGTGATGTTGAGCTCGACCTCGCCGCGGGAGGCGCTCATGAGCTGGGCGAACTTCTCGGTGATGGGTTGGAGCAGGCCGAGCCTGTTGTTCTCGGCAAGAGTCTCGAGGAAGTTCTTGACGACGCCGTCCTTGTCCGCAGAACCGACGATCTTGGACAGCTCGGCGACGATCTGCTTCTTGTCGGATACAGTCAGGGTCGGGGCGCCCAGGACCGCGGTGAGCTTCTCGTCCTTCTTGAAGACGTTGGCCAGGTTGTCGAGGGCCTTGGCGACGGGGTCGAGGGTGGAGCTCTTGGCGGCGGCGATGTACTGTTGGTTTTGCGATGATGGCCCGTCAGCGAGGTGCAATCTTGGACCAGTGTGCCTTCCCGTGCTCTGCGCCGACGTGATTTTCCTGCATTCCCTCAACCAGCTCCACCATGGCAATTCTTGGCCGGGTCATCTCGGCGGGTGGCCAATTCCTCGCAATTGACTCGGGTGGGACGCGGGAGACGTACCAGAGCGTTGGCGTAGGTGCCATCAACGCCGTACAGGGCGACGGGCGGCTTGACGGTCTTGGTGTCGGCAGCTTGGGCGTAGCTCCTCGCAGCGACGGCACGAGGGGCGACAGCAGGGCGCGCGACGCGGGGAGCGGCGGTACGCGCAGCGCGAGAGAGAGCCCGGGCGGAGAACATGATGGCGGACCTGCGGAGCGGAGATGGGGTCGGTTGGGGTTGGCGGTGGTTTGCTGCTGTTTGCAAGGGCTCCGATGGAGGTGCGAATGCCGGCGAAAAGGCTGATGACTTAGCATTGCCGGCCTTGGCGTGCGGGCGCCAAAAGAGTCGCCCGGCCCAACCCGCAACCCGCCCTCAACTCTGCTCCCGCTCCATGACCATCTCACCGCCGTCCGCTCGCAGCTGCGCCGCGTGACTGCAACCACGCTGCCACCACGCTGCGCGCATTATCAGATGACGGGGACATACACGCTCTTGTTTCCACGCCGATTTTACCGCCAGAAGTTGTCAACATGGTGCATTTCACTGAGGCTTTCGACATATCAGGCAATCTTGCAAGAGTCATATCATCATTAGACGCGTTGCAGGCACGGTACAGCCTGTCATCAATACACAGCTTCTACACTCTCCAGCGCCGAATCCAAGCGCCAGACATTCGTCTCGGCTGGCTGCTTTTTGCGACATCTATTTCTTCTCCTCGAACGGTGTCTCATAAGGGCGCTCCGCCTGAGGCGTGATGCGAGCGAGATGGCGTCGGTGTCCATCGTCCCAGTCCAAGATGGCAGTGTGAGCAGTGACGCGGTTGTCCCAGACAACCACAGTGCCGGGCTCCCATTTGAGACGGGCCTGGAAATCAGCGCCAGCGGCAACGTGGTCGAACAAAAACTTCAGCAACATGTCACTCTCCTCCTTCTTCAAGCCGACGATGCGACGCGTGAACTGTGCGTTGAGGAAGAGAGCCTTCTCGCCAGTGACGGGGTGCGTCCGGACGAGGGGGTGTTCGTGGGCAACAGGCGTGCGGCGGACGACGCCGCCGCGCGCGGCACTGGCCTCAGCCTGCTCGAATCCAGAGTGGATGGCCTTGAGACCGTGCAGCCTCTTCTGAAACTCGGGAGACAGACGGTTGTACGCTTCCACCATGCTTGCGAAGAGAGTGTCACCTCCCGCTTCGGGCCCGTCCAGAACATACAAGAAAGTTGTGCCTGGGGGCTGGGCCTCGAAGGTGACGTCCGAGTGCCATGTGATGGAGTTTGTCCTCTCTTGGAAATAATCTTTGGCAGTGGTCTCGTCGGCACTGCGGTGCACGAGATGGATCTCCGGGTACCCCTCGGGAGCACCGCTCGAAACGTGCATGTGGTGCCTTCCAAAGTAGCCACCGATATCCAATGCCTCTTGGATGGGCAAGTCGGCAAAGTCCTGGTCACGGAACGCTGTACTACTGTCAGCTCGTACATCTGGAATGAGCACCTGCGAGGCCTCTTACCGACTACCTTCCTTTGAGCAACGAAGAGCGCCAGCTCGTCCTTGGCCTTGTCGGAGAGCTTGCTCAGTTGCACACCCGTCACTTCGGAGCCAATCTTGGGTGCCACGGGCTTGTGCTGGCCAGTGGCGAAGAGGTGTGAGAGTGAAGGGTCAGCATCTTTGCCGTGCTCACAGTGCTCGAAGGGCTCAAGAGGCGGGTATCTGTCGAGCATTAGCGGACCGTGGTTAAAACGCAGCGTGTCACTTACGTCTTAGGGCTCCAGGTTGGCAGATAGTGCGGGTACTTGGCCGGCGGATGCTTCTCACTGCCCTTCTCCTCACTTTCTTTCTTATACGACCTTGGCCCATAGTTGAAAGCGACCTTGTAGTCCAACGGACCCCGCACGGGAGCCGGAGGAAGCACTGGCTGCTGCTGTTCAACTGCGACGGGAGCCATGTTTGAGCGAGGTCAAGGTAAGCTTTGACTCGGGAGCTCGAGAAGTTGTCATCACGGGCAGCGAGGGGACTCGGCAGCTTAAGTATATCGCGCAACCAAGGGTGGCAAAGCCTCGTCGGCCGACACCGACGAAAAGAGCGACGCTGCAGAAAGCGGGGTGGCTTGGGGCGTCTCATGAGATGGCTCGTGGACGAAGCATTCGAGGCAGGGCCCGGCGGACGCTGCCAATCAGGCGGATTTGCGATCGCACCATGCCGATGGGGTTTCCGTCATGATAGGCTTTCGATTGGGCGGATGCGATACTGCTGTAACTAACGAGTATCAGTGACCTGGACGGGAGCGGCGTGCGTAGGGGTGGTTTTTGACGCTGCTCAGCCGCGCCGGCGCACCAATCAGCAAGGCGGATTCGGGCGTCAGGCTGAGTAAATCAGTCGGTAACATTTCGGTGGGTATCCCTGATCCTGAAACGCAGCATGCGGCCATTGGTTGGTCAAGGCGGCGTGCCGAGCGCTGCATACGCAGCGGATTCGTGGTGTTGCACGCCAGCCCCTGGCCAAATCACGCAATGCCCTGGTCCCGGTCCCTGCACCTGGCCATGCTCCCCAGTCGGGCCCTCGAGACACAGATCGCCGAGGGTGCTCGAGCTCACCATGGCCCATTCTTCTGACGTGCTTGCGTGACGACGCGCATTGGCTGAGCATACTACTTGGACTGCAGCTTCCGCCCCGGCCAGCACGCTCCTCCCCTAACCTCTCTCGGCTTCTTTCTTTCTGTCTCCCTTTCTGTATCGGTCTTTTTGGCTTTCTGCCGAGCCCTGCCTGTCGCTGCCGCCATCATGGGCTTCTCCAAGGACCGGCGCCAGCACCGCCGGCAGCCGTCTTGGCTGCGGATAGCCACCGCAGGCAACAGCCCGTACGCAGGCAGCACGCGGAGCGAGCAGTCTCCCTGGTCGTCAACCCAGTACACGTTCGCTGCCGCAGAGGCGAGCGCGTTCGAGGACATGGCATCTCCCACCACGCTCGACGAGATTGGCTATGCGAAGAAGAATGACGGCTGGCTCGAGGAGGCCCCAGTTAATGCGGTGAAATCCGCCCCCACATTTGCTACTTCCGGGCTGGACAAGTACTATCGCCCCGTCGAGGGCTATGAGGGCATGCATCGCTACGACCCCGACTTTGAGTGGGAACCCGAGGAGGAACAGCGGGTTGTGCGCAAGGTATGTTTTCTACTGGGGCAAAGGCGGACTTGGGACATGGCGGTTGTTGCTCCGCTCGACGTACATGAAAGCAAAATGGATCACTGTTTCTGCAATGGCTGAATCTGTCCCACTGATGGTTGCAGATCGATAAGCGAATCTGCGCCTGGGTGTGTATCATGTTCTTTGCACTGCAGCTGGACCGAGGGAACATTGTCCAGGCCCTCTCGGACAACATGCTCGATGACTTGGGCCTCACCACCAACGACTACAACTACGGCCAGACCATCTTCTACATCAGCTTCCTCCTCGCCGAGCTGCCCTCTCAGCTCATCTCCAAGTGGATGGGCCCCGACCATTGGATCCCGCTCCAGATGGTCTCCTGGAGCGTCATTGCCAGCATGCAAGCCTTCATCTCCGGCCGCAAGTCGTTCTTCCTCACCCGCTGTCTTCTTGGCGCTCTCGAAGGCGGCTTCGTTCCCGAGCAGATCCTCTACCTGAGCTACTGGTACACCAGCTCCGAAATGCCCACCCGCCTCTCCTGGTTCTGGGTCTCCTCCAAGGCCACCGACATGTCCTCCGCTTTCATCGCCTACGTGCTGCTCCGCCTGCGCGGCTTCTTCGGCGCCGCTGGCTGGCAATGGCTCTTCTTCCTCGAAGGCCTGCTCACCGGTGTCATTGGCGTCTTGTCGTGGTACTACCTTCCGCCGGGACCAACCCAGACGGCCAGCCCATTCCGCGGCGAAGACGGATGGTTCACCCCACGCCAAGAGAAGATCATGGTCAACCGCGTGCTGCGCGACGACCCGTCCAAGGGCGACATGCACAACCGCCAGCCCATCACGCCGCAGATGCTGTGGGAGTGCCTGGCCGACTATCACATGTGGCCGCTGTACCTACTCGGGCTGACGGCCTTCGTGCCTCAGTACCCCATGACGGCGTACCTGACGCTGCAGCTGCGCGAAATCGGCTTCGACACCTTCGACACCAACCTGCTCGCCGTGCCACCCATGTGTCTGTACATCATCCAGCTCCTGTTCTGGACTTGGCTGTCCGAGAAGCTCAACGAGCGCTTCTTGCTGGCCACCGTAGGCCAGCTGTGGAGCTTGCCGCTTCTGCTCGCCTTGCTTGCGCTGCCCTTGGCTGCGCCGGCGGGGCTGCGCTACGTGCTCATTGCGTTCCTGGTCGGGTTTCCTTATGTGCATGCGGTGAGTATTTTAGCCCCTTTGAAACGTTCGGGGATGATGGCTGATGGCTGATGGCTTGATGTAGATCCTGGTGGCAAATACGAGCCGCAATGCAGGAACAGTGCGGACTCGGACAGTGGCATCGGCTCTGTACAACATGTGCGCTCAAGCTGACAATATCATCGGGTCGAATGTGAGCACAATCGCGTCTTTCTCTTGCTGCCTTCGAGCAGGCGTAGAGCTCTTGGCTGATAGAATGACCTTTAGATCTACCGCGAGGATGACAAGCCTCTATACCTCCGCGGCAACAAGGTTCTGATATTCTTCTGCATCTTCAACATCATTGTGTTTGTCGGCACAAAATATTTCTACGTGAATGTCAACCGGTAAATGGCCCGAACCTTCACCTGCTGCGAGCAAGCTAACGGAATATTCGCAGCGATCGTGAAGCCAAGTGGGATGCTATGAGCCACGACGACAAGGAGATTTACCTTGCCACAACCCGGGATAAAGGGAACAAACGCCTAGACTTCCGTTTCGCGCATTAGATACCTCTTGCATATTTCTTTTGTAGGCAGCGCCTCGTCAAATCAACATCTTCTTTTCTTTCGTTCAGGTATCCAGGCATGGAGACTGACCTTCTCACAACACATCTCAACGTGTCCATCGTTTGCACCGTGAACGGCACCGAAAGAAGAGAAAATCAAACACAACGACGAACACACATCAATATACCGCGCCGACCTGGTTCTGGCTCGGCTTCTGATTCCCGGTGCCAAATGTTATCTTATCACCATAGCCCCATCTCCACAGGTCTAGGAAACAGTTCCCTTTCTGAACGACAGCAACCTTTCCACCTCACGGAGATCATCTCCCGGAAGTGTATCTGTGCCTCGCTGGCCGGTCTCCACATCACACCACCAACTTCACCATCATGGTCAATGCTCTCCCCTTCATCGGATTTTGGTATCGTGAAGGGAAACTGCCTTCCGCACCACTCTCGGAGTCTCGATTTCGAGGGGGGGGGGAAAAGAGAGCGGGATCCGATTCCACGGGATCGGAAAACCTTTTGTCGACGACTGATGCTTTCGAGCCTCGCAAGGCGCTTCCCCGTTGAAGCAACACCCAAAAGAATAGGAAGGAAAAGCCCGAAGCGGCTGTGAACCTTCGTCGTGAGATCGTAAGCACGCTTACGATAGTAACAGCTCCATTCACATGCTAGCGATCCCGTGCGTACGCGACAACCTGCTATAGACAGCATGATGTGGTTGTGCTCCACTCATTCTAGAAACTGCTCATTCTTTGATGGTAACTGCTCTATCCGTGTGCCATTCAGAGTGCTCGAGTTAGCATGCTCACTTCTTGCGACTTGATAGAGGCTCGATAATAGACCTAGCCATTAATTAAGTTCACTCATTGCTACTCCCAACTTCCAACAGACCGACAGACCGAAAAGACAAAAATATACGAACATCAAAAGCGTTTCCACAGCCAAAGCTTTGAGGATCATTTTGTAACATCACACCTCTCTCCTCTTGCCTTTCTCCCAGCTGGCTTGCTTTTTTGTTTCATAGCCCGTAATCGTTAACTTCATGAGGCCGTGAAAGAGAATATGCAGTGTTTGCCAAAATAAACAAGAAATACGCTGCATTATGAGATCCCAATTAACCGTAGGAGGCCGTATCCCCATACTGCGTCAGTCGTGCTTCATGAAAGTAGTCGTCCCCAGGTTTGAGTCGGAATAGCTGAAAAGTGTGAGGAGCGCCGCTAAACGTACGACAGGATACCGCCCTCGGTCCCGAAAAGCTCCGTCGCTGTGATGTGAATAAAAATAGGGGTGGAAGCACGCATTCAACTTGCGTTTTTCCATGACCAGGTCCAAAACACCATCCTGTGATACCAAAAACCCAATGCGACTTGTAATGCAAAGTTCATGCCTCATCCTTCACGTGGGCCTACTCCCAATCTTTCCACTCTCTCTGAATCTTCTCCAACTCTCCCCTGAGCCTCTCCGGCTCCAGACTCTGGCTCACACTGCCGCTGACGTACGAGTAGCCAAACTCACGCTCGCGCATCGCGTCTTCCAAAAGACGCCTCAGAGTGCGTTCCTGGCTGTTGAGATCACGCTGTATTTTTCTCCGCTCGCGAACCTTGCGCGCTAGGTAGACCGCATTGTCGTCTTGGACGGCGCGTGCCCAGATCCGGCGCATGCGGGGGCTGTACAGCTGACACGAATTGCCCTCACCGGTCACGAGCTCCGCCTCACTAGGAACGAATCCCAAGGTGCGCGTGACCCCGTCGGCCAGTCTGGAACCACGCTTGACATCAGGATACACGATGTCGTCGTAGCATTCCTCGCAGACGGTGAACTCAGGAAGGCCGGGATACGTGTGCCAAAGACTACCGAGGAAGACTGTGTCGCGTGAGCATTCCCGCTTCCACGCGTGCTCGCTCACAACATCTTTGAACCGAGAGAAATCCGCAGTGCCGCTGCGTGACCTCAATGCCCCTTCATGGATTTCAAGCAGCATGTCGAGGTATTCTGGGAAGCGTTTGCTCTTCATCCTGAAAGAACACAGCCGTGCCGACGAGGAGTCGATGCGCTGGAAGTAGCCTTGCAGTGTAGGCATGAGGGCTTCGAGGTACAATAAATCCCGTTCGCAGATATGGAAATTGGGGATGAAGTCGCTGCCTCGCTTGTTCGGAAGACCGTACCACGTTCGCACATCTTCGTGCTCGCCAGGACAAGGCTCCTCGGTGTCCGTGATCGAGGCTAAAGAGAAGATCAGGTCCAGATCTCTTCGCTTCTCTTTCAACGTCATCAGCCAGGCGAGTCGGTACCATGGGGAACTGAAGTGGCACTTCTTTGCTATGTCCGTTGAGGGTGCCCTCACGAAGAACCTTTGGAACATGGAACGGCCGATGATCTTTCCGAGACAATCAGGGCAGATGTCAAATGATGGCGCACTGTCCAGAGTATACCAGTCGTGAAACTTTGTAGAATACGTCGAGCGTGGACAGGGCGGCAGCGGCAGTTCTGGCATCTCTGGAACCGCCTCTCTCAGCAGCTCATCACCTCGAACAGTGGACGGCGTCGTGCGTGAGTCGGTGCGCTCCGTGTGCACACTGCTTTCTGAATAAGAACGGCGTAAGGGAGACCTTGCAGCATCGACATCCTCTCGCACGTGGTTCGGTATTGGTACGATCGTTGGGCCACGCTGATAGTCAGAAATGGTTCTTTGGGGACTTCGCGGGCTCTCCGTGATGAACTGATAGCTTTGTTCTTCAGGCATCATGAGCGTTGGGCCGTCATCTACAGGGTACGGTAGCGATGTTGTCGACTTTGAGGCCGGATGCCGGGCTGGTGAAGGAGACTGTATGTCGATCCTCGGAGGGGCTCCTTTTAAATGTTGGTCAGCATCACCGGCCAAGGCCGATTCGTAACGACTCTGTCGTGATACAGGCCTCGAGCGTTCCCTTGGAGGGTTGGCAGTAGGGAACGTTGACACGCGCTCAGGACGGCTAGTGCTGATCTCGATGCGTGGAGAAGGGGAGCGAAAGTTCTGATCATCCGGAAGGGGGGAACCAGTGCGTGAATTTAGAGATCCCGGACGGGAGCTAGGATCACTGCGGATCCTCCCATCCATATCTTGATGCCGAGGCCTTGGAGACCGAGGCGGCGATGGCGGAAGCTTGGTTTCCCTTCGCTTTGGTGAAGATGGTCTAGATGAGAGCTTGGAGGATTTCGAGCTTTGTTGGCTTTCTTCTGTACTTCCATACAGGGTCTCGGCCGTAGTCTGGCGGGATAGTCTCGGTCTACCCCATGGCAAGTCATTGAAGAATTGGGGAGATGAGGGCGTGTTCCCGGCTGACGACCCTGAGCCTTTAGGAGTCGAGCGAGGCGTCGTTAGGGAAGGCGTCGCGGGGCGCCCATGCATAGGGACCGAAGATCTCGAGGGCGGACGATCTCTCATGGGGTCACGTTCACATGGAACGCTCCGAATGTCCTCTTTGAGGTCAGAAGGCTTGTACGAATAAGGGGATGATATGCGCTCCCGAATCGGCTCAGTGTCCAAGGCAGGATGCTTCATGTGGTCTTTCCTCGGGTCCGCGGGGGTGTAGGAATAGGGTGAAGATATACGATCTCGCCCAGGAGCAGAAGCGCTCAGCGGGCTTTTGATGTCATCCTTGTTCAGGTCGGCAGAAGCGTAAGCGTAGGGTGAAGCAACACGCTCGGGCGGGGAGCTGAGGTCGTGCAAGGATGTGCGCAGATCATCCTTCCTCAACTCAGCCGGATTGAACGAGTATCGTGCCGGCCTCCGACGTGTTCGCAACTTGACTGATTCGTCTGCAGATAGGTCTGAGCCGTCGGACACACCATTCTCACGCCGCGAGTCAGCTGAGAACAGCGACTTTGTTTGCAGTGGAGCAGGCCGGGACTTGGCGTGGCCAGCGCTTCTACTCGCGTCTGACCCAGCTCCTGGTGCCGTGCCGAAGGTTGTTGAGGATGCCGCAGACTTCGGTGAGAGATACGAGTCGCCGGAAGACTGGTGTTTGGCGTCGCTAGGGATCCGGCTGGATGAATAGGGCGAGCGAGGACGTGCCGTGTCAACGGGTGGATCACGCAGATCGGTCTGCAAGGGCGGTGCCTTTTGGCGATCCGCGGGTTGGCGCATGCTCCCTCGAATCCGAACGTCGTCGAAAGTCGTTTCTTCCTCGCCACCAGCTCCCGGTACCAGCACAAAGCGGCGCTCCGGGTTGAAGCGCGCCATCTCCTCGTCCACCTCGATCATTATGGGTTCCTGGTCAATGCAGCCCCGGTTGGGCGCCTCGTCCCCATGGTTCCCGTCCTGCAAGACATGGCTCACTTCTTTGGCAAGGGCCACATCCAGGTCCTCGGCAGTGGGACACGGCGGCCACGATGCTCGACGGCGCCGTTGGATGCGATACGACGCGGTTGGAGGCGGGGTGGGCGGGTAGCAATCGCGATCGCGCAAGTCGTAGGCGGCGTAGGTGTAGTCGGTGTCATTGGCGTAACGGTCGTCGTAGGTTGGTTGGTCTGGTGCGTGGTACGCAGAGTAGTCGGTGCGACGGCGATCGTAGGGGTAGTCGGGGCCCTTGACGTGCTCGTAGTTGCGCGACCGCGAGGTGTTCGGTTCGTAGCGGCTCGCGTAGCGGGGCCGCCCGTCGTAGTCGCGGTATGCCATGCACGGCGGTGGCTCTGGGCTGGCGAGAGAAGGGGAAGCAGGCGGGATTACAAGGGAGGGCTGGTCGGGCTTTAAGGCGGAAAATGCAGCATGGCCAGGCAGAGGCAGTCACGCAACGCCATGCGGGTTGGGAGTGTGGTGGGGGGTGATGGGTGGGCGCGCGCTGACGCATGGCCCTGCCTGCAAGAAGCGGTCCGGGTGGAGCGTGGAGCGCGCGGTGGGCGCTGCCGCTTGTCTGTTCGGGGCCTGGTCAGGGTCTGGCGGCGCTGACAGCGGCAACGTCTGGAGCACAACCAGGGCTCGCCTGCCACTGGGAGCCTTGCCGTCACCGCACCTCCGCCTCTTCTCCAGAGCTAAAACCGAGCCGCAAGGGGGCTTTCCAATCGCGCCCCTTCCCCTCGCCACGCGCGTGGCCGCCTATTTTGGGTCCAGAGGCGCCCGACGTGCCCGAATACGGCTCCAGTCATCCCAGTGGCGTCGCTAACGAGCCGGCATCATCGTGAGATTCGCCCAAGAGCCGCATGTTCTCCTGCGCATTCCCGCCCGCCATGCGCTGCGCGTGCCTCTGAGCGGCGCCACGTCCGTCCGCATCGCAGCTCGACTGTGTAATCTACATCGGCACGGAACTCGCCTTGGGACGGCTTGGAGCACTTATGCGCGCTGCCCGACTTCCCACTTTTCTGCCGGCCTATCCTAAGCTCCCGTGTGTCTTGGATCCTAGAACTTGCAGAACCACCTACATTCCATCAGTCATAGAGCGTCTGTATACATGCAAGGGTAATCCTGCTCTCCTGCAGCGCCTGTCGGGAGCGCCAGCCGGTCCGCAGCCATCGTCGGCTGCCGCCGTCCAACTTGCCCCTCCATCTCGGCCTCCGCAGCGCTCATCTGCGCCGAGTAAAGCAGCGCGAGACACTGCGCTCTCACAGTAATACCCAGCAGAGAGCCTCTGCGTCGCTGCGCAGGTGACGTGGCGGCTGACAAGAAAAATAAACATCAAATGCCGGGCTTCACCGGTCAGTCTTCCCTGGTGGCGTTCTTATGCCGCTACCAAGGGTGAGGCTTCCCATTGTCAGCGAATGCCGCTTGGGGACGCTGTCTGGGGCTTGTGACCACTCACCACGTTCTCCCACGTCCAGAAAGTACCGCTATGCTGGATGCCTTTGCTTTGTATCACATCGATCATGCCCGCGACAGACACCTCGGGGCTGATTTGGCCCGCGATGGGCCAGGGCAGGTCGATGTTGGACATGTCCCTAAAAGCAAGTAAGCCTCCCAAAAACGCTTCCAGGCATCTGCGACTCTTACGTTGCCACTTCTCCCGGATGGATCGCGAGAATGATGGTGTCGTCGTCCTGCCGTTTCAACTCGGCGGCCATGTGCTTTGGCTGTGTGTCAGCAAGAGCGGAAACGGGGGCAACAGTGCTTAGAAATTGAAATTCGGGGCGGCTTACCCGGAGCATTTGGTTGAGAGCACACTTTGACGCGGCGTAGGCAGCAAACCTGATGCGCGTCAGCCCAAGGAACGCCGTTAGCAGAGCGCCTGGCAATACCCGTCTTCCATCTCTCGAAAGTTGATGGCCGATCCCGAGTCGCTGGACATGAAAACAATGGTGCCAATCGGAATGTTGGTCTGAAGCAGCTTCTGGGCGGTGATGATCGGGCCAATGGTGTTGGTGTGTAGATGGAAGGCAAACTCGTCGAACGATCTGGACTGATGATGAGAAACATGCATACGGCTCCAGGGTTACGCGGAGCACCAACAGTTCAGTGGCCCTCTGTGGAAAGCACCGTCAGTCTGTGGCCAGCCGGCAGAGTGGTACAGAGGAGGCATTAGGCTCACATTGGGGTATCTCAAGACACCGGCATTGATTACGACATAGTCTATCTTGAAGTTGGGGATCGCGGCGAGCTGATTCACGAAGTTCTGTTCACTGATCAACCAACGCTTCTCTCCGGCGGCGCGAAAGTGACATGTCCTACTGCGATGCTGGCTTCTGATAGAATGTCACAGACAAACATCTGGCAGCGGCCATGGTCGTTTCCCGAGTGGCCCCAGAGCGCAGAAGCATGTTCGGCATAGGGCTGCCGGACCGTCGCAATGATCTTCTCCCCGCGGGCTATCAGCTGGCGGACGAACTCGAGGCCAATGCCTCTGCTGGCGCCCACGACGACCCAGGTGGTGGTCTCCTGGTCGCAGTAGAGCGCATCGGGGATTTGGTTCATGTTGGTTGCAGGGCCGACAGAAAGTTTGGCGAGTGCGGCGCGCGTCGGCGGGACACTACCTGCATACTAGTGGAAAGTGGGCGGTGATAGGCAAGGCCAGCTAGATAGGAGCGAAGTCGTGCGCCTGAAAACGACCGACTCCAGGTCGCGTGGCCGCTAGGAGCGACTGAACTGTGACTCGCGGTAAGAAAGCACGGAAGGTGGTCTGGAGGAAAAATACGATGTCTGTCCCCTCATCGATCTGGCAGCGGAGGCCAAGGCCGCCCAAACCGGGCACCCGCAGAGCTGGCGACAGGGAAGCTGCAGTAGCTGTATGTGCATCATCGCCGGCCGCCCCCCGCGAGCGCCGGGCATCGCGAAGGGCTTGCAATAGGCGAGCGGGCCCAGACCTGAGCGCTGCAAACATGCAATCGAACAATAATAACAATAATGCCGCCCGCAGTGCACGTCGTCATGATTCACGGTCGCACGCCTACGTCAGTCGGAGCGTGCGGCTGCGCGTGCCCGCGGGCGCGGGCCTGGACGCGATGGAAGGCTCGCAGAATCTCGCACATGACCTCAGCGCTGCGTGCCGATGATGCCGCACCGCAATCCGGGTACCAGAGTGGGCTTCAGGCCGGCAGATGGGAGACTTGCGAGGAATCGCCGACCGAGGGCGCTGGGCCTTTCCAATCAGCCACACCGCCACGGGGCTTTGCCGCTCGCCCGTGTTCTTCCGACCATCCCTAAAAATCATCTTCGCGCTGATTGGCTGGCCGCACGCGGCTGACCTGGGCTAAATCGATTCTCTTCCGTCACCAACGACTTTTTCTTCTCCCCTTCTCCTTCCCCAGCGCACTCCATCAATCTCCTCTGCGACTCCGACAGTTCACGTCGACCTTCAATCCCTACGCCTTCGTCTTCTCTCCACACGCTACACACCTAAACCTTTAATCAAAATGGGTTTCGAGGCCGGTACGCGCGCCATTCTCCTTGTCCCCTTTCACCAACCGCTCTCAACGCGACGCAACGGTGGCTTCTTCCCTGGGCTCCGAGGCACCTGTCACACCTGGCGACGGATATACGGGCTGGTACTCGCCACTCCAAAGTCCTTGACTGGGCGCGCAGCTTTGCGCCTACGTCTCGCCGGTTGACCGGCTGCTTTCGCGAATGAAGCCGCCGTCTTCGCCGCGTTGTGGCGCATCCCAATTCTCCAAGACAATCCAATCCCATCCGCCGGTCAGCCGCTAACGGTTTACCACAGGTGATGCTAAGAAGGGTGCCAACCTCTTCAAGGTACGTTGCTGCAGAGACGGCTCTCTGGGAAACCGGTTTTGCTAGCGTGCGCTGGAACCCGTCCTGACAATCTTTGCAGACCCGTTGCGCCCAGTGCCACACCCTGAAGGCCGACGAGGGCAACAAGGTCGGCCCCAAGCTTCACGGCCTCTTCGGTCGCAAGTCCGGCCAGGTCGACGGCTTCTCCTACACCGACGCCAACAAGCAGAAGGGTGTCACGTGGGACGAGAACTCTCTGGTATGTCCCCAACCGTGTGCTGGGACACACTGCGCCAGCTTGCAGCGCCGGCGTCGCGCGAGCTCCTGTCTGACGGTTCCAAACAGTTCGACTACCTCGAGAACCCCAAGAAGTACATTCCCGGCACCAAGATGGCCTTCGGTGGTCTCAAGAAGCCCAAGGACCGCAACGACCTGATCACCTTCCTCAAGGACGAGACCGCATAAATGACCTAACCTACGATACCTCCACGACTTCTACCTTCTCCGCTTCCCCTCTTATCATGTACCATCAAGACTTAGACGTACGATAGGCGGGTTTCGTTGGTGGTGTTCCTCCTTTGTGCTTGTATAATACATGGCTTGGCTTTGCGTGTGCTAGACATAGACCGTTTTCACAGTGGGTCAAGGTCCGGCGATACCAACAAATGATTCATTCTCCACTTCCGACTTCGGGCTCCTCATCTGCGACTTGAACACCTTCGTGCTGATCTGTTTACACTTTTGCGATTTGTCTTTAGGGCTGGCACACGTCACTCGCTTGCAATGCGCGCGCACTGAACTTTTCCATCTGCACAGGGGGGGCACGTCATTACCGCACCAATTGGCTCGGGACGAAGCGAGAGGACTTGAACTGAACGCCGACCGTTCAAACATCCATTGAAACCGACCGGTCGCGGACACTGAAGGCATTGGATAGTGGCGACGGGATTGCCACGCATGCGGCACGGAGCCTCAACCATGGATGGTTCACTTCGCAGTCTCACTCATCGCGATCCTCCCCCCTGTGGGCATTGGCGGCCCAATGCTTCCCAGCTCGTTCCGTCCTCCGTGCTGTTTTTCGAGCGGAGCCGCTCCGCCTTCAACGGGCCGACAAGGCGCGCAGCATCGGCGGAAAACGCTCACATTTCCACTCCCGCCAGACGATTTGATCGCAACGGGTTGCTCAACGGGCAATCGCAATTGCACTGGCGTGTTTTTTCCGCTTTGCTTTACACTCCTGCGGCGCGAAATACGGCGACGTGCGGTACTTGAGCGTTGCGGTCCCAAGGATGTCACGCCACCGGCCCTGACAACCAGAAGCAGCGCGCCCGTTGGCGACGGCCGGAAAAGTACGCCAAAGCTCCCGGAGATCCCGTCTGTGCCCGTAGTCTGCGCTGTCATCAACCGTAAGCAGCAGAGGGAAGTTTTGGGGGCCAAGGTAGGCGTGTGTGTGTGTGTGTGTGTGTGTGTGTGTCTGTAAATACACAGTAGAACTTCGTATACCCATATTCTCATGCGGTTTCGCACGTGGGTATCTAATTGCAAAGAACATGTTGCAAGTCTGCTCTCTTGGATGTCTTCATTGCCCCATTCCTGCCCCCATCCCATGCCAATTGTGTTGTAGAGCATTCCCTGAGTCGCACGGTACGATGGCCGGATGCTAAAGCAATTACGCTCACACGAAGCACCTCGAATGTGTAGTAACGCGTCTTGCGCGGCTCGCATGCCAACATCATCATGCCGGCGTGCCCGACCTACTCTTTCGCGACGCAGGGCTGTTGCTCTCCCTATCCCTCTTATTGCTGCCGCTCGTTGACCGCGAGGCGGACGGCTGCTGCTGTCGTGGCGGCGGAGGCGGCGTCGCGTCGTCCCATTCGGGATCCGAGTCGTCGCTGTCGAAGCCGGCGACGATCTTCTCGAAGTGGAGACGCGTCTGCGGCAGAGACTGTTGGGACGGAAGAGCACATGTTGTTAGCAAATCCTGTCCGAAGATTGTATGTACGAGTAACACATGGGCCGCAACATAGGCACGACCCGAGCTCAAAGGCGGTCGTGCAGCGAGCTGTATCCATTCGCCCGCGCACGCACAGCTACTCTTTAGCCTTCTGCCATCCACTCCTTCTTCCCTTGGCCCTCGCCTCGCCACGGAAGGAAGCAAAGGGAAAGGGGGAGGCGGCATACCTCATTCCGCGCGACGGAGTGCCAGATCAGCATCTCGTTACTCTCCAGTATCCGCGCCGCATTGTACCGCCGCTCGCGCTCCTCGAAGGTCTCGTCACGCGCCAGCGCGGCGCGCTGCTGGTGCTGCTGCCTCATGTTGCTTGCGCCACCGCTGGCTCTGCCGCGGTGAGGGGCGGCTGCGCTGTGGATGTGTGCGGGCCGGTTGCGGGCTTGTCGGTCTTGCTGGAGCGGGGTGTACGGCTGGTGGGGGTGGTGCGAGGAGGACATGGCGACGTGACGGGGAGTGTTTCCGACGATTGGAACGGAGAAGGCGCAGCGACACGAGGGAAAGAAAGAATGGATTCGTCTCCGCGGAAGCTGAGACGGAAGGGTGATTGTAGGTTGGAGAGCTAGATGGTGACGTAGCGAAGGTTGAGGGTCGAGGCCTTCAGACGAGACGAGCGGGGCATGCGAGGGTAGTTGATAAAAAAGTGATAAGTCGGCTACCTAGCGCTTGTGTGACTTTCAATGTGACCGTCTCACATCTTGTGTTCACGTCAGCCCGTTGACAGCTTTCGGTGGGGTAGCGGAGAAGGAAAGGTCGGCTGTAACAAATCTGACGTGACGTGATGCCCATTTCCGCCCCGCGGCGGATTTCACAATTCAAAGTTTATTTTGCCCTTTGGACCAGCGACAGTACACAATCACAAGCTCGAGCAAACGACAGGAAGGGCAGGTAATCGTCATTTCATTGGATTCTATCAAAGATTGGTCATGCTTTTCGTCCGCCCCTCTAACCATGGGTATAAATTTACAGGTTGGCAAGGGGGTCGTAGCCCTCGGGCTCGGACCTGTCAGGGAACCTAAGGTTGACACCGAAGGCGGGGTAGATGAATCTGGTGACGCCCTTGACCTTGTGGATCTTCTCCAGAGCCTCCAGGTCCTCTGAGCTGAGCTTGACGATGTTCTTGTTCTCGTCTATCCGGGAGGGCGTAACCGACTTGGCCAGGACGGAGCTTCCACGCGCAACTGGGATAAATCCGTCAGCTTACCCAGACTCATTGGTAGAAAAAACAGTCGCGCTTCGGCATCAAACTCACCATGGTAGCTCAGCAGAATGTTGCCAGGACCGACGTTGTACTTCTTTGCAAGCTCCTGGACACCTTCCTCCTTGAACATGGGGCTGCCAGTGCTGCCGAAGGGGCTGTAGGCGGTGATGTGGATGCCCTTGGACTTGCAGAAGTCAACAATCTCCTGTTGCGGCAGATACGGGTGGTTCTCGATCTGGTTGGCAGCAGGAGTGATCTTGGCCTCCTTGAGAAGAGCCTCAAGGAAAGGAACGGAGAAGTTGGCAACGCCAATGGCCTTGGCCTTGCCCTTGGCCGGCAGCTCCTCGAGCTGCTTCCAGGTCTGGATGAACGACCACGACTTGTCCAAGTCACGGGAACCGTCAGGAAGCTTGGGGATGGTGGGGTGGTTGCCTGCGCGGCTTGTCAGTTGCGAGCTACTCGGAAACATTGTTGCGTAGCATACCCTTGGGGTTCATAGGCACCGGCCAGTCTACGGATTCATTCAATTAGCCTCGGTCTTCGCGGGTAAGGAGCGGTAGGTGGGCTGGGGTGAACTCACGCATGAGGTACAGGTCGACGTAGTCCAGGCCCAGGCGCCTCAAGCTCTCGTCGAGGTTCTCCTCGACGCGCGAGTGGAAGGTGCACCACAGCTTGGTGGTGACGAAGATGTCCTCACGCTTCACGATTCCGGCGTCGAAGGCCTCCTTGAAGGCCTCGCCGACTTCGCCCTCATTGCCGTACATGAAGGCGCAGTCAATGTGACGGTAGCCCGACTTGAGCGCATGGGAGACAGCAGCCTTGACCTGGCCAGGCTCGGACTGCCAGGTGCCCAGGCCGAGGGCGGGGATGGTCGCGCCGGTGTTGAGGGGGAGAGGAATGCTCATGGTGGGCTTGGGATCGAGGATGCTTGAGGGAGTAGACTTGAGGATGAAGTTGCAGAGTGAAGGGTTCATTGCAGAAAAGACGGCGCGCGCGCTGTTTTTACTGCTGAGGGCGCAAAGTCAACAGCTGTTCGCGCGGGCACCCCACCTCCCCGCGCCAATGCAATCAAACGCCGATGACGCCACAGCCCTGGTCCCCCGGCGTCGGCCATCGGTGTTTTCGTCGGCGAGCCGGGCACGTGCGCGATCCCGGGGATCAAGTAGCCGCAACGCCCACAGCGCGGGGAAGCTGTAGGGCGAAGTGCCGTCACTTGCTGGAGAGGAAAAGGTCAGTTCCGGCGCGGCTAGGTAGCCCGATGCTTTCGGCAGCGCAGCCAGGCTTTGCCCGCGGCCAGCCGCTGATGAGGCTCGCGCTCGCGCCCCCGTGCCCCCTTCCGTTTCAACCAGACCAGTTGCCGGCTGCTGAGGCGCGCGCACGCATGCGGGCAGGCCGGCGCGGGTTCCTTGTCTCGACGTTCACGGTGTACGTAGTAGGTCTCTCAGAAAGCCTCACGTGGGCGGCGATGCGTAATCGCGGGCTTCCAGAAGGCGGTGGCGCCAAGCAGCATGCATGCATGTCTGGGGCAGGCGCGTCCAGTTTCTCGGCGCTAGTGAAAAGTGGTTTCCGAAGCACTCCTTCCCCGCCGACATCACCAGCTTGCCTATTTCAGTCCGTGTAACCTAATCCTCAGGCCTACCGGGCGAAACTTGCCTTCGCTACGGCCGGGCGGAGCTGCAGACGGCGGCTGCTGGGGGGGGTGCGAGATGAGCCTACCACAGGGCAAGCGTTTCTCCTACCGTCAGATTGTGGGGTGCGCAGCTCTGCGGAGAGGGCCTGCTGGAAACTTAGTTCCCAGCATGCCTCTCGTCATGGATTCCGGGGACGCCCTGGCCCAGGCCCTCCGTGCTTGCCATTGCCTGTTCTGGCTGTCTGAGCAAGGTACTCAGCCGCCGCTTGGTGTATTTTGATATTTAACCACGTCCGCCACGACCCCATCCCTCTTCCATCTCCCACCGAGTCCTCCCCCCACTACTCACTAGCCAAATCCTCTTTACCCTGCATTCTTTGAGATACCCACTGCTCTTGCAGCATACCCTACCGCAGACATGGCTCCCATCGCCCTCGAGAACAGCGCCACCGCCCCCGTCCCCACCAAGGACTCCATCAACAAGGCCCGTGATGGCCAGGCTCTTGAGGAGCTCTCCGACGACATCGATGCCGTCAACGTCCTCCGCGACACCATGAAGAAGGAGGGCTACACCGACGACGAGGCCGACATCTACGCCAAGTCCAAGTTCGACGCCGAGAAGGACAAGACCAAGTTCCGCCAGTACGAGGAGGCCTGCGACCGCGTCAAGAACTTCTACCGCGAGCAGCACGAGAAGCAAACCGTTGCCTACAACATCAAGGCCCGCAACGACTTCCGCTCCAAGACGCGCGCTGAGATGACCGTCTGGGAGGCCATCGAGAAGCTCAACACCCTCATCGACGAGTCTGACCCCGACACTTCGCTCTCCCAGATCGAGCATCTTCTCCAGACTGCCGAGGCCATCCGCCGCGATGGCAAGCCCCGCTGGATGCAGCTCGTCGGCTTGATCCACGATCTTGGCAAGCTCCTCTTCTTCTTCGACGCCCGCGGCCAGTGGGATGTTGTCGGTGACACTTTCCCCGTCGGCTGCGCTTTTGACAAGCGCATCATCTACCCCGACACCTTCGTGGGCAACCCCGACTACGGCCACGAGATCTACGGTGATGAGCATGGCATCTACACCCCTGGCTGCGGTCTCGACAACGTCATGCTCTCCTGGGGTCACGATGAGTACCTCTACCACATCGCCAAGGAGCAGTCCACCATCCCCGATGAGGGTCTTGCCATGATCCGCTACCACTCCTTCTACCCCTGGCACAAGGAGGGTGCGTACAAGTGGATGATGAACGAGAAGGACGTGAAGATGCTTGAGGCCGTCAAGGCTTTCAACCCTTACGACCTGTACTCCAAGAGCGACGACATGCCCAAGGCCGAGGAGCTCAAGGTATGTTTCATCACTTCGCTGCATTTAGCACTACAGACACTAACGGACTTGCACAGGACTACTACCAGTCGCTCATCGATGAGTACTTCCCCAACAAGGTCGTCAAGTGGTAGATGCGATGCATTTGATCTTGCGACACGACTATGACGGCACTTGAGCGAATCATTCTTGTTTTCTGGCGTTTCTGGGACAAATCAATAGTCATGACTACCCGCTGCAAAAAAGAACAGTCACGCAGCTAATTGTGATAGAATTACACAATCAACATAGGGTGCTAAATGCGCCTATCACCTTCAACTCCTCCATATGCTTACCCGTACAAGTCTGATGAATGGTGACCGTCCTTGATGATTCCAAATTCCTTGTGTCCGACAATCTCAAGTTCGAGTCGAAGGCATACCGCAAGCCATTAATGTTGGCACTTGTGCTGCTCTTCACCTGCTCACAATAACACCCAGCAGACGTTAATTCCAATATCCGGATCTTATCAATGACAGTCGCATGGTTGCTCCCCCGCTTCCGTCCCAGTCACTTAACCGGCAGCTGACCTCGACTCGCTATTGAACACGCATCCTTCGCCTACTTGTACCTCGGCATGCAGCACTTTTATTTTCGCCATGGAACGTGTCACAAAGCAGTGCACTTGACTGCAGTGACAGATAAGCTGCGCAACACTGACTTTCGGAGCAAACCCCCGCATAACGAGAACTCCTGTTGTGTCACACGTGTGTCACTCGAGCATGTGAAGGAAACACAACTCTGCATCTCCGTTGCATCCCTTTTGTCGCAAACCATCATCCGCAGCGTCTGTGGCATTCCGCGAAGCCGTGGGCAAGCAGTGGCCGTCGCCCTCTCCCCCCCAGTTACCCCACCGCCACACAAGCAGCCCAGCCCCACCTCTGCATGTCAATCTCTGAACGCAAAGAAGCGGACCCACCTAAGATTACGCAGAAAAGTGTATCTGCCCCTGCACAGCTACGTCAGTGGGCGTTAATGCTCAACACCCTGATGATGCGCGCGCGCGCACAAACACTTGCCACCAGCCACCACAACGGTCTCTCTGCCACTAAGACCCAGCAAACGTGCCGTCGATTGCCCGATGATTTGCCTATTATCCACAGCGTCGAAAAACCTGTCTCTTTTCCTTGGGGGCCTGACTCGGAGACACAGAAGCGCAACGGTGGCCTAGCGGAACCTGGGTCCCGATCCAGGTGAAAGATCGCGCTTGCGCAAGCCAAGGCCCCCGCGTCGTCGACTGCCGTCCAATCAGTCCTCTTCGCTTTTCAATGCCGGTGGCGCAAGGTCGATGTGCCGAAAGAAGACTTGGCCATTTTGCTGAAGTGAATTATTGTGTGGGTCTGGAACGGTCTTGTTGGAGGGAATGATGCAGGTCTTCGTCGGGTTGATGGCTGGTGGGACGGGATGGACGGCATGCTCTTTGTATTATTCGAGAAGACCAGTCAGCACGGGAATAAGCCCAAAGCGGAGAGGACGATCGAGGCGGCAGACTTAGCGCGTTTAGGACTGCCGTGTCCTGTCGGAAAAAATTTCTTGATGGGGAAGCGGAGATGGTTACCCCGCCAGATCTGTCTTTCCTTCCAAGACTTACCCCAGATTTCGGGGATAGGGAAGAGATGGAAGCGAAGTGAGTGCTTCATCATCGACACGTGATAGCGCGCTTGCCTTGAGACACGTCTGCTACAGGACATTAAGGTAGAACGAACGGAATCATAGCCCGTAATGTCTGGCCCGTGATTGGTTGAGAATATGGGAGGCGGAATTGGACAAATATTAAGATGACAAAAATCTATCTAGGCTCGAAGGAATTCTAAACACCTCCACTTTCGTGCTCGACTTTTTACCTCGCAGACGCTTTTCTCCGCTTTACCTGGCCATCCAGCCGCCATCGACGGTCAACACCTCACCGCCAACGTATCCCGCCGCCCTCGAGGCCAAGTAAACCACAGCACCCTTGAAGTCCTCGGGGTTTCCCCACCTGCCCGCCGGAATGCGCGCCAGAATGGCGTCGGCTCGGTTCTTGTCGTTGATGAGCGCCTCGTTCATGTCGGTCGTAATGTATCCCGGAGCGATGGCGTTGACCGCGATACCCTTACCCGACCACTCGTTGCTCAGCGCCTTGGTCAGCTGCGCCACGCCACCCTTGCTGGCCGCATAGGCGGGCACGGTGATGCCGCCCTGGAAGGAGAGGAGTGAGGCGACATTGATGACGGCGCCGCGGCGGCCTGTCGAGTCGGGGTCGCGGGCAAGCATGTGAGCGCCGACGTCGCGGCAGAGGATGAAGACGGTGCGGAGGTTGACTTGCAGCACCGCGTCCCAATCCTCGTCGGGGAACTGGTGTGCCGGGTGCCGCTTCTGGACGCCGGCGCAGTTGACGAGAATGTCGATCTTTTGGCCGTCGCCGGTGACCTTGGGGACGACTTCGCCGACGGACTTGGGGTCGCTCAGGTCTGCGGTGTAGATGGTGGCTTTCCGGCCAAGCGCCTCGACCTGAGACTTGGTCGCGGTGTTGGAGGTGTCGCGCTGCAACATGTCAGTGGACGTGCTGTGCTGCAGCCTGAAGCCATTTCAGGCCTCAGCCAGCTGTCGCGAGCTCAACATACCTGGATCAGGAGGATGTCGGCGCCAGCTTCAGCCAATGCCACAGCCATTGCCTGGCCGATGCCCCGCGTGCCGCCGGTGACGAGCGCGGTCTGGCCATCGAGGGAGAAGAGCTTGTGGACAGAGGCCATGGTGGAGGGAGTGGAGGAGGAGGATGCAGGGAGAGCTGCGGAAGAAGGTTGAGGAGAAAGTTGGTGATGGAGCTTGCGAAGTCGTTGCTGGGCCATGCGGGTGACGTGAAGAATTCGGGAAAGCTCAGAAGAAAAAGGGCCGGGCATCGGAGAAGTCTTGCCAGAGCTAGCTCCCTTCCCCCAGGCCACAGCGCGCGGCATGATGCGCGGGGCAGCCGAAGCCCGCGTGGGGCTGACAGCGCGGGGCCCTCGGCCTTTGAGTCAGTTGCCGACGCGTCTATTCTGCCGTCATTGGCGCGCCATCCCCGCGCCATCCCCGTCAGTTCCGGAGAGCTCGCTGGGTTTCTGGGTACAGCTTTCCGTTCGCCGCAACTTCCCCGCGGCTCGAGACAGCAATTGCTCGAGATATATCCTGCGCTCGAGTCCCGCCATCCCCCAGGCTGCACGTCTCTCTGTTCTTCGCACAGTCCGCCTTCTTCCCAGCTCCGCAAGCTTCAATTCCACTTCCCGCTCCCCCATAAGCTAGCTGTACACATCGCTCACCATGTGCGGTCCCATTCGTGCCTCGGTGCTTCACGGCGCCAAAGACCTCAGAATTGTGAGATCACGCGACGGTATTGCCCCCGGCGATGTGCTGACCAGGCATAGGAAAACCGCGAGCTCACTGCGCCCGCCGCGGATGAGCTTCAAGTCGCAGTGAGGTCTACGGGCCTCTGCGGCTCGGACCTGCACTACTACAACCACTACCGCAACGGCGACATCATAGTTCAGGAGCCCTTGTCGCTGGGCCACGAGTCTGCTGGTGTTGTCGTGGCGGTGGGCGCCGACGCCGCAGCCAACTTCAAGGTCGGAGACAAGGTTGCTCTCGAAGTTGGCCAGCCCTGCGGCGAGTGCGAGAGGTGCAAGGAGGGCAGGTACAACATCTGCAAAGGCATGAAGTTCCGGAGCTCCGCGAAGGCTTTCCCTCATGCCCAGGGCACCCTCCAAGATAGGATCAACCACCCGTCCAAGTGGTGCCACAAGTAAGTTGTGATCGGGGGAACCATTGGCTAGGATGCGAGACTTATGCGGATTTGCAGGCTGCCCGACGATCTCTCTCTCGATTTGGGCGCCCTCCTTGAGCCCCTTGGTGTCGCGATTCACTCCATTCGCCGTGCGAAACTTGCTCCTCAGAGCTCCGTTCTTGTCTTCGGCGCAGGTGCCGTCGGTCTGCTGGTTGCTGGTATGTTGAAGATCTCTGGCGCCAGCAACATCTTGATTGCGGATATCGACGAGGGCCGCGTCAACTTTGCTGTCAACAACGGTTTCGCACACACCGGCTTCACGGTCCCCATGAAGCGCGGCCAGACGATTGAAGAAAACCTCGACATCGCACGCGAAACCGCAGCCGCTCTCGGCAAGATGCAGAAGGCAAGCGGAGAGGAGTACGGCGAGGTGGACGCTGTCTTCGAGTGCACTGGCGTGCCATCCTGCCTGCAGGCTGGTATCTACGTACGTCAACCCCAGTCGACTGCGCCATGAACGACATGACTGACACAGGACAGGCATCGCGGCCCGGTGGCCAAGTCCTCCTCATCGGAATGGGCCATCCCATCCAGACCATCCCCATATCCGCTGCGGCACTGCGCGAGGTGGACATTGTGGGCGTCTTCCGCTACGCCAACACCTACCCCACCGGTATCGAAGTTGTGTCGAAGAAGCCCGGTCCGGACTACCCTGACTTTTCCAAGCTGGTCACGCACCGTTACAAGGGCCTGGACTCGCTTCCGGAGGCATTCCAGATGGCGGCAAAGACCAAGGATGACCAGGGCAATCTGGTGCTGAAGGTCGTGGTTGACACCAGCGACGAGCCACGGTAAGGCTACCAAGCTGTAGCTACCCCTCCAGCTAAGGGCTAACGGGAAGTTGAGCCCCAGGCTGTGAGGTGTGGAAGCTCTAGGATGATGTACAAAGCATGTCTGGCGTTGATGGATATTTAATGTGGATTACCCTTGCTTAATGCGGTGTGGTGTGGAGAGAGCCTATCTCTTGCCAGACTGAAACCTCAAAAGTAGCCCTTGAATACAGTTTTTGCAACACGGTCATTATGGTCCATTGCTCCCGCGGCCGGCACGATGATCGGCAGGCCGTAGAGCGGGGAGATGATCAATTCCGAAACTCGGTGTCGATGCCTTGAGCGGATACCCGATTGAGCACGTTGCATTTGCCGACACGCATGGCAAGGCACGGAACTGTGCCATGGTAACGCAGCACGCGCAGATGCTTGATCACGCGGGCCAACGGGTAGGTAACTGACTGCCAGGCTTGACTCATGCAGCCTGACTAGTAGACTAGCTTGGACTGAAGGAAGCGATCATGAGGCAGTCCCAATGGGGCAATCCACGATAGCTGTTTGAGGCGCCACGCGAGAGGTCCGGATGCGGAGGGGCCATGCAGACCTCGGATGGCCAGTGCCCGCTTCCTCGCACCCCATGGAGAAGGTCGGGTGCGGCTGCAGGCAGAATCCGGGGTCGGCGGGAATCACATCGTGGCCAAGCGTTCAGACGGCGCTCTGCGAGCTGGAGATGGCGGGGTAGTGGAGCATGCGGCAGGCGTTTCCGCACTGGCGGGCCGACATTGAGCGTAGTGGGAATGAATTTCCGGAGAAAGGCGAGAGTGGTGTATGTACGGACTACATACAACATCTGCACAGAACAGGGGAGGGAAGGAGATTCCGACGAGACGGCCCGGTAGGAGTGTTTGCGCGTTGCGGGCGCGGGCGCGGGCGGCGCTCGGGCACGGTCGGCGTGCATCCCGCCGGGCGGCGAGGCCGTAATACCTGCAAAAACGCGTGGGGAGGCGGCAGAACGCGCAAATCCACACCCTAGCTGTCTACCCCCCGCACCAGCTACCTACTCCGACCAGACTCCAGAGACTGCGATATAAGCTGCTCGTCCTCCCACCACTCTTCTCTGTGCACCTCTCTCTCAACACTCCGCTGCTATCTGCTGTCTGACGAGCTCCGCGCTTGGCCTGAATAGCTCACCTCGTGTGTCTCTCCATCTACTTTTCCTCCCAATGACCTTGGCTGAACTCCCGAGCTAACCTGCATTGCTCGCTCTTCTACAGTGGACAGCTCCTCCCGAATCGCAACCTTGATACCCCCGGCCTGTTCCCTCCCACCTCCTTCGTCCTTTCGCTCCACACGACGCTACAATGGCCCCCAAGAAGCTCAATGTTGCCATCTCCGGCCTCGGCCGCATGGGCGCTCGCCACGCCATCAACTTCTTCACCCGCACTCCCCGCGCCGAAGTCGTAGCAGCCTTCACTCCCGAGCCGAAGGAAGCCGAGTGGGCTGCGAAGAACCTGCCCGACGTCAAGATCTATGACAACTACGATGAGATGCTGAAGCATCCCGGCCTTGAGGCCGTTGTCATTGCCACCATCACTACTGTGCACGCCGAGCAAGCCATCAAGGCCATCCAGGCTGACAAGCACGTGCTCTGCGAGAAGCCGCTCTCCACAAGCATCGAAGTGGTGGGTACTTGATGTGGACAAAGTGAGGGCCAAGTAACTGACATCCTCCAGTCTCAATCCGTTGTTGATGCCGCCGCCAAAAAGCCGCACCTGAAGGTTCTCTGCGGTTTCTCCCGCCGCTTCGACGCAAGCTACCGTGACGCTTTCAACCGCATGAAGACCGGAGGCATTGGCAAGCCTGCCGTTTTCCGCAGCCAGACCTGCGATAAGCTCGACCCCTCCGGCTTCTTCGTCGAGTACGCTCAATTCTCTGGCGGCATCTTCGTCGACTGCAACATCCACGACATTGACCTTGCGCTGTGGTACTTTGGCCAGGATTCCAAGGTCAAGTCCGTCGTTGCCATGGGTATCACCGCCGTCTCCCCTGAACTGGCCAAGTATGGCGATGTCGACAACGGTCTTGGTATCGTCGAGTTCTACGACAGCAAGATCGCCACCTTCTACTCCTCGCGCATCATGGCTGCTGGTCAGCACGACATGTCCGAGATCATCGGCACTGAGGGCAAGATCGTCGTAAACGGCAACCCCCAGGCCTCGCTCGTGGAGATGCACGAGCCCAACGGTGTCCGCCGCGAGCTCCCCCAGCACTACTACGGCCGTTTCGAGTACGCCTTCGTCCAAGAGGCCAACGAGTTCACTGCCGCTTGCCTCGACAACACCGAGCTGCCCTTCAAGATCGAGGGCGCCGTCCAGGCCGTTCGCATTGGCTGCGCTCTCCAGGAGAGTGTGCGCTCCGGCAAGAAGATCTTCTTCGACGAGCAGGGCAACCGCACCGAGTAGCGCCATCGCTCTAAATAATTCCGTCCTTGCACATTCAATGCAATATCCTTGGCGACAGTTTCTCGTACCTCCGGGCGTTTGCCCCTTCGCTTCGCAGAAAAGAACTTTGTCATGCGTTATTGCAGGCGTTCGGGTTGGGCTATAACATTGGTCATGACCAAGAGGTTACATGAGAATAGGATATAGTCACGAAGCTTCTGATTTTCTTTTCCGGTCTTCTTTAGGAGGGATGGTGATATGTAAATTCCAGAGGGGGGGAAAGCCTGGCGGTATGTCTCCGCAAAAAGAAATGCATGATGCCATTATCTTGAAACCACAAGCGCCTGTCCAGAGATACTGCCTTTTGGCACTGTTTTTCTTTTTTGTGGGTCGACAACACCATCCGAAAATTTGTCCGTGCCTTAGTGACCAGCTCCACAAGATGGTTCCCACAAATTGTTGGTCGCAAAGAACACCATTTAGACAGGTGACTTGTGTTCCTATCTAGCCGAATTGAGATCATCTGAAGTCTTGGGGACGGATGCCGGAATTGTCCGTGATATGCCGTTGATGGCCGTTTCAGAGCGCAGTTGCTTGTCCGCGTGGGGAGCGTGTTTGTAAGCCCTCTTCCATTGCTGTGCCGCGAGCGACAGTCCCGCCGCGCAATTGATCAAACTCCGTCCGCTGCCACGATGCCTTGGCTGGACGTGAAGCCTCGACTCTCAGGGCAGTGATGGCTTACCATCAAAAAGGGGAGTTTATTAGACGTGAGATAATCAGGAACATGTGGATTATTATCGCCGATTTCGAACGGGACCTGAATTGACTAGGTTGCAACCTTGGTAGGTTCCGAGTTTACCAAACGGACGAATGATGTACATTCTGGCTCCCATCGCCTTCCGGATACACGGCCCAGATGATGACTGCCACGGGCCCTTATTTGTTTAGGGCGCCACGGGGATGCCTTTCGCACTCAAGCCAACAGCTTCACGAAACCTTTCCCACCTACCTACCTACCAGCCGTTCGAGAAACCAAGGCTCAACACCAAAGCCATTCGAATGTCCAGCCGCTTCTTGCAGACATCCAGCAGAACAGCATCGTGATCTAAACCCCCCTCCATCGCTGGACAAAAACACACAAAAATGCCGCCCATCTCCAACGACAACCTCCTCCCCCGCCCCCCATACGACCCCGAGCTCTACGCCGCCATGCCCCTCTTCCCCTCCACTCCAGCCATGGACCCCGCCGCCATCGCCGCCTACCGCGCCGAGCTCACCACCATGATCGCCCCCGTCAAAGAAGCCATCCTCGCCGACCCCTTCGTCAAGCACTACACGCGCACCATCCCCGGCGGCGGCAGCGGCGCCGGTGCGCCCATCGAGCTCCACGTCTTCTCGCCCGCCGCGGTCGATGTCATGGCGGGGCCGGTATCCGGCATGGCCGACGGCGGCGGCGGCAGGTCGCGGCCCTGCATCGTCAACTTCCACGGCGGCGGGTTCATGAGCGGCGACGCCTTCCTCGGCATGGGGACCATGGCCGAGTACGTGCGCGCGTTGGGGGCCGTCGTCGTGAGTCCCGCGTACCGGCGCGCGCCGGAGCACCCGCATCCGGCGCCCGCTGAAGACTGCTATGCGGCGTTGAAGTGGGTGGCCGCGAACGGCAAGCGCGAGCTGGGGGTCGACGCGGAGAGGCGGTTGATGGTGGCGGGAGAGTCGGCGGGTGGGGGGTTGGCAGCGGCGGTGGCGCTGATGGCGCGGGATGATGTGGATGCGGGGCGGCCGAGGTTGTGTGCGCAGCTGTTGGTGTGTCCCATGTTGGATGATCGGAACGATAGCGTGTCCTGCCGGCAGTATGCGCGGGGGGATGCTTGGGATGCGAAGAGAAATGAGTTCGGGTGGAAGTGTTTGTTGGGCGATGAGGCGGGCGGCGAGGGCGTCAGCTACTATGCCGCCCCGACGAGAGCGACGGATCTGTCAGGGCTGCCGCCGACGTTCATTGACGTGGGATCAGCCGAACCGTTCCGAGATGAGAATGTGGCGTACGCGTCGAAGCTTTGGGAATGCGGTGTCGATGCTGAGCTTCATGTTTGGCCGGGCGGGACCCATGCGTTTCACACATTTGTTCCGACAGCTGCCATATCTGAGGTGTCCAATCAAACAAGGATGGAGTGGGTGCGAAGAGTTCTAGAACGGGTTGTGTGAGTAGTAGGCGAATTAGGGGTTGTTGAGCATGCGGAGGATCGGACTTGCTTGAACTAAAGTTAGGGTATGTGTAGCCGATTGTCGTAATTTGTGAGGATATCCAGTGGTAACATAGATAAAAAAAAAATATGTTTTAGCGGCCAATTACACCGCGTAGAGCATGTACGAACCTGTCGTATCAACATAAAGCTATCCTCGGCATAAGGATAGATCCATCAACACCTGCCATACAATTCCAACGATAATTCTTCATCACCTCCTAAGGCCTCTTTGCTGCGAGCTTGGGAAGTTCCTTGATGAGAGAAAAACACCCTTGACACTTCTGATGTCGGCCTTGAAGGCCTCCATGGCGTCATCCTCGCCTGACTTTCTCCAACTACCACCATACCTGGTGCCATAGATGTCGCTTCCATAGTAGGGGCTCGAGAAAGCCATTTCGTTGAGGTAGTTTTTCAAATCTCCCAGCTGTGTCTGCACAGCGTCATCGGCTGTCGAATTGCCTCTTGTCATGTAGGTAAACCCGCGCAACTCAGCAGTCAACATATCCAGGTGCGCAGATTGTGCTTCAACCGGCGTTGCCGGAGGCTTGTCCGAGCCACCTGCAGAAGATGCGACACTCGCACGGCGTGAGAGAGCGGGACTTGTCTGTGTCCCGAAATCGCGATGGTACAGCTCTGTGGGGTCCTCGTCCGAGTCCACATCGGAGACGGCATCTTTCTCCTGCTCTGAAGCTAATGGTTTTCCGTTGTTGTCGAGCTTGGGCACAGTAGAGACCATGCTCTCCAACTTTTCATTGAACTTCTCAATGTTGGACTTTGTGTTGACTGCAAACTCTGCCCGCGCTCCAACCAACTCCTCGGCCATTGGCTTGATAAGGTAGTTCGACACGCCGTATGTCACAGCACCCAATCCTACGGCAGCGTATATGGCGTTGAGAACACGCGAGACGGTAATGAGCGGCGGTGGTGAGGTTGGCTGGGTCAGAAATTCTGGATACGTTACAATGGGTGGGATTTGTTTCGGAGCAGCACGGGAGGCGGTGGGCGGAGGCGATAAAGGTTGCTGAGTCGCAGGGGACTACGGTAAGGTCAGCACGCTCCGTCGACTTCCCGAAAAGGCAATTAATAAACGAAGTTTAAGAAAGAAGTCAGACAAACGAGATGAGACGGGAGCTGTTAGCGTCTTGTAAAAAGGCGCTGTACCCACCTTTGGCGGAGCCACTGAGCTTGGCGGTGTATCTTGCATCTTCACGTCGGCGAGCAGCAGCTGGATGTCCTCCTCGGACACGCCTTTGGAGCGCAAGAAGCTCCGCTTTCGGTCGTTGGGCGCATCGCGGATTGAGGGGTCTTTCAAGAATTTGAGTGCCTGCTGCAGGAGGAGGGCGGCATCGCTCGGAGGTTCGCTCGCGTCCAGGGAACTTGGCTGCGGCTCGGGGTGCGACTCGTCGGCGTGCTCGGAGGCGGAGTCTGAGCTTGGAGTGGGCGGCGGCGAGTCTCCCGAGGCGGATGAAGCGGAGTCGGAGGGCGTGGATGATGGCGGCTGGGCGCGCTGCCAGGCGGGGATGCCGGGTTTCCTGTCCGACATTGTCGCAACACGCAGAGTGCAGAGGAAGGGCGAGGCAGCGGACAGCGAAGGCGCGCCTTGAGCTCTGCTGAGCGGCGGCCGGGACCTCGGCTTGTGACGCAGGCGATTCAGAAGTAGCTGCCGCTCGCGCAGACGTCACGTGCAGGCCTAGGCTGCGGCCCGCTGCGCAGCTCGCCCCGTCGCGCATCAAGCGGAATGCGCGAGGGCAGCTTGGAGCTCCGGAGTCCTGCGCAGCATTTCGTATCGAACCGCCTTCTTCATAGCTGCGCCCCTTGGCCGATAGCGCTCGCACGAACAACATGGCGGATCGCGGCGGACGGCCAGTCAAGCGGCTGCGCACCGACGACGACGACGAGTCTGGCAGCGACGATTGGACACCTGCGGCGCAGGCAAACAAAGCCAGCAACAATAGGTATGTACCCAGCTCCTCCCTGAGTAAGCCGTGCGACACGCCCAGGCACGCAGGCTTCGGAGCAAGAGCCACCCCCAAGCCTATCAGATACACCTGCAGCCGCCTTCCCTTCTGCTCCAGCCCCAACCCATCCCAGCAAACACCCACAATGACCACCCGCCGCCTGCGCTCGCGCGCCCAGATCAACGCTGACCTGCAAAGCAAACCTGCCTCCACTCGCTCGCGCCCGCGCCGTGCAGCTGCTGCCCCCACCTCTGCCACCATCGAGCGCACCTCGCCCGAGGAGACGCGCCAGTCTATCCACCTCACCGTCAAAGCCGCACCCAGCAAGCTCCGCGAGGCCACAAGCGGCACCGGCACCGGCCAGTCTCGCAGCGGCAGAAATGCCGGCGTGAACTCGCGCGACAGCTTCGTCGGTGGCGAGATCGTTGTCGGCCAGCGCAGCTCCCGGAACAAGAAGGCCATCATCGAGGAGACGTCCGAGGATGACATGGACGAGGATGATCTGGAGGACGACGATATTGAGGAGGACGGTGATGAGGATGAGGACATGGCCGATGACGCCGACGCCGACGCCGACGCCGATGCGGACGCTGACGCCGACGAGGACGTAGACATGGAGGACTCGCTACCTGCCCCGCCTCCTCCAGCCGTCAAGGCGAGGGGGAAGCAGCAGCAGCAGCAGAAGCCCAGCATCAAGGTCTCACAAGCAGATCGGGAGATTCCTAGCGTTGAAGCTAAGGAGATGGCCATGGAGGACGACCAGAGCGAAGATGACGAGCTCTCAGAGCTGGATTCTGCAGATGAGCAAGACGATGAGGATGGTGAGGAAGATGATGCTGAGGGCGACGAGGACGAGCTGGACGATGAGATAGACAGCGACGAGGAGACGCCCATGTCTGGCAGTCGAGCAGGCACACCAGACCTCAGCAAGCTCACCAGGCGTCAACGGGCGGCTTTCGAGACCTACGAGGGCGAATTGATTTCTCTGTCGAATGGTACGTTACTGCGAGATGGCTGGCTTTCACCATACTGATGTCTTGACAGAAGCGCAAAAGAAGAAGCATCTGACTGCCGAGGAGCATGCCATGCGGAGAGCTGAGATGGCTCGCCGCAGGAAGAACCTCAGCGAGAAACGCAACGAAGAAGAGAAAGTGAGTTTAGCTTACCAGCCAATGGCTTTTATTTCCGTGGACAGAAAACTGATTGTTTGTAGATGGACACCATCAACCGTCTCCTCAAAAAGCAAGCTCCGAAACGCCGTGGAAAGGCGCAGGCCGACGCTGATGCAGGCGGCGAAGAGCAAGAGGAAGAAGAACGTGCCCCGGCTCTATGGGTTCGTTACATTCAGACTACCGAGAACAGCCAGATTGCGGTGCCTTATGACTGGGTTGAGTCTCCTCTTGGAGAGTTGATGACTCAGTCAAAGCCCGCGACTGTCAAAACACCTTTTGCGGGGAGAATGGTCCAGGAAGTTGTATAAACTTTAATCTATGAGAAATGAAGAACAATACTTGCGGCAAGAGTTGCCGCCGGAACAGCTCGCAGGCGCTTTGGGGGACATCACGTGGGGATCTGGGAATTCAGTATTATCATCGTAAGACGATTACGTTCAGCGAACCTGTGTTCTGATACCCAGTACCGCTACTTGAAAAGTTCGCTTCTTACATACAAAAATTGTACATGTATCCAATGTGCTGACATGCAGCACGCTTTCATATGACCAGCACATACCTTTGCATGCGACTGGGTTTTAGTCTAGATCTTTGCACCTGCCATAGTAGTAGCTTGGATGCTCCGGTCCGGTCCATTTTCCAGGAATCGACTTCCTTGAACTCTTACGGCGAGCCGCCGCTAGCTTTGCCGAAGGTGTGACGGTTGGCAACACGGCACAAGGTGAATTCATTTCGGACCAAGCCATTGGAAGCTCGAGGAAGAGTTAGCTGCGAAGAGAAACTCCCTTTTGAGGTCAGGCCGCTTGCTGCACTAGCGGAGAACCAGCACTGTTCGATTGCTGGCGACAGTCTGATGCCTTTTTCTGTGTCTCCTGTTCAACGAGCAATACAATCGCTCAAACAGACACATTTAGCCAAGATCATACTCATGGAACTCTTCCGGCAAGTCTTTATCAATCTTCGTTCCCAAATCGGTGTCCTCCAAGAAAGTTCTACCAAGAATCTTCTCGGGCAGGTAGTTCTGGACGACTTTCCCATCCAAGTAGTCCGGATTGTACTTGTACTCCTTTCCATATTCGAGCTCCTTCATCAGCTTTGTGGGTGCGTTGCGCAAATGCACCGGCACCGGCAGGCCTGCTATGCCCGGCTCCTGAAGCGAGGCCATGGCATTGTTGAGGCCGCGATATGCACGCGTCGATTTGGGCGACATGGCTAACGCGACAGTTGCGTGAGCGAGATTGATACGACACTCGGGCATGCCGATTTTCTCACAGGCAGCATAAGTGGCGGTAGCAAGGGAAAGCATTGTATTGTCCGCCAGGCCAACGTCCTCGGACGCCACAACAATGAGCCGTCTTGCGACGTACAGTGGATCTTCGCCTGACTGCAGCATGCGTGCCAAATAGTATAGAGAGGCATTGGGATCGGAACCGCGGATCGACTTATGAAATGCAGAGATGGTGTCGTAATGTTGATCACCAGCACGGTCGTAGACAAGAGTCTGTGTCAAGGACTTTTTGATGCCATCTTTGGTCATGGACGGTCGAGTAGAAAGGTCCATTGACAGCTCGAGGAGGTTGAGCCCGGTGCGGGCATCGCCGTCGGCGAAAGCGGCGAGGTAGACAAGCATCTCGTCATCGACGAGGCTGGTATTGGCATTGCCTCCTTCACGCTCGAGTGCTCGGCGGAGAATGACCGTGACAGTCTCCTCAGAGAGCTTGGAGAGGGTAAACGTGCGACACCGTGACAGCAAAGCGTTCACGATTTTGAAGCTTGGGTTTTCGGTTGTCGCACCAATAAGGGTGACCTGTCCAGCCTCGACAGGCCCCAAGAAAACATCCTGTTGACTCTTGCTAAACCTGTGAATCTCATCGCAGAATATGATCGTCTTGCGCCCTGTAAGACCCAACTCGTTACGAGCCTCGGCAAAGAGTTTTTTGCATTCAGCTACACCGGAGCTGGTACTGTTGATTTCGACGAATCGACAGCCAGCTGTGTGCGCTATAAGGCGTGCTATTGTGGTCTTGCCGGTGCCCGGCCCTCCCCAAAGTATCATCGACGGGACGCGATCCTGCTCGATTAGACCCCGGATCACGCCGTCAGGCCCCACGAGCTCTTGGCCACAGACATCATCAAGCGTCCTGGGCCTCATGCGCTCCGCCAGTGGGGCGACCTTTTGGAAAGCATGGGACTTGTTGCGTTTTGGAGACGGCGGTGAAGACCCTGGCTCCAACTTGGTGCTGGCGGCCTCAGGGTCGAAGGGTCTCTTCAAGGCGTTGGCAGAGGAATCGGATGGCACGGGAAGCTGTGTCCTGGTGGGCATGGGAGACGTCACCGGCGAGGGTTCGGCATTTTTCGCGGACAGGCCGGAGGGGCGCTTTGTAGAGGGCGGCTGGAAAAAGCTGGCGACATTGGCCTTCTGGGTCGGAGGCGGCGGGGCGTTTGTCGGGTCGATTATAAGGGCCACACAGCCGGAGTCAATATGTTCATTGATGTGGCGTTCTAAGACGGGCTTGGTGCAAATAGGGCAGTCGACCATGATGTGTGGGCGGGGCCCAATTGGCGGCGCTGCGACGAGACGCGTCGTGGTCTGGGAGAGAATCCGGGGCGACGCGACGGGCCGCAAGCTGTCAATCCGTGTCTGAGCTCCCCGATGTCGGCGTTACCGCCGGGCTAACGCCGATCGCTCGTGGGCAAGCACGTAATCGGGCTTGTCCACTGGTGGGTAGGTGGGATGCAGGAAAAGAACCACCAGCCAGCAAACCAACTATGCACATGAGGCCCACGCTGCTACTCTCTTGCTCCACCTCCACCAAGCCTGCTCTTCGCTCCTTGCGCCTGGCTCTGCCCTCAATCGCCCGCCCTCCTCAGCCCGCGAGAGCCATGTCGGCCACGGCTACGCGCCGCGATCCGTTCAAGCCGGCCGCAAGAGTGGCAGGCCAGAGACAGGATGTCTGGTATGCACCCCTCTCCTATCTGAAGCAACCAGCAGATACTCATGCCACATGCAGGTCGATTGTGAACGAAGCCGCCGCTCAAACGCCCGTTACGCCCGTCGTGAACATGGGCCAGGGCTTCTTCGGCTACAACCCGCCGCAGTTCGTCCTCGACGCCGCCAAGCACGCCCTCGACCGCGTCGAGTGCAACCAGTATTCCCCCACCAAGGTACAGGCGGCAAGTGATAAGATGCGCATGCTGTGCTGACTGTGTGAAGGGTCGCCCGAGGTTGAAGAAGGCGCTGTCGGACGCGTACTCGCCGTTCTTCGGCAAGACTCTGAACCCTGAGACCGAGATCACCATCACCACCGGCGCCAATGAGGGCATGCTCAGCGCATTCATGGCCTTCGTCGAGCCGGGCGATGAGGTCATCGTATTCGAGCCCTTCTTCGACCAGTACATCTCCAACATCGAGATGGCTGGCGGAAAGGTTGTCTACGTGCCCATGCACCCTCCCAAGGAGGGCGCGACCAAGACGACGTCGGCGGCCGAGTGGACGATTGACTTGAAGGAGTTTGAGGCTGCAATCACCCCCAAGACTCGCATGATCGTCCTGAACACGCCGCACAACCCGATCGGCAAGGTCTTCGCCAAGGAGGAGCTGCAGGCCATTGGCGACATTTGCGTCAAGCACAACCTGATTGTCCTCTCCGATGAGGTCTACGACCGCCTGTTCTACGTGCCCTTTACCCGCATTGCGACTCTGTCCCCCGAGCTTGCCGAGCGCACCATAACCGTCGGGTCTGGCGGCAAGAACTTCTATGCTACGGGCTGGAGAGTCGGCTGGTTGATCGGTCCTGAGCACCTGATCCAGTATGTCAGCGCTGCGCATACTCGCATCTGCTACAGCAGCGTCAGTCCGTTGCAGGAAGCCACGGCTGTCGCGTTTGAGGAGGCCGACAAGCACAATTTCTGGGACGAATCGAAGAAGGAGATGAAGGGTAAGATGGACAAGTTCAATGCCATTTGGGACGAGCTGGGGCTGCCGTACTCGATCCCGGAGGGCGGGTACTTTGTCCTCGTCAACATGTCCAAGGTGAAGCTCCCCGATGGCTATGATTTCCCTCCCCACGTGGCCGAGCGCCCGCGCGACTTCAAGCTGTCGTGGTTCCTGATCAAGGAGTTCGGGCTCGCGGCGATTCCGCCCACTGAATTCTTCACGCCCGGGAACGCACACATTGTCGAGGATTGGCTGCGGTTCGCCGTGTGCAAGAACGATGATGTTTTGGAGCTTGCCCAGGACAGACTGCGGGGGTTGAAGAAGTACCTCCGGTAGACTCAAGGTGCCCAGAAATAAACATTTCCCGTTCTGCAGCGCGCATGCATGTGTCACACCCAGGATCTCGTCCGAGCTTGCTCCGATGCCGTGACATATATATTGCGCAAGCAAAAGCAGCTACGCGAAGCTCTGGCTTGAGCTTACAGCGCCATGGAAAGCTTCTCACCCACAACTCAAGCAGGCATTCGTTTCAACTTCCACCACTTCCAGCGGGCGGGGAGCCTGCTGAACTCATCAACACCGCTGATCCATGTACTGCCGCCTACAACAGGGTTTGACGTTCCGCGGGGTTCGCGGAGTAAGGTCGCTTAGGTTGCGCGATCGAGGGGTACCTAGGTAGGTAGCCACGGCGGCGGGAGCTATGATACACTAGCGACGTCATATGCGGAGGAGCTCACCCGACCCAAGCCGCGCAGCTGCCCTGTCGAGCTTGCAGAATGCGCCTAGACATAATAAACCCCTCTCCTCGCATCGTTCCACCCGGCCCTCTCCCCTCAACATCAATCCATTGCTGTCAATCTCATCCCAATGGCTGAGCAAGACCGCTACGGCTCCCATTTTGGGGCCAATCCGAACAATCCCGTAAAGGATTCCCCCTCCATCAACCTCCACAACATCCCTGCCCCCCAGGGCTCCGGTGCGGAGCAAGATCGCTACGGCGGCTGGTTTGGCGGGAAAGCTCCCTCCGCCGACCAGGTCCAAGACAAGCTCCAAGACAAGCTCCCCAAAGCTTCCGGCGCTGAGCAGGACCGCTTCGGCGGCTGGTTCGGCGGCAAGAGTCCCTCTGCAAGCGACATCAAGGAGAAGGTTCAAGACGCTTTGCCGAGGACCTCTGGCGCCGAACAAGACCGCTTTGGTGGTTGGTTCGGCAACAAAGCCCCTTCGGCCGACGACATCAAAGACAAGGCCCAGGACATTCTGCCAAAGGGCTCGGGCGCCGAGCAAGACCGGTACGGTGGATGGTTCGGCGGTAAAGGCCCTTCGGCCGACGACATCTCAAAACACCTTCCGCAGGCTTCTGGTGCTGAGCAAGACCGCTATGGCGGGTGGTTCGGAGGCAAAGGGCCCTCGGCAGGTGACATCTCGGAGAAGCTGCCTCATACTTCCGGGGCTGAACAAGACCGTTACGCCGGATGGTTCGGAGGCAAAGGACCTTCTGCGAGCGACATCTCCGACAAGCTACCCCATACTTCTGGAGCCGAACAAGACCGTTACGCCGGTTGGTTCGGTGGTAAAGGACCTTCGGCAAGTGAAATCTCAGGGAAGCTACCTCATACTTCTGGAGCCGAACAGGATCGCTATGAAGGGTGGTTTGGTGGAAAGCCGATCCCCATAGACAAGATCAACCAGAGGCTACCTCATACATCGGGTGCCGAGCAAGACCGCTATGCCTCTCACTTCAGCCGCCACCCAGATAACCCTTCACAATCCATACCCGGCTCGTCTAGCTCGGGTTGGTCGACGAGCAGGAACGTTGGCTCCGGTGCAGAGCAGGATCGATTTGCGTCCCATTTTGGGGCTCGCCCCATCAACCCGATCAATGCTACCGCAGTTGGGCTGCTGCAGGGAGCTATTCTCCCCTCTTTCGGTCTGCACGCTGGTCTCTCTGCCGTCACGTACGGAGTGGCTCGCTACACAAACCGAGTAGAATTGAAGGACTGGCTCTGGCCTTCCGGCATGGTTGCCAACGCTTGGTGGAGCGCCATCGGCACCCGCGTCGTTTATGATGGGCTCTCCCTTCAGCACGCTTGGTCGACTATGACTTACCCTGAAAAGATCCTGCTCACTCAAGTCTCTGCTTGGGGAATTCGTCTCTTCTACCGCATTGCCAGTCGTAGCGTAAAGCGCAGAAAGGATGATGCCCGTTATGTGACGGCCAAGGAAGAGAAGGGTTTCTGGAACAAGTCCTTCTTCAGCATGTTCCTGCCCGAGGCTGCTTTCCAGACGTTGATCACGCTTCCGTTCACCCTGCCTTTCCGCGCTGGAGTGGAGAGTGCCAGGTCTTCTCCTCTCCCCGACAATGCTTCCCTTTTCCACAGCCTCGCTGTTCTCCTGTTCACTACCGGATACGCTCTGGAGGTTCTTGCGGATACTCAGCTCGAGTCTCACAAGAAGCAGAACAGCGAGGAACTCAACCGCGAGGGCGTCTGGAGCATCGTTAGGCACCCCAAGTAAGTTCTCCAACATCAGTGCATCACGAGAAGGATGATTCTGACCGCATGCAGCTACCTCGGTGATGCTCTCGTCCACTTCTCGTTCCCCGTCCTCCTTTACAGCGCCGGGATCCTTCACCCGATCTCGGTCCTCGGTCCTGTTGCCAACTACGTCTTCCTCCGCTTCATCGGCGGCGACAAGGACAACGAGGCGGATCAAGAGTCGCGTTACCCCAAGGAGAATCAGCTCAAGTACCAGCAGCTCATGGAGTACAAGCGCGAGAAGAACAGCTTCTGGCCCAGCCCCCAGGAGGTGCAGAACAAGTGGACGTGGGCTGTGCTTGCTGCGGGGGCTGGCGGCGTCATTCTTGAGAGAGGCGTTCGCGCGTTCCTCCGCGGTTAAACATGCATCGGACGTGCTCCTTCTCGTATTGCGTACCAGGCCTTTGAAAGGATTGGATTGGGAGATTACAAAAGCTAATGATGACCAGCCCTAAGATGGGCCAAACATCAATGTACATTAATCAAAGCCAAGCATGTCATGAATTAGGAGTCCAGGTACGAGTGCAATTCATGGTCATTCAAAAGAAAATCAAACAGCTCGCTGGGAAGGGATTGATAGGCGAAGCTGCTGCGGTGCAACGTTTGCACATGATTCAATTGCTGCAGTGGCTGGTTCTGACAGTCGCCAATATCACGTTCTGGTCGCACGGCAGCGATGACATGGTTGGTGGTAAGGCTGATGACAGGACTTGGCAGCTGAATGTGGGCAGGCTGGACGCAAGCCACGACCAGTCATGAGTAGCATCTCGTGACGTGCCGCTTCACGCAATCTCACCACCCTTCTCAGGGCGGCCGCCACAGGATAGAAATAGAATCCGGGGGTTTGGTTTTGCAGCGCCCCGTAATCCTTGGCTCCGTGTAGGAACATGTTACGAGGCGCCCGCTTTCTCGACGCTCCACTCGTCGGCGAGGTCACATCCACACTTCCCCAGAGAACAGAAGCGAAGAACGTGACGTTGCACGACAATGGCTTGGGAAACTGCGCGTGCGATCTCGACAGTCCGACACTGTACAAATGGGCACTCGGGTCTTTCTACACAGCATCGGGGCGCTGGCTGCGAGGCTTCGTCTTACCTCATTCCTCCCCGAGAAAACCAGGGCGCTATACGAGAAGTGTCTTTGAGCAGATGTTACGATGCCATCACGGGGCTCTTCCATCTGCGTCGGTCATCTGTGACTGAGAACGGGACACCGCAGCAGCCGTGAAGGCTGGGCTGACCTGTGTCTGTCCATTCGTGAGCGAACGGTGGCGGAGCTGGTGATGATGATGATGATGGAGCGACAACATATATAATGCAGTGCTCCGGTGCCTCAGAGTTGACCACCATTAAGCACTCGAACCATCGTCCTCAAGTGTTGTCTTCAAATAGGAAAATATCTTCAAAAAAAAAACCCCCCTACCGCATCCACCACACACACACACCCACGAAAATGCATCTCACCACCCTCACCACCACCGCCACCGCTCTTCTCTCCCTCGCGGCGGCGGCACCTGCGCCTGCACCGGCAACGGGCACGCAGCTCTCGCGCCGCGCCTGCACGACGCAATACCCCACGCACCTCTTCCAGATCATGCAGGACGACCCGGAACACAACACGGGCGACCACGGCTACGTATACACAGCCCAAAGCGTCGACGACGCGACAAAGGCGAAGACACACCAATGGATCACAGAACTACAATTCGCGGGCATACCCGCCGGCGCGTACGGGTGCAGCGTCGAGCTCTTCTTCGAAGCGGGGTACAACGACGGCGGCGCCAACAACCAGCCCGGCATCACCACCACGGGCGGCACGCCCGAGAACCCGGTCCGCCTGGACTTCTTCGCCACCGCCGACGGCAGGGACGTCAGTCTGGCGGATTCGTGGCTGAGCCACCCGGCCGAGGGGGCGAGGGTCGGGACGGCGCAGGTGGTGGCGAGGAGCGACGCGGATACCCGGGTGACGGTCGTGACGGGGGAGTGCAGGAGCACGCTGAATTACCTCGTGGAGGTGCAGGGGGATGGGGCGGGGAGCGTTGGGTTCTTCCAGAGCCCGCCGAATGGGTTGAGGTTGACGTATAACTGCTGAGTGAGTTGAGTGTTGTGGATAGTGGGGAGAGAGAAGGGGAGGGGGGAGGTGTTTGGAGGCGCCTTTTCTGACTGCATCGTCTGTCTTTACCAGTGTTGGGGGAGGGGGGCTTTTGTGCTGGAAGGAATCGAGAAGTTGTTGGTACTGTGCATGCTTTGTAAACACTTGCGTAGTCAATTCACCCATGTTCGCCCGTGCATATATATATATGTGCAAAGAACCATCAATAGACGCAGTCACTAAGGCCTTGACGACAAAGCAGATTGGAAGATTCAGAAATTGGTTTCAAGGCTAGAATAGAAGGTCGATATAAGAGCAGAGTGCCACGGCTGATTGCGGAGAAAAGGTCTAGCAGGTCTCGACGGTGGCGCACTTGCAGTTGGCGCTGTCGCCGGAGCTGAGCATGGCGGGCTCCTTGCCGTTGCTGTTGCCCTTGAACTCGGTGCACACGTTCTTGACCGAGGTGGTGCAGGTGCCGGTGATGTCAGCGACTAAAAGCAAGCGTCGTGTCAGCAAAACAGGATCGATCCACCCTCGCGCAGTTGTCGTGATCACTTACTGTCACCGTAGTTGGAGTTGATGCCGGCCAGGAGGTTGCCGTTGTAGGCCTTGACGTTCTTGATGGAGACGTTGCGGCGGCCCATCTTCTTGCAGTTGCCGCACGAGCGGTAGAGCTTGCTGAAGTCGACGACGGTGAAGCCGTCGATGAAGACGGAGCCGATGCCGTTGTGCTGGATGACCTTGTCGGCGGCGCCGCGGGCACCGCCGCCGATGACCCTGCCGACGCCGTCGCCCTTGAAGCTGAGGGCATCCTCGCAGACGGCGGTCCACCACACGTTCTCGATGGTGCAGGAGCCCTTGCAGTGCACGCCCTCGATCTGGTCGGCGCCGATGATGGCGTTCCTGAGCGTCGAGTTGTTCTCGAGCACGAAGACGGCGTCGTCGGGGGTGCCCTCGGTCTGGCCGGTGCAGGAGACGCCACGGCCGTACATCTTCATGCCGCCGTCGAAGACGCCGGCGATGACCTTGGCGGCGCTGAGCCTGACGCTGCCCTTGGAGGCGGGGATGGGGAACTCGGAACGGCGGACGAGATCGTAGCCGAACGTGTCGTCGGCGGGGACGGCCAGCACGCCCGCGGCGGCGAGGAGGGGGAGGATGAAGAACTTGGCGAACATTTTGAGTTTGGAGCGAAAAAGGCAGATAAAAACGATCCCAGATCGATGAGAATGAGCGTGGTGAAAAAAGAGTGAATGAATGTGTTGGAAGATGGAAGAGAATGACTATGAAAACGAGATGGTGCGGCCGGGCTGGCGCCTTTAAATCAGCGTACTGCACATTACACACGACACCACCGCCCAGTATCCCAAAATTGCCCGATGAGGGAGAGCGAGGACGGTGGCAGCCGACGGCAGCGTCGTGACCTGAAACGTCCAAGACAACCCGGCGCGGATCGAGTCGAGCACACGATGGTTTCCAATCTATATCGCTTGGCAAGGCCATGGTTCCGCGGTGGTTGGGGCAGGGGGTGGAGAGGGCCAGCAGGGCGGGAAGCTGGAAATCTCCGGGCGGCAGTGGCGCAAACACGTCCAGCCTCATCAAGTCTTCTTGGCCACGCTTGGCAGCATCAGAGCCGGCATGCCGACGCGGCAGCGCATCGGGAGCGGCGTGGGAAGTCAATGGTCGGGCGGCCTGTCGTTCCAATTAGGCCGGCCGGAGCTTGGCTTCAATTCCCGCCTTAATCACCCATCCCCACCGCTATACACGCCCTGGCTGCCGCCGATTCCGCTCTCCTTGAGCCCTCTTGCTTTTGCTTGGCGGCATTGGTTGTTGATTCGAACAGAAGCGCTCGGCCCGAAACCTGCCCTCAGTCAGCAATCAATCTGTCCCGCGGCTCGTATTCCTCCCCGGGCCATGGCCAAGCCCGCTAACTGGCCACGAGTTCGGCCATTTCTTTAGGCCGCTTGTCCACGAGTTTGGCCATTTCTTTAGGTTGCTGTCCACGAGTCGGACTTTTCTTTAGGCCACTGTCTGATCGGGAACTTCCTATGCGATGTGGGGGTCGCTGTTTAACGTTACTCTATATGCATTGGAGCAAGAGCATCGTTGACGCCAAAGTCAATGTGTTCGGCAGAGGTGGTGATACATCAAACGCACCTTTTTCTATTGCCATGGACCAATCCAGGAATCTTGCCAAGACAGTCTCGCCAGAGGTCGCTTGATGGTGCTTCTGTTCTCCAGCCATTCCACTACCGTCTTTGGCTATGATGCTATGGCCTGTTTCTTGGTCTTCCCAGAGCAAACTCTCAGCCCATGCTACCTTGGCAACGGCATTGGAAACGGGCATTTTCTGCCGATCCCCATGTAGCAAGAATACAGTGTCTTTCGTGGGAATACGGGAATATGCACTGTTCACGTAAGAGAGCTTAGAGTTGCTACAACCAACTCACTTGTGAGACGGGCAATGGCTTGTTTGGGCCGGTTGTGCCTCTGGATGCTGGGCGAGCTGGCATGGCGGATCAGCGGTGGAATTCAATGTTGCGCTTTTCGAAATAGTAGGGAGAGTGATTGATGTCAGTACTGTTACGATTGCTTAGCTTTCGCTTTTCCATGATGCCTTGGGCATGTCGTTGTCCGAAGCTTGGCGGTGCCGTCCAGCCGAATAAGCGACGCAGACGCAAGCCAGTTGCCGGATTGGGACACGGCCCATGCCCGAAGCGGCAGTGTGAGCGAGAGGAATCGTGGGTCCTCTATGCGTGAACCTCGCGACTCCCTTGACCGCTCCCCTGATGGCAGATCTGCAGCTCTCCCGCAACCCGACTCCCGAATCTTATTCTCACTTCGGATCCCTCATGTCTGAGCGCCGTGTCCCCTGTCGTTGACGCGCAATCCCATGGCTCAATCGGGCAATGGTCGGCGTTGGCGGAACATCAAATGCCGTTTCGGTATGCATGTCACAGACGACTCACTCGGGAATGGCTTGTAGCTGATGTCATGCTTCGTGATGTATCTATGTTAATTGACGCTCATGGTGACCGAGTTGACCACGAAGGTGATGTTCTGGTCCTGGGCAGAGTGCTTGGTTTCCGACCCCCACTGAAAGCGTCCCAAATAAGCGGCGGTGGGGATGTAGCCACCGCCACGCAGTGTTTCGAGGAGCGGGAAGTAGTCGACGTCGATGGTCGTCAGGTTGCCGTCGGGGTACCACGTGAAGACGGTCTGGCCATTGGCATTCGGCCCTTGGTACAAGGTGCTGGGCTTGGATTAGCTGCGGAACACATGCTGCGAGTCGGACACAGGGACGGTACTATGTGACGCCATCCAGCTCCTGGGTCGGCGCGCTGGTCGAGGTGGGATCGTAGCCGATGGGGTCGCAGTTGCCGTATGCAGCCTGCCAGATCATGACTTCGTATGCGGCAGCGGAAGAATCGGATGCCGTGCTGGCGTCCTCATCCAAGAACAAGTCAATGGCGACATCGGCCACGACGTCCAGACTGGCCAGTGTGGCTTCGTCTGTTGCCGTGTCGTCCGAGGGGGAGGGGACGATTGCCCAGTCCGCCTTCAGCTTCAACGAAGTAACGTCCGGGAAAGCCAAAGGGAACAGCTCAGTGTTGAAGAGCGCGTCGGGGTACGAGTGGACCTGGTCCACGAGGCTGGTCAACGGGAGCTTCTTGCGAGCAATGCCCGGAAGTGTTCATACCTCGGTCGGAGCGTCGGACCACCGCCAGGTCGAGTTGAAGACAGCAAAGTCATCGGTGCTTTCTCCGAGACAAGTCTGCGTGTTGATCAGTCGGTTGGTGGACGAGTCTCTCCGTTTGAGCAGGGCTTCACCAACCGTGGTGCAGGTCAATCCGGATCCATCGTCGCCCCAGGCGTTGTTGATGATGTCATACAGACCCGAGGTGGTATTGATAGCATCGTATTGGCCGCAGTACGTGACCAGGTTACCACTGTACGTATAATCGGCTTGGGCGGCAGGCATGTGGGACAAGATGGAAAGGACGCAAGTGAGGCCGGGGACAAGGTAAGGTCGAGGCATGGTTGGGTACGGTGGTGGACAACAAGCCGGGCGGTCCCAATTTTTTAAATAAAGAGCCGAGGCTGAGCAAGCGTGGCTAAGTATAGCTCGACAAAAAGCACAGACAGTCTGGAAACCGGCTGGCCGTGGATTTTACATGGCTGAGACATGGGCAGTCGGCCCCGTTCAGCTGCGCTACCCTCTCTTCCCAGTAGCAACGCTTCTTCACTCGGGTCGGCCCACATTGATGGTTGCAGCACCACTCTTCCCCGCGTCCCCAGCTACCTCGTGCCTCACGTTCCCATCAAGCTCGTGCACCTGGCGCGGCTGGTGCGGCGGCAGCTCCTGGACGCTTTGAGGCGACAGTTCCTGCGGCGGGTAGCCCTTCTCCGTCTCCGGCGAGGCCATGGGCAGCTGCTCGTGTGCCCTAGTGGCGGACACGCGCTTGCGGTAGAAGAGGTAGCCGACGAGGGCGAGGCCGATGACGCCGACGGGCACGGCGACGCCTGCCGCGATGGCCGCGGTCCGCGCACTGTCGGAGCTGGAGCTGGCCCCGGCCGCCGAAGACGTGGCCGAGGCCGAGGCAGCGGACGTCGAGGCGCTTCCAGTCTGCGTGGCGGGCGCAGTCGAAGCGCTGGCGGCGGGCGAGGCGGTAGAGGAGGTTTCTTGGCCGTGGTCAGCAAGCTAGTGCCCGGGCTGTGAGGTGTGCGGCATTGGACTTACGGGTGTCGGATGTGGTGGTGGACAGACCGTGCTCAACACCAAGCGCGCAGTAGCCGTCGAAGACGGCGATTGCGCTCGACGCCTGGGCGGATCCCGCAGTGCCGCACGAGTTGGAGACTTCGGAGGAGATCATGGCGCTGTAGTAGGAGCTGCTGTCGGTGCAGAAGCACGTGTAGCTCGTCGTGGCCATGTTGTCGCCGCAGCCGCTCTGCTGGGCTCTGACCACGGTGCTGAGCACATCTTCGGCGCAGGTGGACAGCTCGATGTAGCCCGAGATGGTGTCGATGTAGTTCTTGGTGGGCACAATCGACGAGCTGGCGGCGGCCCGGACTGGGGCGGCCAGCAACAGCGCGAAGGCGAAGGCGAAGGCGACGGCGAGCAGGCTTCGAGCTGCCATGGTCGTTGGTGTCGTTATCTCGGTGGGACGATGGAGGGAAAGCGGAGAAATAGGCGGCGCAATCAAGCCGGATCCACAGGCGCCCCCTGCGGGCCAACGGGCAGCAAAGCTTGTGTGTCGTGGGGGCCAATTGATGCAGGCCGGCGCTTGGGCCATGATACCGTCGCCTGGCTCGGGCCGCTTCGCTATATTAAGCAGTGTGTGACTTCATACTCTGGCCCCCGTATCCCATCCTGCTGAAGTAAAAACCTTGCAGCGTTGCGCCTGCGCGTTGCTTCATGCCATCGCCTTCGTATCCGCTAGGCCCTTCACCTGGCTTCTGATGCCATCTTTCCCGTTTGAATCCTCGAGACGAGGTAAGGCTACAGAGAGACGTTTTTTGTGGAACCAACCAACGCTGTGAAGTGACTCAGTCAACGAGATCAGCGCCGCGGAACAAACCGGACTGAATACTTGCTTGAACCCACCATGTGTCTCTTGAACACTTTATCCATCGCATGTGGTCCGCAGGAACCCTGCGTCTTTCGGCTGCATTAATATTACTGTTCTCTTCTCCAACACGACGAGTGCGCAAACCCTCTTCCCATCAATCAGTACAACGCCGAATTATAAGTAGCCCAACCCCCCCTGCAACCATCATCATTACCGTCTCAAAACCCCCCAGCTGTCATGGCCCGACCAGCCGCGCCCTTGCTGCCCGCTTTGCCCGTCGTTGGAATGCGAGTTGGACACTGCAAACTCGGTCGTCACGTTGATCCCTCCGCCCCCACGCTCTCGTCCTAGCTGTGCCGCTGTCGGCGCCGACACAACCACCTCTCGATCCTCGATCAAGTCCTTGCTACTCCTCAGCGACTGCACGTCACTATCGTCCCTGATCGACGAGCTCCCACAGCGCTCCAGGTCCCTCTCCTCCGCCGCCGCCGCCACGCCCAGTGCCTTTGATGTCTCCCGCAACGGAATGGCCTTACCACCACCACCACCTGCACCACCTGCACCACCACCGCCCCACCTATTCCCCGTCCCCGTCCCCGTCCCCGTCCCCGTCCCCGTCCCCGTCCCCGTCCCCGTGCCGTAATACTCCTGCGACGAGCCGGCGGCCTGGGACGGCGACGGCGAGGAGCCGCCGGTGAGGAGCGGCTTGATGGGCGGCACGCAGATGACCATGACGGTGACGAACGTCTCGCGCGTGCCCCACTGGATCGAGACGACGATGTTCCTGATCGACTGCAGCCCGAGGATGCCGCGCAGCAGCGCGCACGCCACGATGAAGAAGGACGACGACAGCAGCAGCGCCACCAGCAGCTTGCGCCGCAGCGCGATCTTGGCCGACCACAGCACGTTGGCTGGGATGAGGACGAGGCCGATGTCGTTTCTGTATGTTTTTTTTTTCTTTGATTAGCCTTTTTTTTCGGTGCTAGGTACTACTGGTCGTGGTGGTTTCGGAACAGAGGAGGAGGAGGCGGGGTGTAGGTGGCTTACGCGATGTTGAGAACCATGAGTGCGACGACGGTTGACGAGGTGCGTGTGCACTGGTCTCCGGCATATGGGACGATTCGCCAGTTCAATTGGATGGGGGTACAACGGCAGAAGACAAGAAGGATCAGGGATAGCCATGACAGAAAGCAGATTACAGCCATGACTTTCACCCACTTGTTCTGCCGAGTGCCTGCACTGAGGGACTGGTCAGAACCATGCGCAGCTGAGGCGTTCGATAGATACCTACGTTAACCTGTTGTAGTACCCGAGTACTTGGCCCTTCAGCGTCCATATCAGAGTGATGTATGTGAACCAGGCTGCGAAGAGGGCCTTCGACCCCGTCTGTAGAGACGCAATCATCGGCGGTGCGAGCTGTTGGGCCGTCTCTTCGTTCAGGCCGACGAACGATCCATGCACGACTTTGAAAAAGGAAATGGTCAGCTAGCTATATCTAACTTTCTACACCGAGCATGTGGTACTCACTGACTGCTTGGAGGAGTGCGGGATCAAGGGTGAAGAATATCTGGAGCTGATCAGTTCTCAATCCTTGCCAAACTCGGGATGCATATGATTACCATAGATATCCCAGCAAACAGGTCATCCCACGAGAAACCTGAGAAGCCGACAAACTTCCATCTGGCGTAGAAGCGGAGGATGAACACCGCCATGCCGATGCCATATTCGAGCCACTGCTCCAAGATGAAAGCTTTCTGAACATCATTCAACATGTTTGCTGACACGGCTTTGCAAGAGAACCGTGGACAAGCGGGAAAAAAGAGCGACCCTGTCGCCGGAAAGGGCTGCGGATGCGGGCAACCTTAATTATAAAACCAGCCAGGGACAAGCCGTAATCACATGGCTTCTAGAAAACGCGATTGGAGCGTATGGAACCTACAAACCCTCCCTTCACCATCTTCCGGACAATGGACGCGGGTGGCTCGGGCGCCGCTACGTCGGCTAGCTCCCACGCTACGGAACGCCACCCTCCCTTGACAAGCGTCTTGTTGAAGGATGCGGAGACTCCTCCTAAGAGCTTCGATCCCAAATCCGAACTAAGGCGCTCGCATGGTTTCGGGTGGAACACGGCTTGGGTAGAAGCGCGGGGGCCATCGTCAGACGCCATGGGACGCGATTGGCCTACGAATCATCAGCAAATTCCCCTGCGGCTGACGGCTACCGCTGATCGGCAGGGACCGACGCCTTTCGAAGGATGGCCAGAGTCCCTCATCCGAACGATCGTCCAAGGATTTAATCGTCACCCCTTCGCCGCCCCGCACTTCGACGAGGGCCCTGGTCAGTTGGCACGCAATGAGAATCCCTTGGGCTAGCAAAGTCCTGTCGGAATCCATTTGCAGGATCCAGGGGGCTGCCGATCTTGCTGTGCTGCGGCCGAACCGCATCTCCCATCGAGCATGTAGTATAGCGCCACACGGCTCGGGTAGACCGCTGCCCCGCTGGCTTCGACCGTTTGCGGAAATCCGAATGACGAGCCGACATTCTAGCCACCAGTAGTCCGAGCTCTCGGATAGAGTGACACTACTAGTGCCCGCGCGGCGGACAAGACGACGGCTGGTATTCCGTCCTGCCGCGACTGCGCTTGTGAACGCTAGTAGAACCCGCCTTGACAACTTCCACAGCTGTTGCTCACTCGTCTTTTCCGAGTAGAAAAATAGAAAACAAGGACGTGAGACGGAGCGTGAGGAGAACCCAAAAACGTTTTTGAGGCATCAGGAGGACCTTGCACGAGAATCCTGGCAGATCGAGCTTCAGCGCCCCGCAAAATCCGCCCGTTGAGGCCCAAGAAGCCGGTCGATCGGTTGTCTCTCTATTAGCGTAAAGGGGCTAAAAACCAGTGTCGAATGAGAGAATAATGCAAGTTTGACGAGATCCACTTTCCTTATCAAAAACCTTTTTTTTTCTTTTTGGCTATGCCGAAGCATGCGCTAGAAATTTGTTGAGGCTGTCGTTGGCGATAAGTGTTTTTTTTCTTCTTCTTCTTCTTCTCCTGTGGGAAAAAGCAATGCAACCGATCTTTTCCCTGTAGATGCGTGCCCGCCACTGGTCGCTGACGGGGCGAAGATCAATCACATCGCCGAGAATCCTTACCAGCGGGACCTTTGGCGAACTAAAAATCCTGTGGCGCCAGCAGTGAAGGAGAAAGGGGATGAACTTGTCAAACGCGATCAGAAATGCTTTTTTCATGAGCGTTGGAAGCAGGAGAAGAGCTGCACACGGGCTGATATGTCACATCGGGGTGAGGTATTTCCAGTCAATCCCGGCTCTGAGGTGCTCGTGTTTGTCGCCTTGGCGGCCATCCCCCGAAGTGTGCGCCGTTCTAAGCACGGTTGACTTTAGCGGAGCGGCCTCCTGGGGAAGTTGTCTCTGCCCAATGCCTTCTTCCCGTGCTCCTTGAATCCTTGTGTGAGTTGTTTCCGAGTCTTTCGACTGCTCCGGCCTTGGAGAAACACTCGCAACAGTAGTTGAGGAAAGGGGGAGTAAACCCATGTGGATGGAGAATCTGGCCTTGTTGGAGCTTCCAAAGGCTGGCCGGGTCGAATGGGAAAAGGAACATGATGAGGTCGGAGGACATGGAGCAGAGAGACGGGAGAGGTGGCTTCTGACTTGATGGTCAGACCCCTTGACTACTCATGTAGGGAGACTCGGGGCTGACTCGACGCTGGATACGGTGTAAGACTCAGGTGATGAGGTGATTGTCTCGACCATGGCCATTGAGTGACACTCTCGATAGCAGGGAATTCGGGGCGGGCGGCCCAGGGCGCTGAAGATCTGCATCTCCCTCGGGTAGTTCCCTGCAGCAGCTGACGGCGTTCTCGTGCTCCCCTGGCTGGCACGGCAGCAGCTGGGGCGACGGCAGCGCCAAGGGCCGCCAATGCGCCAGCCCAGGGCAGTGGCAGATGTCGCGAGGGGAAGAGGCGAGAGAGCGAGCGCGGGGAATGGGCGGCGTACACGTACGTGGTTCACCGCAGGGTCTGCTGAGTCATTTTGGGGCACGTGACGAGCGATCCGGCGATTGGGCCCCTGGTCGTGGGAGAGGGGCGGCAGGTTGCGAGCCCACTTAGGGTGCATGAAAAGATGCGGGGGCTCGGGGGCGCAGACGTATAAGACGGTGCGCCTTTGCGTCCAGCGCGCCGGGTCTGCCGCTTTATTTGTCCGTCGCGAGAAGGGAAAGCGACATCAGGATTGCAGCAAGGAACACGCCCGCTCTTTCCCCCTGGTTGCGAAGAAGAAGCAGCCAAGAAGCAGCTGTCCCCTCGCTTATCTGTGAATCCGCCCGCTCTTATCTTTTTTTCCTCGCCCCCATCCCGCCGCAAGGGAGCAGGAGGAGTGACAGGAGAAATACCGTCCCAAAACCATGGCCTCGGGCGTCGACGCTGACGATCGAGGGTCCGCCCAAGCAAACGCCCACGCCAACGCCACCGCCAACGCCAACGCCGACGCCGACTCCGCCGACTCCGCCGCCAACGCCGCCGCCGCCGAAGACTCGTCGGGAAGCGGCGGCGCCAGGTCGCAGACGGCGTCCGAGGCCTTCCTCGACGAAATCACCCAGTCCGTCAGCGCCTCCATCTACGAAGGCCGCTACGAGAACGGCCGTCGCTACCACACCTACCGCGAGGGCGCCTACCCGCTGCCCGAGGACGAGCGCGAGCAGGACCGCCTCGACCTCATCCAGCATTGGTTCGGCCTCGTGCTCAAGGGCGAGCTGCAGCGCGCCCCGCTGGACTGGACCCATGACGAACCCTCCGACGCCCCGCGACGCGTGCTGGACGTCGGCACCGGCACTGGTCTCTGGGCCCTGGATTTTGCCGACTTGCATCCCGATGCGCAGGTCATTGGTGCGTTCTTTCGTTTTTATTTCCTTCAATCTTCGCTTCTGCTTGGCGTTTCGCCGTGTCTGGGTGTATGTGTGTGGTTTAAAAGCCTACGTGGTAGACAGGAGGCGTAGTATCTTTTGCGGGACAAGCTGGCGCAAAATCTTCTGCAACTCGCCGTGCGCGTGCTACTCGAGAACACGACAAATCAGACGGCTAACTGGCGATGCAGGAACCGACCTGAGCGTCATACAGCCCGAATGGTACATGACAAGCTCCCGCGCCCCCGGACCTCGAGGCAGTACACCTGGCTGACATGCACATCGATCAACACAGGACGGCGCCCAACTGCCACTTCATCATCGACGACGCCGAGTCCGACTGGATCTTCACCGACAAGGAGTCGTTCGACTACGTGCATGTGCGCTATCTGTACCCGGGCATCGGCGACTGGGAGCGGCTGTGGCAGCAGTCATTCGAGCACCTGCGCCCGGGCGGCTGGGCCGAGTCGCAGGAGATCTCGGCCTGGTTCTACTCGGACGAGCCGGGCTTCGAGCACAGCAACATCCAGTACTGGCAGCAAACCATGGACGACGCAACCGCCCGCATCGGCAAGCGCTTCAACCGCGCCCACGAGCAAAAGGACCACATGATCAAGGCCGGCTTCGTCAACGTCGTCCAGGAAATCATCGAGGTAGGTATCCCATCCCTCTCCTCTCCTGATCGCTTGGCCGTGCGCATCACAGCTGAACAGAAGCACTCTAGGTACCCATGGGCACCTGGGACAAGCAGAACCTGGAGATTGGCAAGTGCGCGTTGCTCAACGCCTTCGAGGGGCTGGCGCCGACCTCGTTGGCCATCTTCAGCCGCGTGCTGGACTGGGACATGCCTCAAATCGAGACGCTGCTGGCGGCGGTCCGGAACGAGTTCTTGTACAGCAGGTGGAAGACGCACGCCAAGTTTTACTTTACCTACGGCCAGAAGCCGGCAGATGCTTAGCAGCAAATGAAGAGATGAAAAACAACACGCAAACATGAACAGCAATGGGCTGGCTAGCACTTCAAAGGTGGTCAATTGCTTCTTCTCCCTATGATTGTCCCTTGGAAAGAAGGTTTCTAGAAGGTCATTACATTAACGATTCGAAAACAAAAAACTCTTAACATCAACCAAAACGCGGGTACGCTCTCCATCACACCCTCGTTCCATTATTGACGTAAACCAAAAGCCTATCCGCCCCGCCACAAGCCTCGGTCGAGTTGCCCGAGCACGCGTAATCGCAACCCGCCAGCAGCGGATCGGCGACGTCGGGCACCACCAGGGCGTCAGCCGGCTTCGCCGCGCCCCCGTAGCACTCGTAGTAGTACTCGGCCCCGCAGTAGGCGAAGCCCTTGGCCGCGCACGCGTCCAAGCACTTGGCCACCGTCGCCGAGCCGGCGTCGATGGAGACGCTCGTCCCCAGCGTCCTCTTGCCGTCGACGTTGTCCCTGTAGCAGCTCGCGAGACTCCACGTGCCGTACGACTGCCGCGCGAAGAACTTCTGCGTCCACGCCGTGTCCTCGGTCACGGACAGCCTGAAGCTGCCGCCGCACGCCTGGCCGGCGTCGCCCGCGCACGCGCTCGAGCAGTCGGCCGCGGCCGCGGCGGTCGATGGCAACGACGGCCCGCACCAGCACTCGGTCCCGTACTGCGTGCCCGCGTATTTGTACCCCTTCTCGCGGCACGCCGACGCGCAGAGGCCCGGCGTGTTGGACGAGTTGGCGTACGCCTGCGTCGGGAACGTGCGCGCCGCCGCCGAGTCCGCGTGGCAGCCCCGCGCCGCGATGCCGCTGGGCAGCGACGCCGTGAGCTTCGCGCCCCAGATGCCCGCGTTGGCGAGCGAGCCGCCCAGCGTGCCCTTCAGGTAGCAGGGCCCGTTGGAGACGTACGACACGTCTACGCAACCGTCGGTCGCGTCGCACTGGGCCACGCAGGCGGCGAAGCTGCCCGGGTACGTGGGCGCGCCCATGTCGCCGCCTTGGTGGTCGGTGCCGCATTCGATGAGGAATTTTTGGCCGCGGGGTCCGGAGATGGTCTTGCCGTCGGAAGTGGGGCAGGAGATGGTCGATGAGGATGGGGTTGCTGAGGAGCTGGTGGTGGAGGAGCTGGCAGTAGAAGTGGAGGAGCTGGCAGTAGAAGTAGACGAGCTGGCAGTAGAAGTCGACGAGCTGGCAGTAGAAGTCGACGAGCTGGCAGTAGAGGAGCTGACAGTAGAGGAACTGGCAGTAGAAGAACTGGCAGTAGAAGAGCTGACAGTAGAAGAGCTGACAGTAGAGGAACTGCTTGTAAAAGAGCTGCTTGTAGAAGAGCTGCTTGCAGAAGAGCTGCTTGCAGAAGAGCTGACGCCGACGGTAGAAGAGGTACCGCTTGAAGAAGCGGATGTCGAAGATGACGGCGAACTGGTGATGAGTTTCGCACCAAGAACGGCATTGTTGGAGATGGCGGTACCGACAGAGCTCTTAAGATAGCAGGATCCGTAAACCCAGGCCACATCGACACATCCGGAATTGGAATCGCACGCGTCTATGCAGAGCTCCAATGTGCTTGCGGAAGTGGTGAGCATGTCGCCAGCATCTAAGACGAAGTTAGCTGGTGTAAACACTATAAAGGCTTGGATGGCTTACAGTGGTCCGTGTAGCATTCAATCAAGTAATTTTTGTTATTCTTCGAAGTGTACGTCGTACCATTGGAAGCCGGGCATGCGAGAGGAGTAGTGGAAGAAGTGGCTGAGGAGGTAGTAACGGTAGTGGTTGTGGAACCTGACGTCGTTGCGGGGCCCGAGGTGGTCGCTGAGGATCCTGAGGTTGTTGTGGAAGCCGAAGTCGCCGTGGATCCCGAAGAGGTCGCGAGGCTTGAAGTTGTCACGGAGGTTGAAGTCGTGGAGCTTGTAGAGCCTGAGGTCGTTGTGGATCCTGAGCTCGTCGATCCTGAAGTCGTCGTAGAAGCTGTAGGCGTTGTGGAAGCTGAGGTCGTTGTGGAAGCTGAGGTCATGGATCCTGAAGTCGTTGTTGACACCAAACTCGTTGATCCGGAAGTCGTTGATCCGGAAGTCGTTGATCCCGAGGTCGCTGTGGATGCCGAGGTCGTGGTGGATCTAGTTGATGCAGATGTACTGGTAGATGAAGCGCACGCAGAAGGCCCGGTGTTTGATGGCAAAGCATACATGTTGAGGTAGCCAGCATTACCGCAGTATTCGGTAGTGTTGCCGCCGCAGGTCATTGTGCAGTTCGTGGCAAGCGATGAGACACTTGAGCATGCAACAGTGTTTCCGCAGTAGCACTGACGGGAATTAGTATCTACCAACTGGCATGGATTACACTACGCTTACCTCAGCACCATACTCTACACCAAAGTAGGAGTAGCCAGAGCAGTATGTAGCGCAGGATTCGACAGTCATGTTAGACTGCGAAGTGCTCTTTGATGAGAGTGCTCTCCCGGACGTGGCCTCGCTGTAACATCCGAGGAGCGAGTAAGACCCGACTTGCTGAGGAGAAGACGGCTTGACATCGGTGGTAATGTTGCTCGTGGAAAAGACCGAAAGCCGGTAGCTATTTCCGCATATTTGAGAGGAGTTGCCAGCGCAGGCCATTGTGCAGGCCTGGTCGGTGGTTGATTGAGCCTTGTAGCCCAAAGAATTCCCACACCAACACTAGATGAATTGTTAGTACCGAAATCCTGACACGGGAGAGGAAGCGCAGCTTTTCGTACCTCGACTCCGAATTCAAGCCCAGCAATCTTGTAGCCCTGACCGGCACATGTGGCTGTGCATGTATCAATGGTGTTGTCATTATTAGAGTAAGCCTTCAAAGGCAACACAGAGCCTGGATCGGAGTAGCACCCTTGGTATGTCATGCCGGAGAAAGATCCGGGAGACACAGGAGCTATGGCGGAGCTCTGAGAGGGGTCAGGGTAGGGGTCATCTCCGGCCTGGAGGCGAGGGTACCCAAAGTCATAGGCTTTGGATCCCGAGCCGTCGAAGTTGTCCAAGAAAAGGCGTGCTTGTCCCCCAGGTGAAGCAAACATACTACCAGCATCGTGTCCTATGGCAGCGTAATCAATGGTACATGAGGAAGTGGGCGGAAAGGCTCGGATGAAGTTGAAGAAGCGTTCGTGTCGGTTAGCACCGGTAGTGGTGGGACCACATCCGGAGGAGTCGTCTCCCAGGTCCAGAGTACCTCGAGTGTAAGCGATGTTCTTGGTGTTGTAATTTCTCAAGACAGCATCGCGTCCGGCAGCGACTACAGCAGCACCGTATGTGTTTGTGTAGGACGACAAGCCATCACGCCAGTCATCGTAGGTGGAACACGAGGAGTAGTCAATCGGCCGGTCCAAACTCATCCATCCGTAGCTGTTTGGATTGCCGACCCAGTACACCACGGGCGTTTTGGTACTGAGGTTGTCACCCACTTCGCAGTACCTCTGCACCGTCTGGGCGCCCAGCGAATGACCCGCGACGACGATCTGGCGGAACATGTCAACAACCCCTGCAATGAGCCCAGTACCGAAGCGCTTACCTGGTTGATGTTAGGGAAAAGTGTCTTGTTGTCGAAGTAGGTGGTCAGCTGGTCCAGGACAGCGAAAGAGGAAACGGTAGTCTGCGTCTTCGGATATTGGTTGTTCGCCCCAGAAGCCCACTGAGATCCCTTCCAGACAAGTGCAGAGGTATAAGAACCTTTGCCGCCGTCCAGCCAAGGATAGCCTGAGCCTTTGTCGTCTCCGTTGGTGAAGTACGGGGCAAGTATAGCGACGCTGTCGGTGCTCACTTCAGGATGGCCAGACACCTGAGCCAGAGCCGAGAGCCTGAGCCGGATCAGTGGTGGTTGTGTGAGTGGCGGGATTGAGATCCTACATGTTGCTCATATACGTGTTTGGGTCACGATTGAGGCCATGGACGACGATGACTGCTCTCTTGAGTGCGGCGGGATCCAGTCTCTTGGCCGTGCTATTCAGAGACATGTAGTTGATGAGAGTGGTGTTTTTGTTATTGGTATCTTTGATGTTGAAGTAAGTGATCTCAGCGCCGGGAACGATAGGCAGCGAGGTAGTGATGTTTTCTCCGACATATTGCTGAGCGTTGCTCAGTGAGGCTATGCCGAAGAGCACATGGGCGCTGAGCAGCCCCTTGGCCGGGGAGAACAGCATTGCACAACCAAAGACGCAAACGAAGAGCACAAGAGGAACGAAAGTCGGCGCGAGCAGTTGTGCAAAGAGTCGGCTATATTTGAGAGTCTGCCCACCAGGCCATCCGTTCAGCCTCAGCACGGATGGGGGCGCGAGAAGCGCCGGTTGCCACAAAGTCAAAGTCCAGATTCTACTCTAGATATGCCACCGCCAACGGTTGTGTGAAGCGGTGGAGGAAAGTGCCGTGTTGAAGGACGGATTGGGTGCTCGCTAAGCATTAATGGAAGTCAGTACAGGGAAGGGGCCTGAAGGAATGGCTGTGCGGGATCGAAAGTAGACATGCGGCGGCCGAGACCCACAGGGGAGTGGTGTAGCACGTCGAGGGCGTCAGACACAGGCTTGGTTGCCAAGCCGCTAGGAGCGTGATAGAGGTCTGGAATGCGCTTGAGGCATGTTCCCTTTGGAAGCCGTTTCCTGCGACTGCCGTTTAGATGGCGCCCAGAACAGCCGTGGACGGCGTGGCCGATAGAGTGGCCCAAGAGAGCAAAGCATTGAGTCAAGCGTAGCTCTCGGGTGACTGGACAGGAAAGAGAAGACGGGAGGCGTGAAGGGGCGTGAGGCTGAAGGGCGAATCTAACCCGGCGCGGCGCCATCGCGACCGCCATAGGGTTTTATGAGTAGCCATGGCCGGTGTAGGGAAGCGGATTCCTATGCAGGTGCAAGTTCTCGTTGAGACGTGTGGGCAAAGACAGGGTGCAACATGTGTGATGAAGCATAGGGAGGGCAAAGCAGCTCGCAGGGAAGGAAAGAGGTAGGCACGTAGGCAAGCTGAAAGGAAGGAGCCGCCGGGTGCGAGTCAGGCGGACAAAGGTGGCGGCGCCGCCTCTGAAACGCCGGCCGAAGCTTTCCATCCCACATCCGTTCCACGCTCATCCCACACTCATCTCCCGCACGCAAACATGGTGCCCGGCTCTTGTCCGTGCCAGCATGTGCGAGAAGCCGCCTCCGCATTCTAGGGCGGCTTTCTTGTTCCCCCCTCATCCATGTACCTCGGCACCCCGCCATCACCACCAACGGTGCGTCCATCGCTGACGATCGTCGCTCACCCCGTGATCCAAATGGGCTGTTCCGTACTCCAGCCGCATGGAACTCCTTGCAAAAATTTCCCCACCAGCCCAGCCAGCCCATCCCATCTGCTCTACAGTCCGAGCTCTGGGGCTTCCCGCCTCCGCTCCCATCGGCCACACCAGCTGCACTCTGCCATCACCTTGATTATCTCTGGACGACAGCGCTGCTGCGGGCATGCCACGGTCTGAAGCGCTAAACCCCTGGCTATTTCGACCATCGCCACGTATCTCTGGCCAGATCTCGCCGGACTCCCTGCGTGGAGCAGCCGTCTCGCTACGCCGGTTTGGGGAGGATTGACTGTCTATTGATTTATCCTGGCCACGATCTACCCAAAAACGTGAAGGCGGGCTGCCTACGCGCTCTCTTGCCCCGCAAACAAGCGAATCCCACTGTCATCAAATTGGCATTTGGATATTATTACACACGTCATGCCGCATTTTAACAAAAGCATATTGTCGATTGCCAGCCCCATTGGACTTGACGCGTCCTTTAGCTTAGAGCCAATCCCAATCTCGTACCATATCCTAGCCAGTTCAATCCTTCTTGCATGCTGACTTGTCTTTTGGCTATGGAAATGCCGACAATTCCCCGCTGCTATGTATCCGTGTTATTATATACCTAGAATCGAGCCTTACTGTCGCTTCACCCCAGGTTTTGTTCCCGCAAACATCTCCAGAATGCGTTTGTTCAATGCTGGTCTCATATCTAGTGTGCTTCTGTTCCATCGCGCCAATGCCATTCCAGCTCCCGTGCCTGAGAACGGACTCGAAGAGCTTGACAAAAGGCAACTTCTGAGCGGCATTTTGACCACCCTCGATGGCCTCACAGACCCTACTGCCATATTGTCGCAGCTCAAGCTGGTCCAACCGGCTTCCAAGCCAACCAGCGTCGAGGAAGCACAGTCTCGGCTCGAGCAGGTCTACTCTGCAACACCAACAAACATCTACAAGAACGTGGCAAACCAGATCAGTGAAGGCCTGACAACCATGACGATAAACGAAGCCCTCGGCATCCTCACCACCGGCGAGAATTCGCAAACCAACAACAACCTCCGCGACCCCGCAACACCCATATATCCCCAGAAATCGCCCTCTGATGCACCCTACTCCCTCAGTGAGCAGCAGCTGCGCCAGGCAATATACATCCCTCCTGCCTTCACCTACGGCCAGAAACCCCCCGTCATCTTCGTCCCGGGCACCGGCGCCTACGGTGGGATCAACTTCGCCTCGAACCTCCGCAAGCTCCTGACCGACGTCGCCTTCGCCGACCCGGTGTGGCTGAACGTGCCGGGCGCGCTGCTGCGCGACGCGCAGACCAACGCCGAGCACGTCGCCTACGCCATCAACTACATCTCGGGCATCTCCAACAGCGCCAACGTCTCCATCATCTCCTGGTCGCAAGGCGGGCTCGACACCCAATGGGCCTTCACCTACTGGCCGTCCACCCGCCCCACCGTCAGCGACTTCATCCCCGTCAGCGCCGACTTCCACGGCACCGTCCTCGCCAACGCCATCTGCCTCTCCAGCGGCGGCGGCATCGGCCTCGGCCCCTGCGCGCCCTCGGTCATCCAGCAGGAATACACCAGCCGCTTCGTGGCGACGCTGCGCGCGGCGGGCGGCGCCGACGCGTACGTGCCCACCACGTCCGTCTTCTCCGGCTTCCTCGACGAGATCGTGCAGCCGCAGTCGGCGGGCACGGCGGCGTCCGCCTTCGTCGGCGACGCGCGCGGCGCCGGCGCCACCAACGCCGTCCCGCAGGTCGTGTGTGCGGGGAAAGGGCCTGCTGCCGGCTTGTACACTCACGAGAGCATGCTGGCGAACCCGCTGACGTACGCGCTCGTCGTCGACGCCCTGACGCACGACGGTCCCGGGAGCGTGGACAGGCTGGATTTGGACAGTGTGTGCGCGACGGCGCTGGCGCCCGGGTTGGGGTTGGATGACCTTTTGGGGACGGAGGGGGTGCTGGTGCTTTCTGCTGTGAATCTGTTGACGTATCCGGATAGGGGGTTGGTGGAGCCTGGGTTGATGGCCTATGCGGCTGCGTGAAGGTGGGGAGGGGGGAATGTTGGATGTTTTGTAGCTCGTTGTATGACGGCAATGCTTCCTCGGCACGCTAATGGACCAAACTCGAAACCCATGGTCTTTTTGGAGTACCTTCTTCCCATGGACAGGAGACTTGATGTCCTGCTCGGTCGTAGATCCAGGTTAGGGCATATGCCAGAACGACTCCAATCACACATCAAGAGGGAAAGAGGGAGAGAGCAGGGGAACAAAACTGCCCAACAGGGCGATCTTGGACATTGTTCCCTACGCGAGCTCCACACCTGTGTGTAGTGACATTGCGCCAGAGCTCAAGCTTCCCTGCGTTCCTTCAGCTCCCCGTGACAAATCATCCGGACAGATCATACGTCATAGGCAGTGATGGGCGCAGCAACTCCCTGTTCCGCACATAGTCGCAGCGCCAACGATCTGCCGAGGTGAGATACCCCACAGCTGAATCATTCATAACATCCCCATGATCTCCCATACAAAGCAGGACATCCGGTTACTTCGCAATCATCCTCCTGTCTGATTGACCCATCCGTCCCTGCTCCCCACAGTCTCGGCAAGCCGCAACCCCACCATCAGCAACCACAATAAAACAGGAGACCGATTGTAAGAAGAAGGAGAAAAGACAAAAGAAAAGAGATATCAATCATGGCATCCGGCATGGCGCAAAACGTACCGGCCGCCCCCAACGATGCGGGAGCGCGCAAGTACGGAGCGTACCAGAACGAGATATACGGAAAGGGCATGCTGCACAACATCTTTCCCGCCGTGACGACGGACCCGAACAAGCTCGAGGCGCAGGCGGAGCGCGACATGAACGCGCGCAGCTACCGGTACATCGCGGGCGGCGCGGGCGAGCGCGCGACCATGGACGCGAACCGCGCGGCCTTCAGGACGTGGAAGGCAAGTCTATCTCCGCTCCACCTCTCCCATGCTTGATCGTTTTTTTTCATTTCCCTGCCATGTCAGTACGGTTTGAGCTGACGATTGTGGGGCCGTTTTGTGTAGCTCATCCCACGTATGCTGCGACAGACGACCAATCGCGACATGCAGGTCGAGCTCTTCGGCGAGCGGTACGATACGCCTTTGCTCTTCTCCCCCGTCGGCGTGCAGAGCATCTTTCACGATGACAAAGAGACGGGCGTTGCGCAGGTCGCGGCCGAGATCGGGGTGCCGTATATCCTCAGCACCGCCGCCTCGTCCACCATTGAGGATGTGGCCAAGGCGAACGGGCCCGCGGGGAAGAGGTGGTTCCAGCTGTACTGGCCGCACGATGATGAGATTACCGCATCTGTGAGTTTGTTATTTTTTCTTTTGCATAGTCGTCTGTCTTTCGGGATTTTGGGAGCTGATTAATGACACGTGGGTAGTTGCTCCATCGTGCAAAGAGCAACGGATTCAGCGCGCTTGTGGTAACGCTGGATACATGGGCAATGGCATGGCGACCGTGGGATTTGGATCAGGCGTACGTGCCGTTCGTCAAGGGCATTGGGTGCGAAGTCGCATTTTCGGATCCGGTATTCAGGCGGAAGTTCAAGGAGAATTACGGAAAAGAGGTTGAGGAAGACCTCATAGCTGCGGGGCGGGAGTGGGTGAAGATCTGCTTCTCGGGTGTGGCGCATACCTGTAAGTCCTACCTAGGGAAGATTTGGGCCGGGACGGAAAGCTGACAAGGGAACCTAGGGGATCAAATCGAGCTTCTGAAGAAGAATTGGGACGGTCCGATTATTCTGAAGGGCATCCAGCACCCCGATGATGCCGTCAAAGCTGTTGAAGCGGGAGTACAGGGCATCATCGTCTCGAATCACGGTGGCCGCCAGCTCGACGGCGCCATTGGCTCGTTGACCATGCTCCCAGAGATTGTCGAGGCAGTCGGTGACAAGTTGACGGTCCTGTTCGACAGCGGTGTGCGGACGGGGGTCGATGTCATCAAAGCACTATCGCTCGGGGCAAAGGCTGTGTGTATCGGCAGACCGTGGGTTTACGGGCTTGGAATTTCCGGTAGAGCCGGGGCGCGCGATGTGATGAAGGGCATCCTTGCTGATCTAGACCAGAGCATGGGCCTGGCTGGCATCCAGAATATCGCGGGCTGCAATCGTGGCGTAGTCAGACAAGTCGAGTATCCAGGAGATAGGGCGTCGAGCAGCTGAGGGCGGCAGAGAGCATCTGTTTCTGGAATAGATGAGTGCAGCTCCAGAGGGCCGCAAGTGCGGCATATAGCAATAGCAAAAAACCAACGGTCCAATCGAGCCTGTGGGATACCTGTGTGAGGTCGGTCTGCTGCAGCTGATTGCTGGCCAAGCCTTCGCTGGAAGCCAGATCAGATATGTCGATCGATCCAGAGCACCACAGTAAAGCTGCAGAATTAAGCTCTTCGCTCAGATCTTGTTAGTGGGGAAACGGAGGCGAAATGATTGGCGAATGTTGCCTAAGCAGGTAGGAAGAGATGCGTTGCAATAATCAGATACGAACACTGTATTTACAGGGGCGCGGGGTGACGGTGAGTGACGGAGGTTGCCGTGCAGTCCTGAGTAGCTGGCTCGAGATAGACGAGATCAGAGAGGTCATGAGTGGAGGCAGCCGGCGCAATATACAGAATAGCAACGGCTACTTCGGCTTCGAGCGGGGCCAGAGATGGGGGGATTCGAGAGAGGTGTGTCGATAGGGGAGGGTTCGTGAGAGGATGGCGCGATGGTGTTGACGCAGGAGAGCAGCCGGCGGGCCATGCGGAGTCGGATACAGTGGGCCATGGTGCGATGGGATGCCGGGATTCGGCAACCCGGCGTGACCGGGCGGCTGCTGGGGTGCTGGAAAGTCGGCCCTGATTAATTATTTTTGGAGAGTCTGGCCGGTGGAGAGCCTGGCCGGTGGCTCGGATGCGGCTCGCGTGCGGCTCGCGCCTGCCCTCGGTGCCCGCCTCGACGCGCCCCGTCCGTCACGCCTCCTTCCGCCCACCGGCGCCCACCAGCGCCCAGCACCTCCTGCACCACCCGACACCCGCCCTCTCTGCCGCCGCCTTGCCGCCGTACCTGGTCGCCATGTACGTGCCGTCATTTGTCTGCTACCGCCCCCGCTCCTACACCGCTGCCGCTTGGCTCAGGGCCCCCTACACGCCTGTCTCTATTGTACACAGTACACGCGTTGCAGTCTAAGCAGTACCCATGGTGCACCGATGCGGCACATCCTGGTTGAGCAGCAGCAGAAATGCAGCAGTAGTCCGGTCGATACACGCTCAACGCCGGCATCCACCGTTTCTCGGCGCCGCTTGACATGGCCGTTGCGGAGATTACACAGGCCCTCTCCCCTCACTGGTCTCCAGGCTGTGGCGCTGCCACCCAGTCAGACGTCACGCATCTCGACGAGAGTTGCCACTGCAGCCGCTCGAGCTGCATTGCCCTTCTTGCCCGTCACCCGAACAGGTCGGCGCACCGCCAGCAAGCGGCAGGCGAGCCATCAACAGAACGTCGATGAAGCGCGCACTGACGGCCTGTTTCCGTAAGGCAGGCTTGAAACGAGATCTCCCGGCCCCGCGCCCCTGCTCGGTTTCAAACGAGTAAGGACCGCGGCCTCTCTTGGACAAACCCCCGCCGAAGCCCATCAAAACAAAACACGCCTTGTGCCTGTGCCGCGGGGCCACAAATGTCCGGACTGAGGGCCGGGTCCTGCTTCTCGTACTGCGTGATGAAGTAGCCGCAGAATACATATACGGCGGTGCAGCCGCTCCCACTTGGCTCGGCACGAACTTACTTCGCTATCCATTCTTTTTACAGTCATTCTTTGCAATCTGCCCAGCATGCTGGCGCCTTCATTCGCTTTACTGCTGCTCTCTGCTGTGCAGAGCACCACCGCAGCTCTTACCAAGTCCAACCTCGAGACCCACGTCGATACCCTGGCCCTCGACTTCGAGTTCGGTCCCGTCAAGGAGGCCTACTGGACCAGCATCCCTCACCACCGCAGGACTCCCTTTGCCGTCTCGCCCGACGGCAAGAGTGCTTACCTTGCCTACCTCGACAGCAGTGAGACCGATGTCCACGTCCAGCAGGTCGACCCCACCACCTTTGCCGCCACCGGCACCACCGTCACTGTCTCTGGTGCCAAGGAGGCCGGTGGTCTGGTCGCTCACGACGATGGTTTCGCCATCCTTGTGAACGAGGCCATGCCCTCGGGCACCACCAACGCCCCTCCCTCCGACACCCCTGTCGCTGTCCTCTACCGCTATACCAGCGGCAAGCAGACCTGGAAGACCTGGCTCGGCGGCCCCGGTGTCCACGAGGCCGATGGTCTTTCTGCTTCCCCTGACATGAACGGAGACCTCGTCTACTCTGCCGAGGCTGGCTTGTACGGTGCTTACTTCGTCGTGACTGACTACTCTGGTGATGCTTCCGGCCACTTTGGCGATTCTATCGAGTACGTCAAGGAGGACGGCACCCTGTCCACCATCGACGGTGCTTCCAGCTCCTGGGGCTGCAGCCACAACACCGGTATCGCTTTCGAGGCCGCTGATGCTGCTCCCTTCGCCTCCATCTGCGCTGAGGACCAGGGTGCCATCTGGCTCAACACCGGTACCAGTGGTATGACCACTGCCGGCCAGAAGATCTCCAACGAGAACACCACCAACGGTGGCTCTGGTGAGCCCATGGGCGGCATGTCCGGCTCTTTCAGCGGTCTGGCTCGCTTCGGCAGCTCCTCCAAGTACATCTTCTCCTGGGTCTCCCGCGGTGCCAAGGACGTCGTCATCAACGACTGGATGGGCGACGGCTACACTCACGTCACCAACCGCACCAACAACCGCAACATTGCCATTTCCGTCATGAGCGACAAGAGCACCCTTGCCGGTGAGCAGGCCACTTCCACCGTCGGTTCCACCGATGGCGACAGCCAGGTCAACTGGATCAAGCAGGGCGACAACGACTGCCAGAACGCCCACGTCGCCACCTTCGGCGAGGCCAACGCCCTCGTCACTTGGGAGGAGGCCGCCAACCCCGTCTGCCCCGTCATCGCCATGGGCTGCATGGGTGAGTTCCAGGGCACCTTCTTCCAGCAGGTCGACAGCACTGGCGCCAAGGTTGGCGACGCTTTCAGCGCCACTGACGTCTACGTTGCCGGTGACATGGTCACCATGAGCGACGGCCGCATCTGCTGGCCCTACGTCTCCATGACCTGGGATGTCTCGACTGCCGTTTCCTACGGCGGTTCCACCTCCACCTCCAAGAAGATGTCTTTCGCCTGCATGTCCCTTGACGGCAGCAGCAGCAGCAGCGCAGGTGCGTCCTCGGCCGTAACCCAGGCTTCTTCCAGCACCCCGGCCGCCGCCGTCTCCAGCGCCGCCTCCAGCGCCGTCTCTACCCCCGAGGCGTCGGCCACCACCGAGGCCGCTGGCGTGATTGCGGAGGCCTCTTCCTCCACTACCCCCGTTGCCCCGGCCACCCCCACCACTCTCCAGACGCAGACTCGCTCATCCACGCAGGTCGACGTTCCCTCCACCGCCGCCGCCACGAGCGTCGCGCCCACGGCGGCCGTCAGCTCTGAGGCCGCCGGTGTCGCTGAAAGCACCGCCGCCGCCGCCACCACTGCCACCGGCGGCTGGGGCAACTGGCCTTCCTTCACCCCCGGCGCCGCCTGGCCCACCTCTTTCCCTGGCTTCGGCACCAACAAGGGCACCTCCAACACCGATACCGACGCGACCTCGTCGTCGTCGGTCGATGGCGCCTCCACCGAGGAGGAGGACGGCCCCTGTGCCGTTGAGTACGTCTACGTTTAGAGGAGATGGGAAAACGGAGTGATTTGTCTATGAGTGATTTTTGGTGTTGTGAAGGGGGGGAAAAGGCAGATGGAAAATCTTTGAAATGGAACGAGGAAAGTAACTGAACGAGGACAAGCGATGCTCGTGCTACTAGTTCAGGTACATACTCGAGGAGTTGTTCTCTGTATATATAACTTTCTGTCCTGCTCGTTCGGGGGACACATGAATATATGTACACCCAGCCGCATCGCGTCCTTTGAAAATCAGCAGCGAGATGCTTTCTCTTCTTCTTTCTCGAAACCTTTCATGTTGATTACCTTGTGCGTGATATCTTCTGAATGCTCGTACCACCAAGTGAACGATGTATGTGAGACCATGATAAACGCTTCATGAGTTTAGCTTCTTTGATATAACGAACTTGTTCCATTTCTCCTTCGATAGAGCAGACGCATGTACGAGAAAGAAATGAGAAATCAATCGTTGGTGGGCCCTACTTGTTGATGCCACAGGTATCTTTACTTCCACCAACCAAAACAAACCCACGTCCAGTAGCAACGCCCATAATGCCGCTTCAAATCAAATATCCATCCCCCCCAAAAAAAAAACAATAACAAGAGGTCTTTCAAGAGACCAAGAAGAAGGGGTGGGTTGGGGGGGAACGAGTCTTCCCCCCAGAAGTGCATAGAAGTTCACAAGAAAGGGACGAATGATCCGGACAGGGAGAGAAATATGATGACCAAACCACCCAAGCCCAAACAAGGGAGGGGGAGGGGGGTAAAGAAAGAAGAAGAATGAGAAGAAAAAGAAGACGAGCGCGAAAAAAAAAAAGAAAGACCCAAATCAGCTCGCCGTGCTCGCCGGGCTCCCCGCCGTAGCCGACTGGTCCTCCGTCGTCGTCGTCGCCGCCGTCGTCATCGAGGTCGTCAGCTTCTTCTTCGTCGTCGTCGACGACGACACCGATTCCTTCGCGTCCCTGTCCGTCAAGTCGCTGGCGTTGCTCTCCGTCTTGAACAGCTTGAGCTTCTTCCGCGGGACCGGCTCGTCGCCGCCGCCGTCGCCGTCCCTTTCCCTGTCCCTTTTACTACCGCCGGCGCCGCTCATCGGCGTGCCCTCCTTCCTGTCTCTGTCTTCCTTGGGCGGCCGTTTCGACGAGGAGCCGCCGGCACCGCCGCCGCCGCTGCCGCCCGTCTTCAGCTTCAGGATCTTCGTGCCACCCTTCTCGCGCCTCTCCCCATCGCCGTCACGATCGCGGTCGCGGTCGCGGTCCCCCCGGTCGCGGTCGGCCTTCTTGACGTAGCTGCTCTTCTTCTTGATCTTCTTGGGCGTATCGCCGCCGCCATCGTCGTCGCCATCGCCATCGCCCGCCGCCGCCGCCGCTGCCGCCGCCGCCGCCTCCTTCCTGGAGGAGCCAAGCTTGCCGGCCTGGCTGCCCGGGTTGGGCGTGCCCACCCTGCTGCCCAGCGGGGTGTTGCCCGCGGCGGCGCTGGCGGCGCCCTGCGAGGAGCTGAGCTTGGCCATGGCGTTGCGGCTGCTCTGGCGGCCGGAGATGCCGAGGCACTTTTCGGCGTGCTGGGCGAAGCGGGTGATGAGCAGGCTGCGCTTGCAGTTGGGGCACGTGTGCCAGGGAATGTACGACGCCGGCTTGCCGCCCGCGGCGAGCTTCGACAGGCTGTTCTCCTGCGAGTCGTCCCCCTGCTGGCTGCCGCCGCCGGCGCTGCCGCCGCCGCCGGCCGATGGCGTGTTGTCCTTCTCCTGGCGCTTGATCAGCTCGCGCTCCTTCTTCGTCTTGGCCATGTCGGTCGGGAACGGGTTGTTGTAGATGTCGTGGCCCTGGCGGCTGACGAACGGGTGGCGCGTGCAGTAGTTCTTGCTCAGGTCCGGCAGCCGCGACCCGACGCCCGCGATGGGGTGCTTGAGCCGCGGCAGCTTGCAGTGCGGGCACACGATCTCGGGCACCGTCTTGAGCGGGTTGCCGCGCAGCGTCACCCGCCCGTTGTCGTAGGCGGCCGCGCCCGTGTCGATGCGCACGCTCGTCGCCGGCGCCGCGTCTCCGCCGCCCCCTCCTCCCCCGACCGGCGGTGCCGACGTGCCCTTCGCCGTGGCCTTGTCCGTGTTCTCCTGGTGCTCCGCTATGGCCGCCTGCTCTGCCGTTGTCGCGGCCGACTGCATGCGCTGCAGCTTCTCCTCGCGGTGCGTCTGCAGCACGATGTCGTGGATGATGTTGTACAGGCAGTCTTCGACGATGCCCGCAGCCTGGCGTGGTTGCCGTTGTCAGTAAGCCCGCGCCGCGAAAAAATGGCCGCCCAATGACTGCGCCAAGAGGGGAGGGGAGCTCACAATGTCCGCAAAGCTGAGGCCGGGGCCTTGGGCCTTGCTGTCTTCGGACATGGTGGTTTTGTCCCGCCCGTAGTAGCACTGGAATATGCGATGGTCTCTCCGGCCAGTCGGTCGCACGTGCGCTGGGGTAGGGGCAAGCACCGAGGGTTGTCGCCGCGGCGGATGTGGCAATCCTTGCGCGGGTCGTATCGTATATCGTGGCGTCGAGTGTTTTGTCAGTCGGAAGCGGAAGCGGTATCGGGGACAACGAGCGTTTGATAGCGATTGGCGGTCCGGGGTCCGCGATCCAGCGGCGGGACGTGGACAGTGTCGCGCTTGGGGTTAGAGGAAGGAGGGTGTGTTCCGAGGTCGAGCTCGAAGGTGCCAGGTGAAAGCGAGTCCTGCGTGACCGGGGGATCTGCAGCTGGGCTCAACAGCCCGTCACGGCGTTAGGCGAGGTGGCGCGGCGTCAGCATTCCCCGTCTACGTGCGCGGCGATCACAGCTGCCCAAGTCCGTCGCCTGGGGAAGGGGAGGAGCGCGGTACGAGAGCGGGCAGGCTGTGGTTGGGATCGTGGACATTCGTGTCAACGAAAGGGTCAACTTTACGAGAGATGGCCCGGCTCGGGAAGGTTGCATTAGTGGCACTAGCCACAGTGCCACAGTTCCAAGTCCTGCGACGCTTCACGTTTCCTCGCTCACGCGACCATCTGCAAATCTCGATTGGCGCCTACTGGCACTGATCGGTATCGTCCGGAAGATCCGACAAAGACAAAAGTCTCAAAATTATGTGTTATTGCAGCTTTTCCTCTGGTCTAGACGCCTCAACTCCCTATTTATCAAACCATGATTCCCCAGAACGCCACGACATGGGCCTTTATCCCAACTAGGCCTTGCCCTTCACCCTCAATGCTACCTCTACCAGAGCCTTGAAATCCAGTTCGCGGTAGTCGCTTGGCATGTACTCTCCACTGGCAATGCAGTGCACTGTCATCCGCGGATGGAACTTCAGGCCATGAAGAAGCTTTGGTGTGATGAGGAAATACTGTGCAGTGTGTTCCTGGCACGCGATATCCACCATGCGCTCGTGAACCATGCGCTCGTTGCGCGGGTCCATTCCTTGATTGATCTCGTCGACCACTCGGAAAGGTGAGCGAGCGAGAGACTGCAGGGCCATGAGGTAGAAAATTGTCGACACCGCACGCTCGCCACCAGACTGCCGATGCGAGTCCAAAATCGAGAGCTGTTCTTGTTCACTGTAGAGCCCGGTCAGCATCATTCTTGTCTTGTGAACCCCGTGGCAACGGCTTACCGGAATTTGACTTGAATCTGGATTGCCCACTCGGAAAAGTCTTCTGCCTTGTAGATGCTGACTTGCCCAGCACATCCAATTTTGCTAAAGTTGTTGGAGAAGTCCAGGCTGATCTGTCGAACAAGTCCGTCCAATTCTGGTTCCCATTGGGACTTGACTCCCTCAATCCTGTCCTGGAGCTCTTGAAGCTCGTCGTCCAGACCGCGCAGTCTCTGCTCGGTTTCCTCAATCAGCTTTGCACGCTTCTCAAAGTCTCTGATTGCATTGGGATCGCCGCCGTGGAGCAGAGTCAAACGACTTTGGAAAATGACAATCTCCGCCTCGAGGTCTTCGAGGGAGATGACTGTCTCAATGTGCTCAACGAGCGCTGCTTCCTCGTCGCTTCTCATGTCGTTGATACGGCTGACCTCCTCTGACAACCGTTGTGCTGCTTTCTTGCATTGATCTGACTCTGCTTTCAGTCTTCGCATATTCGTCTCACGGTCCGCGATGTCCCGCTTGATGGCCTTGCTCTGTTCATCACAGATTTGGCACTCCGACTTGGCCTCTGCGAGTACAATCTCAGCCTCGTACACGCCGTGATGGAGTTCGAGCAGCGACTTGACCGAGTTAGCGTAGTCGATTGCAAGCTGGCCCTTCTTCAAGATGAGCTCGTCGGTTTCCGCATCGATCGTTTCGAGCCGCTGCGCCATCTTATTCAGCGCCTCCGTGGTTTGCGCTAGGTTAATCTCACACGTGTCTTTCCTCGTCTGCAAGCCCTCGAACTCGCCACGGAGCCTCTGCAGCTCGTGCTTCTGTTCGTCAATGTCTCGTTTTTCCCTCTCGAGCTGACTGATTGTCTCCTTGTTCGCCCGGATTTTTTCTGTCAATTCGGCGACTGCCTGGTTAAGATCATGTATGTCATGACCGATCTCACGGATCTTGCTCTGGTGTTCACGCTCGACGCTCATATCCACAGGTTGATCTGTCCAGACCCCTGATCGCCTGATCGGCTTGCTAGTGACTGACACCGCTTGATCTCCGTATTCGCGTCGGCGGGACACTTGGTACGTACGTTGTCCGGCAACCCATCGTTGAATGGGGCTAGCCTTGAGGCGTTCAAACTGTTCATCGCTGTGGTTTTGGAGAGTCACAGCGCACTGATGGAGCCTCAAACTGTCGCAGAGTGTTGACAGTACTGGGTCCGGTCCGCTCAGGTAGTCGATGATCCAGCCGCTCAGACCATATTGCCTCAAGCCATCGCTCGACATCAAAGGCTTCCAACTGTCACGAGGTCTGATGGCTTCCTTGATATGGGTCTCGTTAAGACCCATCCTCTGGAAGGTCTTGCTCAGAGTGGCAAAATCCCGACGATTGCTGACAGTAAAGGCGAGGAAATCACCCTTTTGTAGACAGGACTCGATGGCGTCGGAGAAGCGATGGTCTGTGACGGAGCAAGACACGATGGGCGGACCAAAAACTTCGCCGGTGAGCTGATCTCGGTTCTTCTGGACCCAATCCCAGGCTTTCCAGGTATCCATCGAGAACTTCTTAAGTCTGTTGGACTGTTGTCCAGCCTGAGACCGTAGGCTCTGGACATCTCTCTCGACTTCTTGCTTCTGCGCATCCAGTCTACGAATCCGCTGCAAGATTTCATCGCGTTGTCGGTTCAAGTCCTGATTCTCGATGTGCAGCTCGCGCGATGCGCGTTGCTTCTCTCGGCTTCTCTCGTTGAACGCCGCAGCATCAAACTCAGGCGTTCCTTTGTTCATCTTCTCCGTGATGGTCATGATTTCCCGTTTGAGGCTATCGCGTTGACGCGCCCTGTCCTTGTTGGCGTTCTTCTCCGCATTTTTGGATGTGTCCTTGTCATTGATCTCAGCTTGCATACTGTCCATGCGCTGACGAACTGTTTCGGCGTTACGCTCCATCCGTTCGACCAATTTTGTCCGCTGCCGTACAACTTGTTCGACCTGGTTGCGATATTCGTCTTTCCTTCTGAGCGCATCCAAGGTCGGCTGTTCCCTTAACTGAAGTTCCCTGAGTTCCAATCTGGCATCATTGAAATTTTTTTTGGCTTCTTTAAATGTGGCCTGTGCGGTTCGGTATTGAACAAAAGGTCGTATATTTTGATACGCCTGGAGTTTGTCCGTAAGAGCCTGGCGCTCTTGCATTCGTTCCACGTCGGCCCTCTGCAAGTTGTGTTTGTTTTGCAGTCCTCTTAAAAATTCGTGCTTATTGTCGCGCGTAGCAGTCTTGGTCTTCTGCTCATTCCTCATCGCCTTCAGTTGGTCATGCCAATCGTTCATGTAGTCAGGCGCTGCGGCGCGCTGCGTCTGTTCGAGCAGCTGAACCGGGCTCAATGCCGCGAATTCGACGACACGGTCCTGGGGAAGGAATTGACACAGGTTGTCAATCTGGATCGAAAAAGACTTGCACAGCCGAATGATTTCTTTATGGGTTGTTTGTTGCTCATTGAGCACGAAGGACGACTTGTTTCCTTCCCTGCGGATCAGACGGCGAATGATGGGATTCCTGTCGCGGGTTTGAGGGCCTCCAGAGAGCTCGATCTCGATCTCAGCTTCGCGTGCGCCATGTTTGACAAACTCTCCAAGTTCCTTTGCACGTCCCAGGTGTTGAGGGCCCCAACCGAGGCCCAGACAGATCGCGCAGACCAACGTACTCTTGCCCGTGCCGTTTGGACCGATGATCATGTTCAAGCTGGGACCAAGCTGGAACTCGGCGGATGTGTACGTCACGAAGTTGGTGAGCTTGACACGGACGATCGACCCCGGCTGGTGCTTCAGCGGTACAAGATCGTCACTGCTGCTGCCTCCACGGCGAGGTTGTGAGCGGTAACTGTCTGGGAGGACAGGATCATCGGATGCCTTCAGACGTTTGTTAGTCTATGTCACCCGGCAGTGAGGCCAAAGGCAAGCGCACCTCAGACACGTCGTCGTCAGTCCTGGGACGCTTCGCACTTCTCTGCGTCTGTGAAACATAGCTGTCGTTGCCGTCTTCATCCTCGTCTAATTCGGAGCTCAATCGGCGACGCGCCATGTTGCATGCGAGCAGGTGGAACTGAGGAATGGGCGCGGTGTCGTCAAAGGTTGTAAGTGGAAGCGATGCTTTGCCGACCCGCGTTGAGATTCCGAGGACGCGACAGTCGCGCGCCGCGTGGTGAGCAGGGGGACGTGCGCCCCGACGGAAGGCTCAGATAAGATAAGATCCCCAGGACTTGGGCCCAATCACATTGTGCTGCATGCACCCCTCAACAAACATCATGAGATGTTCTTTCGTTCTGGATAATCCAGCACTCAGGAAGGACGCTCTCGGTTACCGCGGATGATATAGTAACTGTCATGCATTCCCGATACGTAGTCTGCATCTCTAGAACTCAGCGCATGCCTTCCTTTCCGCGCCCGTGTGAGCTTGGCTGTCAGTCATCCGACGTTTCTGCTGCTCTTGAACTTGTGGTTCTTGTTCACACTTCAGATCAAACGTGCACCGCACCAAAGATACGCGGTCATCGAAATAGGATGAGATTGCTATTTCCCTTCCATCGCCGTGGAAGCCTGACTTTTGCAAAGCATCGGGACAAGAAACCTCGCAAGCAGATAACTATTTTTCTGCTCCATGTCCTAAATTTCGTTCCTGGCCTGTTGGGTTGTGCATCTACTCGACGTCGGCCTTGCCCTCGAAGTTCTCGCCCGCAACGAGGTCGGGGATGTCATCGTCATCCTCGTCCTCCTTCTTCTCGCCCTCACCCTTCTCCTTCTGCATGCTCTGGTAGCTCTCGGCGAGCTTGCGGAGGGAGGCCAGCGAGTCAGGGCCGAGCTGGTTCAGGATACCGGGAACAAGCTCGGTGAGCTCCTTGTCTTCACCGTTGCCGTAGATGGCGAAGGTGTTGGCCGGGACGGCGGCGTGGACTGCGTAGAGCGTTAAAAATGGTCTTGAGGAATCGACACCACTCAACCCCGCAAGCTCAAATCCCGGCATGACGCCAATCCAGAGCTAAGGGACCAGCGCAGCTGATCTGGAACTCACCCTTAGGTGCCGCAAAGTGAATAACGTTGCCATCGCTCTTGAACATGTTCACCTCCTCGATGGCCTGGATGGGCTGAACGTTGAGCTTCTTCAAGGCGCCCTGCAGCTTCTTGTCGTCACCACCAGAGCCCTTGTGGACCTTCTTGACCTTCCTGCGCGGGGTACCCTTGCCTCTATCACGATCATCATCCGTCAGCAGCTTGTCCCAGGTCCGTTCTCCAATGCGAAGTCACCGAATGACGTCTTGGCGCTTCGAAGCGGGGGGCGCGTCTTGTTGAAGAGCAGAGATAGCTTACCCTATTCACGTCATCGAGTCAGCGGAGCTCTCGAACCTCGATGTTGCGTGGCGAAAGCAATTTGGGGCGGTTCCTAGCGGGGACTTCACTTACCGATGCGCACAGAGGCCTGCATCCGCGCGAGCTTGGCCTGATCCATTATTGCGGTTTGTGTGTGGAGGGGAAGGTCGGGAAGGCTGGAGCTAAGCGGACCTGCGTCAGCGGTCGCAATCAACGCAGCGGGGCGCGAAAGATGACTCGGCGAGCATCGCGGGCGAGCGTAGAGCCAGTATCAGGGGTCGAGCGTACCTTTGCGTGAGGATGAGACGGGTGTATTGAGGTCGCGAAGTTCGTGATGGTTTCAACTTTCGGCGCATTCGGCGCCGTGTGCGGGCTCGCTTAGACGAGCAAAAACACCATCGTCTCCCGATCTTGGAGGGCGGCGAAGACAACGCTTCTGCCATGCCCTTACCACAGCACGAAACATAGTCTCCGATCGCCCGAGACGTAGCATTGCCACCGTCATCGAAATGCCCCGACAAGTTTCGTGATGGAAAGCCACCCGATGCACCCCCGGCGGTAACCGGCCCAATGCGCCTGGCGACGACGCACCAACAGAAGCTGTGCGAGGGATGCATGTCATAACGCAGCAAGCAACGCACAAATCCCACGTCGTGGCAGCTCATCACAACCATACGCACGGGGAAGGCAGTCTTAACCGGTCCAGCTGTCTCGCAATGCGTGTTCTTCTTCGAGACACGATCCCTTTGCTCTCATGTTGTCACCTCTACAAGCAGTCAAACACGTTCACTTGGAACGCAACACGGGCCAGTGCCAATGGAATTCGTATGCTCATAGGACCCAAGCTAACGCCAATGCAACGAAAGAGTCCAGGTGCCGGTGGCATGTCAAACATGAAGTGAATCAGAGACCACGTGCCTTCTGCGCGTACTCCATGCTTCTCTTTGCGCCGGCGCTGCCCAAGTGCAGGTCGGCAGCAACCATGCCGACAATGAAAACGCTAAAAGCCACCACCAGTTCGAACATCCCGGACGTCAGCCTCGGAAACTGCGGAAGACTTCCTGGACTGGTTGAAGCGGATCTGCTCGTCGATCTCAACAAAGGCGGCGGCGGCGCTAATGTTGAACTGAGCAGCGAGGTAGAGGGCGTAGCGGTTGCGGTATTGATTGGTGATGTTCTCAGTGGAAGGGCGTCGAGCTAACTCAACATAAGCACTGATCGGCGCCAACGCTCTGCAGCTAATTTTCTTACCCGTTGTGGTGTGAGGATTCAGAAGAGGAACGTTGCGAGCCTGCTCGGGAGAAGAGGACGAAGCCGGCGTCAGGATTATAGAAGGTGTAGGAGGCATTTAACGGGTGGGGGTGGTGAGAGGTTGATGGGAGCAAGAGGATGCTATCCGCCGTGGATTGGAATCGACTCACTTGAGGCCTCAGCAGACAGCCTTCGCGCGGCGATTATATAGTCGCGATACGACAACACCAGCAGCATCCAGCGGTGAAGCAAACGTGAGGCGGAGCTGGCTGGCGACGAAGCCGGGGAAGGCAGTATGGGGGGGTGAGGGAAAAGGCGTTCCTGAGTCGGGTAAATCACGCTGCTGATCTAACGCAGCGGGTGGAGGGCACGAGGAGCATCGTGAGCGGAAACACGGCCCCCGGCGGGTTAGCGATGCTCTGCCTCATGGCTCTGGCAGGTGGACGTGTGGCCGTTGGCGGGCAAAAACCACGCACCGGCTGTAGCCGAATAAGGTGAGGCTTGGCCTGGCGATCTGGCGAAATGGCTCATCAGCTTCACAGCTCAGGCTGCAGCACGCATTGCGTCAACCGTCGCGTCGCTGATTAAGGTTTCCGGGGAGCCTGGGGATGACGGTATGTATGGCCGGCACAGGCCCTGCAGTCGCGCCCCACCAGGCCAGCGCTGGACCAAGGCCGGTGCAGAGCCTCAGGAGTCACTCAGCCCCAGCCCCGTGAATAATGGCCGCGCGATTTGAATTCTGGCCGCCGCGTGCTCGGCCGATCGCCGCGTTCTAGGCGGCGGCGAGGTGGATGCGGGCGCGGCGCCGGCAGTGTGGCAGCGGTGATGGCAGCCATGATGGAGGGCGGCGGCGCAGGCGATTGGCCCGCCTCACTGCCAGGCCCGCCGGTGGTACGTCGTCGGTCGTCGTCGGTCGTCGTTGCTGGTCGGTGTACCTCTGGCTCCGGCCAGCCCTATGTTTCTGCATCCGCAAGGCGTCGCACCGCGCGATCGCCATCGCCGATGCCCGCGCCGCGTCCAAGTCAACGGGTTGCTTTTCAGCCTGCCGCCTGCGACATCATCTTTTGGCCGGTAAGCCCGCGCTTGCATGCAGCACCACCTCCGGCCTGGCGCCTGCAGCCGCCTCGATCCGCCGTCATGCTGGGCGTGCATTGCCGTGCGTGGTGCATTGCCCCCCGCACCGCGAGCCAGACTCCGACTACCCGTCTAGCCTGAAGGTGGTGGCAATGTCAGCGCCTGCTGGGGCAACTCGAAGCCGTGGCTGCGCAACACCACAGCAGCTTATCCCGGCCCAGTAGTATCCCCCCCCAGCGCCCAGCGCCCGGCGCCCCTCCCGCTCCGGCCCAACAAGACGGCCACCCTGAGCCAGCCTGAGCCAGCCTGAGCGCACATATATCGCGCACCGCACGCCGTCCGCGAGCCAGAAAAGCGCAGCACTGCCACCCTCTGATCGCTTCCGGCGATCCATGTGCCTGGCCTCCCGCACGGAACCCTTTGAATCTCCACCCGGACGCCCCCGGACTACCCAGCTGATCCCGGCCGTCGGCCAAACGGGCTTGCGACCGCCCAAAAGCAGCAATCTGGGCAACCTACGTACCCGCACTAGTCTCCTGGACTCGCGTCACTGCCCATCTCTGGCTTGATCCCTGCTCCCCTCGCCGTCTCACCATCTCCTGGCCGTCACGATATCGATAAAACCCCCGCCGAGCCGCACCTCTACCACCAGCTCATACCCGCCCGTCTTTCAACTGCTCTAATACACGCCGCCCTCTCGCTTTCCCACCCCACCGCCTCGCCAATTTCTAATCACACCACCACCACTCCGTCAAAATGGCCGGCTCTACTTGCGCTCCCGGTTGCTGGTACGGCAAATACCTGCGCCAGAACTGCCCCTACTGCTCTGCCGGCAACCAGTCCGCCCGCACCTCGTCTTCACGAGACAGCTCCACCCGCTACCAAAGTAGTGGAGCGTCACAGGACCGCCGGGGCAGCACCCAAACAAGTGGCGGTTGGCTCTCGTCCCAAAGGAGATCCTCATAAGTCATGTACTCTTAATGGTAAGCACGTCACACTGCTCCCTACCGCCAACCACATGCTAACAAGTCTGTCCACAACAGTTTGCCAATTGTCTTCCTCACATGCAGCATCCATACCAGCTGCATACGAGGAACACGTCACCTTAATCACCTTCGACCTTCAACGCCATGTATGACTATATCGACCACCTATTCCGGCAACCATTACTGCTCGGCATCTTCTTCCCTGCATATCCGCCGTGGTGGAGTCACGCTGCAGTCGGCAGGCCATAACCTTACGACTACTCCATTATTCTTAATCGCCACACCACGGACCGATATCCAACCTTAATCTTATTCGACCTTAATTTCCATCATCTATCAACCTTCCAACTCTGGGCCTACATCTGGCCAGAGATGACAGCCGAAAAGGCTCTTCTGCACCAACCGCGCGCGCCATCAGATTGTGCAAGGAACAAAAGTCCTAGACATACAGGCTGGAACATGGGCAACGGAGTCAAGCAACCAAAAGCAGCAAGCTCTCGGAGTAAAGTTTTGGGGCACTGGTGCTTTCATCGCTTTGCAAGGAATCATTGTTATCCTCTCAGCGAATTTGTCGATTTGCTTTCTCTCGGTCAAAACTTAGCGTGTAGTAGCTAGGGCGTTCCCGGTGTTCCTGGAGTTTATTCGATCCCCGGACAAGGGACGAAAGGGTACATGCTGGGGGAAATTGTGGCTAAATTTAGTCGCTTATCGTCTTTGCTCCATATTTTCCGGTCTTAGCTCAATGCGAACTGTCGCTCGACCCTAAATCCTGTCTCCTGAGTGATGCATCGGAAGAGGTATTCTCCCGGAGTAGTGTCGCTGTGGCTGGCACCGGACACATGCGCGGTTCTTTCGGGACCTGAGTCCAGAACGGTCTCTGCAGCCCTGCCAATCTTTACGAGCATCTTTCCGGTAAGTCAGCTGAATACAAATAGTGCCCGTGCTTGCGTTGTACGCTGCCGTTCCTGACGCGCGCGTGGCCCGCACGCCCCTGGTGAGCGGACACGGAATAATCTCACCACCATCGGACCTTCTTGCTGGCGCTAAATTTAGACGTCGGACAGGACGATGAGTGGTACGTCCGGAGGCAATGTAGTGTGCTTTCTCGTTCTGCCTTGGGAGACTGGCCACGCATTCCGCCGTACTACTGACGTGCTGCATCTACAGAACGAGATAAAGAAATAAAATGTGCAAAAGCAAAAGCTCTTGAATTTCCCGATGACATACCCGCCGGTTCCTTAGCCTCCCTTTCAGCCGGGTTCCGGCTATTACTGCGCATCTCTCGATTGACTCTGATTCGGCCATCTGCGATGGCGTGCAACAAGGCTACGTAGTGTATGTTCCATCGCATGCAGCCAACCGCTCGTTTTCAGCCGCGCTCTCCTTTTCTTCCTTCCACGTGGTGGCGCCGTTAGGCTGGGAGCCACATCGCCTCCACTGTCTCAAGGCACTTGACCGCGCCCTCGATCTTCAGCGATGAGCCAAAATGGAGCTAGTGCGAAAGTAAGGTAAAACAGCTCTCGGGTCCTTGATTCACGTTCGCATACTTATAGAGTAAAGTTACAAAGAAGACATGGCCGTTGCTAACCTGTTTGGGCTTTTTTTTATGAGAAGGACTACGGTACAGGTGCGCCGTTTGCTGGGTAGCGCCTTTGGCCTTACTCGCTCCCAAAGACGCTAGTTATGCGCCACGTGCTACCGTACGGGGTAAATGGAGTTCCCCGCGTTCACATGGTAGCTTGGTGGCTTCGAATCGATATCCTTTTGAGCGCAGCGTCAATGCTCTGGCATCGTCGGCCTCACGGGCGAATCGGAACGCTTCATCCAGTGCACTTCTGGGAAAGCACAGGTCCAATCCAGCGCACCCCATCCCTTTCGCCCTCCCCTTTTTGTGTGGCTTTTCTTGTGTCTCGGCGACTTCAAGCGGTGAATGCCAAAGCTGTAGCCCCAAGTACGTAAAAAGGGCCTTCTACGCAATACAGCACGGAAGATAGAGACTATATAGTGCTGTCTTAAGGCATAGTCATCTCAACTGTCACGGTCCAACGCTTCATTCATCAACGGGCCCCATTGAGGGCTAAACTCGCAACAGGCACGCTTCACTTCAACAACACCACTCGCTCAGTGCATAGTAGAGTTAATATCGCACCGAATATCTAGACACGTCTGCATAGCCAGGGCTCGCAGCAAGTGCAAGCGGATTGTCAATCTATCAATCAATCCCAGCGCAAGCTTGGCCGATTGATTAATCAACTTAAAGACCCCTCCTAGATTGCAATCGGACCCCCGGACCCCGCTTGCGCTTGTCAATTAGATCAATCGCGAGCCCTGTGCATAGCTAGCTATATACAAATACAATAAGCTACTACAAATAAATAGGCCCCTTCACTATCCATACTGGAGAATATTGTGCCTGTTCTGTGCGTCTTGGTCCCGAATCCATATATCAGCTCAACTACTGGCGTCGAACCGAAACCGTCTTTCTTTTTTTTTTTTTTAAACAATCAGCTTAATACCTCTTTAACGCGCCCAGTTGCTCTTTAAGAGCAATATTAAGGAGCATAGAGTAAACTTTATTGGTTGTAGATTAGGGGGTTCAGCGGTGTACATAATCACCAGCTGATAGTATTATCTACTCTTCCCACTAACCAGAGCGCTGCTACAGTAACGTCTTCATGTTTTAGATAAGTATATTAACAGTCTAAGCGCAGTGTTATTACTTTACACAGCCATACATATCAGTCTACCCAACTTCCGTGCTCGAGTTGTTAGCTCTTCGTCATCACGTTCCTCGAAGTATCGGGGCATGCAAACGGAATGCCTCCTTTCCATCAGGGACATAAGGTGTATATGTTGTATAAGCCAGAAACCGCTATTCAGAGTCCATGTCAGTTTAATTCCTGCCTTTGCAGGCCTTGCACCGGGCGTAGTGCACTAGATAACGCCAAGCTCTACATTTCTCCCCTCACTTTCGTCGACGATCCTCAAGGAGGCTACACAGTGAGGTCTAATCCCTGTCAAAAATCATTCTATATGTCTTTCCGCCTTGTCAATTACAGAAGTGGCTTTGGATCCAAATTGAAGCCAGCGACCGACGGCCTATTGGGTTCAATCAGGACATATCCGGGCCAGAGAATGAGAACTCCGGAAGAGTCATTTTAAAGGGACTTCCAGTGTCCATTGGCCATGAGCTAAGAGGCTTTTGATCGTCTTATAAGCCGTATAGGCATCGAACCCTTCATCCTTCCCAGCCCCAAGAAGCAAGCGAGAAACGGCGTAAATAACACCTAAGCAAATTATGGTTTACCTTGCACGTGACTATTTGGGAAACCGACATATCTTGGAACCTTGGGTTCGTAAGCTTTGGCGGCCTCTGTCATCGGAAGAGCAGTGGTGTGGCGTGGAAGACTGTCTGGCGGTGGAAGGCAAGTTGTGACACACTGTAAGCCATCTGAGCCTTGAAGAGCAGGAAGCGGAAATGAATAGTCCCAGGAGAGCATGTGTTTGGAAGCATGTATGACAGAATGACTGCATGAGAAAGAGACAAGAATTAAAAGTAAAGTGTGCCGTCATGGAAACACCGAACTCGGGACGGATGCAATTGCAGGCATGAATGGAGGATGAACATGACACGAAAAGCCACCTGGCTAGGTTGGTGTCAAAGGGAAGCGGAGGTTCAAGTAGGCCTGCAGTAAGAAGTGACGTCGGTGCCAGGACGCTTCATGCACCCCGCGGTGTCGCACAGAAAGGAGCATCCGCCGCACTAGCCTGAAGAAAAAGGAGTTCGGTGAAGCATGAGAACGATGACGGATCCCAGATCGATCTCGAGGAAAAAGTGGGCCTCGCTGACCACGACGGCAGGCCGGTGACAAGAAGTGCAACGGTGTACGTCGACAGTTGGGTTATGAGGATTTGAAACGTCAGTGAGTCCGTCTCTTCAGACTGGCGATCGTGCAGCATCAGCGTCAGGCTGACGCCATTGTGGCAATTGGAACGACAAGTGTATGTATGTATGTATGGTGTACTGAGTTGCGTCCAGACGATTTTGCTCGGTGTGGGTGGAGCACAGTCGAGGCTGATGAGTTGGCGACTCACCGGTGCTCCTCGTGCCTTTGCGTTAATGCAAGGCTAAAACAGATTCGTTCGGCCGTCGAAAGTCGAGGGAGGACAGGGGGGTGGGTTTTGGCCGAATGCAGGATCCGCTATGGTAACAGCATGAGATGCTTCAGCAGCAGTCGTAGAGCGAGCGATACAACAGCAGCTGACAGAAGCAAAATATGGCGGGTGGCATGCCATACATAGGCCGCCAGGATGTCCGTGCCTTTTCATCACGTCCGGAACCGGGTCCAAGCGTCGACTCCACGACGGTGATCTGCTGTGCCATTGATCCGGGTACGAGCGGCAGAATCTTTCTACCAAGACGTCGTGCCCCTGAGCCGAGCAGATTGTGGGGACGGCGGTCGAGAATTCCTGACAACACTTCGCGGTGATGTGGCTACGCCGCCAAAAGGAAACCAAGAATTGCCGTATTTGGTAAAGCTGGCGCCTCAGTGGGGGGAGCGGGAGGGCGGCTATTGGCTGCAGCGCGGCGTGGCGAGTCGCAGTCGAAGCTTTGAAGAACGTCTTCTGCAACGCCGTCGCCGTCATTTTACGTTTGTGCTGCGTGCCGGACGCGCGTTCGCCGCGACAACAGCCTGGCAACGGCGCGCATTCCGCGGCGGCAGAGCAGAGACAACGAGCAAAGAAAGCCTCCCGGACCAGCTGTCTCTGGACCCACTGTTGTCGACTTCCTGGGCGACACGAGCGGAAAATCCGGTGGCGGCGGGTGTGACGTGCTGCAGGACGGCTGCAGGGCGCTGGCTGGGGGGACACAGCGCGGCGCCGGCCAACGGCGGCAGGTGAGAGCAGGGTGGAGGGTTGAGGTCGAAAAGGCGAAAGGGAGCTGAAGAGGGATGGGCGTGCGGACGGAGCCAGCCCGGTTCGTCCTTATCGTGCCTGTTTTGGCGCTGGGTGGAGCCTGGTCGAGCCTGGTCGAGCCTGGTCGAGCTGAATGCGGAGGGCAGGCGAGAGCAGGCGAGAGGCTCCTGCCGTCGCTCCAACGCACCAGGCCGTGACACAGCCTCGCGTAGCACTGGATTCCACTCTGCGCCATGGCCCCTCCGCAGCCTCGCCCCGGACTTGAGTGAAGCTTATCTGCCCTGCGCGAGATATAAGTTGGCCGGCCGCGCTGACAAGCCACCTCATCCACCACCTACCGTATACCTGCCTCGCGTGCCCGCCCCTCGTCGCACCACCGCCCCGCTTCCCGGATGCTCGCGCGATCATGAGTGCCAAACGCTGGTCCAGCTACGACACCGACGCCTACCGCCTGCCCTCGGGCATCACGCGCATTGGCTACGACGACGTGTCGCAGAAGTATCTCTTCCGCGACAGCTCCGGCCAGGAATACACCAGCGCCAGCGGCTCCGAGTACGGCAGGCTGGAGAAGGGTAGGTAGTCGCCCTTATCTATGCTCTGCCCGCCCCTTGACTGACATTGCAAGTACCAGCCGGCTGGGACGGCGGCCCTCTTCTGCCGCGCGCCGCCCGCACCGGCAGCGAGTCGTCTGCCTCGACCGGCCTGAAGAGCCCGGCAACCGACTTCAGCGAGATCCTCGGCGGCCTGGACGAGCAGGAGCACGACGAAAAGGAAGAGGAGAAGAGCAAGCCGCTGCCGTTCCTTGTCCTGGTAAGCGCCCGCGGGTCGATCGCCTCGCAACCGGCATGGATCAACCCTACTGACACAACACCGCCAGAGCTCCGTGCTGTCGTTCAAGTCCAAGCTCAAGACGCGCCAGTCGCGCCGGGCGCACAAGGACTCGGCTGTCTCGAGCGTCGTCTCCAAGGAAAAAGACTACATGTGAATGGTGCATGGTGGCTGACGCCGGCGAGCAATGGCGCTGCGGCCCCTCTTCACTTCTGCCGGGTGTGTACCCGACGATTCTTTACGATATCCTATTTAACGGCCTCGGGCGGGACCTTCACCTACGAGATGACGACTTAGCTTAGTTATCAATAATGGACCATGCTTCTTTTCTTTCATCATCCCATCGACCAAGTGGAGAGGCTAGTTAGGCGCTCCCGTGGCTTCCGTGAAGACGGGCGGAAGGGGCCCGAGTGCAGCGCCGACCAGACACGCAGATGTGGGGCGCGGAGAAGCTTGGGCAGGGCACGGTCCCGGCGCTCCCACGATGTCATCATCTTGATCAGCATCTCTGCCTTTCTCCGTCATCACCCCAATCCCGGTCTCAGCTCGGCCGTTGCATGTTCAAATTGTAGCCGGTGGCCGTCTCCTCTGTCCAGCCTCACCGCCAGTTGCCAGACCGCATCCTCGCCATTGCAACCATGACCTCGGCCTGCACCCCTCGTGTTTTCATAGTCCGCCACGGAGAGACCGAATGGTCGCTGAACGGACGACACACGGGCTCCACCGAGCTGCCGCTCACGGCCAACGGCGAGCGCAGAATTAGGGCTACCGGCAAGGCCTTGGTGGGCCACGACCGCCTGATTGTGCCCAAGAATTTAGCCCATATGTCAGTTCCCATGCATCGGAATCCTCCCGCTCCTATTTTAATCTCGACCTTCACCATTGCACTCCGTCTCCTTCCTGTACCCGAGCACTAGCGACCCATCACTCACATCTCGCGTGTTCTCGCGGCGCCGCCCTAAACGGCGCGCCAGAGATGAAAAAAACGCCACAAACTACAGCTATGTGTCCCCACGCAAACGCGCCCAGCGCACTCTCGAGCTCCTCTCGCTAGGCTGCGCGGAACGCATGCCGTGGCAAGAGCCGGATGAAAGCAACCCCACGAAGGAAATCCGCACCCATGCCCACATCCAGGTGACGGACAAGATCCGCGAATGGGACTACGGCGACTACGAGGGCTTGACCAGCGCCCAGATCCGCGAGCGGCGCGCTGAGCGCAGCGAGGGTCCGTGGGACATCTGGAGGGATGGGTGTCCCGGTGGAGAGTGAGTCCTTTACCGCCGTTTTATTCTTCCTTCCGTCCGAGGTTTAGCTCCCGTTATTTTTAATCGAGAGGATGGAGTGCATGCATCTCACTCCGTGCCTTTTAAGGCTGCGTCGAGGAGCGGGGAAACGGCGCAGCGTGGGCGTTTTCTCGAGCCAATCGGGGGCCACTGCAATGTTCTAGACCGCTGACTGGAGGGGTTGTCGCATCAGGTCGCCCGAGGACGTAAGTAAGAGACTGGACGAGCTGATCGATGAGATCCGGACGCGCTTTCATGGGCCGGCGGTCGGCAAGGCCAAGAAGGACGTTGGCCCGCACGACGTGCTTGTCGTGGCTCATGGACACATACTGCGCGCCTTTGCTGCGCGGTGGATTGCGAGGCACGTGTCGGACAACCCGGCGCTGATCCTAGAAGCCGGTGGTGTGGGAACGTTGAGGTGAGTCTGATCTTACGGCAGCTGGTTGCGTTTGGCTGACTCGAATTGGATACCAGCTACGAGCACCACTCCATCGACGAGCCTGCCATCCTCCTCGGTGGCGCGTTCGTAGTGGACGTTGTCGAGAAAGAGCAAGAGGCGAAATAGAGGCGACAGAAAGGATGGGATCAAAGATTAATTAGATCTCAGCTGTTCATAATTTACTCGACGCTGTCCCATGCCAGGTCCTGCGGCACCAGAGTTCACCCATCCTCGAGCCAACCGCTCACCCTAACCATTCTTGGGTGTTTGGGTCCCGCCCGGCCCAGCCGGTTTACACCCAGGGGAGAAAGAAAGCCACCTAGCCGTTGAAACGCCTTCAACCCTTCACAGCCCCTAAGATCCTCCTGCGTCTTGCGCGAAGAAGAAAATCAATTCATGAAGCTCGACCGTTATATCATAATCCGGCGCCCGAGACCCTGCTCACACCTCATCAGCTTCAAGAAAATCAAAAGGGGGGAAAGGAAATCATCCGCACTCACAGTCATCATCACCATCTTCCCGCTCTTCATGCTCCTCAAGCTACTGCTCGTCCCGAAGCTCTCCGCCAAACTGATATTGTCCGCCTCATCCGCCTCATCCCTCCCACACCACCTCCCCCTCCTCCCACCACCACCACCACTCCTAAACCCCCCCTTCCCCTTCATCCCCTTCAGACTCATCCCCCTCTTCTTCTTCCTCCCCGTCTCCATCTCCGCCTCCGCCTCCGCCTCCGCCTCCGTCTTCGTCATCATCTTGAACTCCTCTCCCCCCTCCTTCTCCTCCTTAGCACCACCACACCCACCACTCCGACACCACCCACCACCCCTACACCCCCCATTCGCACACAGCATCACCCTCCGCACCAGCGCCCTCAGCTTCGCCCCCGCGCACGAACCCGACCGCTCCCGCGACCCACACCCCGACCGCTCCCGCTCCTCGTCCTCGTCGCGGAACGGCGGCGGCGTCGGCGGCGGCAGCGGCGTCGTGCAGCACGCGCAAAACGGCTCCGGCGTCGACCGCGGCGGCGTCGGGTGCGGCCGCTGGTGCTGCTGGTACTGGTGCTGGTACTGGTACTGCTGATGGTACTGCTGGTGGTACTTGCGCGGCCGCTGCCGCTTGTGGTGCTGCTGTCGCTGCTGGTGCTGGTGCTGGTGCTGGTAGGGCGGCGTCGCCGCCGCCGCGTCTGCCGCCGCGAGCAGCGCTGCTGGCGATGCGGAGGACGGGCCTAGCGCGGCGGAGAGCATGCTTGGGGGTGGGAGGGCGGTGGTTGTGGTTGAGGAGGACGAGGACGACGACGAGGATGAGGCGGTGCGGGTGGGTTGGTTGTTGTGGTGGTCTTGGTGGTCGTGGTAGGCTTGGTCGTGGTAGTGCTGGTAGTTGCTGTGGCGGAAGCTGTGGCGGAGGCTGTGGCGGTGGGAGTGGGCGTGGGCGTGGTGGTTGTGGTTGTGGTGGCTGTGGCGGCCGAGGTTGTGGGGAGAGGCCATCTTGGGGGATGGCGGGTCGTAGGCGCAGATGGTGATGGTGCTGGGGACGCGGGACTTCGGTGTCGGCGTCGGCGTGGGCGACGGCGCGGTGCGGGGGGAACGGATGTTGTTGTATTGGTCGTCGAAGTCCGTGGAGAGCTGTTGCATCTCTGTCAACAGCGGGACTCGTTGGCCGAGCTTGATGTGGGAAGGCTGGGTGCCCATTTTGTGTCTTTGTTGGGTGGCGTACTTGGAAGAAGATGAAGTTTCAAAAGAAGAAGAATGGGTAGAAAAGAGTAGAGGCTAGCTCTCTGGGTTTGAAGAAATGAGAAGTGTTGATGTTAAAAGGCCGATGTTACAGCTCGAAAGAAGATGAGAGAGATTATAAAATAGCCGCCTCTGGTGGCTGTGTGTGTTGACAAGAAAATGAGGAAAGTATACTGGCGGCTGGCCGTCCAGTCAATAATGTTCTGACCTTTTGTCTGACTTGTTGTCCAGGTAGGTGGGTGGACGACTAGACAAGGCAGGCTTTGGTCCCGCTCTACCGTCCTGCTTTTGAGTTGGAGGGTCCAGGGGTGGATGTGCGGTACGATCGGCGTGGACCACTTATTCGTGAGGAGAAGGTAGCTACTGAAACTGGCTCTGTAACACGATCTGCGCGGGGAAGGGCTCACTTGGCACTGCGCCTGTAAGAGGACACCGCGAGATCTTCAAAGCTGGTGTGCTGCTATAACGCAGTTTCATTAGACGCTCATGCGTTCTGCTAATCATGTGCGATCAAGAAGAGAAGGGGTTCTGATCGGACCCACACCATATGCTCGCATCTGACATTGCATTACCTCTTTCGGCCACCAAGCACAGCCCACCAACGCAGATCTTGTCCGAGTTACTAAATTATTGCATCGATGCTCTGCAAACTCGCCTGCATGCTGGCGCGAATTTGAAATAAGTGCGAACTTGATTCCCATTTCGTCCCCGTCCCTGAATCCCGAAGAGTTACCCAAATACCAAACCCAGCCATAAAAAAACAGATTATGCAACAGCTAATCCCATGGTATTCTCAAAACACCGTCATGATCCATCCGTGAGATACCGGGATGGTCCTCGATTCCGTAAAGTAAAAGAAGCAAAATTCAATGCAGAGGGTTTTGTTCAGTACAGGCCGTATTGCCCGCTTCTCCACCTAGGTAGCGCTACTAAGTGGGAAGAGGTTAAGGGAATAGGACAGTCCGCTCCAAATCTCTCGCACGACTCAAAAATGACAAACGCGTGGAAAGGAACTTGTCTCATGATTACCCGTCTTACACCACCATCCACCATGCGCCACCTAGGATGCCGATGAGAATTACAGCAGTAAGGAATCCAGCACCGGCCTTGTCCCCCGTCGAGATGGGATCGGCAGATGTCGGGGTCTTCTGACTATTCGAACCGGCGGAGGGATTTCCTTGAGAAGTTCCGCCCGTCTTGTTGGTAAGTGGTCCAGCCACATTGGCAATCAGTGCAGTGCCCATGACTTCGAGGACGGCCATCTGCTCGCCCACACCAGTGCTGCCGTCGAACGCTCCAGTCGTCCACCTCAAGCCGCATTGGTTCCCATCATCACCACCAGTGCAGGTGGCGACAGCGGCCTGGCGGGAAGCAGTCATCACTGGCTCCAACAGATCCGTAGTCCAGGGGGCAACCTTGGTCGTAGCGGCCATCCAACGAGAGATGTAGGCTTTGAATGAGCGCTGATCGATGTTGCACTTGCCGTTGGCCTCACAGGCGACCTCTTCTAAGACTTGGTTATTCTTGGTGAAGACATCGAGTCCCTTGATGATGCCGGATAGACGGTCATGCCACTTCCCGGTTGTCTCGGTTTCATCGCCAGCTTCGGCGCTCTGTATGCTTGTTAGGACATGCCCAATCAGGAGCGACAGCTCTAATATGAATGCTTACAATATTCCACATAGTCGCGGCACCGTAGAGGTAAACACCCGCGTTGTATGTCCACTGGATGTGGTTGATCTGTGTGCAGTTGATCCTGTCATCGGTACCGTCGTAGAAGTGGAAGTTGCCGTCCATTAGACCAATGGCAACGGTCCAGTCCCAAGCCTGCTCAGCCCAATCCGAGTAGGTGTCGTTATTGGTGTAGCGAGCAAGCCGGGCCGCAATGTTGAAGAAACAACCCTGCGAAATAGTGTTCTTGTAGTTGTATCCGTTGTTGAAGGTGAAGATTTGCCACTTGAGGCCACCACCACATGTGTCGTTGTCCCAGCGAGGCACCTGGGTGTTGAAGACAGCCTGAGCCAAGGCCAGCCAGCCCGGTTGTCCAGCCGGCGGGTCGGGATACTTGTTCTCAGCAGCTGACATGGCCGACATGCCCCAGAATGCCTGGTCGTCATTACCCAGAGTTCGTGACTGGTTGGGCGGCATGTAATCCTGGTCCGGGCCAATCTGATGGAGCATAGCCTGAGTAGTAATGGTATTGAACTGGTCGTCGCCGGTGTAGTACCAGTAATCAATCAACGCTCCGAACATGGCGCCAGCCTCCCACCAGTAGTATGGGTCCGGCAAGTTTCCGGGGACGTCGCCTGGGTTGTCGCCAGTGTAGTACTGGGTCATGCCTTTGGCAACTGTCTTCATGGCTGACTTGACGGAGTCTGAGGGAAACGTCAGCCACCGCGCGGTAACGGGATGGGCAATAGCATACTCTCATCGGTCCAGGTGACCGAGATGGCCGCCTCGACACCTGACGCGCCGATCAGAGCGGCGGTCGCGAATGTGGAGAGCTTCATGAGTGCAACGACGAGATGACGAGGTCACTGCGGCAGAGCTGCGCCTCCGTGGCGGCTTTAGCAAAGACGTGCGCAAGGCGGGCTGGACCGAGTAGCCGCGTGGAGGGCTCCGGAGGGTGGAAAACGCGCAGTCGGAGCTGGGGGCGGGCTGGTGGTAGGAGCGCGGGCGAGCGAGTGAATGACGGCCGTAGGAGCGACGGGTGGAGATGGAGATGGCGGGTGCGCAGCGGAAATCCGGGGTAGACTGACGATCGGGCGGAGGCTGGCAGACGCCGGTGCGACGCGGTCTTGCAAGCGTTCTTCGGGTGCAAGAAGCGGTCAACGGTGCTGGAGAAACGAGCGTGAGCGGCAAGAAGAGTTCTGGTCGTGAGGTAGCAAGGCCGGCCGGCAAGCTAAGGGGACGGCTGGCAGGCTGGCAGCCAAGACAAGGCAATCCTGCTGCCGTCGTATTGCCTTCGCCGGCTGAGCCACCCATTGCCCGCACACAAGCATGCTGGGCGGGCTTGGAACGGCTAAAGCGGAAGGCTCTAAGCCCAGCGCGGCCGTTCCTTACACACGCGCTGGTTGCCCAAGCGGCGTAAGAAATGTGCGTCGCCGGCGCGCGCGAGGGGCAGCTGGGGCAGCTGCTCGCGTCTCGCATTGTGCTTCAGCGGGTGTCGCGCGCGAGGCGTAGCCGCCGAGCAGGCGCGGCCACTTATGTAGCAGCAGGCTGCAGACCCACGAGAATAGCACCAGCCCCAGTGCCTACGTAGTCTCTGCTTGCCGCGTGCGCCCGGTGACCGACTCGCAGGAGCCGCCCGCTGCCCAACCGCGAGGCTCAGCCCTGCCTGGCCTGGTTGCCACGGCTTCCGCTGCGCACACGTGATCGCCAGCGCGCCATGGTCCCTCGAGCAGCCAGTGTATTTTGGTTGCTCAATCCCATACTACAGCCTCGTCCTCCAATTTCTCTCTACTGTGCATCACCCGCGATTTTCTGCAGCCCCCGCAGCGTGCAGAGGAAACAGCGTTGCAGCCCGCGCCCCGCGCACGCCACGAGAACGAGACTCTTAACGACCTGCTCTCGGCGCTCCCAGCTCAGCCTCCCTTCCAAGTCAAAGCCATCCTCGCCAACAGCGCCCGACCACCTGGCTTCCCAACCGACTCACCCACCGTCGCTCGACCGCCCACACTTCTTCCACCCTCTTCCATCACCTCAACAGCCACTCTGCGCACACCTCTCGTAACACCTCTTATCCTCACCTCCGGCACCCGTCACCGCCGCAGCCATGGCCGACCGCGAGCAGCCCTACGACCCCTACATTCCCTCGGGCGGCAACGCCAGCCAGAACAATGGCGGCAACCAACGCACCGCCGCTCTCCAGGCTGTAGGTTTCCCGCCTCCCCTCAGCCAACGTGTGCATCGCACCGGCAACAGCTCTCGGAACGACGCGGCAGCGGCCAGCGTGAGACGGGCAGGTCGCAGCAGCGATGGAGCTCTGGCATGGCAGCAGTCGCAGCATACAAGCTGAGGCACAAAGGCATGTCCGCTCCCAGGCGTTTGATTGCAGGGGACCAGGCCTCCCGCGCGCGCTGCTCGGCAGCGCCGTGTTAGCGATAGATCTGCTGCCTGCCGGCCCTCGCGGTCGAGCTGCTACACCTCCTGATTTGTCGCACGGTCGTGCCAAAACACAACGAATGTCTCAGCTGTCCGCGGTCGCAGTTCCGAGCGCCCTATCACCGGCGCATGGCAGGCATACGGTTCACGAGACGGTTTGCTGACAAGATGGCATGTAGGAAATCGACAGCACTGTCGGCATTATGCGCGACAACATCAACAAGGTGTCGGAACGTGGTGCCAGGCTAGACTCGCTCCAGGATAAGACCGACAACCTTGCTGTCTCCGCACAGGGCTTCCGCCGCGGCGCCAACCGCGTGCGCAAGCAGATGTGGTGGAAGGACATGAAGATGCGCATGTGCCTGATCGTCGGAATTATCATCCTGCTGGTCATCATCATCGTGCCTTCTGGTGAGTGTCTGCGATTTGCTTCTCCTCGGACGCTTCGCTGACCATTGCTGCAGTCGTCGCCACCCAGAAAAATTAAACGAATGCTATGCGTATGCGGAAACGCGACTATCCTCGACGGCATGTGTTCACGACCGACGGAACCTCCGGGGAAATACCCCTCTCTCCGGAGTGTAACTCTTACGTACCTGGCGAATATGGAGCGATGGGGTTCTTTTGATGCTGCATGCAGTTCCGGCTTGTAATAATTGATGGCTTCTCTACGATACACCTCTGCTAGGAAACTACCCTGTTCATGTTTTCCAAACGAATTGAGTTGGCTGCGCGCTATGAGTACTTGCAGAAGAAAGACGCTGAACATGTGAGAACGCGGAGGACGGGCACTTCCCATGGTCTAGGTAATTGCTGGACTTGGGCAGTGTTGGCTGCTTCGTGACGACGGCTCCAAAATTTACGTCATGTCTCGAGATTGGGTTGAAGAATCGCAAAACAAGCCGATTGGGACGCTTGGAGCTTTGATCCGATGGTGGAGGACGTCGCGACGGTCGGGCAGCACGTAGGCCAATACTTCAGCTCGTCGGATGCAATTGGCAAAGCCGTGCACGGCCACGGTTGGCATCGTGACTTGCCGCGCCAACAGCGTTGATGTCATGGTGCGGGCGCGATTTGTCGGTGCGGCGCGACTGATTTTCGCAGGGTGGCGCATTCAGAAATCCAGGTGCGTGGTTTGTCGAAGCACGATTGCCGCGAGGTCTTCTGGCTTCACCGGTGGCTCGCGACGGACACGATGCGGGATATTGACTGTCCTATATCGGAGAATGGGCCCGCGCGCTGGGCGGAGGAGCAGCCGAAGGCGTGAGACCGCGCAAATGGGCGCAAAAGGCGCTGAGCTACGGCGCAAAAATGGCGGTCCGCAGGGGCTCGAGCATGGCATGCAGGTCTCGATGGGCAGAGACAAGGGCCACGGGGGGCCGCCGCAGCCGAATGGGCTCGGAGGTGTGCAGCCAAGTGTGGGGATGGGAGCTTGCGCGCGATCTCGGCGGAGCCCAGGTTCAGAAAATTCGGCGGCCACTGTCGCTACAAAACATAGTGACGCCGTGCCCGACTGTCCGCTTCCCCGGCCACGCATTCCCACTCGCCCTCCGCTCTCTGCCAATCCCCCGTCCTGCTGCTGTCCATGCCACTGCAGCGCGGCTAGCTGGCGTTGACTGTCTGCTCCCCAGAGGTGAGAGCTCCCCACTCCCGCCTGCATTGTGCTCCAGCTGAGCCCGGCGCTGATAAAAGCTGCGCCCAAGAAGGACTCATATCTACAGCGCCCATCAAAAGCCGCGCTTCTCAACACTCCCCTCTCCACTCACAATGCTGCCTCTCCGCTCCCGTGCCGCCGCCGCGGCCGCCCGCTCTGCCCTCCGCCGCGCTCGTCCCTCGATACCGCGCGCTGCGCCTGCAGCTCTGCAGTCATGCGCTGCCCGCCGCTATACTACCTCCAACGAGGGCCGCCAGGAGGGCGCGAGGACTGCCATCATGAAGATCCTCAAGGACGTCGGCTCCAAGCGTGAGATCCAGCAGTACCTGGCTCAATTCAGCTCCGTGCAGTCGCAGCAGTTCGCCGTCATCAAGGTCGGTGGTGCCATTCTGACCGACCATCTTGACGCTCTCTGCACCGCTCTCCGCAACCTGACCACCATGGGCCTGTACCCGGTCATCGTCCACGGCGCCGGTCCTCAATTGAACCGCATCATTGAGGCTGCTGGTGTTGAACCGCAGTTCGAGGAGGGTATCCGTGTCACAGACCCCAAGACCCTTGGCATCGCCCGCAAGCTTTTCCTCGAGGAGAACATGAAGCTGGTGTCCTCGCTGTGGGCTGAGGGTGTCCGCGCTCGTCCCATCACCGCTGGCGTCCTGACCGCCGACTACCTGGACAAGGAGAAGTGGCAGTTGGTTGGCAAGATCACCGACGTCAACCCCAAGCCCATTGAGGCTGCAATTGCCGCCAAGGAGCTCCCGGTCTTGACCTCCATGGCCGAGACCGACGCAGGCCAGGTCCTGAACGTCAACGCCGATGTCGCGGCCGGTGAGCTCGCTCGTGCCCTGGAGCCGCTCAAGATCGTCTACTTGTCGGAGAAGGGTGGTCTCTGGAACGCCAACACCAACGAGATGATCTCGACCATTAACTTGGACGAGGAGTACGACCACCTCATGGCACAGTCGTGGGTCAAGCACGGCACCAGGTTGAAGATTAAGGAGATGAAGAACTTGCTGGAGGACCTGCCCAAGTCATCCAGTGTGGCCATCATCCACCCGTCCTACCTGGAGAAGGAACTCTTCACCGACTCCGGTGCCGGTACCTTGATCAGGCGTGGTGACAAAGTGAAGACTGCGGACAAGCTTGAGACTTTCGAGGATCTTTCCAAGCTCAAGGACGTTCTCGTCCGTGACAGGAAGGGCCTTGATGCTGAGGCCGTCGTCGACCGCTATATCCAGAACCTCGGCCAGCGCCCCTTTAAGGCCTACTTTGATGAGAAGATGGAGGCTCTTGCCATTGTCTTGCCGCCTACTGAGCAAGAGAAGACCGCCCACCTCGCTACCTTCACCATTACCAAGTCCGGCTGGTTGACCAACCTTGCCGGCAACATCTTCACCCGTCTTCAGGCCGATTTCCCCAAGCTCATGTGGACTGTCGATGTGCATGACGAGAACCTTACCTGGTTTGCTGAGCGCGCCGATGGTTCCCTGCGCCACGGCAACGAGGTCCTCTACTGGTACGGCATTACTGACCTTGAGGAGGTCCGCCAGTTGATGCTTGAATTCAAGCAGCATGGCCGCTCCATGTTTGGTGATATCAACCTCGAGTCTCAGCTCAACCGCGCTGCACAGTACGCCGAGGGTCTCAGGTCGAGGGCCGCACAGAACTCGCAAACCAGATCCTACTCCACCAGCACCCGCATGCTCAAGAGCGGCTCCGTTCTTAGCTCTGCGTCCGCCTTCAAGGCTCCCTCTTCCTCCAGGGGCTACGCTACCACCACCAACCCCAATCCTCCTTACGGCATCAAGTTCAAGAGCAAGGACTGGCCTTCCAAGGTCGCTTTGATCGGTGCCCGTGGTTACACCGGCCAAGCTCTCATTGACCTGATCCACAACCACCCGAACATGGACCTGAGGCACGTCTCTTCCCGTGAGCTTGCCGGTAAGAAGCTCCAAGGTTACACCAAGCGCGACATCACCTACGAGAACCTGTCTCCCGATGACGTCCGCCGCATGGCCGAGGAAGGCGAGATTGATTGCTGGGTGATGGCTCTCCCCAACGGTGTTTGCAAGCCTTTTGTCGACGCCATCGACGCTGCAGGCAAGCCCGACACCGTCATTGTCGATCTTTCGGCCGACTACCGCTTCGACTCGAAATGGACTTACGGTCTCCCGGAGCTTGTGGACAGGTCCAAGATTGCTAATGCAACTCGCATTGCCAACCCCGGCTGTTATGCCACCGCCGCACAGGTCGGCATTGCTCCTATTGTTGACTTCCTTGGTGGCCAGCCCACCGTCTTTGGTGTGTCCGGTTACTCGGGTGCTGGCACCAAGCCTAGCCCGAAGAACGACGTCAACAACCTTACCAACAACCTCATCCCGTACAGCCTGACAGACCACATCCACGAGAGGGAGATTTCTTCCCAGCTTGGCACTCCGGTTGGCTTCATTCCGCACGTTGCCGTCTGGTTCCAGGGCATTCATGTAAGTTTTTGGTTGAGCACTCCCCGTACACGACATTGTAACTGACGGCAATTTCCAGCACACCATCAACATCCCCCTGAAGCAGGAGATGAAGGCTCGTGACATCCGCCAGCTCTACCAGGACCGCTACGCTGGCGAGAAGCTTGTCAAGATTGTTGGCGAGTCCCCTCTCGTCAAGAACATCGCCGGCAAGCACGGCGTCGAGGTCGGTGGCTTCGCCGTCCACTCTTCCGGCAAGCGCGTCGTCATCAACGCTACCATCGACAACCTCCTCAAGGGTGCCGCCACCCAGTGCCTGCAGAACATGAACCTTGCTCTCGGCTACGGCGAGTACGATGGCATTCCTCTCGAGTAAAGGGGGACTTGTTGGGTGATGGAGCCTTTACGTTGAGAGATAGTGGTCATGATAGTAAAACGGACTGGGGACTTGTTTCAACCCTTCTACGGATACGCTTTTTTCCTTGATTGGCACGGAAAACAAAAAGGGGGGCGGGTGATCTATTTCAACTAACTCCGATTACCAGAGAACGACGTAAAATGGGTCGTATTGGCTGGGTTTTGCATTTTTATTGTCGGTGTGCATCTTATGGTTTTTGTACATACAGGCGTCATGTCTCGCCTGGGAGTGTGGACTTGAACTTTTCTTTTTTTTTAATCGTTCGAGAGCGGAGCGAGTACGGGCATGCCCAATGTAGTTTGCTTAGACAAGGCGGGCAGAGTACAGAAGAGAGAGACCTGTGTTACGTTGTCTTTTTTTTGGAAGGACTTTGGCAATGTGAATTCCATAACATGATAACATGTTATTGAGAGCGCCAGATGACGTCATGGCTGCTATTGAGAATCCATTGGGACCAGATCGAGACCTTTATTGGGGAAATCCGAAGTGGTTGTTGAGACACCACCAGGAGAAATCGGACTTCAATTATGAGTCAAGCTTCATAGAGCAAGACGCGGCAAAGCTGAGAGGTTGGAGAGGGTGAAAAATAGTTTCGTTAGACATCTTGAATGCATTTAGCAATTTTCGTTGACATTGCTTTTCTTCCTCCCCTGAAGAAAGTGGGCTATCCAAGCATCTGCCAATTACGAGACGAGGGGGCTTTGTCATACTCAAGGTGATCCAACGTTTCGTTGACTCGTCAGCAATCATCTAGCCCATTCATGTGTCTTTCCAACCCCCCCGTCCTTTTCGTTCTTTTTCTCTTATCACCTCCGCAATTCCGAAAACCCCGGGGCACAGGCAGGCCAAATCGACTTTGACAAATCATACGCTGCGCCGAAAAGACCCAGAGCCACGGACATTTGGCAGCGAACAAGACCTTTTTTCCTGCTGCTAGCGGACAGTGATGAGCTGAAGTAAAGGGAATTTGATGGCAGCAGTGGCAGTGTTAGTACTAACGATGTGCATGTGATTGGAGAGCGGGTGTGTTGTGGAAGGAAGGGTGGGGTGGTGGCAAAGTAAGGATAGTAGGGAGGCAGAGGCGTCCGCGGCATGTGTCAGACGGTGAGTGTCGGGATGCAAGGATGACGTCCGCGCCATGTGGTGTTTGAGGGAACTGGAGGGGCAGGACGCCACAACGCTGTCCTGATCTGGTAAATTTGGAGATGTGTTTGCTGTCAAGTTTGCGATATGGAGTCAAACGAGCAGGTCTGATGTCTGTTTTTATTTTTAGTGCCAAATGTAGTCTACGAGTGTGGTCCCTGCACACTTAGACGCTGTCGTGCTCGAGACAATCGCGGTCGACGAAAAGTCATATGTGATTCTGTTATGCCCTTCCATCACATCCAATGTCCCACAAGGCTTATCCACCAATGCTATACCTCCATCCACGCTGACGCGGCCCGACCGCAGGACTTGCCAGTTTTTCTTCCGGATAAGCCATTGCCCAGCCGATCACGGCATACGGGCCACTCTGAATATTGCAGGTCCCAAGGGCACCGAAGTTGCTTTTGCAATCCCTCCCTTTGCTCCAACAGGTCGCGATGACACCACGCACGGTGTTGCTAATTCGGTACTACCCAGTCCCGCCGACACAGGAGCAGAAGTGAAGCCGGCGCAGTAGCATTATTGTTGAGCAGGAAAATCTCGCACGGGAACGCCGAGAGGACAAGTGGATCAAGATACTTCGCACCTGCAGTGCATCACCGTATTGGTTCGTTTGGAGAGGCGGTTCATCCCGCTTTCATGTGATTGCCAGGTTGGCAACCATCCTTGCGGTCCAGACCAAGTCTCGAATCGGCACTTCGCGGCACGAACCCGCGTCGAGATTCCATGAAGAGCCTTTTCCGGGATGCCATGATGATACTTGCCACCAAGCAGAAATGTGGTTTACGACGGGTTTGGCGCGGATCTGGGTCCGGAGGCAACGGCTCCGCAGGAACATCGTTGGCCTAGGTGATCAATGGATAGCCGATCCGCAACGATACAGGAGGGTGCGGGGCCTCGCGGGCGGACACGCGCGATGTTGCATGACGGGCAAGAAAGTCGGCATCCGAGCAGGCGGCGAATATGCAGGGGAAAGGTTCATCAGTCGGAGGGCTGGGACTTTGCCACCGGAGGTCGGCGTGCTTCGAGGCCTGCAATCTTTCGCTCCAGGTCTTCCTTCTGCGAAACAAGACGCGCTCGCTTCGTCTGCAGCCCTGCAATGCGTTCCTCGACAGGCAATTCGTAGACCGTCTTCTGCGCCTAAAATTACCGTTAGTGGCGGGTCGCAGAGACTCGTCAAGTATGTTTCGGAAAGGCAATGGAAGCGCACAGGAGGAGACAAGGCGCCTGCAGCCACCTCAAATGGAGGGTTGGAAATGCACATACCTGCTTGTGCTCCTGTTGGAACTTCAGGCCAGCACCGTAGATGGCGCCGGTGATGGTGACTGCGCTGATGGAGCCGGTAAGGACAATCCGGCGAATGGTCTGTTGCGACACCATGGTTGTGTCGTAGAAGCGCGAGCGGGTGATGGGGGAGCAGTGAAGGCGGAGGAACAGAAAAAGCTCACGGCTTGCGGCAGATGGCAGATCCTGGTCGTGCCTTTAACTCCGAAGCTCCGGTAGTCAAGTAAACAGAGCCCGCGGCTGCAGCTCCCACTCGCAACAACAATCGCCGCCGCACCCACGCACAGCTTCGCGAACGCTGCTCGAACCACGCCGCTCGCCGGATTCGCAATCCACTTCCCAACCATGTCCGGAGTCCAGCGTTCGACCAGCTCCGGCTCTCGCACGAGTACCGCGCCCTCGTCCCAAAAGCCCCGCCAGCTTTCGCACCTGCACTCGCAGCTGGCCCAGCTCTCGGCGAACATGGCGGACTTGGAGAACTTACTGCGCATGACTGCTGTCCAGGCAGAGAGCATGCGTGGCCTCGGCGGATACTGCGGAGGAATGTACGTCTCACCCCGCAGGCCAGCTATCACAGACGCACGAAGCGCTGCAGCTGCTCAAGTACCCCCGCGTTGCGCGCGAGATACGGGACTTTGCTAATCGATACTGTCTGAAAAGGTTCATGGCAGCCAGCAAGGTGCTCGGAGAAGAGACCGTTAATGGGGGAAGTGCATCCAGTCCATCGGAGAGCTCGCGCGACCATGATAAGAGTACATGATGAGCTCCGGCGGCGTGTTCTCGACCAATCCCCCAATCTTAGTCTCTCTTGGAGATGCCGGAGATGCCGAAGACCATGTCCGAGTCTATCCTGGGTAAACAGCTTCTCTACAACAGTCACCGTCCGGCACAAAGCAGCTCTGCCATGAACGATTGGACGCTCGATGCTCGATGGCGCGAAGACGAGCCTCTCACGCGCGTCCAAAATATGGAACCAAGGGTCGTGTTTATCTGCGCCTGTACCATGCCGTCCAGACGCACAAGCGCGTGTGGAGAAGCCATGTTTCAAAGTCAATCACATGTGAATGCTGGCACCTGCTCTACTGGGCATTGGAATAAGCAAAGCGTAGATAAGAAAAGCAGCAATACGACCTCGGAGACGCAGCGACGGGATTCTGCCCACTCTAGAGAATGGGCATGTAATCTTCAATCGCACCGGTCTGCATCTTTCAGATAACAAGCCCTCATGCACCCCACAAAACCACCCGTGCGGTGCTGAGCTATCGCCCAATCTGTGGGGATCCAGCTGGCAAGGCCTCCCTCCAGCTTATCACCAGCCACTGTAGTGGGATGCACGGCCACCTGTCACTTAGACTTTATCGGCGTGACAACAGCAACGATGATCCGGATGCAAGTAATTGGATGCTCCGGCCGGCCCTCCCCGCTGGTAGCGCTGTGGATGCCTTCCTGATGCAACAGAGGGCCTCCCGATGCAACGGCTCAAGGCCCGACAAGGCTTCTAGAAAGATAAGATTTGGAGTGATCGCCTCCTCTCATCCCGTACCTGTCGTCGTAAGCCTATCTAGGAAGCTGTGAGCATCGCCCACAGGTGCCTGGCGTAGGCCGGTGTCGCCCCATCAGCGGCCCGGCCTCATAGATACTCGGTCATCGCCCTGCAGGAGCTCCTTTGGGAGGCGTAGGGCAGGGTTGACAGGCCGCTGGGAAGGAACCGGGCCGTTGGACCCGGGGTAGGAGGGAGGCAATGATAGGGAATAAGCCCTCCTGAGCCCCGGCGGTAGCAGGAATGGTGCAATCCGGTCAGATGCAGACGCCAGGCCAGCATGCCTCGGAGCCACTTATCAAACGCGGACCGTGTCTAGTCGCTGCGCGTGCGTTTGCGATGCGCTGGGCTGTTGGCGCTCGGCGCGACACGAGACAGAGATAACGTTATCGGCGTGCGAAATCGCAAATCAGCAGACGTTGCGCCCGTTGCGCAGGCCTAGCAGCCTTGCGTTGGCCATTCCTTAGTACTCCGATCGCTTCCAGGGACGTGGGTGTGGGCGGCCGCATCGCGATATAAAGATGCAGTGTCGTCCCGCCTTGGACCGCTTCCGTATACGGACGACGTCGCCTCTCCAGCCCAACCACCGCACCGAGCCGACCTCGACGGCCTCTTTCCTTGGCGCATGTGGAGCTAGCTGCTGGAGCCGCAAACCGGGCAGCAGGAACAACATGACGACATGCATCTCGACACCAAGGCCCGCACGTGCTCGACTTCCGGAAATGGAGCATCGTCGAGGATGAAGGCCAACAATGGACCCGGACACCGTCGCTGACATGCCGACTCCGCCCGTTACCAGGACAATGCCACTGTAAACTCCCGCTGTCGGGGGCGGACGGACCGCAGTGGAGCCGCGAAGCGCTGGGTGGACAGAAGGCAGCGAGGCAGTGAGGCAGCAAGGCAGCAAGGCAGCAAGGCAGCGGGGCAGTGCGAGGGCTGACCGCCATGCGACGCCCTGCTGGTGCGCGTGCGTCGCAGCCGCCCAGCCTCGCGTGCACGCCCGCATGGAGATGGATGAGACACACGGCAGCCTCACGGTCAGCAGCATTGTCGTCGCCGTCTCCGCCTGTTCGGCGTCTTCTCCACAGCAAGCGGCCTTCTGCCCGGCCTGCCCGACGCGCCCGCCGCTGGGATGGCCTTGCCGCATGCCCCGCGGTGTGACTGGAACCCAGGCCCGTTTTCTATATTTCACCGCTTTGCTGTCGTGGTCCGCGGCATGCGTCGCCAGAGAGGGTAACGGGTTGCGCGCACGACTCGAGATGAAAGGCTGAGGCACGAGTTTTAGGGCGCACCATAACCTTCACGACACGGAGGAGCCGAACCCCCGGTCACCGAGGCCCCAATGTACGAGGGATTGACGGCCACATCGCTGCAGCAGCTACGTCGCTGGCTCGTTGTGAGGCTAAGCGGCGGTGGCCCTCGCGAGCAATGGTGACACAAGCGCAATGCACGTAGCTCCGGTTCAGGAACTCCCGGTGGCTTTTTCCTACGGTCCGGCATACCTACCTGCGGTCGGAAGGGATACGAACTGAGGGCACTCCCGCCGCGCCGCTCCAACCACGGGGCTGGCAATATGGCGACGGGCCCGCTGACGGAGCTGCTACTGGATACTGGCGTTTGGACCGGACTGCACCGGGGTCGGAGACACGCCGTTTCCTCACCAAAAGCCCAAGCTTGCGTGGCGCGTTCCATCATCGCGCGGGATGGAATAAATAATGCGAGGTGGATTGGCGGCGGCTGGCGGGAAGGGAGGGCGGTGCGGAAGGCATGCAAAATCAGGGTCCTGGGGCAAGGCCAAGGGCCGTCGGGCGACCCGGGAGTACAGGAGCTCTCGCTCCGCGACGGCCTCGGGCTGTCTAGGGCGCGGTTTGGAGCTCCCTAGGCCATCATTGGCAGCGTTGTTGCGGAAATTCGGGGCGCGGAGACAGCCCCTTCAATCATCGAGGGCGGAAGACAGCGGAGGGCAGCGGAGGGCAGAGGGCAGAGGGCAGAGGGCAGGGCAGAGAGCAAAGGACAAAGGGCAGAGGGCAGAGGGCACTGAAATTGTGGCGCGGCAAGCCACGGTTCAACTGCTAAGCCGACCAAAGGCGTCTGCAGATCGCATCCCACGGTGGCTTGCAGGCGACCCCCACTCGGACCTCGCCGCCTTGCCGCAACGGGAATCGCTGCGCGTGCCGCTTTCTTGATTGCTCGCGCGGCAGTTGCTGCTGGTGGCTGGCACGCCGGATCACCAGGCACCGTGTCGTCAGGCAGGGTCTGCGACGGGCGGCTCTGACGACACGGTGCAACAGGCAGATTGCATGCGGTGAGTTGGATCTGCGCGCCTCCTGCTGGCACAGGAAGACGGTGCGCCCGCTCGCTCAAGCGAAATCCGCATCGCTGCACGGGATGCACAAGCCTGGCATGTGAAGGGCCCACATTGGCTGCTGCCCGCTCACTCAGCCCGGAGCCGGGGCCTCGCGCTCTCAATGCTTGCACTCTGGCGAGCAACACTGCAGGGCAGATCACCTCTCCCGTCCTGCGCTCCCTCATCCGACGATAGATCCGACGCCTGTTCGTGCTGCTGACGGGCGCACGACTGAGCCCGGGATGCGCACTCAATCTCACGATCGCGAGGTCTGCGTCGATGGCGGCTGTTTATAGCGATTTCCAGCACTGTGGTCATTCATCCAGAAACTCTATTCGAAGGCTGGTCCATACTGACAAATAGGCTGCTAAGCACTCGAGTCGATCATGGGAGTCCTTGCTTCGCGCGACTCGCGGAGCGGGCGTTGCGGCAGCGGTGCCCTCTGCCACGCGACAGCTCGCAACGGTCCGTTGCTGTCAGACACCTGCGGTGGAGCTCTCGAGATCTCAAGCCGCGTGCTCGACGCCCCGTTCTACCGGCTCGCCGAAAGCATCTGCAAACAGAACCAAGTCCGCGCTCAGATTCAGTGCCACAGGCCCCAGCATGGCCATTTCAGATTGATTCGAAGCGGGCTAAATGAGACCCTGCATGCGCAGACGCGGCGCGGCAGGTCGCGAAGTGGACTGCGGTGGTCTCTGCCACGGGTTGCTTCGGGATACGGCCGCTACGGCGGTTGTGACTGGCAGCCCCGTGCGGTGGAGAAATATTTACCCTTGGGCAAATCGTCTCGTTTCCATGGCTTGCCCTCCGGGCGGCGGCCGCGGCGGCTCACAGAGCGGTGCATGCAACGGAATCTGCCGGGGGGCCTTGTCGAGCCGCACGCGAATTCGGAACGAGCTGCTGGTCCGACAGGTGCTGAGCGGAAGATCCGCATATCGTTATATTCCTCTGAAGGGGCGCAATCTTGCTTGAACGAACTCCACCGTGTTTGATCAGAGTCGCGGGAAGGGGGCACAGCTGCAGCCGGGTGGAGCGCTGGCAAAGGCCTACCATGTGTTCAACAGTGTTTCCGCACTAGGAGCTCTGGTCTCCCAGATCTGGAGCAAGCAGGTTGCAGGGATCGTGGCCGTCGGCGGTAGGGCAGCCAAACCGGGCGGAGGGAGGACGGCGGAGCTTGGGCATCTCCGCCTTTCCTCCGCTGGAGCACGG